TATCAACTTCTTCCTGATTGGAGAATGAGACAAAACCGAATCCTCTAGGCCTGAAATATAATAAAGCTTTGTTTTTTGGGAAATTGTTATAATAAGAATGACATACCTGTTGGTTTGTGGGTGCTTCATAATTACACAATCAACTATTGTTCCATATTGTGAAAAATGTTCTTTCAGCACTTCTTCATCTGTATCAGGTGTTGTTCCACCTATAAATATTTTAAACTTCGTGTCGTTTTGAGGGGGTGGACTCTGTTTAAATGATTATATTTTTTAGTACAGGTGAAAGAGAACAAAGAATAAATGCTCAAATTTTCAGTTATAATATGCTATTCCCAGGTACAATGTAAAGTGCCACTTTCATAAAGGGAACAATTCTGTTGTATTTAAATAATATAACATTAATAATGCTCAAGTACCTATATCTTTCATTGGTATTATTAATCAGATATCAATTTACAAAGATCAAACGCTAAAAATGAAAAGATATTTCGATTCAGTTTTATCATCGAGTAACCTCGTCACGTTTCCTAAGATTAAAAAGCTTCTACTATATCTAACTAGACCGGTTTTTAAATTCAATTAATGTTGATAAGATTTTCAAGATGGCGAAACCGGCCTAACAATGTCGATCTAGACGAATTCTGTGATCTATCAGATATTAAGACATAAAAGTTTGAATTTTATCATTCTTTTATGACTATGTACCATAATAAACTATTTTTGGGGTTCAAACAAAATTAATCAGCTTACTTACCATTTTATTTTAAAATAAATTTATGTGCTACAACTAAGAAGTCAGAAGCGGAAGTGATGTCGTAGCGACAGTTATTTTAGTACAAACTCAATTTAAATAATGAATTATTTGAATATTTTTTCCTAATATATAGCAATTTGAATACGAAAAAAAAATAAAAATCTTTCTAAAGTTATTCTTCAAGCGATTATACTGCGCCATTCATGATCGTTAAATTCGGTGCGGTATTGCTGAAGGTGAAGGATATCATTTAGCAGAAAGAAACTCGAAATCTAAACATCTTCAGAGAACGAATATGTCTGATGAAGAGGAAAAACGAAAAGACATTTCTCAGTTAATTGAAAAGATTGTAACCTCAAATAAGGGAAATATTGACCCAAAATTATTTGGAGAACTGAAAACTATTTGCAAGTTTGTGATATTTCGTAATCACAGTCATTTCTTGTACAATCAGTTACAATTCTAATTGCAGGAGTTCGGTTCAATTTGTAGAATTAGCCTATGTACAAATTTATGAACAGTTAAAAAAAGACCATTGTGAAGTCCGCTTAGCATCATTGCGTCTCATAAAAGAGCTATTTGAAAGATCTCATTGTTTTCGAAATTTACTCCTTGACGACTTTCAGGAGTTTATAAACTTTACTTTGGGTAAAATGATGCATAATTTTTACGCCCAATGCTCTAACAAATATTAAATTCCTTTAAAAGAAATCGACCCGCAATATCCTCTACCTTTACCAAAAGAGGCTGCTGCTACTCTTAAAAAGGAAACTGTTTCATTAATAGAGCATTGGAAAAATAAATATGCTGGCCATTATAAAAAGCTATCAATTGCGTATCATTATCTAAAAAGTTCTAATAAAGTTGATTTTGAAAGTGAAGCTATAAGAACGCAAGCGGAAAGACGTAGACTCGAAGAAGAGCAAAGGAGGAAAGAAAGCTTTCAGAAGAAGAGGTTGGAAGAAATTCAGGAAGAAATGATTGGTAACTATAATTTAATATAATTGTATAAAATGATATTAAATATGTTGGTGTTAACAAAAAACTTAGAAATAGCAGAGGAGATGAGGAATTGTTTAATTCAAATACAAAACTGTTTTGACCTTCTTATACCCTCCGTTAACTTTTTCGATATTATTCGTGAAGAGCCTACTCAGGACAAAGATATTGATAGTGACAGTAATGACAAAGACGGACGCCAATCAGAGGATTCAGAATCAGGTTTAAATTATTATTTAAAGTACAAATATGAGTTTGCACAAAGAAATAATATTTCAGAATCCGAGCAATTATTTCAACAACAACCTTGGTATAGAAACTTTACGCCTATTACATGTTCAATACCAGACACTGTGAACGTTACTGAAACTGATGATAACAAAGACATAATCAACAGTTTAGAAGATCAAGTTCGACTCATTGATGCAAGATATGTTCCAAAAATTAATAAATGGCTTGAAGTTTGTAAACCGAGCGATAATCTATTTTAGAAATAAAATTTTGCTATATTTTCACCATAGATTCTCACAAAATATGGAAGTGAAGAAGATAATATAAAGAGAGCTATTGATATGAAAGCGTATATGACAAAAGCAAAAGATAAGTTCCAGCATCTTCAAATAGAGAAAAAAAAGAAAACGAAAACTATAGATACACAAGATTCAGATGAAGAATCTGATTTTGAAGAAGTGCCTGAAAAAGAAGGCTATGAAGCAAATATTCCCGAGGAATTACATGAAGAATATGGGATTAAGAAAAAAAATATAAGAAAGGCAAAGCCTACTGGTAGTTGGTCTGTCTTGCAAGAAAATAGTGAAGAAGATCCAGCATCATATCAAGCAGCAGTTAAGGCGATAGAAAAAAAATTTGAAAAAAATACTGAATCATACAATCAATCTTCATCTCAAGACAGCAAATCTGCAATATCTGGTCGGACCAAAAAATTAAAAGAAATTGCTCCAATTGTACCTTTTGGAAATGATCTCTTGAATTGGGGATCTAAAATTGAAGTTCCTTTATTGCCTAATTATGATCTTGAACATCGTTTCTATACAAAGAAAGATATTGATAATGAAGATAAAATTGACAAGGTAAACTTATTATCTAGTTCTATGTACAAATAAAATTAATTTCATAGAACGCCTTGGCGTCATATTCTTCGAGAGTAATAAATTATGTTGGCAAAAGAGAACTTGCTAAATGGAAATGTAGAGCTCTAATGCCAAATGGATCACTTTGCGAGAGGATGGATAAAAAAAAGGTAAAATGGCATTTCCATTATACCATTGTTTACAATATTACTTTTTTCAGTGTCCTTTTCATGGAACAATAATACCTAGAAATGAATTCGGTGTTGCTGCTGAAGGTTATATAGACGAGAGTAAAGGTAAAATCATTCTCTGAGTATAATTTCGATAAATAATCTTTAATGTTCAGAAATCAAGAAGAAAGAAAAGAATCCATGGGAGGATGAAGAATTACTGAGAGAAATTGAAGCAGCTAAAGGCGTCTCACTTATGAAAAAAAAGAAAAGAGGAAAACAGAAAGATACACAACTGACAAATATAGATAAAATAAAAAATACATCACGCGATAGATTGAAAAAAAAGTTATTACATAAGTAAGAATTATTTTTTTGAATAGAATGCAGATAATGTAACGCAACTACTTTCAGATCAGCTATTAAAAGGGTCGGTGAATTATTAGACACTATCGATATGAAAAAGCATAAAGACAAGTTTGCAAATACTTTTGGACGCACTTTTACATTTCGATAAAAAGGACTTAATATGGTAGAAGAGAAAGGATGAAATTTCCTATCGAATGTTTTTTGCATGTTGTGATTGTCAAACTATTTGTCTGTAAACAACTTCTTGCTAACATATCAGAGAGAGATCAGAAGTTATGAATCTGAGTGTACATACAACTTTTGATTACAAATACAGTATAAGAATATAAAGAAACTTTCTTTTATTCGTCCATTTATCGGACATACAGCAAAATGCTAGTCAGAGTTTGATATTTGCAGAAATAAACAACATCAATGTTTAACATTATTATATATAAGAAAGAAGCTGAAAGTCTATTTATGGGAACGGTCTTAATTGTCATACTCGTCTGTGTTGCACGTTGTTGTAGAAACACTCGATACTAAATCCCTTAAAAGTTCTTTCGGAGCTTCAGACCCTCTAATCTATTAACATATATTATTGATATTATCAGCAAAAAAGTCGTATATATATATATATATATATATATATATATATATATATGTATACATTTAATATAAGATACCTTTAGTGTGTAACACGCATTTTCTACTTTCGATAGACTGTTTCTGAGGACTTGCAATTTTTTGTTCATCTGCCAGTTTGTAGCACGAAAGTTCATAAGGCCATCGTAGAAAGCTCGAAGAAACGAACAAATTTCCTTAGGTGTAGTAAAATCTCCTACTCCAATACTATTTATAGCTAGTCTCATTAATTCTCCACCTAAGTCTGTTAGTCCCAATGCAAAATCAATGATTGGAACTTCGACAGAGATCGTTTTAGTGGTAACAGCACCACTGTCTACATTGTGGAATGTTAAACTATCTTTAACAATGGAGAGTGGAACTAAATCCTTGTGCTTTAAGTAATATAAAAAAGAAACTGCTTCAACATATTCTTGCAAACCTAGGAAATAATTTTGAAAGTCATTCATTGCTAAAGTTTTATGAAATTCTTTTCAAACCTTGAGTGTAGCTTCTTAAGAAAAGATATATATCCTCACCATGCAGTTCTAAAGCAACATTTTTCCAATGACTTTGCTCTAATGAGTGAAGTTTCTTGTCAGCTTCTAAAATCAAATTAGATTTGTCCTCTCTAAAAATATGATTAAACATCATAATTGAATAGCATTACATACGCATAATTGCTCACTTTGTTGTACGGTGGAGCAAAAATATTACGCGTTTACTCTCAATCGTTATATCTCGACTGAGTTTTACCAAACGTTCACTTTTATCATGCTTTGCATCCAGATCAGTACGATAGGAAGTAAAAGACATCATCAGAGGAGTTTTCGGAATGTCGTCATCCTTGTATTTATGACTTTTATACTTCTGTCTCCGTCGACTCTCCCCAGAATTATGTTTAACTAATAAATTATAGTTTATATTGAAAATATATACATTAAGAAAAGTTGCAATTTTAAAAATAACAACTTCAACAATCATTATCTTTTGTCGAATCTATAATTTACATTTATCACGCCAATATATTATCGGTCAATTTCATGGGAAACAACTATTTCTAATGTTAATTTCCCTTTCATCATATCTTTAAGTTATTTTCAAACCTTTAGTGCTATCTTCCGTGGTTTCTTTTTCCATATTTTGTAATTCGTATATTTATTTATCAAAGTTTCTAACAAGTAAAATTGTCTTTGTTTATACCCGTTTTCTTAAATCTTTAAATCTGTTGTTAGAATTTTACTAAGAAATAATTTTTTAAATTACTTTTTACGCATAATTTACTTATATTAAAAACAGCTTATAGACACAAAATTAAGTTTTAATTTAAATTAAAAATATCTAAAAGTGGGTTCTACTTCCGGTAACGGTTCAAAATAATGAACCGCGCTTTGTCACATATATAAAAGCGATTTTAGATTAAGAAAAAAAGCAATTTTAAGCTGTCATGAGTAACGACGAAAATAATGGAGAAGAGGAATACTGTTGGGAAGAAAGTAAAGAAAATGTTCAGCCCCTTAGACAAGGTAGAAGAATAGAAGCTTTGAATAGTGCCCTAGCGACTCCAAGTCGAAATGGAAGTTTATCAACTGTTCCGTCTACACCTAGCACTGCTGAAAAATCTTCTATCTTAAGACGGCAAAGAGAGTATGTGCAATTTCTTGTTAATATCAATCAAATTTCTATTCTAGATATGTTTTAACTACAGGGCATTTGAAAAACAACTCCGTTTGGAACATGAAGACCCGTTGCATATTTGGATTAAGTAAGATCTAATCGCTCTATTTCCCTTTACTTTTATTTACCTGTTTCAGATATATTGAATGGGTCGATCAAAACTATCCATTGGGAGATGGCAATATAGAAAGGTTACTATCTAAAGCCGTTCAAAAGTTTCAGGATGATTCTGCTTACAAAAATGACATACGTTTCATAAAAATATGCATAAGAGTGGTAAGAGGACAAATGTGTTTAATGATATTCATTCTTTTCATTGTTATTATACCCAACAGGCTTTGAAGAATACCGACGTACCATCGATTTTTCTTTTCTATAATTCAAAAGCAATCGGGAAAAATTGCGCTTATTTTTATATAGAATGGTGTAAATACTTCGCAACTCAAGGAAACTGGGATAAAGCAATTAAAATTTGCAAAACTGGTTTTGATGTGGGCGCTGAACCCTTAGAGGACTTAATTAAAACTATTCAGTAAGTTTATGAATTTCATATCTAGTCATGATTAGAAAGCATTCACTCTCAGATTCCTGAATGAGAGAAAGACCAGTGTTGGAAATGATGATGAGGAATCCACTACTGAATCCCGTAGAGCTTTCGGTGAACTTAAAACTGTTGGCAAGAAACATCACGCTACAATCGATCGTACTACAGATAGAGCAGCTGGTTTGTTAAAAAATACTTTTTAAGGCTTTTTTTTAACCTTTATTTGAACCAGGAACATATTCCGTTCATAATTCAACCAAAAAGACTAACGCGGCAGTCAGAATTGATGAGAATGGTGAGGTGGAAAAAACCCCCGTTGTTCCTTGGAACTCTATGCCCAAAAGATCTGATATGAAGGAAAATGAACAGCAAATGTTAAAAATCGGAGGGCAACGAGTAAGTAACACATCATTACTATTTCTAATACATGTTCAACTATGCTTGTTTTAACAATATAGGTAAAGCAAAAGGTATGTAAGTCTCTAACGATGACAGATGCACCAAGAAATGTTGATTTTGAAGTATTTCATGATGATATTCCACAGTAATTACTTTGAAATTTGAAATTTTCTGTAAACAATATATTTTTTGTTTACACAGGACTGTTGAGAAACCTCCTCAGTCAAATCCACCAACGTTAAACATTCCAGTCCTAACTGAAAAAAAGAAAAAGACATTGGAAGTCGCCTCAAGTGATGTTACTAAACCAGAAAGGCCGGAAGACGCAAAAGGAATAATCGTTGATTGGGATGTCTTGTATGGCGGAATGGAGGAAATGTCGTTTGAAGAGTATCGTTATTTACGTCAAGAAAACCGAGTCAAGTAATGTTCTACTATTCAGAGATTAAACCGTAGATAAATTTCCGTAGTCCTTTTTATATCTTGATTAAAAAATACATGCAACTTAAATATTTTGAAACATGTGTTATTTCGATAAACAGATCGCGGATAAAGAGTTTATTCCAAAGCGATGGTAGAAAAATTTCCGTTAATTATGAATTGCTATATGATGGTTGCTTTGAAAGATGTATTGAAGAGTGGAGACTTGAATTTTATAGAAAAAGTGGAAAGGATAGACGTCAAGGTAAAGCGATAATTTCGTATCCCTCATTCTAACTGCTAAGGCTAATTAACACTTCTATCAGATATATTACAATCCCTTACGTCCGCTGATAGTGTCGATTGGGATAAAACAGATCTTTCGGGGTCTACTTTAAAGAATTCTAAAACATCATCTAGTCTATCGAATTCTGTTAGAAATAGCTCCGGTCAAGATTCTCTTGGAATTTTAGGATCGGACGCTTTGTCTAGCTTGATTCCAAAAACTCCTCAAAAGGACAACTTTAAGCTGGTAAAATTAGATATTTTCGCTATTCCCAATTGGTTTCAATTTGTTATTTTACATAGGATAGCTATGGTGACTTGAAGAGGAGGTCCGTCCAAACACCAAACACTTTCCAGGCAAGAAAATTGATGTCATGTGCAGTTAATCAATCTTACAGCGTTTTCCTAGATGACACAAACTTTATAGAAAAAGGTAAGGAAAACAAGTAGGTCTATAGTTTATTTTAATTTTTAATTCACTCTCTAAGATGAAGTATCGTCGGATCTCAATATTATTCCGTCAAACAATCAAAAAAGAACTCAAAAACCTCCAGATTTTGAAATCTTTAATGATACTAATAGGTAATAAGAGTCAATCAAAATTATTTGATAAACAAAAATTAATTATTTTACAACAGCAACCAATATTCAAAAAAACCTTTTGTTAGTAATACCGACGAGATGGATGACTCACTTGCGGCTCCATGCCTAAAAGTAGATGATTTTGAAATTTTTATGGATTCTCATATAGAGTGTTCGAAAGAAGAGAAACATGAAAAGATTCCTAATTTCGCTGTACCAAGCAAAATAAAAGACTTTGACATTTTCGTAGATTCTCCAACTCCTTCAAAACCAGCTAACAAAGAAATATTGAAAACAAATAATTATGCAGATGCGATTCAGGATGACAAAGAAAATGCGGGTCTTGTTGTGAAAAATGATTCAGACACATCAAATAATTCGAGAGATCAAAGAGCAAATACCAAAACCGCTAGAATTGACTCTAAATATCTTAGTCCCATTCAAGAAGTTAGTACTGAAGTTTCAACTATCTCCACCCATTCCTCTGCTTCCTCGGCTTCGTCTGCATCTTCAGTATCCCTCAATGAATCTTCGCACTATCATTCTCTGTCAATAACTTCAGATGGACTAAATCACTCTTTGATGAATATTCAAAATGATTCTATATATTTAAGAACAAACAACCCTTTTGATGATAGATTTGAAGAAAGATTGATCGAACGATATGGTAAAAAAAATCTTTTACGTTATGTAAATTATCATCAAATGAATGCAATGCTTCCTTTAATTCGAGTAAAAAGTACAACAAATGTCGGAGGGGAAAATTGGAGAATATTACAAAAGTTAGGTGAAGGGGCATTTTCTTCAGTATACGCTGTCGAGGATGAAGAAGGAAATGATAATTTCGTTTTCAAAGTTCAAAAAGATAGATTAAACGTTTGGGAATTCTACGTTTTAAATGAATGTCAAAAAAAAATAGAGTCTTGTCTTATTTTACCATCTATAGTAAGCGTTTTTTACTTTGCAGGCAAGTGATATTATTATATGAACAACTTTTTTCAGAAAAATGCGATTATTGAAATCAAGGATGGATTTTTCTACGAAAATGGTAGTTTATTTATTTGCAATAGGTTCAAGTATGGTTCATTGGTTGTAAGTATAAAAATTTTATGTTATAATGCTAACTTTTTAGATTATTAAATAATTTTCTTTCTAGGATTTTGTCAACGCCACTGATAATCGCACCGACAATATGATTCTGATTCTTATGATCGCAATAGATCTTTTGATTATTATCGACCGACTTCATTCATTCAATTTAATACACGCTGATTTGAAAGCGGATAACGTATTGATAAGAGATATGTGAGTAGTTTAATGAACAAATCTGTCCATCCGTAATTTACGTTACCTCATTTAATTTAGACCAAGTTTACAAGCAGAAGCTTTGCATGATCCGTCTGCTATGTATAAATCAGAAACTAAATGCATAGCCTTAATAGATTTGGGTAGAATGATTGACATGAATCTATTCAAAGAGGGGACTACGTTTACAGCAAAGACAACAACGGACATGTGTATTGAAATGAGAACAAATAAACCATGGAAATTTCAAACAGACTATTTTGGTGTGGCAGGAATATTGTATCTGTTACACTTTGGCAAGTATATGGAAGTCCATCAGAAAAATGGAATGTGGTACCCGAATGAAAATGTCAAAAGGTTCATTACATCCATCCCTTAAATATTAAACATAACATAATTTTTTTATTTTTTTCCTTTTTAGATATGTAAACGGTTCAAAAATGTGGAAAGATCTGTTTCATGATTTACTTAATGTACCTTCTTGCGACAGATTACAAAGTATACCAAGACATATTGGAAATCTTCTAAGTATTCTCAAACAAGAATGCGCATATGCTAAAAAAGTTACCAAATACGAATCAGATAGAAAAGAGTTATTAGCTAAATTACTTAAACATTAATTTGCATCCGGTTGTACTGCTTGAATTTTCTGCTCAATCCTTTTCAGGATATCTGTACTTTGTAATTGCTCGAAGGTTAATAGGGATAATCCTAGTTGATCGTCCTAAAAAATTATGTTACATTAAATAAACATTATATTTTAATAAGTTTTCATACTCTATTGAAAGGTTGCGCCATTGATCGAAGAAATCTTTTAGATACTTGAATAGCCTCGTCAGTTGATAGGTTACACATTGACTCCTTCAAGTGCTCTTGAATCCATCTCGGTAACTTTTTTTTCTTATCAGCTCTCCCAAATCTCTGTTAGCGCAACAGCATTTGATTAGGTAATGTTTACTTCTCAAACTACGTTTTCTACCTTATCTGCAAGAAGCATTATGCCGTAATCTGTTTTACCACGGAGGGCACGACCAACGCACTGAGCAGCGTGCCGCATTGCATCAAACGTTAGAAAATCATTCTCCCTAATATGAAATTGATCTCTAAGATATCCCAGCCTTGCTCTTAATTTTCGACTTTGAGTATACACGTATGGGACTCCAAACATAATAACAGCTCTTCCAAGATGGTGATCAAAATCTATACCCTCTGAAACTTTTCCCCTTGCAACTGACAGAAGCACTGCTCCACGTCCATTCTCACAGGCTTTTTGATAATTAGCAAGGGCCATCGTTGTTTCGGCTGCATCCTGAGATTCTATGAAAACAAGTTTGAATCTTTGAATTTGATCTATAATTCCCTGATCGTGCCACGACGAAACAATTTGTTCCTAAAAGATTTATTGTAGTTATTATATGTTGATGGTCAATAAACTATTGTTTTACCATATAGCCATAACTTGGGAAGAAGGCAACTATTCCATCAGGTACTATGGCACTCATTTCAGCCAAAATATTTCCGTAATTTCGAATAACAGCTATTGATAGTAGCAATTATTGCTAATATTTAGGGCTAAATCATGATAATACCTTGGTCTTCTCGATTTTCGAATTTGGTTGTTACGGTGACTTGGTCTGAACCCCGACTTATAACTAGAGGGCAAACACATTCTCTTGCTAGTGTCATAGTAAAAGATGCCATAGTTACAGGACGAAAGTCCAGTATTTTTGGGTATATTTCAAGTGGAGACAAGGTCTATAAAAAATAAAAATAATGAAAGAATCATAGGTGAAAAGTGAAAAACTTGCTCCTGATGTTATAACAACAGATTGAAATCTGTTAAAAACAGGTTTAATCGCGATAGAAGCATCTAAACAACTGAAGTGCATAATTGGATTGAATATGGTTGGAGTTCGGTCGTCAAATGGTTCAATTAGAAGAGTGAATCCTTAAAAAAGGAATAAAAGAGTTGTTAGAGAATTTAAAGAAATTATTGTTACATAAATATTGATTAAATATTATCAGAGCGTGTTCTTTAGAACACATTCCATTTTGATCAAGCTACCGAGCTAAGGCCGGCAATAATCAGATTTGCGCAGGAGACTTGTCATCATAAAAAAACGAAATTAGAATTACAAACTATTATTAACTTTACCTTTCGTATATGAAGAAATCATTGTTGCAAAATTGGCAATCAGGCCACAACTAGAGAAGTCTTGCAGATCAGTTAATTCTAATGTGCTAAGCAGTGACCGTAGTCGTTCGCTGCAAAACCTACAAAAACAAGCAAATTATTACAAAAGACAACTGAAAGGAGTATCACCTTACCTCAATGGTTTTCTTTCTATACAAACTTTCTGATGGCAGTCTCGTAGAAAACTAGCTGGACTCTCTTCTACAACATGTTGAACGCGTAATCTCGTTTTTAGGTACTCGACGAATCTTTTAAGGAATACTAAAAAGTGTTGGGCATTTCTAATATTCCCAGGTATAGCTTCTTGCAGGATAACATCTGGTAAAACTGAAAAAAATAAAGAATATATATTAATAATTTGGTTTTTAAATAACTATTCTCACCTGGATTAGCCAGTACAAGGTCGGTTTCTCGTGCTACTTTGGAATCTTTCAATCCTTCCACTAGGCGTTTGTATTCACTTTTTAATTTATTAGTGTCTCTATCCTTTGCTCTAAAATCCGATAGTTTAAAGAGTTATAAGAATGAAAAAGCAAAACAAACTTTTCTAATTGATCTTGTAACGTTTTAATGTTATTTTGACATTTATCCAATACACTTTTTGTCATAGTAATACTCATCGATTCAATACAAACGTTATCTAAGGTCAAAAAGAGTAATATAATATAAAGTAGAGTAATAGTGTACTACGACGTGTTTACCTATATTGTGAGCTTCATCAAAGACAACAACAGCTTGTTTTGTTAGTTCTTTGGATACTAAATCAGCAATTTTAGGGTCTAATAAGTAGTAATAACTGTAAACGATCACATTGGCATGACCTATCTGTAAGTGTAAAGTTAAAACATGAAGATAAAACCCAGAATGAAAAAAAACTACCTACGGCGCATCTTGCTAGAAAATATGGACACATCCCATTCTTTCTTCCATAATCTTTTAACTCATTCTGAAAAATTTTTCTTTCTTAGCTGAGCCTGATCCTTTTATGTTTAATTATACATACTAAATCATATACACCAGGAGGCATAATCGTTTCTCTTCCCATTTTATCGAACATCTAAAAATAGGCGTTAATTAGCACATTTTATTTTTTCTAAATAAATTACCTCAAATAAATCACAGACTGGAACTGACGCATCTGATTTATGCTTTTCACGGACAAATGATGCAGTTAATGCGTGACATTTTCCATCAATTGCTTTTCCTTCGACAGCTTTTAGTACCTAAAGTAACAACATTACATGGAATTTCATAATTTATTTATATAGATTAATCTTGATTAATCATCATACGCTTTCATTGATGCACATGTTTTTACGAGAGCTCAGGCAGAGTCCAAGAATATTAGCACATTGTTTAGTTTCTTCTTCAATATATGCAACGAGACGTTTTAATTCTCCCACTACTTTTTCTATTTCAGGAACAGTACGAGAGCAATATATCAATTTAGTGATGACACCTGGGTGTTGCTATTAAAAGATATGATTTTAATTTAAATTAGTGACAAAATAAATGTGTTAGTACTTTCATATACGCCACAATTAAAGATAATAGCGTGACTGTCTTTCCTGTTCCAGAAGGCATCTCGAGTGCACAGTGGCCCTAAAAGTTTTCAAGATCAATTTTGTATCATTACGTCTTTCAATTAAAGTGAATTACCTGAGCATCCAGGGACCTCTTGAGTTCAAGCATATAAGCATACTGCTCGGGATAAATATATTCGTAAGGAAAGTAAACCAACAGGCCATCAACGTTTATTCTACAGTACGAAAATTAAGACTAGTACGAAATCATAAGAGAAATGGGTATATTTTTGTTCACTTAATTAAATTGTGTATCATCAATAAACCAGTAGATAATTTTATAAACTAACTTCATCGTGAGGTTTAAAGAGGGACTCTAAACAACGATGATTTGGAAAAATTCCTAAAACTAAAATGAATCGCCCGGCATTTATTCAAAGAAACTGGTATGACTGACTTTATTGAATGCAGAGGGCGTTAGCTGTAGAATCGGCTGGAATCGATGTTGAACATGTAACCATACCAGAAACTTAATAGGATCTAGAACTGGACTCGAATATATACATATTAATAACTTTCTTCTGCCCCCATTGAATTCAAGTTCATAATATCGCTCACTTAGAAAATTTATTTACAACTGGTTGTTTATCCATGAAGATTTGTAGTAAACATTACTGAAGGGAAGCTATATTTTCCTCTTTCAAGAACGAACTTGACATTCTGCTTACATGACTCTATACGAAAGTACGGATAAAATACTTCGTGAAAATCGATAAAAGAATCTGAAATCTTTTTTATATTATCAGATTTATAATACAAAATTATAGCAAATTAGATAGGATGTCTTGGGCAAATGAGTTACCCGAAGAATTGTTGATCCGACCGGTTGGATTGGTTATATTAGCTAATTTAGATATAGCCAATAACTCCATCCATAAAAGCATATGGGAGTCTTTCAGCTCTAATAGAAGGCCTGACAGAGTTGCTTTACATTTCAAACATTTTGATACAGAACATGTATACCCTAAGTGTAAATCGAAGGTAAAGATTTATTTTTAAACTCTTCATTGATACTCTATACCACGATGACAATTTAGAGAGCTTCCTATGAATGGTACATTCCGAAAGGCATCGTGAAAAGACAATGGATGAAAAAACACCTAGAGCTTGTTCCATCTTTAGTCGTTATTTTTTTTGATTTAGATTGGGACGAAGTTATGTGGAAGGAAAAACAAATTGCATGCTCATCAAAAGTAGAAACTATTAGGTTTGTTTTAATTACAGTGTAATATCTGGTTATTGATTATTGGATTCAATTTTTTCAGAAATAGTCTTACTGGAAGAACTACTAAGGTTGCAGTTGTATTAATTCAAAAGAATGCTCCGCTACCTCCAGGAGATGATGTTGTCGCAGCAGATAGAGCAGCTGCTTTATGCAATGCCTGTGAATTGAGCTCTAAATCTTTATTTGTTCTTCCACATTCAGATCAGCTCCTCGGATACACTATACGTTTAGAGAATGCTTTCTATGAGTTATCTCAGTCATACTATCATTCCCAAGCAAGAAAAGTAAAAAGTCATAAGGAATTGCTTAACAAAACAAATCATCAATTGCTCTTTGTACGTCATCAGTTTAAAATTGCTTTTTATAATGAACTGAAACAAGACAGTACGAACTCTTTAAAGTAAGCAGTACACCAGCCAACACTTTTTGCAAATTCAGTTATAGCTGTTATATTATTCCAGGCACTACAAGCAAGCTTACATAAACATCTTGGACGTGAGAATACATGACACAAATGTTTTAGAAGTTAAAACTATTGCTGGATTTATCAATTACAAGATTTGTTTGCTATCCTTTCATTTGGGTGCACCGTTAGATGCAATTCAGCAATTTAGGAAACATGTTGATTTTTATAAATCCCTTGTTTGTCCTGTAGCTGTAGATTTTGAACATAGCGCTTGGATGTCTAGACAGTAAGAGATGCATGCTTTTAATTTAACATACTAATCTTTATAATCTACTAAAGATTTCAAATATTTGGAGACCTTTTCGACGATGCGACTAAAAATGGTTTGGCAGCCATTCAGACACAGCATCCAGGGTTCTATTATCAGCAGGCGGCTAATCATGCAATTACTAGAAAAAAGAGAGCACTAGAACGTGGAAAAGCACAAATTGATAAACCAAATATGAACCTGCTTGATAAATTAAAAAGCTTAGACTACTATGGTCAACGACCTTGGCGGCAGGGCCATCAAAGCATAGAACCACCAGATGCAACTAAAGAAAGAGAAGGTATGGCAAGTTTATTAGAAGTCGAGAAAAGTGAAGATCACTCTGTAAGTAGATTATAATTATAGCCTCATAATACAATGTTTTATTTTATTTTTACTTATGCAGAGATTGATAATACCATTATTGAGCAGTGCAGTTGCTCAATTTAAAAAATATAGATCATCAAGAATGAAACGTTTTTTAAGTAAGAGTTTTTTAATTTAGAATGTACAAGGCAATAAAAAATCTCACCAATTTTTTTAATAACTAATTAGTGGTTCAAATGGGAGAGGAATATTTATACGTCAAAGATTATGACAAAGCATTAGCGTAAGTATTTTATCTCCTATCCGATCATATATTCCATTAGCATTTTGTTTCTTTCATAGCCTGCTATCTCGTGTTACATGGGAATATAGAAACGAAAGATGGTGGAATTTATTAACATCAGTTCTGACTCAAGCTTTATGGTATAAAATTATGAACATTTAAGAAATAATATTAAATAGATTATATAAATTTTTAGTTCTGCTTTTATGACTTTCCGAGTTCAGGATTACTTATCATTAGCTTTTGAATATATTGGAAAAGGTATATTTTTAGTATTTAAGGATAAATATCTTATTAATTGCAGAAAAATTTTCATTTCATAGTTAGTTGCTGCTCTAACGACGATAAAACCAGAGTACATCACAACATAAATAATATCTTATCGGTATTAAAGATTAAATTGTTCTAAATGAAAAAAATTCTATATTCTGTAATTTTAGGGTAAACCTCCGAACCCTGAACCAAATATTTCGGAAGAGGATGCATTGAAAGCCAAAGAAGGATGGCTAAAACTTGTTCAACAGGATACAGAGCAATCCAGTAATAATGAAGTATCTGTTCAGATGCATAATCTTATGACATTTATTGAATTGAAAACCTGCTTTACAAAAAAGTTTTAATTTTTCTTTTATGACTTTTAACTCAAGAAATTTACTACTTTTTGTATTTGCTTTCCAAATAGATCATTTAAAGGAGATGAAGAAGTTGGTCTTGCCATTCTTTTACAGACGTTTGCTCCTCTCCCAGTTAAATTTACTTCTTTAGCTGTTTCTTTTAACCATGAGGTAAGTTGAGTATTTCATATAGAATTTAATAAATTTAGAAATATTCAATATAGGAATACAATACAAATTGCCAAAGCGATGAAAATTTTGAATTAAAGTGCGGAGAGCAATATGTAAAAATATTCCATTTTCATACCCTACTTAAGCACGTCAATAACACACTACAAGTAATGGATGTTAAATTAACAATGGGCTCATCTCCAAATATTATTCTTAATCTCTCTTGGATAAATGGCGCTAGCCTGTTTCTACTACCTTTGGATAATTCACCTTTCGGAGCTCCTCTCCCTACAAATTGGGACAACGTTAATTTTGAATCTACACCCTGTATGAATGTTTGCAGTTTAAAGCGTCGCGAAGCTAAAGTCGAATTTAAAATTGATCACCAAACACCCTGCTTAGTCAATGAATTTTACCCTTTGGATGTCTCTATAATAAGCAATGAATCTGAAGCTATGTGCGATGTCAAGTAAGTTTATTAATTTATTAAATATCAGCTATTTTTCATTCTACTTTATATTCACAGGCTAAGTGCAGTTGTCAAAGAAGTTCAAGAAGGATCAAATTTAGTCAGTAAGTATATTAAACAACTAAATTTAACAGAGATTAGAAGTAAATTTATATTTATAACATAAAATAACATTAAGAAAATTTTATTTTCCCTTTGCTATTTTTGTGAAAAACTAAAATATACTCTTAAATAGCTGAAGATAAAGAAATTCAAAAAAATAAGTGTCACACTTTCAGTAAGTCTTGGGCAAGCTAGTAGTTAAAACTAATAGATTTTTTTATCATTACATAACTAAATAATACAAAGTGCTGCATTTTTTATAATTTTCAGTATAGTTACGTTTTTTTTTTATTTATATACATTTTCTTGTTTTTTGGCTGAACTAATGCTATAGTTTATATTAACATATTTAGTTTAGAAACGCTGATGGTAAAATATAATAATTATCATTTTTTTCCTTTTTTACCAGCTAATATCAGTATTGGAAAAGCCGAATTTTCAGAATCAAATGTCATTCGAAGAGTCTCCCAAGACGTTGGTACTATTGATATGAATAACAAGAAGACCGTCAGAGTTTTCATAAAATGCTTACAAAAAGGAAAGAGAAACGTAACACTTAAGTTGGCTTATTCAGTTAAGGCCAATCAAGTTCACGGAAGTAATGAAGGAAAATGCCTACATGATTGCCATCTTGAGAAAGTTATAGATATTGATGTTCATGATGCCATTAAAACAGAGTTTACTCTCATGGATATAAATGTAAGTATTGCTTACAATAGTTATCAGAAAGCTATTGATGTATATCTTCATTGTAAAGATGAGAAATATCAATGAAATTGAATCCAATGAAGACTTCTTAATATTAATTAATGTTGAAAATATTGCTTCTTTTCCTATTTGTCTTGTTAAAGCAAATTTAAACCTACGAGAAAACTTTGAGATACTTGAGGATTCGAATCAAGAAAACAGTAATTTATTATACGAACTTATATAATACACGATTTTATCATAACATATATTTAATAGCCCAGCTTATACACAAGGGAAAAGCAAGTTTTCTCTTTCTCATTTCGGCACCAAAACAACCTTTCCTCAACAGTAATTTAGATAGTGGAGAAATAGTTGTACTCTGGCGCCGAGCATCAACAGATGACGTTCCTCTAGTCACCAATACAAAGAGTTTACCTCCAATTAAAGTAATAAAATCACCAATTTTAATTGATATGAAAACTGAGGACCTAGGATACGAATATGTACCTTTGCCAATCACTTATGAAATACAAAATCGAACGGAATCGATCATTCAAGTTAATATGAATATTCGACCATCGGAAGGCTTTATCTTTACTGGCCCCAAACAGAAACTTGTTAGAATTTTGGCAAGAGGCGCGTTCTCCTTTCAACTTATTTGTATTCCATTATATTCTGGGAATTTACTCTCTCCTCAATTACAAGTTGAATTACCTTCTTCTAAATTTACTTCTACTTCTCATCATTTAGTGTCAATTTTGGTAAGTGTTTGTCTACTTTTATCATTTTTCTCAATGCAGGTTAATTTATGTTTGCTTTAATATTTCTTTTATATAGCCAAAAGCTCTTCATGAGAACTCCGTTTCAGAATAATTGAATTCCAAAGGTGCTCTGAACGATTTATAATTTACATCAGAGAACTTTCCTGTGGTTTTTTATTGCTAAAATATAATTTCAACTTAAAACTAACGGGTTTGACCTATTCAAGTTTAATGTATGGGTATTTATTTTCTGTGAGAACTAATATTTCCTCAAATCTTCCATATGAATGTATTGAATTTAGTAATATTAATATAAAAATAAGGTAATATTTATGCAGCTATTTACATTATATTTTATTTCTTTTATTTAATCTTAATGAAGTTTGAGTGACAATATAGTCGACATCTGATAGCACTTGTTAATATATTATAAAAATACCAATATAACATTCAATTATTTCTCAATAAACTAAGAGCAAGTTCTTCTTGATCTGAAACATCAAGACCAATTGAGTCTTCCTCATCGCGTTCACTTTCTGATTCATTAGAATAGTCACTCTCTTCAACCTGCATATCATCTTCAGATTCTTCCTTTTTACCATAACATTCATCAGGGTCAGGTAAATCATCAGGGTTGAATTCTCCTGTATATGATATTTCATCATTATCTTCCTCCTGTGGCTTTTGCTGTTTAAGTCGTCTCTGACGTTCTTTTTCCTTCTTCTCTATTTTCTGTTTGCGAATTCTATCCTTATATAATTGCTTGTCACTTGGATCAACTTGCTTCATATATTCTTTTGCTTCTTCAATATCAATACCACTTTTTGTGTCCCTTTCCTCATCTGTTGGAATTTTAATTTCTGTATCATCTTCCTTATCGAACATAACATGAGAATTTGGCTTAATCTTCTTTCGTAAGATTTTCTTTGCGGTAGTATATTTTGTGATAACTTTAATTTTCTTTTTCTTTAATTCATCTTCAGAATCTTCATCTGAATCACTGTTTCCTAATTTTTCATCAACTTCTTTCTTTTTATTACCAGTAGCTTTTTTCTTGATCATAAGTACATCTTCATCGCTCTCGTCATCATCAGAACTAGCTAACTTTATTTTTTTCGTCAAACAATCATCGCTTTCGTCGTCGTTATTTTCACCATTTATGTCTTCTTCATCTATTGTTATAGCGGGACTTTTCTTCTGACCCTTTTGTAAAAATCTAAGTCTGGGGGTCACAACAAGACCAAGAGATTTTGCAAATTTCGGAAGGTCAATATTTTCTACTTTAAATATTTTCTTATTTTTCATTAAATACACGGATCTAATGTAAGATGAAAAAGCTCTTTGAGCAAATTCCTTGAACTCTAAGTCCTGAGCACAAAATGCTTGTACCTTCCCCTCGATTGGACGAAGTTTCTTTTGACTAAATTTAACTTCCTCGATGGGAATGCGTTTTTGTTTTAAATCCTCCAACATGCCATCTTTTTCAGAAGGAGTGAGGAAAATAACCGCTTCTCCATCATCCTCCAGACGCGCTGTCCGTCCTACTCTATGAATATATGTTGCAGTATCTTCCGGACAATCCACTTGTACTACCCAAGCTATTTCAGGAAAATCTAAACCTCTACTAGCCAGATCAGTAGCAAATAGTACAGCACTGTCCTTCTCACAAAATTCTGAGTAAACATTCATTCGTTTCTGCTGTTGCATTGCTCCATGGAGACACATAACAGTTGTTCCAGGTCGTAGACGACGAAACATTTCATACGTAAAGCGAACTTGTTTGCAGGCGCTTAAGAAGACGATAATTTTTTGTTTCAAATTACTTTTTATAAATGACCACAATACGGTTAATTTGTCGTGTAATTCAACAACGACATAAGATTGGCGAAGCTGGACTGGTGTAGATTGAGCAGAATGCTCATGAACAGACACCAAAACAGGTTTAGATAAACTTAATCTGGCTAAGTCCTTTACATTTTTTGTTTGAGTTGCGGAGAAGAGGAGGGTTTGTCTATTAGGTAAATTTTCCAAAATAGCATTTACAGTAGTTTGAAATCCTAAATCTAAAATCTTATCGGCTTCGTCCAAAACCAGCATAAGAAGGTTATCAGCATTAAATGCAAAAGTTTCATCCATATGTTGAAGTAATCTTCCAGGAGTACATATAACAATATTCGTGCGATTTATTCTGTCAGCCTCGTCCTTTACATTTTTACCTCCTATTACTAAACCTGCTGAGAAATCATGATACTTTCCAACCTTTCTAAGAACCTCGAAAGTTTGGTAAGCTAACTCTCTAGTTGGTGATATAATTAAAGCCCCTAGACCATCATGTGGCGACCACCTATTCCTCCACAATACTTCCAGTAAGGGAACTAAAAATGCAAGAGTTTTCCCACTCCCAGTTTTAGCAGCCCCCAATATGTCATGACCCTGTAGAGCTCTACCAATAGATTCAGTCTGAATTTCTGTAGGTTTTACAAAATTGTTCTCCTTGAGAGCCTTGTGCGTTTTTTTGGATAGTGGAAACTCTGAAAATCTCTCAAAAGACTTATCATCAAAGGACGAATATTTCTCAACTATTTCTCCAATTTCTTTTGATTCAATTTTGTATCTACCATCTTTTTTCTTAAAATTCGGCTTGTTTGATTTCAATTTCCTCTTTTTCGCTACTGGTACGCCAAATCGAGACATGCCTTCTTGAGCGATATTAAATGAAAACAATGAAAGAATATTTGTAGAATATTTCAGCAGCGCCCTCTTTTGCTATAATATTATTTGTAATTTTATTAACAAAAGAAATATATTGAGAGATATTTTTTAATGTACAATTTTAAATATGCTAAAAAGACCAAACGTTTAAATATATAAGAATTTTAAAGCATTAAATATGGTTCTTGTTATTTGTATCAAAAACTTGAAAAAAGTATTAAACAACTTAAAGGAAAACTGACTATAGTGGCAGATTGTAGAACTAGTTTTCTACAAATATTATAAAGGTAGTTTCTTAAACATATATTTATATGAAAAAGCATTTTTTTATTAACTGATTACGTGTTAGAAAAACATGTTTAGAAAAATAATTCACTAAAACTCTTTAAAATGTAATAGACAATAATACTTCCAATATATTTCCATATGGAAATATTCTTGCTGTTAATTCAAGAAAATCATTTTTTAAAAGTTTTGATAAAAGTTGTTTCGTATATGAGATGCGCATGCGCAATTAAATAGTTAAAATTTTAAATACTCACTTCTTAAGTTGTTATTCATTTACAAGGCAAAATTTGATTGACTTTCAGTTCTTTTATAGAAATATCTATCCATTTGGAACGAAAGTAGCATATTTTTTATTGAACCGCTAAAGACTGTGCTAAAATTCAAAAATTCAAACTGTGTATTGCTTAGTTTACCTTAATCGTTTGTCTACAATTGAAGATTTGAAAAAATATGGACTTAGAAGAATCAATTGAGAATTTCAAAGACTGTTTTAGGAAATTAGTAAAAGAGAAAGACGAGACTTGCCATTATGAAGTAAGTATGCCTGAGTTTCATCCAGATCTTTAATTTCGGGTACTTTATTTTTGTACTTTATAACCTTCAGAAATATCGTTTTGAATTAGTGAAAAACGTTTTCCCGCAAGCATTTTTGACAGAAGAGGAAAAAGAAAATAATATTTTTGTATTGGTATTCTCGGTTAGTTTTAAAATTTTAAATTAATCAATATGTAGCTTTCGGTCTAAAATTGCCCCTTGCTCTTGAAAGGAAAAAACTGAAAAAATTGACGATGTAAAAGTTAACATAATACAAGATGATGGCGATGATAATTCTCCATTACGTATGGCAAAATTCAAAGCTGAAAATTCAAACGACTGCAAAAAAATTCTCGATTTCAAATATGAGCCAATATCTCATGGAGAGGCAAGGTATGATCAATCACACATTGTTATTATTTATACCATTTGAAAATAATCTTTCTAGGAGACTTATCTCTCTCTTTGCTATGGCTGATATCAAAGAAAATTGTTATTTTTGTGTGGCTGTCGATCCGCAAAGTGATAGTCAGCATCGTTCCCTATTGGCTTTGAAATGTAATGAGCTACAAGAGAAGCGATCAGTAAGAGTCTCCGTAACAGGTTTGTGTGTTATCATTTAACAATATACTAGAACTTGAATTTTTACAACACTATGTAGGACCTCTCCCTGTCAGCGAAGTTACCAATTGCCATCTTATTTCTAAATTCTGGAACAGCTTTAAGGTAGTTTAAATGGCAAAGTACGAATAAAGTACATTAACCTCATTCTAACATGCCAGGGTAAAAAATTTTCTTGTTGGGCATCTTTCGATATATTAGATGGTGAATGTGCTGAGAGTATGCTCACTGTTGAAGCTTCTTGGGTTGGTCTTGTTCCAGTTTTATCGTGTCCTAAGAATGCTAAAGTTATTGTGGTAAGTATCAAAAAGATTCTATGGTTAAACTTAAAGAGTCAACAACTGATTATGTATTTCTATAGGAAGTAAAACCTGTCATCAATAAACCAGCCAGTCGTCTTTATAAACTATATAAGGAAATTGAAATATTGAAGGTTTAATTAGTGCTATTTTTATTTGTACTCATATAAATAATCTATCATTATAGGATCTTGTCAACGGTTTGAAAACTAAGTTAATTAAATGGAACACAAATTCCGTATCGGACTTAACCATCACCGAACGGCTGGAAGACCTCCTAAAACGCTATTCAAAAGATAAAGTTCCCATTCGAATAGAAAGAGAATCTAGAAACAATAAAGCAGATGCTGATAATTTGTTTGTTATTGATGACAGGCAGGATTTGGATATTTGCGATGAATTATGGCTTATTCTGAAAGGTTATCTACAATACTTTCAACACTACTGTTAAAATCTTTTGCTTATACTATGCCTATAATCTTTCAGATTGCACGTGTATGAATGATCTTAAACAATCCTTTTCAAGGATTTTTGATGCTTTGGAAAGAGAAAGAATTCAACCTCACGTTTGTTTTTTATATCCATTATAAAATTGTAACATTTTCTTAGCTGATTTTATATATATATAATAATGTATTTAGGTTTGGAAGAGAAATTCGTCAAGATTAGCACAAATGATCAGAGATTCTTATGAAAATAACTTTTCATATGCTGAAACCCAACATAACTTTGATCTCATTAGGATGCTTATAGAGATTGGTCTAGAAAAACTAAATCGAGATTATATAGTTATTCTAATCGGTATTTAAAAAATATATTGTTAATGTTTGATAAACAAATTAATATATTTATTTTAATTTAAATAGGTAAACACTTAACGGCGGATATCTATTTGGAACCTTTTGTCAAGAAAAGTGGAAGCTATGAAAACCGAATTGAAAGGCTGTTTAAGCTACACGCAACTCTTCAAATTGTCATTCTTTTTGAACAATGGCTGGAAGCTTCTCCAGACGTTCTCTCAACTGTCACCAAGTAGGATGGATAAATTTTACAAATATAGTTACGATAATTAATTATTTCTTTTTGATACTTTTAGCAAATTACTTAAACAATATGAAAAAGAAAAGTTTGATCCAACTAGAGCCTTTAGATTGGGTATGTCCCTGAGTGGGCTACAGTTAAATTGTAAACCAGTTGTTTGGAAGGCTTCTTGTGAGGATTCGCTTACTCACTCTGTCTTATATGTTTCTCTTCGAGAACCGTTTGATCATGTTAAAAATGTTTCTTCTGATATAGAAACTTTATCTTATTATATCACAAGTTCGAAAACTACTCTGTTCAAAAATATATGACCCTTATCAGTGTTATATCACATGATATCTGATCATGTGAGGATCACGTGGTACCACATGAATTACGCCTCTTTAGTTAAAATACACTTTTAGACATGAAATGTAGCATTATGTTTCTAGTACTATTTTTAACTTTAATTTTAAGTAACTTTTCTTTTAGTTTGCAAGGTTTGTTGCGAAGTTATAACCTGATAATGCCACTGTATTGAGTTATTGTTGTTAGATTTTCCTGCACTGAATCATATCAGGTCCAAGGCAACAGAAGAAATTCAAGCAAAAGCAGCTTATGACTTGATTGAACGTCTTCTACCCGAAAGGGCTAATGAATTTGAAGTTATAATAGATAAGTCAATAGGAGAATTAGATAAGGACTCCTTCCAGGTAACATATACTTTTCGTCCCTTAGGATAGATAATAATTTATGTCAATAGTATGAAACAGTGAACGGCAAATTACAAATAAAAGGGACTAGTGGAGTAGCAGCTACATGGGGATTTCATTTTTTTTTAAAGCAAAATTGCAGTTGTCATATGTCTTGGGGAGGAGATCAATTAAATGTTCCCAACCCTTTACCTGCTATTACAAAAGCTGTGAAAGTTACATCAGCTGATCGATTTCGTTATTATCAAAACGTATGTACAGTTAGCTACTCTTTCGTTTGGTATGATTGGAAAAGATGGGAAAGAGAAATCGACTGGATGTCACTAAACGGAATTAACTTTCCGCTGGCTTTCAATGGCCAAGAGGAAATATGGAATAGGGTTAATATCGTTAATATGCTTTCATTTGTTAAATCTCTGAGAAATATTATTGAATTTTAGGTTTATTTAAAAATGGGTCTAACACAAGACGAAATCGATAAGCATTTCGGAGGACCGGCGTTTTTAGCTTGGTATTTTTCAGTTCAATTCATTTAAGATAGAATTAAACTATAACGAAATGTTTTAGGTCCAGAATGGGAAACATGAAAGGATGGGGTGGTCCTTTATCTAGACAGTGGCACGCTACTCAGGTATCCCTTCAACATCGCATTCTTAACCGAATGAGAAGTTTAGGTATGATACCTATTCTACCCGCCTTCGCCGGTCACGTTCCAGATTCTTTTACAAGGTTAAGTAAGCAAGAAGAGATTGAGGGAATTTTGTTCTTAACGTCACGTGATCTTTTAATAGGATTTATCCACATGCTAACGTCTCAAAATTATCGGATTGGGGTGGCTTTGACTCGAAATATTGTTGGTTAGAATATATATTCTTTATGTATATGACCTTTATACAAAATTTTGAAACAAATAATCTCTAAACTAGCGTATCGTTACTTGAACCGAAAGATCCTTTATTCATTAAAGTAGGACAAATGTTTTTAAACGAGGTTTGACTATTATAGATTAGTATTTTATTCATTTTACTTAGAAATAATTACTTTTCTTATAGTATATTAGAGAATTTGGAACTGACCATGTCTACAATACAGACACCTTTAATGAAATGACTCCTAGATCTGGGTTTGTATTCTTTTAAACAGAATTTGTCTTTTTGTCATTAGATAAAACTCTTTTCAGTGATTCTGCCTATTTGAGATCTGCAGGAAAAGCAGTTTTCAACGCAATGACCATTGCCGATCCTCAAGCTATATGGTATTTTATTCTTAATTGTTTGAATTTATAAAATAATGTGATTGAAATCTACAGGGTAATGCAAGGTTGGTTATTTATTAGTGGATGGTGGACCAATACTCGAGCGGAAGCACTCTTAACTTCGATACCTCAGGTGCTTGAACACAATTAATAGTTTAATAGAATAAAGTACTTAAGTTTTTAATTTCAGGGAAAAATGATTGTTCTTGATCTCCAATCTGAAATTACTCCTCAATTCTCTCGCCTTAAGTCCTATTATGGTCAACCTTATATATGGTGCATGCTCCACGATTTCGGCGGAACCGTATCGATGTATGGTGCCATTGAAAATATCAATAAAGTACAATTTTACTTTTTCGTTAACTCTTTCATACTCGGCAATAACGTTAAAAATCTTTAACAAAAGGGTCCACATAACGCAAGGGCAATGCCAGGCAGCACTATGATAGGAACTGGCTTAACGCCAGAAGGTATCTTTCAAAATGATGTTATCTATGAGTTTATGAACGAGAATAGTTGGAGAACATCCCCAAGGAATATTACTAAATGGATTACAAATTATGCAATCAGACGATACGGAAAGGAAAACAGAAATATTGATAAAGCCTGGCAAATTTTAAAGGTTCGTTGGCTAAGAAAATCAAATAAATTTATTTAATTAACTGTTTACAAAAAAAATATTCCAATTAAAGAGGTCAGTTTATAATTGCTCCGACAATCAAAAACATCATAATAAAGTTGTTGTTGTTCATCGACCAAATAAACATATTAAGGAAAAAGTAAGGCAATATCTGAAGTAGTATTTGCATGGGTAAAGATCAGATTTACATGTAATAGTCTTAATATCCTCTTTCCTTTCCTTATATGTTTGAAAAATTGACGTTTATATAGTTTGGATAGTTTGCAATTAATCAGTAATTTCCTCTTTATTTTTTTTTTTACACTTTCAAACTGAACTAAACAACTAAAGCTTTACTAATAATTATCTATTAGAGATCTATCTATAACGCTACTGGAGGAAAAGGTTTAGATGTTTTTTTCATTCGTCGGCCATCCTTAGACATCGTTGAAACTGTACGTTATCATTTATGAATAATTATTTGCCACAGCTTGCTTATTGTAACGGTTTTCAATTTTGACACTGATTATGTGTAAAAGTTTCTCAATAATCTTAAATTAATTATAATTTTATTACACAAAGAGTTTAATGCTTGCTTTTTATAATTTCTTTGTACTCTCATAGATATGCCTTTGAATTTACACATTAATAAGTAATTTGTATTTATTGATATATATGTTCATAGTTATGGTATAAACCAGAAGATGTTTATCAAGCATGGGATTTGTTTGTACAAGAATCCTCAAATTATGAAAATAACAACTTATTTCGGTAAATACCTATTCTCAAATGCAGTAACTTACATATGATATAATTATTGATCAACAGTTACGATCTGGTGGACGTAACACGGCAATCTCTTCAGTTGATAGCTTTAGATTCATACACAAAATTAATTAAAGCTTTCAATTCTAAAGATAAAGAAAAGACTAGGTTTGTTACATATTTTCTGCTGAAGAATAGATTTAATAGATAAAAATTATTCTGTAGAACTTATGGAAATTGTTTGGTTTCGCTATTAATGAACATGGACCAGCTCTTAGCTTCAGATAGTCACTTCTTACTGGGTAAATGGTTAGCCTCCGCTAAAAGAGCCGCAACAAATGATTTTGACCGAAAATTGTTCGAATATAATGCAAGAAATCAAATAACTCTTTGGGGACCTAAAGGAGAGGTTGAGTTTTTTGAATAATGCAGTATCCAATTTATAAACAAGGGAACATTTCATCTCTTTAGATTCTCGATTACGCTAGTAAACAATGGGCCGGTTTAATCAAAGAGTATGTAGAATTATTTTTAAGTTTGTTAATCTAAATAGCAAACTCCATGCGTATTTTATTTTTAACTCTCCAGCTACTACCTACCAAGATGGCAACTATTCGTTTATCAATTAATGCAATCTCTTGAGCAAGTTGGTATATTCATAGCTAAAATCTTATGTTTATATAATAAAAATCGATTTAATATTAGAGTAAAGCATTCGATCAGAATCTATTCAATTCTCAAGTTTTCAAGGAAGTGGAAGAACCTTTTACAAAATCAACATCCGTCTATCCAGAGACCGTTACGGGTAATGCTTATGCTATTGTGAAAAACTTGCATAGTTTATATCGCCCGACAACTAATCCTGTACCCGTTGTTGACAAGCTTAATCCAAGGAAATATGTCGGATTTAAAGAAATGCTACAGAAGGCATCGGACTTTAGTAATGACGTTTATATATCACATAAGAACTTATAGTTTTTAACATTAGTTTTAATATTTAATACAATACAGTGCAATTAAAAAAAATTAACAAATGATAAGTTCCTTTTCTAATGACGTCACTAAAAACCCTTTTGAAATATTAAAAACAAAATTTCTGACTAATCTAGTCATTTATAATATAAAATGACCAGCAGCGTTCCTCCTTCTCGGTATCAGACCCCACTTCCCCAACTTTTGGATGAAACAACTTGTAAACCTATTTTTAACACTCTCAAGTTACAGATGACGGAAGAGACAACTACATTACGTAGAGATTTGGAAGATATGAAAAGAGGATATCAATCAATGGACCTAAAGAGCAAGGGACAAAAGGAGGAACTAAGTGACTTAGGAAGTAGACTATGTCTTCTTCGTGGACGATGTCGAGTCAAATGCACTCAAATAAGTGAAAAGAGATCTATTTTACGCTCCCTACGATGGAGCATATTTGAATTACAGCAGGAAAATGACGCCTTAAAATCACAGCTTCTTACTCTGGAAAAACAAGGTATTAACATCGCCGATATTCGAAAGAGATATTGCAAAGAAGAACTTTAAAAACATACAAGAAATTGACATTTTCGTGCTATTTTTAACAAACATAAGCCATGAAATAACATAACATGTATTTGAATTGGTTCAATTTCTTTTTATGTATAAAATAGAACATGCTATTTTCTCGCTTTCGTGTTTAGAATATCAATATTTCTTATTATTCAGGTTCTTTTTGACTAGCTAGTAGTCAACCAATCAGCTTCCGACACGTCTGTGCTGCCATCTTTATGCCTATGCCACATTATTTGTCAACGTCCTAATAGACTTTGAAAGAATACAGTCTGGTCGACTCTGATTATAACGAATCTTGGATTATTCATTTTTCTACAAATACAGAAGAACTTAGCTTACTTGCTTTTCATATTTGACAGAAAACAGTTTTTTTTATCAACACAAGTGAAAAATAGGAGCAAATGAGCGATAATTGGAGCTAGTTTTGTCGTATCATCAGATGGCCGATCAAGAAAAAATGATCAATTGCCTGAAAGCTGATGAAGCTTGTCATATGACCAGTGATGATGTCTTACACTTAATGAGATCAGATATTCAACATGGTTTGAGTCATAACGATGCTGCTGTTCGGCAGCGAATCCATGGACTAAATGACTTCGAAATCAATGAAGATGAACCACTATGGAAAAAATACTTAAGTCAATTTAAAGATCCTCTAATAATGTTGCTTTTAGGTTCAGCTATCGTTAGTTTGTTTATGAGGCAATTTGATGATGCAATTAGTATTACTGTTGCAATTATTATTGTCGTTACTGTTGCTTTTGTTCAAGAGTATCGCTCTGAAAAGTCCTTGGAGGCTCTAACTAAACTTGTGCCTCCAAAATGCCACTGTCTCAGGAATGGAAAATATGAAACATTCCTTGCTCGAGAGCTTGTACCTGGTGATATTGTATCCTTATCTACTGGTGATCGAGTTCCTGCTGATATAAGAATATTCGAGGCTTTCGATCTGGCTATTGACGAATCCTCTTTCACTGGGGAAACTGAACCGGCCAGAAAATTAACAGAATCTCTGCGAGGGGAAAAAGCATTTAATGTAACTGATATGCAGAATATAGCTTTCATGGGTACATTAGTAAGATGTGGGAATGGAAAAGGGGTAGTCATTGGTACGGGTGATAATTCCGAATTTGGGGAAATATTTCGAATTATGAAGGCAGAAGAACCGCCGAAAACGCCATTACAAAAATCTATGAGTCTTTTGGGGAAACAGCTGTCGGCTTATTCTTTTATAGTAATTGGACTAATTATGGTAACTGGTTGGATTCAGGGACGTAAATTGCTAAAGATGTTTAATATAGGAGTTTCTTTGGCGGTTGCTGCAATTCCAGAAGGTCTTCCGATTGTTGTAACTGTGACATTGGCCATTGGTGTGATGAGAATGGCGAAAAAGAAAGCTATAGTAAAAAAATTGCCGATTGTAGAGACGCTCGGCTGTGTTAATGTGATTTGTTCCGATAAAACAGGAACGTTAACAAAGAATGAAATGACTGTTACAAGAATAGTGAGTTCAGATGGAGATGAAGCCGAGGTAAGGAATTTTTTTCTTTAAAAATCAATAATTTATTGATATTATTCCGCTGTTATTTTATTTCTAAAAGATTTCATAGAGAATTGTTCATAAACTCAAAACTATTATCGACTCTTTAAGTTCATTTGCTCTCAGTGTCATTAAAAATTTAATCTATAAATAGTAGTACTCGGAGTATACCAATGTGTACTTGATAAAAATTAATTCTATTTTCAAAAATAACTATTAAAAAAGAATTACAAATATCCTACTTAAGTATTTCCATATAACAATTTTGACTATTTTCTACCTTTTACATTAGCTTAAAGATATATCGGTAAGCAAGTTAATGTTGTTTCATTCACGCTTGATTTTATACAGTATACCATGTGGTATGTGGAGTCGTTATTTTCAAAAGCACATATGCATTATTATGATGTATACGATATTATATATATACATATATACATGTATATACATATATATTGTGTATATATTTATTGCATATAAATATGGTTCCAAATTTCAATTCGATTTCTTTGTCTTTTGTTGATGCAAAATCTGATAATTTTCTCCCAATATTGACAAAAAAAGACTTAAATATGACAACATGCCGGATATTTAAGATTTTAAATAAATGATTCTGATAATTTAACAGAAATATCTGCTAATCTTGTAATCTTTTTTTCATCATTTATATCTTTAAGTATGCTGATTCTCTATTTAAAAAAAAATTCTATTCGTATTTATGATACATTATAATTTCTAATTATTAATAATTCGGAGATGATAATATTAAAATTTCTTTACAGGCAACCGGATTAGGTTATAGTGGAACGGGACAAGTTGTATGTCGTGGTGAAACGGTCAACCCAGAAAATCATCCTTCACTTGTTAAAATTGTTGAAATTGGTGTCATTTGCAATAATGCTCAAATTGTTGATGGTGAACTTCATGGTCAGCCAACTGAGGGAGCTATTCTGGCAGCAGCAGTTAAAATGGATATGTATTCCATTCGAAATCAATATATTCGCCTTCAAGAATGGCCCTTTAATTCGGATACTAAGATGATGACTGTAAAAGCCGCTGTTCGTGGTAATGAAGATGCTCAGACTTATTTTGTGAAAGGAGCTGTTGAGAGAATACTGCAACATTGTACTAAATTTAATGAACGAGGAGTTCTTAGGCCATTAACAAATCAACAGTACAATTTGTTTGTGTCTCAGGCTAAAAATATGGGAAGGAGTGGCTTGAGAGTTTTAGCAACTGCCTACGGATCTTCAATGAGTGATTTAGCTTTTGTTGGCTTAATTGGAATGATTGATCCTCCCAGAGAGGGAGTTAAAGAAGCTATCACAATATTACAAGAAACTGGTGTTGAGATAAAGATGCTCACAGGCGACAGTGAAGAAACTGCTGTTTCAATTGCTAATCGTCTAGGTCTAAAGTCAAGGAGAACGCTATCTGGGGAGGAAGTTGACTCCTTAAGTTTTGAGGCACTTACAGCTTCGCTAATTGAATCTACTGTATTATATCGAGTTAGTCCAAGACATAAACATGTTATCATTAAGGCACTACAATCAACTGGCCAAATTGTCGGTATGACTGGGGATGGAGTAAATGATGCTGTTGCTCTGAAAAGTGCTGATATTGGGATAGCAATGGGCAGGAGTGGGACAGATGTTTCCAAGGAAGCAGCTGACGTGATTTTAGTTGATGATAATTTAAGAACAATGGAAGCAGCCATGGAAGAAGGAAAAGCCATATTTCATAATATAAGAAATTTTGTTAGATTTCAATTGTCAACTAGTATTGCAGCTTTAACATTAATTACCATTTCGACTTTTGCAAATTTGCCAAATCCTCTAAACGCCATGCAAATTTTATGGATAAACATTATTATGGATGGCCCCCCCGCCCAGTCTTTGGGTGTTGAGCCGGTGGATGATGATACAATCAAGCAACCACCGCGCAAAGCCACAGAATCAATTATAACTAGACCCTTAATGACAAATGTTCTACTCTCTGCGACTATTATTGTTAGTGGAACTCTCTGGGTGTTTTGGCGAGAAATGGCAGATAATAAAATTACTCCACGCGACACTACAATGACTTTTACTTGCTTTGTTCTATTCGATATGTTTAATGCTCTATCTTGTAGGTCTCAGAAAAAATCTATTTTGCAGCTGGGATTTACGACGAATCGAACTTTTTTATTGGCAGTCGGTGGTAGTTTGTTGGGACAGCTATTGGTCGTCTACTTTCCCCCTCTACAACGTACATTTCAAACTGAGGCACTATATATAACTGACTTTATCTTTTTGATAACCCTAACGTCATCGGTTTTTATTGTCTCTGAGGTCAAAAAATGGTTCGAGAGGGTTTATTCAGTTAAAAGAGACAGATTTGAGCGAATACCTTCTGATTACGTGTAGAATTGGCTGTGATATTAATTTCTATGTTATTAAATTTTATTTTTTCTTTTACATGTCGTCAATTGGACAAGTACTTTAAACTTGCAGCAAACAGAAATGTTATATCACAGAACTTTTAAATAATGTTAATTATAATCATAATAAATATGAAAGATCGGTTTCAACTATATATCAAATACACTGAGAACAAAGAGCAGTTTGTCCAGATATAAAATCTCTACATGGACAAAATCTCACAAGATCATGTTTAGCTCCTACACAACTGAATAATAACGGTGTTCTTTGTAAAATACAAACAGAGGAGGATGGTTGGAAGGCCGGATAAAAAATATCCTCTTCCCTCCTGACTGAACGACATGAGGTGCCCAATATATTTTTCAAAGATTGTTCTGTATTTAAACGCTCGAAATGGCTTGCTTCACATATCCTTTTATGTTTTCTGCAGACTTCAGAACAGCTCTGTCCCTTTTCACTCATTAACAATTGAACAGAAGAATCAGGTGGCCATCTTAACCGAGATGGCGAACAGAAATCTTGATGATTTAAGAAGGCAGATAGCCTTTCTATCATTCCTTCAGGTGTAAATTCTTTAGGAAGATAAGGGTACACCCTCTTCTCTTCGTGAGCCTTTAAAGCATTTTTTATAGTTAATTCTAACTCCTCTTTATTATCTATATCAACAGTAAAAACATGAGGTTCGCCTATAAATTCTTCAGCATAGGGATGTTGACTCGACAAAGCCCTAGAAGTAGGCTTTCCCTTAAAAAATGGTTTGTTTAAAGAGGAGTGAGGTGGATTAAACTTGGGTTGAATGAAGATTGCTCCAGCTGCTACGGCTTCCAGTGGATTTGGTCCCTCATATGGAAAGCCTAAGCCAACGAAGACCTTTGATCTTTGAAGGAGAGTCATTAAATCAGTAGCTTTAAGTAAACCATGATTTTGAACCCAACTTGGGATGATTTTTGAAGGTGGGTTAGGTACAAAAACAGTACCATGAACATCTAAATACTTTTTAAATACCTCAAGATATTTTTCTTTGGTACCCCAATAGTTTTCATGCTTGCCATATACTAATGCTATATTTTCTTTTTCAGGAATCGGAGTCGAAAAGACTGGCATATCAACAACAAATCCCATAAAGGAGTTATCGTCGGAATGGGGAAACATTGTAAAAAATTGTCTTGGATTGAGGTTATGCATAGCCCAGGCTGATTTGAATTGTCTATGACTTTTTGCATAACCCTCATGATTATAAGCTGGCTCTGTTCCAAAAGAATCGACAATTCGTAATTTACAACGAACCTGGCCGTAACCACCTTTAATAATTTTTTTCAGCTGTTTTAAGCCTGCTATATCGGTGTATATAATCTCTGCTTCATTTGATGATCTACCTGGCACAGGTGGACAACTAGAAGCATGACTCGTGCCACCTAACGCTCTCTGCAATTGATTTACTTCTGTAGTTATTTGGATATTGTGCCCCATAACATAAAGTGAACTTATAATATCTGCCCATTGGACTAATTCACCCAAAGGGCCCCCTTTGAATTGTAATTCAGCAATCTTGAAATTAGATTGCTTCGTCAGTAAGCCTAGATGGAGTAAGATTTTTAATCTTGGACCAACTTCAATGGTTCTATTATGAAAAGTATTAACAGCTTGTTGCCATTTAGACCACATTCCCTTAATACGCTGTTTTATCCAGCCAAGAGTTACCCTGGATCCCTTTTCTTGAAGGAGTTGCATTAATCCTTCCATATCTGGATTCCATTTTGCTTTATTTACATTTTGATTATCATCAGATTGAAATCTTTTTCTTCCCGGTAATAGAGGACAAAACCACTCTACTTCTGATAAATATTTTCGGAACGAACACATTGTACCATCTACGCCATGTTCTGAGTAACATTTATCACTTCTCCAATGAATTTTCATCCAAGAAATTTTCGCCTGACAATCAGGAAAGGATTGATCGTTTGGAGCATCACAAGAAGTTTCTGATACATCAGCATTGATATGATTGTCCTTCTTCTCAGTAACTGGTGCCTTGGTTGAAGTTGGTACTTCTTTCAATTTTTGTTCCAATTCATTTATTCGATTTAACAATCTATCCAATTGGGTTTCTATTAAACAATAGTAAAATTAATTGCCTCAATAAAAATATTATGATAACAAGTAAATAGATATACTAACTATTAACAATTATTGAACCTTTTGGCAGGACGATATTTTCCGTTTTATGATAAATCTTGTTGAATATTATAAAATGTATTTTAACTTATTATATTATTATTTGCTTGATATTTGTTTACAACTTACATCTTTTTCATATTTATTTACAGAATCTCCAACAGGAACCAGAACAAAGGCTGAGCATACCCAAAATACAACCAGCCCACAAATGCAAATTGAAAGCTTCCGAGATCTTAAAATTCTAATGCATAATCTCCGAAACAGGAGTATGCAATCCTCGTCTGAAGAAGTTGAATTTAGTCTTGTTCGAGTGATCATTTAGCAAAATGTGATTCTATAAAATATTATTATTTAATAGTATTATTTCGTATACCATTTTGTGAAAAATGTATTTTATCTAAATATAAAGCTAGTAATATATAAATAGAAATATGTAACAAAATGTGCTGTTACCGTAACAATTCGTCTAAAACCTTATCAGTCCTTTCGTGTCATTCTCCTTTCTTATACGATATTAATGTACTTATTGAAAATAATATACGTATATCTGTAAACAAGCATATTTATCAACATGTATGCATATACATATAACAAATATGTATATACTTAAATATATATGTTTAGACACATATAGGCCTTATTTCATATTATATCATAAGATAGAACTCATATTTTTAGAGCATTATTGTAAATCTGAGATCGTGGCCTTAAGAAAGGCTCATGCTCCGACAAACTTAATCAATGAGGTTTTTTTTATAAAAATTGTCGTATTAAATTTTTCTTATATTTTAAAATTATTCTAATTTTATTGCTTATTTTTTTATTTTAGTTATTCTGTTATTTTATTTATTATTTCTTAATTTACTTATTATTTTTATGTCAATTTACAACGAAAAATCGATTTTGGTATGACTAAAAGGCGAATTTAATGATAGGAGAATTATTTTGTTTAAATAAATTCGCTGTCATGCATATTGCTCAAAATAACAATGAACTGTTTTTCACTATATTGTAATTTATATATATAATGTTAAATTTAAAACACTTGCAACGATTTATTTTCAAGTTTTAAATATTATATTCTTTGATTAATAGGAAATATGAAACTATAAATCAGTAAAATAAATCTCTTTCATCTCTAGTTAACAAAAGGTATTTTTTTAAAAGAGGGCTATGTAGTTTAGCTAACAGCGATCTTGATCAAAATGCTTTTAGAATTGGTGAACAATTGCACATCGCGCCTCCACCATATATTTAGTAATACCTGTAAATTACGTCCATGTCTACAGATAAAAAGAATTCACATACTATTGCCACTCTATACTACCAACCGTCGTGAATTTCGAGATCGTTCAGAGAAAATAGCTTGGTTTTTATTTTTTATAACACATTCTATTATTTACTCTCAAAATTGAGCATTTTAATCGGAAAATATTCATAATTCTGCTAATAAACTCAACATGATTAAAATATCATATACGCATCTGAAATCTCTTTCACAAGAATAAGAAAATGTCGAATAGGTAAGAAGACGTGTATTATAGTTTTTGAAATTTACGTATATAGCTTTATTTTTGCCTCACAGATCGATTGTTGATCAAATTGAACTGCACCCGCCGTCTTGTCTAGATAAAAGTTGGCTGGTCGCCCGAAACCGAAATTTATGTTTACCAACAACATCGGCGAGCAATCTTAGTCAATCAACCGCTTCAAAGAGAAGTGGAAAATTGAGTAAGAAGGATCGTAAAATAAGCGAAAAGGTTATTTTTATATTCGAACCTAAAAACCAAAGTCAAAGTTTATACTAATATAATATTTCGTTATTGTCTTTTTATAGGTTAGGTTAGAAGCAGAATTAGTACAGTTAAGAGGTATGATAAAGGAGGAAAGAATCAATGTTGCTCGCTTGGAAGAACAAGTTGGAAGACTTTATTCACAAAGACGTCATCTATATCAAAAAGCAAAGTTTCTTCAAGACGAACTCAGTGCGAAGGAAAATCGTTTGCGTCACATGCAAGCTCTTTTATGCGAAGAACGAACAGAATCAGCAGAACGTCTAAGACAAGCTGAAGCCGAGAAAGCAGCTGTTATTCTCGATATCGAGCGGTCTCGTCACAAAAACGAAGCGCATATGGCGCAATTATCTACCGGCGTTATGTCAACATTGCTCGCCTATAGGACTTTAAGTGATGATTACAAGGTGCTGTTGGAACGGCTGGAAGAAGAAGAAAAGCTGAACCAAACACTAAAGAAATTATACATAAAGCAATTAGAAGACCAAACAATGTATAATTTGAGCCGCACAAATTCTATTGAATCTTTTACAGAGCAGACTGCACCCCGATTAGCTTGCGCAAGTGAAGTTGAGGACGACGCTGAAACCTGCCAATGCTCCTCTTCTCTTAAAAAATTAAAGAAAAATTTAAAAGACGACGAAGGTTATGGCTCACTCCTTGTTCAATTTGAACAAATGAAGAAAGCGACCAGTGATTCAATTCTACTCTCATCGTTAGAATCAAGTCCTCCGTCCCCAACAAATATGACACCTACGGATCGTTTCTCTTCTTTATAAGAATAAAAAATGTTTCCCTCGTGGTCGGATGGATGTCAAATTAGTATAGAACATACAAATGTGGTTGTTTTTTTTGTAAAGTTTGGCGTTATGATTGATGTGGTTGCCATAACCGAACATGGATAAATTGTACATAATTATAAATCAAATATGAATGTTAAAAATAAAAATTTATAGACACGGTTTTCATCAAATATTTAATTAACAAAATGTATTTGTTAGATGGCGCTAGTAGTTTCCGTTCATAATTTTCTTTGAAGAAAACACGCTCTTATAAGTAAAAAGTTGATTTTTGTAATAATAATAATAATAATAACAATAATAACAGTATCATTCAAGTTTTGTATTTTTCAATTGTAACATGAAAAAAAAGACTAAAATAGGTTTGACTCTGTTCTCCAATCTAAATGAGGTTTAGTTTTGGCTTGTAATTGAACATTGTTTTCAAATATTTTAACGAAAAAGAAATACAAAAAGTACAATAATATAGAATATATAAGTAGGATTTTATAAACAGAGACTAATCAGGAAAATTAATTATTTCGATTTTTCCTATCGATTTTCATTCTTTGCTTTCCTTAGAGGTGTATTAAAAAAAATCAATCCTAATTTTTGTTCAATATTTCATATGATTAAATGTACATAAGTTTTTTGCTTTTTTTTTACAAATGTTCTTTTCTTATTAACCTTATTATAGTCGTTCTGTTTCCAGTTTAAAAAAAAGTAAAAAGAGGGAAAGATAATAAAAGTAATAAACCTATATTTTTTAGTGTTTTTTCCCTCGATGTTCAAATACGACGTTGAAATTAAGAATTGGCAGCTATTCTAAAATGATATCATTAGCATAGAATTAACAAGAGTAATTAAAAAATGAATATAAACTGGTAACAAAATAGTCTGAAAAAAATGAATCAAGTAAATGTTCAAACCTATCTGATCGATTATCTTACAAATCATCAATCTTTTGCTTGTTTTTCTTTTTATCATTACATCAATTTTTCAGTTTTTGACGACTTCGTCGTAGATCTTAATACGTCTGATTTAATAAGACGTCCAAATAGAATTGTGTTCATTATTATCATAACAACGTTCGAAAAGAATATCGAAACGTAATAAACAGTAGATACTTTTTCTCTCCAGAGTAATAAGCCACCACATATATGAAATAGAATTCCAAATCTAAAAACGACAAATGTGCCAAGGTTCAACCAGCTGTTAATCCTATAGATTAATGAATTGAAGGGGACTTTTCCAAGTTGCATTAGCTTTCGACTATGTAGAAATGTACTATTGATTTCAACACTTAATACCAGTATGTTGTAGCCTATACATTTGCACGTAAATAGGTTATAGAAGAACATCAATGTTAAGATGGCATGGTGTATAATCAACTCCCAGTTTTTATACGCTTTTCCTGCCGAAATTAGATCATAAGCGTCGTGGATAAAATATCCCGTGGAAAATGTAACCAAAACATATGAATTGACAGAAAAATGGTCGATCGGATTAAAGAAGATTTGTGGCTCCCTTATTAAGCTGGAAAAAAAAGAAACACCTGAACGAGGTCAGTATGGCGTCGTTGTAAAATAAGACAGCGCAAGACAAAAAAGGCCGGTATTGAAGGTTTTACCACACAAAACTTACCAAATTATCGTCCATAGACCGGCAAAAGCAGCATGAAGAAATGATACAAATATGTTATTCCATTCCCATGTCTTACTTTTAGAGTTCGTTGATAATTGTTTGTGAACATACTGGAAGCAAAATAAACTGCAAATTACTCCAGTGAAGCAATATTTAATTGGAATAGGTTCTACAGGAGACTCTGTGCCACTCATTTCTTAATTAAATAAACGTTGAAAAATTCCGCTAATCTCTTTATGAAAGTAAAAAAAATGCCAAAAACTCAGTCTGCTCTGAAATATATATGGAGGTGTGGCATGGGCTGATATGCAGTGTAGGCCTTACCATAGATACGATCACGTGACAGATAACAATTTCCGGGCGGTGCGCTTCGATCAAATTTCGGTTTTTTTTTTTTAATTAAATTGTTTGTCAAATGCAATCATTCTCACGGATTGAGCATAGCGTTAAAATAGTTTATCCGAAGAAATTTTACCGGAGAGTAGCCAATCATGAGCGATTACCATCCTCACATAAGAATCCCCGTAAGGAAACCTTTAGCAGTTATTCCAAGACGGGTACCACATCTACCAGTAAGATTTAGTGCTAGACAAACTCCTGTTTATTCGAATGGTACTACTATGTCACTTAAAAGACCGCCAAGTCGACCGAAAGTAGAAGAGGAAAAAGTTGAAGTTAAAATATTGTCTAAAGAAGCGACGGAAAATAGAAAGAAAGAGAAGCGTAGGAAAAAAGTTAGAATGATTAAAACAATTACAATGATACTTGCTTGGATTTGTATGGTGAGCCTAATTTATCAATTAGTAATACGAAACTTCAGAATTTAATGCTATTTTTACTCGATTTTCAATTTTAATTCAACGCTGTTCTTTATTTATAGGGTTTGTTTTCAGAGATTTGTGCACCAGCCTTGCCCTACTTAAGAGCTAGAGTAAAAGCAAACTACGAAGAAATATCTAGGGTTCTTGTAGCTAGGGGCTTAGGCTTTCTTATAGGAGCACTAACAGGTGGAATAGTCTGCGAAGCATTCGCCAAGTACACAGATCTCGTTTTGGCCATTGCACTTGGTGTGGCTGGGATAGGTACTGCCATGGCTCCCCTTTGTACAAATTTACCAATGTTAGGAGCCATGTTTTCCCTCGACGGTTGCGGCAAAGGGGTACTAGCTTCCGGGGGCAATGGATTTATTATAAGATTATGGAAAGATAGGGCTGCAACTCCTACTTATTCTCTACATTTCGCTTTTGGGGTGGGGGCGCTGATCGCTCCCCAACTTGTTCGTCCATTTATTCTCGACCGTGAAAATCACGACATGTCCAATCAAACTGTAACGTCGAATGATGTTTCTGTAACTTTTGAGGATGGGTGGTCTGCTTCGCTGGAGTATCCATTCGCTATCGCCTCATGTTTAACATTTATTGTAGCTCTCATGTTTTTAACCTTTTTCCGAAAGTCAAGAAAAGATAGTGCTTGGAGAGCTGACGATTATGATTTACATAGAAACCAATTTACATTTGATAAGAATTGGTATAAGCCTAAAAGTTGGACTGAAGGAGATTTTCCTTTAGCTTGTATCATGCTAACTTTTCTTTTTACATTTTGTCCACTTCCTATTGGTGCTGAACGGGTCATAGGCAAGTTCTTATTTGCTTATGCCAGAGAAGTAACATCCTTCGAAATTGGAGAGGGTACACTTCTTGAAACGTGTTTCTGGGCTAGTTTCACGGCGGGTAGAGGTATATCTCTAGTCTTTTCAAGATGCATCCACTCGAGTTCTATTCTAACCTGGTGCCTTGGTTCTTGTATAATATGCTGTGCAATTCTTGTAGCCTATGCCTCTAGATTCAAAACAATTTTATGGATATTTTCTTGCCTTTTTGCAATGACTCTATCACCGATATTTCCGGCCTGGCTAAACTGGGCAAACTCAAAAATGAAAATAAACGTTTTAACAACATCTTTAACTTTTGTTGCATCGGCAGGTGGATCAATGGTTTTACCATGGATTGCTGGATACATCTATGCATACAAATCAAAAAAGGGACTAATGTCGCTTCTTCTATATTGCAGTATAATTGCCGCATTTGTTGCGGCGGTCGGTATGTTATCAGCTCAGTACAGATTAGCCAGATTAAGAAAGGCAAGAAAAGCTAGATTACAAAAGGCTGAAGTCACGGACAATATCAGAATTGATAACGCAGAAGAGAATGCAAGCGATATATGGAATGATATTGAACGTGATATAAGTAGAAGTCTTGATGAGACCAATCGGCAATTAAATATGCTTCCAACAGAAGAGAAAAATACTAGCTAGTTAATTTAAATATGCAAATAAGTATAAAAAAAACAAAATAGTTTATGATGATGGACATTTTTTTTTAAATTGTATTGATTGCCTTATTAGTTTAAAAATATAGTTATTACTTTTAAAACTTTAATGATTAAACGCAAACGTTAATTTCATTTTCTTTAATACTTATCAAAAAACAATTTGAAACGAACAACTAAACTGTAAGCATTATTCAATAGCTTTCAGTTTATAATCATTTTAAAGGAAGAAAAAGAAAGAGAAACTTTCTATTACACTAAATTGTGCTAACTGTTTATTAAACAATCAAAAATATATTATTGTTGATACGAAATCGTTAGATGTTCAATGAAAATTAAGTATTACTTGTCAATAAAACACTTTGTTCAAAACTTCTCTTAAATATTTGTTCAAAACAATATTATAATTTCGTAGACGACGTAATAAATCTTTTACTTTCTTAATAGAACCTTTTATAAATGTTTGTTATTGTTCAAAACATAAACGGGACAAAAATAGATATACTGATAGGATAAGAAAGATAAAGTTAAAATTTCGATCATAGTTCACATAAATCTATTCATAACAATAATAAATAAAAATCAGGATTATGAATAAAGCAATAACATTTATTTGTTTCGTGGTGTAAAACGCATCTTATAGGGTTTGTGACTGAGAGCCAAACCGAATCGCATCTGCTTCGAGTCCCATTCAACTGTTTTACCATCTTCCGGGTTAAATTCAAATCTTTGTAACATCGAACAAAGAAACAAGAATAATCGATTATTTGCAAGATTTTTACCTACACATACTCTCCTACCCGTTCCGAATGGAAGAAGACTGTGGTTAAAAGTACTCGTCAACAATAGTTCAATATTATAGATTTTACTTATTTCGCTTACCATTTTCTGAATCGATGTTCCGCTGTTAGAACACGATCATTATCATCCAAAAATCTTTCGGGTCGGAAATTTTCAGGATCTCCCCAAATAGTTTCATCATGATGAAGACCCCAAATGTTTAGCCATATTTGACTCCCCTTCTTTATATTATAACCTCCAATTGTCGAATTTCTAACAGCTATATGTGGTATATTAAAAGGTACAACAGTTAGAAAACGATGAGCCTCCAATATTGTAGCTTCTGTGTATGGCATATTAGCTTTATCATCGAGTGATGGAAGACGGTTAAAACCAAAAGTCCATACAATGTCGAAGAAGTTGTAATGAAACCAGCAACAATTAGGCCAATTGTAATACCATAAAGATGTTTGAAATCATAATCTATATTTGATTGATTCATATAATGCCAAAGTTGATCAGTAGTAGTTTTTATATCATGAGGATCAAAATTGTCTATTGCCTCTCTAACAACAGGTATTAGTAGCTTATCTCGTATTGTTGCACAAGTCACCAATTTTTTATAAGTCTTATTACCGAAATATTTTAGCCAAGGAAAAGCTTCTAAAATTGTAGTAGAAGGTGCAAGAACTAGTCTGAAAATTTCTTCATATGTAGCAACAAATTTCACCATAACAGAAGATTCAATTCTCCTATTTAGGGTCATAGATATGATTATATTACCAAATAGAATTTTTAGTTTATCGCTAATATCTACTGGTTTGGATTGTGTAGATTGTATGTATTCTAAAAATTCACCAATTATTTCGGAAAGATGTCCTCTACTTTTTTCATTCCCTCCGATTAGGTTTTAAGAGATCTAAGTGTCATCTTCTTTGATTCTCTATAGTTTTCACTATCATTCATTACAGCGAGGTCGTCTGCTCCATTCAATACAGCTTCGAACCTTACACTATGGAGTCTATTTGCGAAATCGTCTTGTTTATTAATGTGTACATCATAGATATTCTTTTCTCCGGAAACAAGTATGATATCTTCTGTCATTAGAGACACTTTACAAACATTACCGTATTTTTTTGCATAATCGATAAGATTAAGATGAGGTGTTTCTTTATCAAGCCATGGAACAATTCCTAAAAATGGATACCCTCTTGGTCCAGGAAGTGAATATCTGTCTTTGAAGAAAATATAATATCCTCCAATCAATAACAAACTTCCACCAGTGACGATCTTCCATGTTGGTATATCTTCCACCCATTCATTTACCTGGGTTGATAAGTTATTATACATATTAGTATATCCCAGCAAACCCATAGTGTCTATTTATCTTAAAAAAATTTTTAAATCGAGCTAAGTAAAATTGTCTGTTGCACCAGTTTTTAAAATCACGAGCTACAAGCGCACTAACGTTTCATTAAACCACTAAAAATCTCAGCTATACTATTCAGCCTAATATCAGAAATATTAGACCGAAAGTTACTTCTCATTCTTCTATTAAAACCATTTTTAGAGCATAGAACAACTACAAATGACTATCATATGATAAGAATTAATTTATTACTAAAAACCGTCACCTAATCAACAACAATTAATTATTTCTTGATGTAAAACACATCTTGTACGGTTTGTGAGTGAGAAGCAAACCGAATCGCATCTGCTTTGAGTCCCATTCAACTGTTTTACCATCTTCCGGGTTAACTTCAAATCTTTGTAACATCGAACAAAGAAACAAGAATAATCGATTATTTGCAAGATTTTTACCTACACATACTCTCCTACCCGCTCCGAATGGAAGAAGACTGTGCTTAAAAGTACTCGTCAACAATAGTTCAATATTATAGATTTTACTTATTTCGCTTACCATTTTCTGAATCGATGTTCCGCTGTTAGAACACGACCATTATCATCCAAAAATCTTTCGGGTCGGAAATTTTCAGGATCTCCCCAAATCGTTTCATCATGATGAAGACCCCAAATATTTGGCCATATTTGACTTCCCTTCTTTATATTATAACCTCCAATTGTCGAATCTCTTACAGCTATATGTGGTAAACTAAAAGGTACAACAGATAGATAGCGATGAGCCTCCAATATTGTGGCTTCCGTGTATGGCATATTAGCTTTATCATCGAGTGATGGAAGACGATTAAAACCAATATTATGTTCAATTTCTTGGAGAATCTTCTGTTCAATATGTCTATGTGACATTAGAATTGGAAAAAGTCCATACAATGTCGAGGAAGTTGTAATGAAACCGGCAACAATCAAATTATAAGAAATACCATAAAGATCTTTAAAATCATAATCTATATTTGATTGATTCATATAATGCCAAAGTTGATCAGTAGTAGTTTTTATATCATGAGGATCAAAATTGTCTATTGCCTCTCTAACAATAGGTTCTATTAGATTATCTCGTCTTTTTGCGCAATTTACCAACTTTTTATAGGACTTATTACCACAGCTTCTAAGCCAAGGAAATACCTCTAAAATTGCAGTTGAGGGAGATTGAAGTATTATAAGAATTTCGTCATATGCAGCTACAAATTTCTCCATAACAGAATTTTCAATTCTCCTATTTAGGGTCATAGATGTGATTATACTACCAAATAGAACTTTTAATCTATTACTAATATCTACTGGTTTGGATTGTGTAGATTGTATGTATTCTAAAAATTCACCTATTATTTCGGAAGAGATGTCCTCTACTTTTTTCATTCCCTCCGAATAGGTTTTAAGAGATCTAAGAGTCATCTTCTTTGAATCTCTAAATAATTGATGGTCATTCATAAAAGTGAGATCTTGAAAGCCATTTTTTAAAGCCTTAAATCTTACACTATGGAGTCTATTTGAGAAGTCGTCTTGTTTGTTAATGTACATATCGTATATATTCTTTTCTCCAGAAACGAAAATTATATCATTCAACATAATGGGTATTTTACAAACATCCCCATATTCTTTGGTATAATCTATAAGATTTAAATGAGGCGTTTCTTTGTCAAGCCATGGAGTAATTCCTAAAAAAGGAAATCCTCTTGGTCCTGGAAGTGAATTTCTGTCCTTTAGGAAAATATAGTATCCTCCCACCAATAGTAGACCTCCACCAGTGACGATCTTCCATGTCAGTGTATCTTTAGCCAATTCTGTTAACTTATTGGTTACATTGCTATAAGTAATGAAATTTACCGACGTAGCCATGTATTTTGATGTGGACTTTAAAGAAAAACTGTTATCAACACAGTATAAATTAAGTGCGTTATATTGTTGAATAGGAGTATTTGTTTATTATTAATTTATCTAAAGTTTGAAGTATTGTTATCAAGCATGCATGTTTCAAAGCACACTTTTTAGATATACACTGATATTTGGTCTATATGAAAGAAATAATTATATTGAAGATATACTAATATTTATACAGTATATGTAACGATGTTTATGTACATTATTCGAAAAGCTAAAATAACTATGAAATCATTTGTGTTATTGCAAACAATTGTCAGCATTGACATGAATGACAATTCTGTCATTTTGAAATATAAATCGTTTTTTGGAAAGAAATTTCGTCGAAACCCTATTAATAATGTAGAAGGTATATTCTTCTTTATTCAGAATAACACTATCAATTATCTATATCATAAAGTCAACTGGAACATAGAGAGAGAGAGAGAGAGAGAGAGAGTTCAAATTTCAAGTATATTTAAAAAAAGACATTCTAAGTTGTTTTATAATAGAATACTTAATAAGTATATCTAAATATATAATACAATATATGTTATAACTAATTCACTCTTTTTTAAGATAGAATGATAAGATATGCAAAAAATGTTTTTTTCATTCCAACAAGGTTATTCCAAATAAAAGGTTTAGATATTAATCTAGATAATTTTCAAGCTTTCTTTAGGGTAAAAGTCGATGATAGAATATACCTTTCAATCTCTAAACAGCAGTCTTTATTCGTTTCTGCTATATTAAAGGTTAAATCATTTATATTCTGCTTTAGCCCAGAACATAATTTAACCTCAGACAGATCGCCTGATATGATATTACATGGAATTACAATTTATTGAGTTTCTTCAAATTATACCCAGTTAACTTTCAGGTTAATTGTCTATTCAAAGGTTATTTATCTTCCGTAGAATACTACTCTTTAATGCTCATAGTTTATATTACTGAAAATATGAAAAGATTTCATAAGGAAATGCTGATGTAACGTGTATATTAAGTATTACAATGTTGTTTTAAAGAAAGAAACGTATTTCTATTTTGCATTATTTTCACTGGTTTGAAGAGAAAGAAAACTTTAATCAGTAATCTAACAGTCTTTAATATTATTAAACATTATTCAAACTATGACAATAAGAGATCAATTTTAAAATTATAAAAAAATAACATTTTTCACCCTACTAAGGTGAATATTTCAGAGTTGTTACCTTTCTAATAACCAAAGCAAAAAAATCATTAATTTATATATGACTTTTATTAAGGTAACAGTATAAAGTAAAATAGAAATAATATGTTATTTCAAATGTATTTAACAGATGAACAATCAACCTTTCAGTAAATTTAATAATTTTGAAAAAAATTAGGCTTACGATAAGAAATATATCATAAATTTCTTAGAAAAAAGACTGTAATTGATTACTTTTCTAATAAACATGCCATTCTTATTAAATTTCTCTTGGCTTTTAATTAAGTAATCCAAAACGTGTAGGTTTTGTTTTCTAAGCAAATCGTTATATATATAATAATCTTAGCATACTTTATAAAAACATGTATAGATTATGTTAGTATAACAATTAAAAGAGGACTTATTAAAAATAGATTATAAAGGATTCACGAATTAGATAATTGGCATGTCCTTTATCTTCCAATATATATTTAACTTTTCAATGTATGAGAAAAACAATAGCAGATCAATACAATATCTTCTTCTCAATCCGTTATTAAAAAAAACAATTCACTTTATCACTTCAAATTAACTGCTTGCCATAAAATTGAAAATTATGCCGATTAACACTCACATTACTTTCCTTTTACAAAAGTCTATTAATAGATAATACATTTAGAAATGTATCCTGATATTTTATTCATTTCGAAACAAATATAGCTAAAAGCTTGAAATCATACAAAAAGTCAAGGAAATATTCATTTTTTTAAAATAGTATTCAAGCATTCCATTTAAAAGAATTTGCTATAATAACATTTTAAACTTTTCACTGAAAATTTAAAATTAATCAATTTTCTCTTGGTGTAAAACACATCTTATAGGGTTTGTGACTGAGAAGTACACCGAATTGCATCTGCTTAAAGTCCCATTCAACTGTTTTACCATCTTCCGGGTTAAATTCAAATCTTTGTAACATCGAACAAAGAAACAAGAATAATCGATTATTTGCAAGATTTTTACCTACACATACTCTCCTACCCGCTCCGAATGGAAGAAGACTGTGGTTAAAAGTACTCGTCAACAATAGTTCAATATTATAGATTTTACTTATTTCGCTTACCATTTTCTGAATCGATGTTCCGCTGTTAGAACACGACCATTATCATCCAAAAATCTTTCGGGTCGGAAATTTTCAGGATCTCCCCAAATCGTTTCATCATGATGAAGACCCCAAATATTTGGCCATATTTGACTTCCCTTCTTTATATTATAACCTCCAATTGTCGAATCTCTTACAGCTATATGTGGTAAACTAAAAGGTACAACAGATAGATAGCGATGAGCCTCCAATATTGTAGCTTCCGTGTATGGCATATTAGCTTTATCATCGAGTGATGGAAGACGATTAAAACCAATATTATGTTCAATTTCTTGAAGAATCTTCTGTTCAATATGTCTATGTGACATTAGAATTGGAAAAAGTCCATACAATGTCGAAGAAGTTGTAATGAAACCAGCAATGATTAAACCAGAAGAAATACCATAAAGATGTTTGAAATCATAATCTATATTTGATTGATTCATATAATGCCAAAGTTGATCAGTAGTAGTTTTTATATCATGAGGATCAAAATTGTCTATTGCCTCTCTAACAATAGGTTCTATTAGATTATCTCGTCTTTTTGCGCAATTCACCAGCATTTTATAGGCTTTATTACCACAGCTTCTAAGCCAAGGAAATACCTCTAAAATTGCAGTTGAAGGTGCAAGAACAATTTTGAAAATCTTTTCATATGTAGCAACAAATTTCTCCATAACAGAAGATTCGATTCTCCTATTTAGGGTCATAGATATGATAATATTACCGAACAAAGCTTTCATTTTATCGTCAATATCTACTGGTTTGGATTGTGTAGATTGTATGTATTCTAAAAATTCACCAATTATTTCGGAAGAGATATCCTCTACTTTTTTCATTCCCTCCGAATAGGTTTTAAGAGATCTAAGAGTCATCTTCTTTGAATCTCTAAATAATTGATGGTCATTCATAATAGAAATATCTTCAATGCCATTTAATATGGCCGTAACTCTTACGCCACGGTCTCTATTTGAAAAGTCGTTTTGTTTATTAATATATAAATCATAGATATTATTTTCTCCGGAAACAAGTATGATATCCTCTGTCATTATAGGCGCTTTCAACACATCACCATACTGTTTTCTATAAGAAGATAGATCAAGATGAGGTAAGTCTTTATCGAGCCAAGGAAGAATTCCTAAAATAGGAAGTCCTCTTGGTCCTGGAAGTGAATTTCTGTCTTTGAAGAAAATATAGTATCCTCCAACTAATAGTAGACTTCCACCAGCGACGAGTTTCCATGCTGGCGTGGTTTCTACTAAATCTGTCAGCTTATTTGAAACATTATCGTAATAAAAAGCTTTCATCCACGAAGCCATAATTTTACTAATCTATCCTCAAAAATGGAATGAATTTACAAGAGCAAATAGACTAGTTGTAGAATGCCCTAAACTGTCGATATATAGGCTAAGTTGCAGTTCTATGCTATTTTTAAGCTATTTTTGTGGAAGAATCAGTTTTCGTCCTTTATTTATGAATAACTGATCGTTTTTTTATGTATAAAATGACTTTGTCCTTCAAAGGTTTGTAATTGGCACTTTAATCAGGTAGAGACACTTGACTATTTTGTTAAGATAATAATGTATTGGTTTTGCATGAGTATAAAACACTTTAATTTGTTTATTTTTAGGTCAAGGCTATATGTCTAGTCCCTGGATTATCATTTGTCAAACCTGCGACTTTCAAACGACCACAAAATTGGATTTTATGTTTAAAATAGAATAAAAATATCCAGAACCTTTTATCGAAATTTTTTAGAATATTCCAAAAGTTATTTTATATATTAACTTAATATGATAACAAAGAGTACCCAATATAATAAATAAAGACTTATATAAAAATTGAAAAAACAACTTCTACCTATTTCTATCTGTATTACTGTCATTAATAAGGTTTTTTCTTTTTTACGAAAGTATCTATGAGATATACAATGTATATATATATAACATAGGATAAAAAATTTTTATTAGTTTAAAATGGAATTATGCGCATAAAAGAGTAGCCATAGTTAAACTTTTATAAATCTATGTCGTTTCTGTTGTTTTAAGGCAAATATATACTTTGCTATTACTATCTCAATTATAGGCCTATAAAAATTATTAGAATTTTTAACTCTATTAATTATTCAATCAATTGAAAACATAAAAAATAAATCCAAGTAAGTAAGAAGTTTATATTCATCAATACAAATTCTTAAATATCTTATAATGTTGTATATTTTATGTTATGAAAGTGATGAAATTTTGGTAACAGTTAGTGAGTTAATAAATTTGCTTTTCAATTTGCAAAAGTAAAGATTGATGATATTTTTTAGGATTGCCTTGGTAAAAAGCTCATTTTATAGGGTTTTTGACAAAGTACCACACTATACTCCATTTCCTTTGGATCCCATAAAACAGTTTTTCCCTCTTCCGGTTGAAATTTAAATCTTTGTAAGACTGTTGTAAGGAAAAGGAATAATCGGTTGTTAGCCATATTTTTACCAAGGCATACTCGTCGTCCAGCTCCAAATGGGAGAAGACTAGAAGAGAAGAAATGTCAATGGTGAGTATATAGACATTTCAATAGATAAATGTTTTTAATACTAACCACTTTCTTAGTCTATGTTCTACAGAAAGGACTTTTCCATCCTTGTCCAGAAATCTCTCAGGTCGGAAGTTGTATGGGTCACCCCAAATCTCTTTGTCGTGATGAAGACCCCAGATATTTGGCCATATTGTGGTTCCTTTCTTTATGTTATATCCTCCAAGAGTTGTGTTTCGTGTAGCCTGATGTGGAAGGCTAAAAGGTAATATGGAGAGGATACGATGAGCTTCCAAGATCGTAGCTTCGGTGTAGGGCATATTCGCTTTATCTGATAATTTAGGAGACCTATCAAAACCAATAACTTCAGAAATTTCTTGAAGAATTTTCTCCTCAACATGTCTATGGGCCATAAGAATAGGGAAGAGTCCGTACAAAGTTGATGAAGTCGTTACAAAGCCTGCCACTATTAGAACAATAACAACCGCTGTCATATCCCTCAAATTGTAATCAAATTTTGATTGGTTCATTAGAAACACTATCTGTTGGAAAGCCGTTTTAATATCATCAGGATCGTACTCTTTAAAAGCACTTTCAACAAGAGGATTTATTAATTTATTTCGAAGCTTTACGAAATTTCTTAAAGTTTTATAAGTATGATTACCAAAATATTTTAGCCAAGGAAAAAACTCTATAATAGCCGTGAATGGGTTTATTGTATAAGTCAAAATTCTATCGTAGTTGTGAACAAACTTTTGTGTTATTGTGTTGCTAACTCTTTTATTAAGAACCATTGATGTGATAATGTCACCAAAGACATCTTTAAGTTTTTTACTTATATCGAGGGGTTTGCCTTTTGTTTCTGCAATAAAATTAATAAAATCACCGATAACTTCGGTGGAGATATCTTCTACCCTCTCCATGCCTTCGCCATATGTCTTTAAAGATCTCATTGTCAGTTTCTTAACATCTCTAAACTTTTCACAATCATTCATAGAAGTGATATCCATCAAACCGTCCAACACTGTTGCGATTCTCACATTACGAAGTCTATTAGAGAAATCATCTTGCTTGTTAATGTAAATGTCGTAGATATTTTTCTCACCAGACACCAAAACAAAATCATCACTCAGAAATGATAGAGAGCATACATCTCCATACTTTTCGGACATCGCATAGATACTTAAATGCGGCGCTTTCTTGTCAAGCAATGGTAGTATTCCAACAATTGGATAGCCTCTCGGTCCCGGAAGTCCACTATTATCTTTAAAAAACGCGTAATAACCCCCTAAAAGTACCAATCCTCCACCAGCAACCAATTTCCAATTAGGCGTATCTCTTAGAAAATCAGCCACTTTCGTGGGCAAAACATCATAGTTAATCACTTTCGATATGATCGACATCCTTTGTTCAATTATCTATAGAATAAATAAAAGGTGCTCATAGTAAAAAAATTAATGATTTAATCCTTTCACAGGTATTTTATCAATCGAATACGCATATATTGAAACGAACTTGCGCTAAGGAAGCTTTTGTTCCTATTAATCGTTAAATTTATTAATTTATTTACCTACCAGCTAACGATCAGCTCTTAAAAACTTTCTCTTTCAAAGGAATAAGATCGAAGGAGATTTTTAAATAACTTATACGGAAAGAATATTACTCTTTACTGATTAAAAGAGCTTTTATAGGTGATAATTTCTAGCCATCAATGGCCTTTCTGGATCGAGGTCACAAGCAGTATGCTAGACATTAATAAAAAGTCAGTCTGTGCAACCTAAATGGATCCACTATGCTACAACAGCCTAGATCGAAAAAATAAGAAGCCGAGAAGCGATTATGTAATGATGTATTAATATTGATAGAGGGTAGTACTTTACGTATCATCCCTCCAGTATAATTGGTATATAGTCATACCCATATACATGATATACAGTATACAGCATATGTAATACAATATATTCATTGATGCATTTTGCTCGTTTTAATCAGCGTTAGTAAAAAGACCAATGTAATTTTATCAAGTAATTATTAATTAGCATCCTTGCTTTTACTACCATTTTATATCTGATCATTTAACACTGGTATACTTTAATTCTCTCATTTCCCTACCTTTCCCCCTATTCAAATAATGTATTATTCAAGTAACACAGGATGATTGATAAGTATACAACACACACGCATATATATATATATATATATATATATATATATAGAGAGAGAGAGAGAGAGAGAGAAAGAGAGAAAAGAAAGAAAGAATACATAAATCAAGATAATAACTTTAAAATTTGTATTTGAATATTGATGAAAATTATTCAAGATAGATTTATTGAATATTTAAATATTACATTTGTTTTGTTTTGTTTTTATGTTTAAAAGAGTAGATAAATTATTAAATATTATTTAATAAATTTGTCCTATCTACACTAGAGAATGAAAGAATGGAAGTCTTTCAGCTATTTCATCGAATTTGATGGCACAATGGCTAACTTAAATATATATATACACATGCATCTATTCAAATGGATAATAGTTTTCTAACATTTTTATATTTATAACAAGTATAGGCCAGTATTTACATTAAAAAGTAAAAGATTTGCAGTATTATATTGTATATTATAAAAAGAGATATTAATTTTAAAGAAGAGAAAATATTACTTTATTATCTAATGAATAGACAGAGACGTATGACCATTGAAACAATTTTGACTAAATATTCAAAAATAACCTATTTAGATATTTATAAATTATATTTATATTAATAAATAAATATTATATAAATAGAATCAAATATACTTTTGCATAAAAGAAGAAGCAAAATGAAATAATGATAAAGAAAGAAGTATAATTAATCTTTTTCTAGCCAAATGAAATTTAACTATTAAAGAAGAAAACAGAAACAAATATCAACATCGAATTAAGTTATAGTTGTGACAGAGAGAGAGAGAGAGAGAGAGAGAGAAAGGATAAAGAGAATTTTTTCCGTTTTTCCTCTCTTCCTTCCTCTTTTTTACAATTATAATAGTCTGTTTTTTAAATTTGTCCTTTGACAAACAAAATATAGAAGATGATATATTATATTATATTTTATATCTGATGTTGTTATTACAGGGTAAATAGGCCTTGCTAAGCGTAATTTATTTATCTTTTAATCCATTGTATAAATAAGATATACAGTTAAAATTTTCATATATCAGAAATAAATAACAACCAAGTTATAAAATAGTAAATAATAATGATATATTAAATAAAATGTCTTAGTTGAACAGAAAGTATAACTAATGAAAGGAACGATCTGTAGTATGTGGAGTATATATTTTCATGTGCAATGTATATTTATTACGAATAATAAGATTCAAGTAAAAATCAATTACTGTTATGAAACTTATGTTGCTTTATATTTAACTATTTTACAAAAATTTTTATACAGCAGATTATGCTTTTGTATAGAAAAAGCTTCGTTAATTGTCATTTACTCGAACGACTGCCAATTTTTGTTCGATATTTATGCTAATACATATATAGTATATATAAATAAATATATATATATATATATATATATATATATATATACATATACTTCGTCGAACTATACATAGATACATGACATTACTCATATGTATATTATATATAAACAATTTTTATAGTCTAAATATTTATGAATAATAATAAATTTGTTTTGTCGTCCTATCGCTATTTCTACGCACTTTACATTCTATTAACATGAAACTAGAATTCTTTTTAATATGTGCAATCGGCTTCAGGCCTAATTTAAGAATCTATGAGTATAAACACGTCGAAGTAGTGGGTCAACCCAAATTTTCCTCGTTCGAAACCTGGGACACCGAATAAAAATATGCCGTTTGATATATACCGAATGACTTTGGAATGTCACTATAAATAACTGTTTGGAAATGGTGCCAATTTTTTTTTGTTTTTTTTTGTTTTAAGCGCATATTTTATAAATAATAGTTATTAATTTCAATTTGCATTTCATCTTTCAATTAATAATCATTTTTCCCCTTATTTCTTTTGTTGTACGTATTGTATACCGAACAAAATAATATACTGTACTGCAAAAATACAATGAATATTTTGAAAAATATTGTTTCTGTTTTTAATTCAACGACAGCTGTATCACATGTGTTAAAGAGAGAGAAGGACGTTTTTGGGGCAGAAGTATCTAATTTCTAGAAAGCGGTCGATGAACTAACACATACACATAAATTTATATTGATCTTTTTTTAATGTTCTGCTTAATTTTGTTTTATTACGCTTTTCTTTCAAAGAAAAATTTATATATGAACTATATTTTTATCAGAATGAAGTTCTGCACTCGGTACGATTAGCCAAAGCTGATTCTGGAATTATTTGGTCGATAGGCCTTACTCCTTCACCTGCTAACTGGTTTCTGACCTCTTCAACCTTTCTCAATACTCTTATCAAATTCCTACCAGCTAACTTTTCTAGTTCAGTGTCAGTCCACCCCCTCTCGGCTAATTCAGCAAATAAATTAGGGTATTTAGAAACGTCCTCTAAACCATCGGGTGCCCTGCGGACATATTTAATAATATAGTATACTAGCGCAGATATAAACGTTTTCCCTCAAAAGCTCAAGCGAGAAACACAAACCCCGCCATTCCATCGTAGTCACCTCCCAAACCAACGTAATCGGCACCAATACGATTTTTTACGTAATCGATATGATCCGCAACCAACTTCACATCGGGGTTTCTATTCGCTGGAGCACAACCGAGAAAGTATCTCACAAAAGTTATCATTAGTATACCACCATTTTCTTTCTAAAAATAAAAATCTCAACAAGTCTTAATAAGCTTACATAATAAATTTGATAATAGAAGACAAAGATTATGCCCGAGAACATTTGTAATTAAGTTTTTTATGTATATTTTAAAGATATTTATCATAAGTACCAGCTTATCAAGAATATGATCTCGAACGTTTCTATGAGTGTTACAAATAGCATACACGCAGGAATGGCTAAATATTACGGGTGCTTTAGTAATATTGAAAGCAGTTTCCATAAGCCTTGTAGATACGTGACTTAAGTCGACTAGCATGCCTAGTCTATTCATTTCTTTTACGACTAATTGACCCCAATCAGTCAAACCATCATGCTCAGGGCCATTATCATCGGCTGGCGATGCGTCAGCCCATGGTGTGTTACAACTATGCGTAATAGTCATGTAACGAACTCCCAAGGAGTAAAACTGACGTAGAACGGCTAAGCTATTGTCCATAGAGTGACCACCTTCAACACCAATCAATGAGCCCATAAGACCGTTTGAAAAGGCCTCCTCTATTTCATCCGCTGAAGTGACCATCTTAAAGTGATTTGGATACTTTTCAGTCATTCGATGAACAACGTCGATTTGTTCAATAGTTAAGCGAAGAGCGTCTTTGTACTGAGAAGTACAGCTAACAAAAGCTGACCAAAATTGAGCACCCATTTTTCCCTGTCTCATCCTTGGTATATCGGTATGACTGGCTCCCCATTGGGGATTAACATCTTCTTCCAAGTTTATTAAATCGACTCGGTTATTGACACGACGCCTATAAACCATTGGAAGGTCATTATGTCCGTCTATTAAAGGATAACGCTCTAAAACATGTTTTGCTCGTTCGATACTTTCGGATGACCAAGCATTCGCCCCCTGAAGGTGGCTCACAACGAGAATAAAGATAATAATAAAACGCATTAGTAGCCTTTAGAGTGAATATTTGCGGTCAAAGGATGACTTTTAATTATTATATACCTTTTAACATTCTTACACGTGCTTGTTCACACGTAAAACCTATCAAGCGTAAAAATATAACAGCTTGCCAGTTAAATCGCAATTAGAGCGTCTGCTACGAAATACACTAACCTTTACACAATGTTCCAGATCACAACTTTAAAGAACAGAATCGACAAATATAATATTTATTCGATTTCATATTAATTATGTTCATGTTTTGCCAATATATTATTTTAAACAAGAAAACAAAAGGAATGCATAAATTCTCAGTTATTTGAAAGAAAGTTACAGACACTCGTATCCGTTGCTTTCTCCACCTTCTCCATCAGCCAAAAATTTTTCATAATCATCTAATTCCTTATTTTTTTGTTTTTTTGACTCGTCACTTTCTTTGGCCCCGTTATCTTTATTAGATTTCTTACTCTTCCTCTTTTTCTTATCTTTTTTATCTTTTTTTTTCTTCTTACTTTGTTCTTGAGGTGAAGGAGTTGTTCTTACTGTTGTTGATGGTTCGTTCGATGGGGTTTCGCACAAAAATTGTTTATCTAGAAAATCCACGTCAGCTTCAGTCAATTCGATACCTTTCGATTCGGACGAGACTTCCTCAACGTTAACGCTACTATCATTAATGTCCTCTTCTACTTTTAACTTATTAAGGTCATCTTCGTCGGAACTTAATTGAATATCTTGTACTTTTGATACTCTAGAAGGCACAGAATCTTCTTCGGAGTCTATATCTTCTTGAAATCCAGCTACCAAAGGGTTTGCTTTTTCATCAGCATCGTCTGACTCTTCATCTTTACCTGAATCAATTTTGGCTGATTTTTCATTAGTATCTGCCAAGAAATTAGCATCAATGCCTTCCTCAGGCACAAACTCTTCTATATTTTTTACACTTTCTTCAGGGCTTTGACTACTTGTACTGGCTTCAGCTTCTTTTATACTCTCTTTGGGGGGGGTTTCGATTTCTTCCTTTTGAATCTTCTTAAATAATTTCGAAACAAAATTTGTTGAAGTGGAGGGCGGGGATTGAATAGGTGTTGTTGCTGGCGTTATCGACAAAGTAGGAGGGGATGGAGCGGAAGACGAAATATTTAATTGCATACCAGGTATGGGTTTAGCAGGAGGTGCCATTTTTATGCTTGTGTCTGGAACACATTCTTTCGGTTTTTTACCAGTTCCTTGACACTGCTCAATGAAAAGATCATAATTTTGTAACTCTGATTCGCCATAAGCATTTAACTCATGAACTGTTGCGTCAAACTCTCGCCTATTGGTTTCAAGCTGTGTCAACAACGACTCTTTCTGCAATTGTAGAAATGGTAGGTTGAAAAATTTATGTAAGTATTTTAATCCGAAGCCGTTCTTCATCGAAGCTTCAGCATACCGAATTTGAGCGCTACCCTCAGGTCTAGATCGTTCAAAATCTTCTAAGAAAGTCTTAATAGAATCCTGACTAACAGTTCGATGATGTCCCATATCTCGGTGATTTGCTAAAACTAATATGGGTATACGATCTGGTATTTTTACAATTTCTCTTTCAACATAACCAAAAGTCCACGACTTTGTTACGTCGAGCATAAGTATAACTCCGTGACTGCCTTTAAATACATCAATAAAATCTGCATCCAAGCATGGTTCTTCTAGTTCGTCTATTGAATTATTACTTAATTTTAAGGAGTCTGTCTTCTTTTTTGGTTTGCCTTTATCAACGACATCCCAAACTTCCACTTTGACAACATCATCTGTTGCCTTGTAGTTCCATTGAATACACGTGACTTGTATTTCGTCTGTGGGAATGTATTCTTCTCGGAATTTTTTCCCCTGTAACCTTTCGAAAAGAGCAGTTTTGCCTACATTTCGGTCACCTTTGATAACGATTTTCACTGGAATTATTATTGAAATTGAAAAGTTATTTTCCTACAGCTGCTCAATTTTATCGACTTACTGTTGTATTGGACACCTTTAGCGAATTTTCTTTGTAAGCTGGCAACCATAGGTGTTGGGGCGTTTGTCTTTGACGCATCGTTAACTTTTGAATTGTTTCCATCACCTAAAATTCGTTTAAAGAACGTTGACATCTCGATTAGGGAAGAAACTCCCGGCGGAAGTTCTGCCCATACGTCACATCCGTAGGAATTCCCTAGTTTTTTTACAGCTATGAGTCAGTCGATGGTGATTGGTTGCTCACCTTATGACGTCTCGCACACACAATTCACATGCGGATCGAACAATCTTCGACAAGAATCGGTAAGTTAACGTTTAGTTTTCCGTTTTCTCGCCGCGTTTGTTTGATTACTGTTTTTTCTATAAGTATTTTAATTAATGACCTATTTTGAGTCTAAATACTGATGGCTGATCATGTGAAAATTTAGCATTAGTTTTCAAGGCATCCAACGGTTTCGCTTATCCGTTGGTCGACCTAAATATCTGTTTTCCTAACTTGGTAAAGTAACTGCTTTGTTGGAGAAAATATTCGAGTTTAAATATCAAGTATTTCTGAATATAATTTCCTCTAATATCAAGCAAAAGAAAGAAGAAACGATTACGCTATACCTAATCTGCTTATAAGCTATCACGTGCTATTTATATAACATATTCTTCGACCAATCCTGCCTATCCGTCGTGTGTAATTCCGCTGTATGTTAAAACTGAAAAGGAACACAAATGTTCACGATCTAAAGCAGCGTGACTGGGAGTCATGACTGAAAAATGACCTGAAAATAGGCCGATTCGGGAAAATATAAAATTTTCGCACCAGAGCAATATGTGACAGCTTCTAATAAGGCGGTTAATTGTAATAATCAATATTTATGTAAAATATATATATAAAATATATATTAAAACACACTTATACATATAAATGTTTATGTCAATCAAGCCAATACATACGTTTTTGTCATAAATATATATATATATATATATATATATATATATATATATATATATATATATATATATGACTTCAAGTATTTCTCTTCAATATTTTTATTCTTTCTGTTATATTATACAAACATATATATATATATAGCGGAATGAAGTATTAATATTGCTTTTTATGTTCGGGCGCTTACACATGTTTATTTAAAGGTTGTCTACGATGGACTGATCTAGACGAACTGCAACGCAATTATCCACACATGATGAGATCGGCGTCCTGTTCGTTCAAAGATCAAGTACACGATGTTACGGCCCAGTTTGATACGTGGAACGACTGCGAACAGACCATCGCACTACTCAACTTACTCAAAAGGCTGAGACCTAGTCATGCCCGCTTTCTATGCCGAACCGTTGAACAATCTCTTGATAATGATCATGCTTTAATGAGAAGTGATGCGCAGGCAAACGATTCCAGTTATCTGCAGGGGCTTGCCCAGCAAATAGATACAGCAGGAGCTTTAAGTACCGTGCTGGCCCACGTACCCCTTCTCCGCCCCGGTTCCAACGAGGCTAAGCAGATATATATTAATCTCGTAAAACGCCTCATGCAATCGGCCGCTGACGCAGGACGTCAGACAGAAGAATGCCGTCAATTAGCCATCTATCTCGTCATGCATCCTGCTCTCACCCAGACTGAAATTCAAGAGTTTAATGCCTGGTATTCAAAATTGGAGCAACAACAGCAAGTGGCGCAGCGCGCCGCAGCGGCAGCATCTAACGGTGGTGCAGGAAATACTAACGGTTGGCCATCGGCTTCGCTAAGAGACTCTGGAATTGGGCTGAATTGTCCATTGGATACTACGTGTGGCTCAACATTAATGAATGCAAGACCACTCAGTTATTCAATCAGCGTTGGTGCAACTAATAATGACTCAACGCAATGTGTTGCACCGCCGACTACGGGGGTGAATAACCATCTAGGATTCGAAAAACATCAAGTCTGCGCGACTGTATCAAGCCCGCCTGGATTGGGTGGAATTTATGATGGTAGATCTCATCGTCGGTTAGCTCGAACCGAATCGTTAGTACCCGTTAGTCTACAATATGAAAGGAATGATCGCAACAATCACTGTCAGCTCTCACCCCAATCTTCTGCATCGTCTTCAAATGGCGATGAGCCCAGAAACTCTTTTGCAGACCCGCAATCTGCTATGCGAGATGTTCCGGCTTGGCTGAAGCAGTTAAGACTGCATAAGTATGCATCCCTTTTTCAGCAAATGAAGTATGAGGATATGCTGAATATTTCGGAAAGTTGGCTGACAGATAAAGGTGTGACAAAGGGAGCTCGCGATAAGATACTTTTAAACATAAAGAAGCTTGAAGAGAGATCGGAGATTTTGAGTGAATTGGAGAAGAAGGTTAGGGAAGAAGGTAGCGTCAAAGATGCTCTGACCGAGTTAAAGTTGATTGTGAATACACCGATTAAACCCTTTGATAGAGCTCAAGCTCTATCATCTGATGAGGATTTACCTAGTCAGATTACTGCTGTTCTCGGAAAAGTCAGTTCACAGTTGCTTATGAATACTTTAGATGAAGAGAATTGTACTGCTTTTGAGCAACTTGTTGACAAATTAAGTGATCATAAAGCTTTCACTGAGCAGCAACAAAATCAATTGAAAAGCTGGAAGTCCAGAGTGTCGTCTCTGAACAACAGGAATAACTCTTTCAAGAATTCACAGAGATCTACAAGACCTTTTTCTTCATTTAATCATTATGCGGCCGGAGGGAAACGTGGAGCTATTTCTACGAAAAGAGCGCAACATTCGAGCAAGCAGCCGTTGAAGTCTAACTTGTCAGTTCCAACTGGACCACGGATTCAGACGACTTATCAGCAACTTTTAACAGTTGAAACTACTAGACAACAGGTGACGCGCACGCATTCGGCGCCTGCCGAGAGAGAAACTGAACAAAACATAAATGCCCGCCTAGATATGTTGTCTGTGGATCTGGTAGAGAAAGTTCTGGATTGAAGAAGGAACTGACATTCATTGTCTTCTTCGCTTCGTAGCTAGTCGAGAAATTGTTGCCGCCTGGATTATGGTCCTCTGGTTTAAGGGCTGCGGCTTAAATTGATAATATGTAACGGAATCTTTGTGTAATCAAATTTGAAACATATTTTGGCGTTGCTGAATAAAAAAAATACATGTACTGAAAAAATTATTTAAGTTTAATATCAATTTAGTTAATCTAAGTCACCAGATGCTCCACTGCTGTCACCAGATGCTCCACTGCTGCCACCAGAAGCCCCGGAGCTATCACCACTCTCCCCAGTTGCACCCTTTCCATCTAAATCATTATTCCATGGTCTAATTGCCATTTGACTTTCTACTATTTTTAAATGCTCATTCAAGTTTATGTCGAACCAAATCATTTGTCCATTAAGATCAGAATATGTTCCTGGGTAGCTGCTTCTCAGCCACCAACCTCTGTAGTAAATTAATGGATAATTAACCCTTGTCAATATTCTATCAAATGTGCCAAATTTCGATCCCTCGTTGAAACTAAGAGCATTTGTTGCGTTTCCTTTATAATTTCCCAATCCTAGTCTATATTCCGAACCAGTCAGGGTAAAATTGTCATATTCTGCCCATAGAATTCGTCCTCCATCGGTTTTCATATGGATACTTAATATATGGCGTTGATTTTCAGTTAAACGTTGAACTCCCATTAAACCCATCCATAAATCGACTGTTGACCGGAAGCCGTATTTGTATTCAATCCATGTTCGATTAAAGTTCACCTTGGAGTCTGTACGCTTTTGAATTACAGTCCATAAATTTCCCTCTCCGTCTTTTACGCATTTGGTGATGAAAGGTTCTGTGGAGCCAGAAGGGCAAATAGCAACCGGTTTCCCATTACTATTTCTTTGAACTTCGGAACAGTCCCGAGGCAAAGATGTAGACAAAATGAATTGGAAATTATCTAATCGAATATTTATCTCATGTTTCATAAGATACATAAATTTTTTTAAGTTTCTACGAAGGATTGATCTCTTTTCTTTTGCTAATTTCCAAGTCGAAATCATTGAATTAGCAAATTCCTTATAATACTCTTTAATTTTTAACTTAGTATTCATAAGTAACTTGGTTCTCTCTTCTTCGTTATGAACTTGATATAGTGCTAATTGGTTAGCAAATTCTTTCCATTTTTTATCAATACTCTCTGTTGTTGCATATTCAGCGTCCGGTATATTTCCAGACGGCGAGTATTGATCTTTCAAAATGTTTATTTCATCTTCAGCTTGCTTTAAACGGCTAAGCATTCCGTTCAAAGCTATCGAGCACGATCTGAAAGAAATCAATTCAAATATTATTCAATAGAAGTATTTACTCTATTGAGGAAAAAGTGAAAACATACTCAGGGCACAATTCTGGTTTATCTTCCTTTGTGGGCTTTTGTTGATCGTCCTTGGAACTTTTAATAGTCAAGTTTTCATCAGTATAACACGTCACTTTCGAAGTAAAAATCACTAGGACAACGATACCAAGTAATGCGCGTCGGTCCATTACTTATGCTAAAGTGCCGGTGAAGTGTCAAAGATACTAAGTTAAGCTTTTTCCATGGATATTATTGTTACAAAACAGTAATAAGATCCCCTATCTTATCTATAAAACGATTAGAGAATACGGGTTTTTTGGCATATCCGTTTATTTCACGCTAATTTAGTAACAAAAGGAAAACAACACAAAACAAAATGTAGCAATTGTTGTCAAGCTGATGCCATTTTTGATGAACCTTCGTGCTTATGTACGCTTGCCTTCATTCTATTGTACCAGTTTTTCACTTGCGTTTCTTTTAGAAGATCCCCAAAAGCCCAGCAGCCTTCAATAGCACTCAGGTAACCGAACGTTGACTGTTCAGAGAAGATTATTTAAATTAATTACACGCAATAAATTTGTTAGATAACACCCACCAAATCTGCTAAGTCCGGTCGATTACCTCCATGAAAAGGCTTTTTGCCAATTTCTTTCGTCCAATCAGCAACTGCAGAATATAGCGCTTGCCGTACATCATCAGGTAATTCGTGGCGTTTTTTTAGCATTTTGCCAACAAAATACATTGCAACAGCTCCTACATATATTACAAATATTCTCTCGACATTTGAGAATACTTGCTTCCAATTTCCGGTTTCTGAAAACCAAGTGAAAGCCTGTAAAGCTTCCGAGGGGGTCCGATAAACATTAGGAGAAAGTGTATGGACAAGTGTCTCATCAGCCCATTTACGCCAATGTCTTTCTACTTTACGAGTTTCTTCCGTACCGGGCGCTTTATAATCGTCTCCGTACATAACAAAATATTTATTTGGAAAATCAAATTTGAGTTTTCGCCCTTCCTTATTTTCAATACAGGGATAATAATTTACAAGATTTTCCATTTTTTGCCTTCTGTCTAGTAAAAAAGTTTCCAAGGTACTCATAATTACAGAGGAATCTTTTAATTGCTGAAAGCACAGCAAACATCATTATTTATGTAATATAGGAAACAATAATAGGTATTCTTACCACATATCCATTCGTTGAAGGCTGTTCAACAATCAACATTGGTACTTTCCTATATTTTTTTGCCCATTTTAACTCTTTTCTTGTTACAGAGTTCACCTCTACTACATCGTATGAAAACCCATGGAAGTCTAAATATGCCCTTACTTTACAACAGAAAGGACAAGTTGCATATTGATATAATGTCAATTTTAATCCTGTATTGTCTGTATCGCTTTTTACAGAATAGGTTATTGGATGATCTAGATGCTCAATTTTGTCTTCAGTTGCATTAGCTTGCAAGCTTTTTCTATAATTTCCTATTGAAAATATGCCATAGCCTATTGCTAAACCAGAGCAGACACCACTAACGATGACCCCTGAAGTTTGAAGGTTGTAACGAGTTTTTGAATTTGTCCAAAAAGAGAAGGTCGATTTTTGTTGATCTCTATATGATCTTGTATAGTTTCTATAAATTTTTAAATCTGAAATAAATTGCTTACGGAGAAAACTGAGGCTATATGCGGAGCGAACAAATTTAATGGGCGCAGCCATCTTGTCATACCGCAGTAATTTTGCAGCAAGAACAGTGTGGTGCACTGTTCCTGTTTATAAATAAATGTTTATAAGTTTAATAAGACAAGAGTCCCAGCGACCGTCCCGCACAGATTTCTGTTTCTGACGCAAGATAGTAAAATTAAAAACTATCACGTGGCAATCTCGTTGAGTAAAGCCAGGAAATATTTCATCAATTTAGTGTAAATGTCTTCTGATCCAAATTTACAAGGTGCTACGAAGTCTATGGCTAAACCAAATGAGGCTGATGGCCAAAAGCCGAAAACAGAGAAAGAGCTTCAAAAAGAAGCCGCAAAAGCAGCAAAACTCGCTAAATTTGAAGCTAAAAAAGCAAAAGAAGCTGCACTGAAGGCACAACAAGCCTCTGCAGATAAGCAAGAGGTAAAATATTATTAACAGATATTATTGTATTGCGTTTAAAAAAAATCTAACCCAATTAATAAATAACTGCCTTTATTCCTAATCCAACGCTAATACTTAAAGTATATTAACATTGTCAGTCAATTCAAAGACTAATATTATGAATTGTAAGATTAGTAAAGTAAATATGCCTGTAGATTTGATATAATTAATAACATATTCATTTATACTTGCATAACTACGAATTAATATTTTTTAGGTAACCAGCTTTAGTGGTTATTTTAAAAACCTTATTATATTAATAATTTTTGAAGTAAAACTAGGATTTACTATTCATCTAAAATCGACAAAAAAGTTTAAGCAAATCATTTCCGAAAAATGTAAACAAGACATAAACTTTGAAAATAATTGTTTAATCTTTTGTTCTTGGTATTATACCTTCATAAATCTTTTTAAAACACAATTACAATAGAATAAATACTTTCCTCATAAACTTCCGGCTATTTTAAAAGTGAAGAGAGAAATCTTTGATAAATATCAAACAAAAAATTTCCCCATATTTATGTCTTAACAAAAACATTCTATACTTTTGAAGTAGGCGCTCTGTAAAGGATGAAAATGTATATTGAGTCGATGAGACTTGTTTTATGATATTATAATACGTATTTCTGTATTTTTAGAAAAAAGTGAAAAAAGAGAAACAGGAGAAAACTGTTATTATTTATGATAGTTCTACAAAACCCGGTGAAAAGAAAGGTTAAGACTTTTAATATCTGCTATTTGCTATTTAATATGAATGAAAATTAATTGGTAATTAATAATTATTAATTATATTAGATACGCAACGGCCTTTACCTGATTCATACAATCCCACTTATGTTGAAGCTGCTTGGAATGCCTGGTGGGAGAAAGAAGGTTTCTTCAAACCGGAATATAAGGTAATAGAAATTCAACAAGCTTGTAAGAACACAGTAAATTATAACCTATTTATTTTATAAGACGTCTTCTCTGAGGGAGCCTAACCCTAAAGGGAAATTTATGATGGTTATACCACCACCTAACGTAACTGGATCCCTTCACTTGGGACATGCTTTAACTACCGCAGTTGAAGACTGTATAACAAGATGGCATCGAATGAATGGAAAGACTGTACTTTGGAATCCCGGCTGCGATCACGCAGGCATAGCTACTCAAGTTGTAGTAGAAAAAAAATTAATGAGGGAGCAGGGGTTAAGTAGACACGATGTCGGCAGGGAGAAATTTATAGACGAAGTTTGGAAATGGAAGAATCAAAAAGGTGATCAAATATATGAACAATTACGCAAACTAGGTGGATCCTACGATTGGGACAGAGCTTGCTTTACAATGGACGAGGTATGCTTTTAAATTAAAATTATAATAGTTACACAATTAAGCAAATTGTTTTTAATTTAAAGAAACTTTATCGTGCGGTACGAGAAGCTTTTATCCGATTACACGAAAAGAAAATCATTTACAGAAGTAATCGTCTAGTTAATTGGTCATGCACTTTAAAATCAGCCATTTCCGACATCGAAGTAGATAAAAAAGAATTAAAGGGTAGAACTCTTTTGGCCGTCCCAGGTTATGAAGAGAAAGTAGAATTTGGCGTACTCATTCATTTCGCCTATAAAATTGAAAATTCTGATGAAGAAATTATTGTTGCAACAACTAGAATTGAAACGATGCTTGGGGACACGGCTATAGCTGTTCATCCTGAAGATAAAAGATATTCTCATTTCAAAGGAAAATACGCTATTCACCCCTTCTTTGATCGTAAAATACCAATAGTTTTTGACGAGTTTGTCAAAATGGAGTTTGGTACCGGTGCTGTAAAAATAACACCTGCTCATGATCAAGACGATTACGATGTCGGTAAGAGAAACAACTTACCTTCCATATCAATATTAACTGATGACGGTTGTATGACGTCTGAATGCGGACAATTTTCAAATATGAAACGCTTCAATGCCAGAAAGGCAGTACTTGAAGCTTTGAAAGCGAAAGGCTTGTATAGAGAAACAACGGACAATCCAATGATTGTTCCATTCTGTAGCCGATCAAAGGATGTAATCGAACCAATTTTAAAACCGCAATGGTATGTGGATTGTCAAGATATGGCTAAGAAAGCGGTGAATGTTGTACGAGATGGTAAATTAAAGATTATTCCTGACATGTTTGAAAAGACATGGTTTTCTTGGATGGAGAATTGCAGAGACTGGTGTATCTCTAGACAATTATGGTGGGGTCACAGAGTGCCAGCCTATTTTGTTTCATCAGCCGATAATAGCATACCGCCAGGATCTGAAGAAGATGAAAATTATTGGGTCTCTGCTCACACGAAAGAAGAGGCTCTTAAGAAAGCTTCCGAAAAATTTGGGGTACCAGCTGAAAAGATTCAACTAAGCCAGGACGAAGATGTACTCGACACATGGTTCTCCTCCGGTCTATTCCCATTTTCTATTTTTGGTTGGCCTGATGAAACACTTGATCTAAAAACATTTTATCCTGGTTCTCTTCTAGAAACTGGTCATGATATTTTGTTTTTCTGGGTAGCCAGAATGGTAATGTTAGGTCAGGAGTTGCTGGGAGAATTACCATTTAAAGAAGTTTATCTTCACGCAATGATCAGAGATGCACATGGTAGAAAAATGAGTAAATCATTGGGTAACGTTATCGATCCAATTAATGTAATACAAGGAATATCGTTGGAGGATCTTCATAAACAGCTATACAATTCTAATTTAGACCCAAAAGAAATCGAAAAAGCTATAGAAGGCCAAAAAGGAGACTATCCGAATGGAATACCAGAATGTGGGAGCGACGCTCTACGTTTTGCTTTATGTGCCTATACGCTTCAGGGCAAGGATATCAACTTGGATGTCTTACGCATTCAAGGATACCGATTTTTCTGCAATAAATTATGGAATGCTGTACGATTTGCAATTTCAAGTTTGGGTGACAATTATAAACCATCAATTGAAGAAAAGCCGAAAGACGATATTTCCTTGATAGACAAGTGGATATTCAGCCGTTTAAGTCAAACAATTGCAGTATGTAAAAATGGCTTTGAAGGTTACGAATTTCCCAAAGTCACTACAGCCATTTACAACTTTTGGCTATATGACTTATGCGATGTTTATCTAGAGTGTATTAAAAGTATACTGTCTAGTAATGATGAAAAGTCAAAAGAAAATGTACGATCAACCCTTTATACTTGTTTGGACGTCGGTCTGAGATTAGCTCATCCATTTATGCCATTTGTAACTGAAGAGTTATGGCAAAGATTACCTAGAAGAAAACCGGAAACTGATGCCTCTAGTATTTGCGTAAGTCCCTACCCTTTGCCAGAAGATTTCGCAGGCCTAATAAATAAAGAACTAAACGAAGAAATAGACTTTTCTATGAACATTATAAAAACTATTAGATCGGCCAGAGGGGATTATCAATTAACTAATAAAACGAAAACGGATCTAGTAATCAAATGCGAAGATGAAGTGTTGCAAAATAGTTTGACTAAACATAAAGAAATGATTCGAATGTTGGCGAAAGGTGAAGATGTTCAAATTGTTACGTCGGCCAATAATTTAACAGGATATGCAATGCAAACTGTTTCATCTAAATGTTGCGTTTATTTAAAATTACTTGGATTGTTGAATTTTGAAAAAGAAATTTTAAGGCAAAACAATAAAAAAGATCAGCTGGTGAAAAAACTTGAGGATTTATTGAAGAAGATGAAGATACCAGATTACGAGACAAAAGTTCCTCAAAATGTTAAAGAGCAGAACGAAGAGAAGGTAGGGAGGAAATGATTACGTTACTATAGAAATTAGTATCATATTTTTACAATATATTGTCTTATTGCAGAAAAAGAATATTGAAGAAGAAATAGAAAAGATTTCCGCTGCTATAAGTAATTTAATTAGCTTACAGGCCGAATAAAATCGTACTTTAATGTATTTAATGCATAATTCAACGGAAAGTACATTTTTCTAATGTGGCAGACAATACATCATTACAGTAACATGTTTATATTATTTTTTCCGCTCTAAATCATTCAATTCCTTTATTTTTGTCTAACCATTAAATATAAAACATGTGGACATTATTTATGCAGAATATGACTTTGTTGTCTCCTTCCACTGTATTACTCTCCATCTGTTGCTATAGATTAAGAGACATATATCGAAAAAGGCGTCTCTTTTAGATCTAGTACCAATTTAAAGGCGTCTGTGTCAACGTAAAGAACTTATAATGGGATACGGCCATTAAAGAGGCATTTTCAATTATAAGCGAAAGCATAGAGGTCGAACTAAATCAATGCAGTCTTTTAGTCTTATTGTTCATTAGTAAACAATCTATGTACCTCTTTAATTTTCTTGTATTAATTATATATGAAAGAATAATAGACTTATTTCCAAGCAAGGACGAGAGTTGATATAGTTAATATTCTCTTACTTACTAAGATTAAAAAAAGACAAAATCAGCTAAAACTGACTTTATATCATCCTCTATTTTAATTAAATGACTATCTTAATACATCTATATCAAGTACAAATTAATAATTTTTTCAATCGTTTACTATTAGATAGACGTATTTCATTTTTATTTCAAAATATTACTCTATTGTATTTTCCCTAGTACACCAAAAATTCTAAAAATAGTCTTCAATTTCTTTTTTATACAAGTCAGGAATATTCCAGTATTTATTTGACGTATTTAACATATGTTGTAACAGTCTTTTTTTATCATTAAAACTGATAACTGATTAAACTTGTTTGTGAAAAGAGAATCTCTCTTTTTTTCGTTCTCTCTCTCGCTTTGTCTTAACTTTTCTATATGAATAAGAAGAATTTATGAGTTATATTCAATTTTGAAAAATAGCTCTCTATTATTTTAATAATGAAAAAAAGCGATTAACAAGATAGGTATTTTTTTAATGGACAGAAATTTATTTCAAAGTTGATTAATTAAATAATTAATTGATTACTACTAGTAAAATAAGTTTTTAGCTGCCAAAGCAAAAACTAAAATAGTCTCTTTTTACGCCAATACATATGTGAATATTAGTACTATCTATTACTCAAAGTCTAAAAGAAAAGGAAAGAAATAATCTTCTACGTACGTGACCAAATAAAGAGGGGGAAATATTTATAAATGATAAATAATTAAGATATTTGAGTTATCAAGATAGGAAATTATTATTTATTATTAAAGGGACTAAGATAAATTTTATGCAAATATGCACAGTACGTATAATATGTATATTGAATATATATATATATATATATATATAGTATATACAGTATAAAATATATATTCTCTTTTCATAGCACTAGTAGGCCTACTACATACATATATATATATATGAAAACAATACCTACATACGTACATATATATAAAATTTATACAGTATATATACATACACATATACGTGCACGTACACATATTAATCTTTCTTTTTTTTTTTTAAAAAAAAAAACACTTTTTATATGTTCTCAACTGGTTTATCTGTCACCGTCATTTTCCTTTGCGAAAAAGTTAATGAAAAGTTAAAAATAAAGCTTCGAGTGGATTATGATATTTATACTAATACTTGTGATTATTACGACCGTTTCGACGGATCAGAAGAGTTGTACTATTATAAGAAATGAATTGTGCTCGAATAACGTACGAGGCGGTGTTGATTGGTTTTATGAAGGGGCTACAATATGGTACCGTAATTTTTACTTAAAAATTTATATAGCAAGTACTTGGATATCAATGAATGGAAAATTTCAAAATCTATTGTATACCGTTTTCGAACAAAAATCTTCCGTTATTGCAGTCATTCCAGTTGAAAATGTTGCATTAAATTCTATCACTCGCTCAGTAAAAAAATTACCAATTTATCTCGATAAATTACATATAGGATTTGATAAAGATAATAGAATACTAGTCACTTGGTCGTTCGATCCTAATGTCAAAATCTACATTTCAAGGAACCAATTATGGGTAAATGCAAATCTTTAGTTTTTCTTCAAGTTCTTCTAATAGAAATTGTTAGTCTACTTTCTCTATTTACATGATTTCTCTTTTCTTATTCCAGATATACCAAGTGTCTGTAGGAAGATTCACAAAGATAGATTGGTTTTGCCAATCTCCTCCTGTTAGAACAACTGGAAAAATATGCTTAGAGGGTTGTTTACAAAAGGGCTTGCCCTTTCATCTTTTACGCCTTGTTAAGCGTCGTTGCGCCGTTAAAAATCCAACTTTTAAACCTCGAATTAGTACAACTGTTCCACCATCTGGGAGAAACTGTGAAATTGAGGCATTTAGTTGTCCATATATCATGAAAGCTTTAGTGTATGCGAGACCCGATTTAAATATAATAGTATGGGTTGGACATAAGAAAGAGAATCGTAGTCCATACATCCTTATCGACGACAAATTAATAGGAGAATACTTTTACGTTGGTTCTATTTTTAAATAGTTGCTTTTTCTCTTTTTTTTTAATCAATTAATTTTATAAATCATCATCCTGTATTTAGGTCTATTGGAGGAATGTCACCGGAATTATGAGACTATCCTGGGTCTCATTTGACGTTAGTTGTTTTTAAGTAACTTATAAATATATTTATCATTACCTTTTAGTTGTACTTATATATATATATATATATATATATATTCTTCTCCTCTTCCTCTTCCTACTCCTTTACAGTACATTAAGACCAGACAAAAGATCGTCAGTACTCACTGGTTTGTCAAAAGATTCGATACTTACTCTTTCAAGATTATACGAGCCGAAGAGAAATACTTTAGGATTATCTTAAAAGACTATAAAAAATTACCTGATTTCTATACAATTAAAGTAAGAAAATATCTTATTTCCTTGTCTAGTATTACTCAAATGTTAATGAACTTGGATTAAATAGATTGTCCCACCTTTTCAACTCTTATCAAAATTCTTTACTAGTCAAAGTGAATGCGGAAGACAATGGAATATTAATTTATCTTGGCTAGGCTGTTCTGCTTATAACTGCAAGAATAGGCCTAATTTCGAGCAATTTTCTGCTGATACCTTGGAAACAGGATGTGACTCTTGCCGTAGAAATTGCAGTAAGTATTTTTTTTTCTTTTTATCTCTTTCTTTGAAAATAGCTCAATTTTTCTTTTTAAAAAAAAAACAAGACTATAGCATACCTACAACAACAATACCTGTTACCCTTGTGAAACTCGTTCGTAATCCTACTCCAAGGACAACACTTACTCCTATTGTTATTCATTCTTGCGAATTACAATTAGGGAAGATAAGATCATTTAGCAGTAGAAATATTGATGGTTCTAGAGCGTGTAGTGGGAATTTATTGTTACTAACGACCTTTTCCAGTAAAAACAGTCCGTTAATATCTTTATACGTTCATCTCGACGAAACTGGACGTAGAGTTATCGCTATGCACTCGGTAGTTAAACAAACTTGTTTGCATATATTTCACACTTTTGCCAAACATCGTTTTCTATAGACATCGAATCAATATTCGTGCTTCCAATCGGACGGTGGATCTGGTCAAATTACATGCCAATACTTCTACGAAAGAACTTTTTCCTTCAATTATCGTCAAGGTGATGGCTCTGATTGGCTACTAATACAATATAAGAATTTGAATGGAGTTATTGTTAATGGCGGGGCTTGTAATAATGAGATAAAGTGTATACAAGTCAATAGGAAAGAGCAACAATGTAGGATTGAGAAACCTTTAATGAATTCATTAGTTTTTATGTTTGGTGACTGGAGGAGTAAAATATATAAACCATACTATATTGGAGAAGGAGGTCACCAGTATTGTTTGAAGGGTCGTCTCTTGGATTCCGATTGCAAGACTCAAATTAGAACTTATCGACAAGATTTCAATTGCAGACAGAAAGGCTTTGTAAGCAAGAGAAGTTGTTCCTTTCACGAATGTGTTCCGACAATTAAATGCCGAACAGAACAACTGACAAACACTATGTCCCTAATAAGGTTTTCCTCCCTTAAGAAAGCTTTTGAACCAGGTGAGAGCGTCATCGTAGCTTGTTCGGCAGGTTATTACATTTACGGTATGTCTCATACCGAAGCGAGAATTGAAGCGATCTGTAAAACTCAAGGCTGGAATGCTAAGGTTAATTGTGTCGATATAAACGAATGTCAATTACACGAATTTAAGGAGAAGAGAAGAAAAAAGCCAAACTATTGCCAATCCTGTACTAATTTACCGGGAACGTTTCGGTGCAGTTGTCAAAGTGGATTTATTCCCAAAACGGATGATCCTATGAATTGCAGGCCTAGTATGCTTATATTTTATCATATTCCTTTAAAAACACTTTCTTTTATAGTAAAAGTAATTCTTTTATTGAAAAATTGGACCTTTTAAATAAGTTTGTGTTTTTATTATAGGATGCAGAGATGATGATTGCAATGCCCCCTATGGGAGATGTAATACTACGTCTGAAGTGTTTGCTTGTATATGTAAAGAGTCATTTAAGGGGAAAACTTGTAATATTCCAGTTAATCCTTGTTTAAGGAGTCCTTGTATTCGTGGAACGTGTAGACCTCAATCAATTGGAAACACTCCACAGTTAAGAGCTGTTTGCACGTGTCTTAGAGGCTTTACAGGGGAAAAATGCGATATTCCAAGTGATAATTTCAATTGTAAAACTATTTATATAATAGCTATATTTGAATTTTATAGATCCGTGCTTTAGTAACCCCTGTAACAATAACGGTACTTGTGTCCATGTCGATAGAGGACAGAGATTTGAATGCAAGTGTTCTAAAAAATATGGCGGATTATTCTGTCAAAACAGAGTTTGCGATATAGAAGTTTGTCGTAACGGAATTTGCGTAGACGATCGCTGTAAATGTCGTCCTGGTTACCATGGGAAATGGTGTAACGAATGTTTGTCAATTACTAATTTTTAGCTCATAATATAAAGTATTTATAATAAATCTTTAACAGATGTAACAATTGCTTTCAGTTGACATTTGCGAAACGTTACCCTGTAAAAATGGTGGAACTTGCAAACGTACCAGTCATCTTTCGTACGTTTGTCAATGCCCTAGAAGATTTTTTGGTATAAACTGTACTGAGGTGGACTATTGCCACAGTAACCCTTGTCAGAATGGAGGACAATGCAGAGCTGTTGGAAACGCCTATAAATGTACCTGTATAACCAATAAACAATTTATGTATTCAGGACCAAACTGCAAAAGTAACAAAAAATAAAACTTTTACAAAATAAGAAGATTATATTTTTAATACATTTTGCAGTATCAAAACCGAATCCCTGCTTCTCTAATCCATGCTGGAACGAAGGTGAATGCATTTATAGTGAACGAAAAATTAATGGTCAAAACTTCAAATGCGATTGTCCAAGAGGTTACATCGGTGATATTTGTCAATCGGCAAGCCTGAAATCCTGTTGTAACATTTGGAATAATTTCATAAGGACTTTTGATGGTTACATTCACAGGAGGAGGGAAATTTGTAAAGAGAGTTTGATTATCGAAAAAAGATCTTCATTTAGAATTGATCTAATTACAAAGGATAGTTTTCCTGATAAATTTGGATGGCCAGAAAGACAAATCCGCCTTACGCTAAACAATCCGCACAAGATTATTCACCTTACTCAAAATCAGGTTCCCTATGAAAAGAGTAAACATTATCAAATATATAACATGGCGAATGGCATGTCAAAAGTTCTTTGGAAAGGAGGGCATGAGCTCTTATTTGACCGATTCAGGGGATTAAATGTATGTTTAGTTCTACTTTGAGGATTATAGGTCTTGCTTAACGATAAGCTATTTTTTTAGATTTGTTTAAATGAGCGCCAGAGAAATAGCTTTGAGTCGAATGGCCTTTGCGGTAATTTCAATGGAAATAAGAAAGATGATTTCAATCCCGCAACGGTGAAAAGTTGTTCAATAGTCCCACCTCCAACTTCAAATTGTCTAACGAAAATAATTGAAGGCAATACAAAGAGGTTTTTCGCTTATTTTATGAATTCTGCAAAATTATGCTTTTCCTCTCCAATCTGGAATAGCATTGACATGGAAAAGTAATACAAAGTCCACTTCTTTCAAAATATAAGTCATTTTCTAACAATAAAACGTCTTGTAGGCTAATCAAAGAAGATACTTGCGGCTATTCAATTGGAGCATTGGATTATTCTATATGTTCAGATTTCTTTAATTTGAGAGGAATCTGTAGGATACCGTATGATAGTGTTCAATGGAATAATGTTTGTGATAGAAAAACTTGCGGACCAAATTGTAATGGCCGTGGCATTTGCGTACCAAAATTTCGCGGTGGCACCTGGTGTGTTTGTTATAAGGGATTTACAGGACCTTATTGCGAAAAACGTTAGCCCTAAGTTATTTTATAAAATGTATTGTATTTCTAATAAACATCATATGCAACAGAAATAGCAACTCAACCTTGTACTTCTCATCCTTGTCAGAATGGTGGAACTTGTAGAAATTCAGAAACACATGACTATACTTGTTCATGTCGCGGAGGCTGGATGGGGAAAACATGTACGGAAAGAGACTGGAAATGCTGCTCGTCAACCGGAGATCCGCATTTTATCACTTGGGATGGAGCGTTATTCGATTATCAAGGTGTTTGTCGCTACGTTTTAGCCAGGATCAATAATGATAACGTGAGAATTGAAATTCGAGTATCGACTAAGAAGAGTGAAAATTTCGATAATCAAGTATCAGTTACGGATGAAGTTTATATAAAAGTAACAAAGAGTGGATTCAATACTCAAAGTTATCTTTTGAGTAGTTTCCTGAATGTAAACTTAAATATATAATTATCTACCTTAATTATAATAATGCGTTGTCTTTTAATTTAATAGAAAAACCAAACTCTACCATTTTCATCTGATTCAATTATGAAAATTACTAGCATTGGTAAGAGAATAATATTTCTTGCGGAGCATAAAAACGACGCCGTAGAAGTGACGCTTACGTTAAGTGATGTTCGAGAGGCCGATGTTTGTATTACTGGTAGTAAAGAGCAACTTAGAGACGGTATCTGCGGTAATGCCGATGGTATTTCCGGTAATGATTGGGTAATGAGAAATAGAAAAAGTAAAGTTCTTACAGATAGCTTAGAAAATGCTGAATTAATTGTTGAGAGTTGGAGAGATAGTCGAATGTCCTGTCCCCTTGTTAAAAATCCACCACTTTGCCAAAGGATCGACCCCTATTGTCGTTCTCTACTTGATAGTGAAGATTTTGATTCTTGTCGTCGAAGGCCTAACAGTGGTGTATTCGACTACTATAGAAGTTGCGCGATGGATGTTTGTCATGGGAGTCCTAGCTTTGCTCGCTTCACCGCCTGCGAGATTATTCACGAAGTTGTCGTAAACGTTTGCGGTTTAAAGGAAGATGTTTTGGCAAAGTATTGTGGAATTGGTGTTTGTTCTCCCAACAAATGCATTAATGGCCGTTGTGAACCCATCGGTAGTCGTCACCACGTGTGCGTATGTAATCAAGGATACGGAGGAGAGTCTTGTTCGATTCCACGTAAATAGATATTTCCTATTGAATCTAATCTAATAAAAATAAAATCACTTTGGTTATTTCTTTTGTACAGCTGCCACTAATCCCTGTAACCAAGTGTCTAGGTGTAAAAATGACGGTATTTGCGTTGCCAAGGGACAAAGTAACTTTAGCTGCAAGTGTCATCATAACTATAGTGATAAAATATGTAGTAGGGGAGGCAGTCACTCTTGTTGTATAATACCTGCCGGGCCTCATTATATTACTTTCGATTCAGCTGTCATCACCTTGTCGGGTGAATGCTCTTATGTCCTTTTAGAAGTTGAAAATATTCGATTAAAAATATCAGTGACAACTAAATCAAGTGGTCAATTGGAACAAATTAAATTAATGTACCAATCAAAAATATATCATATTGGACCTAACGATAAGATAAAAGCTGATGGAAGAGATATATCTCGATTGGATAGTCAATATCGAGATGGAAATGTTGTACTATATAGAGCAGCATCCTCAATTATTGCCAAGATAAACGATCAAATTCGATTAGAATACAACTCAATAGGCAGCTTTATGATTTGTTTGCCTGCATATTACGAAAGAGCGGTAAAAACGAGAGGTCTTTGCGGAACATACGACGGAGATCCATTCAATGATTTGCATAGTAAAGATGGTAAAATTTTAAAAAATGATCTAAATGGTAAACTGGAATTTGGAAGAAGCTGGAAAATTCCAGATAAGACTTGCACGGAAGAATTACTAATCAGGGAATGTTCCAAACAAGATAGAATACTTTATAAGTCTCGCCAATACTGCGGAACTTTAATTGATAATGTAGGACCATTTTCACAGTGCGAAAGGACTGTTAGACAAAATTTCTTTGAAATGTGTATAATGGATTTATGCAACAGACCATCTAACTCATCCATTCACTCTGTAATGTGTCCCAAATACGGAACACTTATGGATAAATGCTCTGAAAAACATACAATTGGATTCCTTAGAGGACATATTTGCGGTATAAAAGAAATATCAATAGATATAAATATTTAAAATTCTTTTTTTGCTACTTTTAATCTCTTCATTTTTTTTTCAAAGCTCCAAATGGCGTTCGTACTGCAACGGGATTCTGCCGAAATGGTGGAAAATTCATTATGATAGGATCTTATGTAAATTAATTACTATTTATTAATTATTAATTCATAAACAATTAAATTAAACTCTACTGCGTAACTTCTTTTATATACTTATCTTTTACAATAGAGCTTTTGCGCTTGCCCGAACTTATATACAGGACGATTCTGTGAAAAGCGTAAGAGAAAAAAAGATAAAATATTCTCTTTCATTTCTATAAATAGATTTATATCTTTAATATAGGTGAATTTGACGTTTGCGCATCAATACCGTGTAAAAATGGGGGGACATGTTTACCGGAAGGACAAAACTTTGCTTGTAAATGTCCAATAGGTTATAGAGGTCGAACATGTGGAAATGAAAGTTATACGATATGTAAAATACAAGGAGAACCTCACTATGTAACTTTTGACGGTGCTGAATTTGATTCTCAAGGCTCTTGTCGTTATTCGGCAGTAATATCTGAATCCCCGAAATTTACTGTTACTATTAATACAAAACAATCTCCTCTATTTACTAAACGTCTTTCAGTACTTCATTATGTTCAATTGTGGCTAGATGAGTTTGTTTATCAACTCGGGCCAGGAAGGCAATTCGTCCGTTTAAAGGTGAATGGAATAATAATAAAATAGATAAAATCGATATTTTTTTCTTTTTTGCTTCAGAGAGATGACGTCTTCAACAGACAAAGTTATTCAATTACAAACAAAAAGACTCCATCTGGTGGAGAAGTTCATGGCATTTTCTATAATCTTCCTATTAACATTAGTGACTATTTAACGGTTCAAGATCACTCAAGTTTCATAACTTTAAATTATAGACATTTAGTAGAAATTGATTATTTCCCAACGGACGAATACACATCAGTAAGCTTTCGAAAATTGCACACACGATCGTCTATTAATTCTATTTGCAGATAGGAATAAATTACGAATTGAGGTCAAAAGTTAATGGTTTGTGCGGTGATGCTAATGGAGATAGACGTAACGATTTTAGGGAAAAGAACGGTAAATTACTAAATGAATCTTTAAGAAGTGGAGAAATTATAGCTCATTCTTGGATTGATATTAGCCAACCGTAAATATAACCACTATCGTTTTATAATCTTGATACTTGTACAGTACAGTATATTAGAATATATGCCTCTTTTTAGGAATTGTGTAGCTCCACCCCCTCACCTTATAACATCTAAGGATTGCATAAATGACGAACATCCTCTATGCAATCTGATTCTATCTGAAGAAGAATCGAAAGTTTGTGGTGAGAGTGTTAGTGTTGATACAGCTCATAGAAATTGTAAATTGGATACATGTTTCGCCGATGAGAATTACAGGAAATTTTTTGCTTGCCAAAGCATCAGAGACTTTTTATTTGATTGTCAAAGAAGTGGTTATACTATGGAGTCGTTTAAAGCAATAGCAGTTTCCGAATGCATGATCGATAAACCATGCTCTGAATTGGAGGAGGGTCAATGCGCTTTTGGAACTTGTGGCAAAATGTTTGACGGCCATATTTGTTTCTGTCACAAAGGTTATAGGGGTCCCAAATGCGATATTACAGTTGATATTTAATAAATAATATATTTAATACATTAGAAACTAGTAGAATGTTCACTTAAAATAATGGTTTTACGAAGAGAAATTGCCGCCATTAAAAAAGAATATTTGTTAAATTTTAGCTTCTCTATATTGTATTTATTCTTTTCATACTTTTCACACAAACAATCGAATTTATAATCTAAAATAGTTAAATTCTTTTAAAAATTTCGTAAAAATGACATGATACAATTGAAAGAGAGAGTAAAGAACATTTTCAATTTGTTCGTTAAAATAGCGGACGATTTCATTGAAGAAGACACGCATTACTATGTAACTATAGGAACTCAATGATTTCTTCTAAGTTGTCATCTGACAAATATACGAACCAAAAATATTCTTGCAAGTATCGTGGGGTGAACAAGAGTTTCGTAGTTGACATTCGTCCACATCTTCACAGCAATAACGTCTAAAATCTAATCTATACCCATTTGGACATTTACGATCGTACCTTTTAGACGCCTTCTCTATTTTAGTACTTATTCCTTGTCTGTTAAAGTTAACCATTAACTTTTGAACAAGATATTTTTGTATGATATCTTTAGACGAACTCTTTATTTCGGAATTGATTTCTGCCGCTATATATGACCTTCCGCCTAAATTCATTTGGGATTTACTAAATATTTGACCATTAGAACCCCTTATGTAAAACTCTTCAAAATATCTAGGCTTACGTCCAAAATCTGTTGGCCATGTTCCGTCGATTTTCGTATTAATTCTTAGTACGCCGTTAGAGTTAAAACCGGAAGAACTGTGTACGACGTATAGAACATCACCAGTTGAAAATCGAATAAACGATTCAATTCTAAATATACCATCCGATATCGTTCGTCCATTCTGAGCTGTACGAACTTCTCTAGCTGTTGCCCAATACACAGGAGACCAAATGAACCAATATTCATTTAAACTATCCCATACAAGCCCTTTATCCCTCCTAAATACTCCTACCAGACGCCTCATTTTTAACGAATTAGCATTATTTTCAAGAGTAATTTCTGCTATTTTCATTGATCTTACAGATACAGCCGCCTTGTCCATGCCAATATCATTTTCAGCAATACATTCGTACAAGCCATCCTCATTAGCTCTAAAGATACTTTTACCCCTCAAACTCCTAGAAGATCTAATTAATCGTCCATTTCGTCTCCAAACAATTTTCGGTAATGGCTGTCCGGATGCTTCACACTGAAGATCCCTTTCATTTCGCGAATGTCGAATAATTCTCGGGGGAGCTTTAAATAAGAGTAATAGTGTTGAATTCTCTTATTTCTCTATTTAAAAGATTCGATTATTTCTACTTACCATGAACAGTTAAAAACAAATGTTTTACTGCAACACCTGCGTTATTTTTGGCTCGACATTCGTACTTTCCAGCATCAGTCACGACCGTATTACGTATAGTTAAAGAGCCATCTTCTGGATTCAAAAGATATCTGGGAGAGTTAGGTATATTTCTCCCGTTTTTTGACCATATTACAGTTGGTCTGGGATGGCCATATGCTTGGCAAGGTAGAATAGTCAATGACGTTGCTTTAACTCCAATTCTTTCTTCTTTCCGTCTGATCCAGGCGGCTTCTTGAATGCTTACGACAAACTGTTTTCTGATAGTACCAACTTCATTCCATGCTACACATGTATACGTACCAGAATCATCAACCGTTGGTAAAGGTAAATGTAAATTACGATTATCGATGGCTGATATTCTATAGCTACGGCTATCTCCATTTCGCAATTGTTCGCCGTCTTTTATCCACATTATCCGCGGCATCGGCTTTCCTTTAACATCGCATATTAATGTTACAGGCTCATTAACTTCCGCTGTTATATCAGCAACATTTGGATTTTTAAAACGAGGGGCTATCAATACTCTCAAGTTGACTCTTTTAGTCTCTGAACCAGCCTCATTGGTAGCTCTACAAATGTATATACCGAAATCCTCTTCAGTAATGCGTCTTATCTCAAGAGTACCGTTATTATGAATAAACTGATTTCTGATTACTCTGCCATTTCTGTACCATTCAATTTTTGCTGGAGGATGACCTCTAGTACGACAATTAAAGAATGCTGTTTCACCAAGCATAACTTGAAGGTCGTCATTTCTATCAGCTTCAATTTTAGGGGATGAATACACTCTTAAATCGAAGTATGCTTTATCTTCTCCAGCTCTGTTTCTAGCCAAGCATTCGTATTGTCCACTATCTCCAGTATGAACCTCTGAAAATTGTAAAGTTCCATCTTCTCCAATTCTATAATCAGGCAAAGATACACCATCCTTCAACCAAATGATTTCAGCTTTAGGTTCAGCTTCAACTTTACATCTGAGAACTGCTCTTGTATTTTCCATGGAAATGATTTTATTCGCTTCTCCTGTCAATGCTTGGTGAATTTTAGGTGGCGATTGAACGACAACTTCAAAGCGTTTTCTCCCTTCTCCTACAGAATTCCACGCTTCGCATTCGTAATAGCCTCCATCATCAATTTGTAGATCATTTACCTCTAGAAGATAGCCTCCCCTCAAAAGACGCATCTTGTTTAAAAGATGTATAAATAGTTTTCGGCCGTCTTTTTTCCACTGTATTGTAGGTGTTGGTTTCCCAATAACATCGCAATTTAATATAACTGATTGGCCACTAATTAAATTGAGAATTTCGGTTGAATTTTCAAAAAATGTAGGTGGGAATTGAACATGAATAGAGAATTTTTTTTCGGAGCGTCCAGCCTCATTTTCGGCTAGACATGTAAACAATCCTGTATCTTCTGTCTTAGCTGGAAAAATTAAAAGACTATCTTCTGCTTCTCTTATTCTTACATCATTAGGAGGAATGAGAGATCCATCTTTAAGCCAAATAATTACTGGTTTTGGTTGGCCTTCGACAACACAGTCGAGACGAATTTCGTTACCTTTACGCACGTTGATAATAAACACTTTATTCCTACCTCTAATGACTGGAGGGACTTTAACTTGCAAATGAAAACGTTTCTTAACCTCTCCAACTGAATTCTGTGCAACACAAGCGTAATCGCCTGCTTCTTTTCTCCTTACATTAGTTATTCGTAGTTCTTGTCCATCAAGAAAGGTAACTATCCTCCTAGAGTTACTTGGAATTTGACTTCCTTTAAAGAACCAATTAACAACTGGAATTGGATAACCGGTGATCGGGCAATGCATAGACACCGTTTCGTTCTCCAATACTGTCAAATTTTCTGCAATATTATCAACTTTTGGCTCAAAATATACATCCAAATCAAACACTTGTCTCGTTGAGCCAGCAACATTAGTAACAACGCAAACGTATCTTCCACTGTCCTCTAAACTTGCCCTTAAGATGCCTAATCGATGACCTCTAATTTCAATACCATTTTTTGTTGTTGAATCTATTTTTTCATTATTCTTGTACCAGGTAATATTGGGAGGGGGAGAACCGGTAGAGGGACATTCAAGATAGACTTTTGAATTTAATAGCACAATTGGTTTGCCAACTAAGTTTGAATCATCAATTATTGGGGGAACAATGACTTTTAGATGGTATGAAATATTTGCGGAACCAGCTCTATTCGTCGCAATGCACGTATAATTAGCCGAATCATTCTCTATTGCCCGTTGAATTTCCAATTGCCTACTTCCAGATAAAAGCCTTGTCCTTTCTCCACCAATGAAAGGTTTTCCATTTTTTAACCATGATACATTTGGGAAAGGTAGCCCTCGTGGTTGACAATTGAAGATTACATGTTTACCTTTTACAGTTGTTGGATAAAAGTTGATACCTTCGATTTCAATGTAAGGTTTAACTGTGAAAAGCGTTATATTTTTTATAAACAATATAGATAATATAAAATACAAACCAAAAACGGATACTATAAAATCTTTATAGGCACTACCAGCTTCGTTCCAAGCAGAACATGCATATCTTCCCGAGTCAAAATCATTAACATGATCAATACGTAATAATTTTCCGTTATTACTTATTTCATGATGCCTTTCTGAAAAATCCAGCATTTTACCATTCTTAAACCAAGAGATTTTTGGTTCTGGTATTCCTCTAGTGAAGCAGTTAATTACTAGTGAATTACCAAGCGTAACATGTATTTGAAATTTTGAACTTTCTTCATCAACAAAGGTTGGAGGTTCTTAATATGCAAATTAGGATAAGAAACAATTATTTATATTTTGTTAATTCCATTGAAATTTCTATTATTTACATACCGTAAACTTTGAAATTAAATGATAATGAATCTTTTCCAATTTCATTTCTTGCTGTACAAGTATAAACACCAGAATCGGATGTCTCGGCTTTTCTTATCTCTAAAATTTCATCTTTAGATAAAGTATGTATTCTAAAATTATTATCTAGTAATCTTCCGTCTTTAAACCAGGTAACTTCCGCCTCTGGAATTGCGTCAACTTTGCAATTAAATTGATGACTTTGGTTAACTATAACAGCAGGATTTGAGTTAAATCCGGTCTTGTCAATTCTTGGTGGTTCTGGATAATATTGAACAAGTTATAATATAAAAGTATTTATTAATTACTATAGTAAAACATTAATAATTACCCACTACTTGGACGTCGAACTCTCTTGAAATACGACTAACAACATTTGATGCTATGCATCGATAAAGACCAGCATCAGCCAAAGTTGCCGATCCTATCCTCAAATTTTCCTTTCTCCAATTTAATCTTCTAGAGTCTTTCTCCCAAATTATATTTGGTGTTGGGTATCCTCCAACTCGGCAAGATAATACTAGGCTTCGGTTTAATGTTAATTTTGTTACTTTATGACCTGGTTCAGGTGATATAAAATAAGCAGGTTGATGGAAATTTACATTGAAATGTTTTTCACTCTGTCCAGCTTCGTTGGTTGCAACACATTCGTATAAACCAGAGTTTGTAATTGAAACCTTTCTTATTTTAAGAACCTCTGAACCATTCGCTTTTGCCAATAAACGACCATTATAATACCATAAAATACTTGGTGTAGGATAGCCTTCTACTCGACAATCTAAGTGGACAGTTGAGTTCATTCTTACTTCCTGCCTCCCGTTTTCGACGCTAGCGAATTTTGGTGGTATTAATACGACAAGGTCAAACACCTTAGAAACTGATCCTGCAACGTTGGATGCTTCACATTCGTAATGACCAGAATTATTGGCTTGCACATAATCAATTTCATAGATTGTAGAATCGAATTTTATACCTTCCCTTATCTTTCTACCATTATGATACCACTTAACTTCTACTGTAGGATCTGTATTAACAGAACAAAGAAAGCGAATAGATTGATGAAGAACAGCTGTCATGTTAGAAGCTGAAAACTGATCGAAAACTGGCGGAGCTATAATCTCAATGTCAAATCTTCTCTCATCATAACCAACAGAATTCTCTACACGGCAATAATATAGGCCTTTATCCGACTTCCGGCTACTAACTAATTTCAGTATTTGATTGTTCTTTTCCAAACTAATTCGTTTCTCGGGTAAATTATCAAGTAAAATATCGTTTTTATACCATGATACGGTTGGGAGAGGTAAACCGTCCACAGAGCAATCAAGTATAATTGTTGAATTTTGAATATGTACATTCTCAGCAAAATCAACTTCTTGTTCTTTCAAGAATCTTGGCGGTACTTTAAAGTTTGTTAAAAAGTTATTAATTAACTAATGATTATATATCAGTTAAAATTTTATGTTAAATAATTACCAAGAACTGTTACATTCATATTTAAAGATGCATTTCCCGCTCTATTCGTCGCTAAACATTTATAAATACCAGCATCGTGTTGGTTAACTTTTCTTATATAAATGGAATAGTCCATTTCCAATCTCATTTTATTAAATGGTATTCCATCTTTGAACCATCTTACTACTGGCTCTGGCGAGGCATATGCTGGACACTCAAGAGTCAACGAGTCCTTTATAGCAACAGTCTTTTGCGTAGGCTCATTGAAGATTATCTTTGGTTGTTCTAAAAGAGGAAGCATTGATTTATATAGGGATAGCCTATGCTTATAAACTAATTTCTTACCATCGACGGTCAATGAAAACTGACGAGTAGCTATACCGGCCTCGTTTTCTGCAATGCATTCATATAAACCAACGTGTTTTGGTTGAACTTTATCAATTATCAATGAATTTTCTTCTAGACGATGTCTAACTTGTAGAATCTAAAAAGGAAGTGATTAGTCATTATAATGTATTCCTTCTACAAGAAAAATAAACTTCAAAGGACATAAACTAACTTTCATATCTTTTTTCCAACCTATTACTGGTTTAGGTTTACCAAACACAGGGCAATTTAAAGTTACTTGCTGATTTACAACAGCCCTTAGGTGGCCTTGGGCTGTACCATTAAAGCTTGGAGGCACGAGAACAGTTAAAGTAAAAATTCTTGTATCTTTTCCAGCTGAGTTAGATGCTTCACATTCATATTCCCCTTCATCACTTTCTACTACTCTGTCAAATCTTATTGACGCGCCATACGACGGTGATTTTTTACCTAGTCTTCTCCAAATAATATTTGGTTCCGGAGTACCATCAGCTTCGCATAGTATTGCTAAGGAATTTCCCAGAATCGCTCTGTAGTGTCGTCTTGCAGAGCGAATAATTTGTGGAGGATTTAAAACTAACAAGCTCATACTTTTAAAGTCCATTCCAATATCATTAATAGCTGAGCAAGTATAACGACCCGAGTCTGTTAATCTAGCATCAAATATACGTATACTTCCCGATCTATCAATATAAAATCTCGATTGATCTTGCTCTTCTTCTACTCTTCTCCCATTCTTCAACCATGAAACCAATGGCTCAGGTTTTCCAGTTGCCCTACAGCCTAGGGAAATCATAGATCCCTTCATTACTTGAAGTGACCCTTTAGAATCGTTTGCATGTATTTTAGGCGCCTCTTGTACTTTCAACGTAGTAACGAATTTCTGCTGACCACCCACATTTGATGCCACACACGCGTAATCGCCTTCATCTTCAGCCTTTAAATAAGCAATAAATACTCTATAATTGTATAATAAACCTACAAAAGGTGTCTACACTAACTTTAGTTTGCGAAATAACTATATTATTGTGACGGCCAATGGAAATTCGTCCACCAGAAGTGAGTTTATTCCCGTCTTTCATCCATTCGACTATTGGAGGAGGAAAACCTCCGTATATTCGGCATGATAAACTAGTTTCTCTTCCTAATAATACGTATTCGGTTGGATTTGAGTATTCTATTCTTGGAGCAACTATTCCATCGACAGATATTACAGCTGTAGTATTTATCGAACCAAACTTATTCTCTAAAATACAAGTGTAAGAACCTTCATCTTCTTTCTTAACTCCGATTATATTAAGGTAACCATCTTTAGATTGTGTAATTCTTTTGGTTTCTTTATTATCAATAGACCATTTTACAATAGGTTTTGGAGACCCTATACCAGCACAAGCCAATGTAATATTTGATAAAATCCTAACTCTAGTTGAACTTGGCTTCTCCGTAAAGCTTGGGATTGAACCAACAAACAAATTAACTCTTCCTGAATCTTTACCCCCTTCATTTTTAGCAACACAATCATAAGTTCCTTCGTTATCATCGCGTACTTCTTTTATTTCCAATTGTTGACCCTTATCATGTAATTTGAATAAACTTCCATCCTTTATTAGTTGATTCTTAAAGAACCAATCAACAACTGGCGTAGGTTGACCTCGGGCTTCGCATTTCAACCTCACAGTATCCAGCTGATTTATTAGCACTCTGTTCCTTGTTACTGTGATTGTCGGTTTTTCTAAACAAAGAAGAAAGAAAAGGGGCTTTTTTATAGTTCCTTGTTGTTATGGAAATGAAAGAAAAGTAAGCCGAAACTTGGTGCTTAAACTGTAAACATTTACATCTGTCCATGGCTAACATATGGAAACGGTACGCGTATTTTTTGTTTATAATATACATACCTATGTAAATTAAATGAGAGAATGCAGACGCACTTCCCGCCGAGTTCTTCCCTTCGCATTCGTACTTTCCGGCGTCTTCAATTCTTAAATTGTTTATCATCAAGCTTCCCCTTGTCCTATCAAACCAAATACGACTCGAGTACTCTAAATTCGATCCTTCCTTTTTGAACATGAAACCCCCTTGAACTTTTGAATTTGATGAACATGTAAAATTGATTGAATCTCCCGTTCGATATTTGAATTGGCGAGGCGTTATTGTAATTTTCGGGAAACCTTGCAAAGTTACGTTTATTGATGATTTTGAAGAACCTCCTTCATTTCGCGCTTCACAAGTATATATTCCAACATCCGTTCTACGTATATCATGAAGAATAAGTGTTCCATTGTTAAACAATGATGTTCTATGAGGTTCTAGTTCAACTGACTTTTTAGAGTAATAAGTGCGGGACCAAGTAATGTTAAAGTCAGTTTTAGAGAAGACTCTACAATATAGGACAAGCTGATCACCTTCCACAACCTCAACTGATTTTCTATCGACCTTTATAACAGGTTTTGAATCAAGAACGTCTAAAGTAATTTGGGCTATCCTATAACCAGCTCTATTTGATACGTTGCACATATAATTGCCTTCGTCGATTAGTCTTGCTCTCGTTATCTCCAGTGTTGCATTGTCCGGCTGAGAAAAGAATAGGTCTGGTCCTATATGGTTCTTCCCTTTAAACCATTTAACCTTATATGGGACAATACTCTTAACGAAGCAACTCAATTTTATGCTCTCCCCTGACGGAACTTTTAATAGTGGCGATGGAGAATGTACAATAGGTGGCTGAGGAACGCTTGCCTGTATAGCTGTTTGAGAAAACCGTTGGAAAGGTAGACCCCTATGGTCAGTACCATTAATCATTACATAATAAAATTCTGTTGTAGGCGGTAAAAATGGAAAGGAATAAACATATGGTAGTTGGCCCCCTTCTCGTAAATCATCCAAAAGAGAGTGTACAGCGATTTCATTACCTTGTAAATCTGTTAATTTAACGCTCTCTAACTTTGTCTTGGAATCATTAGTTGTTAAATTAACGAGCATATAGTTTTGGGCTGATGTTATTGGTCTGAAGAAGGTCTTGTTCATGGAGAAGGTCGGTTTTAAAGAATACCCATGTGTAAAATCCAAATCGCTTAAAGCGTTTACTCTGACCTGATGGGCAGATGAGCTGGATATTTGTAAACGCCATGAACCAAACTTAGGCTTTCTTACTGTCACGACAATACCATTAGCCAACTTTAGCGTTGAAATTAAGCCCCGCTTTTTATCAAACTTTTCCCCATCTGGATCGAATAAACGTATTTTGGGATCGGAGCCACTTACAGTTACGGTAAAACGCTGAATTCTCGAGTCAATTGGTAGTAAATAAACGTCTGAAACTGCTCTTTGGCGTTGATTCACCGTCAAAACATGAACTTTACGAGACCGAACAGCCTGCCTGACGATCTTGAGAACCTGTTGGAAACATTAAACGCAGCCAATGAGCGAAACTCGCGGGAACAAGATATATTTGAAATTGTGTGATGTTTGCGAACCCGATTTACTTGATTCTTCTTAGTAAGGAACACCTGGCCGCTGCTTGTCTGAGCTATTCTTTGAAAAGCATAGTATCCTGGGTGAGATGTGTTGCCACAATCACCAGTTAAGACGAATACCACTTGACTTTGTTTTTGTTGAATAAGTGAGAGAACTTGTTCGGTTTGTTCGTAGTCTTTTGATCGCGCATCAGTGAAAACATAGATGAGTGAATTAGGAAGAGAAGACTCAAGTGCTAGCCGAATAGCCGATATAGATTTTTCCGGACAATCTCCTCCCCCCGATACCGTCAAGTTGCGAAGAAAGTCTTGAAAGCGATCCGCATTTCGGGTTATTCGAACTGGACCAATTTCTGAAACATTGGCGTGATTGAACGTGCCCCAAAGCCTGCTTAGTTTTATAAATAAATACATACAGACGGGACTTTTAATGGCGATCATAAAACGCGCTTTAGCACGGTTAACAAGTCAACGCTAGGTCATCTACGCAAATGGCAAAAAGAAGAGATAGAACATAAAAAGCAGATGCGGCAAAGATTAGGTAACTACTAAGTGCATCAGAAGCATCCAATTATAAACAATATACAGAAATCTTTTTTTTCTCCTTACCTGGATCCCTTATAGGCACGAGAATATAATTGTAAATGAGCCTCTTCCTCTTCGATTCGATCTCATTTAAAATTTTCGCCGCTGCCTTTATTAACTGCGTTAAATCATCGTACATGGAACCGGTTGTATCAAAAACAATAGCTAATGAAACCATTTCCCCTCTTTCCGAAGATGCTGGATAGCTTGCAATCCTTTCTAAAAGGCCCAAGATGAGTATAATGACGAGTAATTTCATGGTGAGTTGGAAAAGAAGTGCGCGCCGCGGAAAACTTTTTAACTTTCTCACAATCTATCTATACTTTTCTCTTTCTTTCTGTTTCTCTGTCTCTCTTTCTTTCTCTATATTAATCTATCTCTATCTTTCTCCCAACCCCTCGTTCTAACTCTCTTGCTCTCTTTCGAATACAGCGGAAGAAGATGGTCGTAGAGTTTATATACACCGTCTATAAACGGCAGGGGGTGTACGCGCAAAAAAACAATTCAAAAATAGAATCCGCTAGGTGTCTGAATTAAAACTGTATTTCAAATCTCTTCGACACGCTTATACAAAGTTTGCATAGTCGTTTTGATTTGATCTAAAATTAAAAGTGATGACGACAAAACTTTCTTCCATTTTGCCGATTGAGTTTTATAAATATTCTCTTCATCATCAATCAATTGGCGCCAGTCAGTTCTATAAAATGAATATAAAGAAGAAATAATCATAAAATTTAATTTAAAACATATTCGTACATAAGGGAAATAAACCTACTTAATACTAGGTTCGCTATTCCTGTAGAAAAGTAAAGTTTGACTTTCCAATTGACTAATCTTTAGGAAAAGGAATACATTCAGGAAAATCAGAAGGATGATTCTGTTTGAAAATGTCATTGTTTGTATATGCTTATTTAAAAGGTTTCTTATTTTTTGTGCATGTACTAACATGAAGCAAAGGAAGAGAGCCAAAGTATTAGCACTAAGAGAAAATGCCAAAGGCTGACTCGAATATCTTGACGCATCCATATGAGCAGGTCGTTCGAAGCTAGAAGCAATTGATTGGCTTTGTTGTTTATGGCGTTTTCTCAATTTTTTCTTTGTGCTATTGTTCATGCTATTATTATTATTAGACGTCGTCGATCCATGATTCCTATCAGCTTCTCTTCTTAAATGTACGGCTTAAAACAAACATTTTAATTATGAAAAATAACATATCTGTGGGAGGGGGGGTAGAAACAAAAACCAATTAAAGATAATATCATTAATATTATAAGAAAAACAAAAAGAAATTAATTAATAGGATTATTAATTAATATTAATTATAATATGTTTATGTATATATTAAGAAAACCAAGAAAATAGTTTCTTTAATATATATTATGTTTATAAAAGCGATAAAAGAAAGTAAAAAGTGGAAAGTTAGCAATAGTTAGTCTCACCAAGCAAGTTAAAATTCTCGGATAACCCAGAAGAAGAAGTTTTTTCAATCAAGCCTGTCAGAACAAAACGTTCGATACATACCTAAAAGATTAAAATTTTCGGGCAAACCCTGTTGGGCACATTTACCCACAACCACTAAAAACAATATTTACAATATATTTTATATTTTATCATATTGTAACATGTTTGAAAACTTTAGATAAGAAAAAAGAAGAGAAAGAATGCTTTTTGAGTGACACAAACCCTTAATTGGTCCCCATGCTTGTTTTCTGTACTTTACTTCACAATGCACCTTTAGTCTTGTCTTGTTATTTGATTCTTTGAGCAAGCAAAATCTAGTAATCGTATAGAAAGTGTCAGCGTATGGAACCTCCAAATTATGAACTTCTGCATCGACAATATAATGCGAACCCGGCTTCGATTCCGGAAGGATCGTTTGCTTTTCAGTTGTCTTTGTAGATTTAGGTCCAATCTTGTAATTGAGAGATAGTGTATATGTAATTAATCTTGATTTAGAACCATCCTCGTCAAATTCCACCGGCCAGGGCGTCTGTATAAGTTCAGTTGTCTTTCTAGACGCTAAAAAATCTCTATAAAACTGTGAATCTGTAAAAAGTAGCTCAAACATGTAATCAACGTCAAGACCAAACACATCGTTTAATGCCATTTTCCCCCCATGCTCATGACTTTCGCAAACATTTTCACCAACAAAGACATCATCAGAATCTGATTTTCTTACAGCTGGGGCAGGGGGTATGGGAGAGGACGAGGGTACCACTTGAATAGCTGAATTATCGTTTGTAGGTATCATCATAGATTCACTTTGTTCAGCTGCTGATAAGGAGTTTCCACTGTTCGAAGTCGGAATCTGTAGAACGTTGTTACGATTTTCTTCCAATGGATAAACGAAATTGTCATCAATATCGCTCTTGTCCTGTAGAAACAATTAGAATTATTTAATTTTTTTTTATCGATTCATGAACAAATCATAAAGTAATCATTGAATGTGTATTTGTTATATTTTAACAATCAGCAACGAAGCCATATATATACATATATATACAAATATAGAGAAAATATAACATGTAAAAAGTATTCTCAAATACAAACGTTTTTTATGCAGTAATTAATCTAATGTTGAGTATGTAATTATATAGTAACCTTTTAATATAATATCATAACCTAGAGTGACCTATGTCCCATTTCAATATCAATTTACGTAAATATATATATATATCAACGAACCACAATCAAAATCAAATTATTATACTGTCTGCTATCAACGTATATCTCAAATTTTCTATAACATAAAATAATATTGATAATATAGAAAGGTAAAGCAGCCTAAGCTAGTAGGTTGCTGAACAAAGGAGTATTTTAATTTAACCAAATAAAATAAATTCTGAATATTAACGTAAATACTAACATATAATGTATATATATATATATATATATATATATATATATATATATATATATATATAATTGTGTGTTATATATTTTTCCCTTTAAATACTATAAATTTGTATAAATATATAAGTATATATACAGTTGGTCGACTTCCTGATAAGATTTATATGAATTATTGATTTTTATTAGATATCTTTAAGCAAAATATATCAAAACATATACTTCACAATTAAGGATATATACAACAAAATACTATTATTCTACTACAGACCGTATCCATATTACTTGCAGCCGATGTCTTTTTCCTCCTCAAACGAGGTGTCAATTTTGTTATAACTGTATTCATTCTAATAGTTTACTGAACCTCTGAATAGTACTTATTAGTCTTTCTTTCACCAATACATGTCACAAAATAGCTGCAATTAATTATAGAATATAAAGAGAAATGTGAATGATTACTTATTAGGCCTGTTTAATTAATAAACTTACAGTGAAGTTTCACTGCTGAGAGAGATGTTTAAGCCGATTGCCTTAATTAAAGATTCTATAAGTGTTAAATCCTCGTATTGTATATACACATCTACTGCATTGATACATTTGTAGCTCACGTATATACACAGCATTTATTTGTATGTTCAAGTACACGCATTTGTCGTTTGAAGTTCGTATAGAGATAGGGAGTGAGTATGAGAAAATGAGATTGGAGTTAAGGTACTTTTACGACTTCAGGTTTTAGTATAACATATATTATACTATGAGGCCTTAAGTTTCAATATAGTTTTTTTCAATCTGTATACAAATAGGGAAAGTCTTGCTCAACTGCTGAGATAGATGGGGAGTATTAATACTCCTAATTAAGTTTATTCATTTTCATGTAATACAGATTAATAAGGATTTGGTTCCCTAATATAACTTAAGTAAAATATAAAGCTATTCACTTACAAATAATTGATTTCGACAACTCGGTGTTCAGCCAGAGTTATTAAATCGACAATTACTTATTTCTTTTAAAAAGTTTGCCGATCTATCATGACTCACACCAATCGACAGATATTCAGCTTTTTTTAACTAGAATTAGGAACGTCTAGATAGCGTGAGGAATTTTGTGGCGGAGGCGAGTTCAAAACCGCGGTTAAGGTTCAATTCTAAATATTATTAGATAAGCATTAAAATATCGAAATCGACAATTCGATATCAAATAAATAAATAAATTTTATTATTTATATTTAGTAATTAGTAGTAATTTAAATTAGTTAAATCGTTCAGAATAATTTTTTTCGTATACTCGGCCATGTTCTTCACGCATGCGCATTTTAAGCACTTTCGGCGTTCCGTTTGGAGCGTGATTGTTTCGTTCGTCATATAAGCTAAGTTGTGCTAATAAAACGTTCTTTTTGGAGCAATTTGATAGATCAGTTAAAGTATCGAATTGCTGAATAAAAGCGATGTAAGTATTATTGTATTTCTCGCCGTCTCTCAGGTATAACGGCGATGCGTCATTGTTAGTTTCATTGACCTACTTCTGTTTCAGCCGCATGGCTACCAGGGTTTATATTGGGAGACTGCCTTATGGCGTACGCGAAAGGGATGTCGAAAAATTCTTTAAAGGTTACGGCAAACTTCGAGAAGTTTTACTCAAAAGCGATTTCGGCTTTGTGGTGAGTTTTAAAATTACAACCATTATACTTTTATGGAACGTCAATGATTTCAGGAATTTGAAGATCATCGAGATGCAGATGATGCTGTTTACGAACTTAATGGAAAAGAATTACTTGGAGAAAGGTTTGATAATTTGATTAGGAATATTTTGAAACGATATCAAAACGTTATTTTTTCAGAATTGTAGTAGAGTTTGCTAGAAGATCACCACGTGGGCCTCCTGACTGGAGAGATGAACGCTACCGTCCACCACCAAGAAGACCCCCGCCATCGTCAAGAGACCGTTATGGTCCACCTACCCGAACAGAGTATCGTCTGATAGTGGAAAATCTGTCGTCTAGATGCAGCTGGCAGGTACGTGCAAGCATATGGCAAGTAGAATCAAGCGAAGCGGACGATACGATCGAGAAACGACGGGCGCTTCAAGACTCTGAAAACACATTTTCGAAAGAAAAAAATTATATTTTTTAAAATTGATTTAGAACAGGAGGCGCAAATACGTTGTGTGTGTTGACGGGGCGAGCGTATTATAGAAAGAGGCCGCTGCGTAGACCACAGCCAGCCAAACGTTGTCTCGTCCGATGCGTCTTGTGTTCCTCTTACAATATCCCTGCCGCGCGATACGTCACGTGACAAAGTCACACAGGTAAATTAACTGATTGTCAAAAGACACAAAACTGTGCATGTGTGCATTCTATGTAATCCTAAATAATAATAATGACAAACGTGTGCGTACATGGTGGTGGACGAGCATAATGGCTTATGAAGTTTCTTGGTGGTTTTGGCGTATCCGTGGTCCATCGCCTTCACGAATCGTCCAGCCGTATGATATGGGGATATTTTACCAAGACTGCTAATTATAATGAATTTTTTAAGTTTGAGAGATGCATATCTTGACAACCTATATACTTATTTATTTTATTGCTTAGTTTACATCCAAATACCTACTTTTTTTAACTAAGCAAAATATTCTTTTGTGAATATTTTTAAAATTACTTTTCGTAATCCAATCAGGACTTGAAAGACTACATGAGACAAGCCGGGGAAATAACATATGCCGATGCCCATAAGACACGTAGAAATGAAGGGTAACCTTTATAAATAATCTAAAAAATTTCATTTAACCTAACTATTGTTGACATTACAGAGTCGTTGAATTCGCAAGCTACAGAGACCTAAAAACAGCCATTGAAAAGCTTGATGGTACCGAAGTCAATGGGCGACGTATTCGTCTGATTGAAGATAGGGGAAGATACAGAGACAGAAGAAGTTATTCGAGATCTCGCAGCAGATCTCGTTCAAGAAGAAGGTAAAATTAAATTGAAAAACTATTATAGAGTTAATAAGTTAGTCGTTTCAGAAGTAGAAGCAGAAGCAGAAGCTCAAGAAGTAGAAGAAGCAGAAGTCGTAGAAGCAGAAGCACCAGAAGTCGGAGTCGTAGAAGCAGGAGCACAAGAAGTAGAAGTAGAAGTAGGAGCAGAAGTCGTAGGAGTAGAAGCACTAGAAGTAGAAGTAGAAGTAGGAGCAGAAGTCCAAGGAGTAAATCAAGATCAAGAAGGTTAGTAATTTATACTTTTTGTAATATTGAATAAATTAACTAATGCGTAAATTTATGCTTTTACAGTAGGAGCCACAGTAAAAATCGAAGAAATGGCAGCAGGGATCACTCTCGATCGCGCTCGAGATCACCTTCTCGTTCACGTTCGAAAAGCCCCATGAGCGAAGGAAAACAATCGCGTTCGAGATCTCGTTCTAGGAGCAAAAAGAGTGCTAGCAAGGACCGATCACCCAGTCCAGCAGCTTCAGTGGAAAAAGATGTATCACCCGTAAGAAATAATGAAGATCCAGAACAGGAGAGAAGTAGCAGTCGTTAGAGTGTTTCACCAATATTTGCTGTTTTGATGTTTGTCGTATACTTAAAAAAAAGCATTGTTTAAAATTTATTTGTATTTATAACAACTAAGCATTATTCTTTTAATGGTTTTTACGTGTTGTGTTATTAATAAAGTATGTCATTTTGAGCTCACATATTTATTTTGATTCAACACTTGTAAAAACATTTGTAGAAGTAACTTTTTATTCACTTATCACATTCGTTAAAGAGTTTAATTTTATATTTTGTATATACTGTATTTTATGTCACTGTGTGAACATTTGCATTTAAAAAATTATTCTGAGCAATACAACTGCTACGACAAACGACAATCATCACGTTTTTTTTCACCGGAAATACAAGTTCCGCATAGAATTTTTTAAAAAAGAGTTTTGACTGAGTTGTCATTCAGTTTTATGGCTTTTAGCTTAGCTAGAAGAGTCAAGTATTAAAAAAAGTAATAGATTAATTGAAGACAATTTTTTTTGTAGAATCCATTTGTTAGTTCTCTAAGTCATACTAATTTGGCCTACTGAATTAGGCTTTGGCGCAGTGCGAGACTTGGGGATGCAGTTTTTCTCGATTCACATAACTCACACGATTACTGTTAATAAAATCACATAGAAGAAAACAATGTTTAAAGGATTAGAAGTGAAAAAAAATGTAAATCGTTTGAAGAACAATCTTGTGAGGTAAGATATCACTTGTTATAGTTGGGATGCTAAAATATAATAATTAAAAGTAGTAGTCTATACATGAATATTAATGAAGTATATAACAATAGGAAATAAATACAAGACTGCTTTGTTTAAGGAAATAGTCCAAGATATGGAATATGTACGCTATTCATAAGTTTTATAGTCGTTTATTCCCAAAAAATACGTTATAGTCTCTTTCAGAAAGGAGAATGTTGAAAAGTTGATACAAAAAAGTGTTGACAGTTTTGACTAACGTTCGAGGAAGGAAATTCTAGCTTTAATTTAATATAAAATCAACTTTTTCATAGAAAAATATATAATTATTCTGAATTCACAACGCCATCTGTTGACTATCACCCTTGGTAAATATTTCTGGTCGGCCTAAACTTTTTATATCTATACAACCGTATTGATTCGTTTCTGAGGAAGAGAAGGTGAAAACATGCCGAGAGTACGAGTTCGTTCGTTTTTGGCCAGATCGAAGCTAGAAATTACTCCTCTTCGGTAAGGCCCGTTGTTATCTATAAAAAAAAGAGCGATCTTAATAATGGGGATCAGTCCTAGTCATAAATTCCGAAAAGAATAATAATTGAACGCCATTGAAATAACGCAAGATTTTAACAATCAATTCGTCATCATAATAGAACGTTCTACGTAACTTACAACCTTACCTTTTCAATAGAAGTCGACTGTCAAATGAATTTATCCCCATAAAATTTTAACAGTAGCTCGGCTCTTATATTACAACTGATAATAGATAAGTGTAATTTAGATTGAATGGTGCATATTTTCGATGATTGTGGGAGAAGGCGTATGTTATGGATAGATTTCGAGTCTTTTCCAGCCGTCGGATCAAGTATTTATTATAGATTTAAAATAGTCGTTTTTGTGTTAAGCTATTATCTTACAGTTGAGCCTGTTCTTGTAGAGAATTTGCTTTAAAGATTCATAAATCGATAAGAGAAAAAAACATATATATATACTGTATACATATAATTGCATTTACTGTTTTTGTATATTTATTTAAAGTCGTGTTAAAAACGAATATGCTATTGCATTGAGTCGCTTATTAACTATCATTAATAGTAGAAAACGATTAACTTTAGACTTAATAGGCTTATATGGCTTTAACACTGACATAGTTTGATCATATGTCAGGTGTAGTCTTAATTTTCGTAGGCCTTTTTGTGCTGGTTCCTCCCCTAGATTGATGACAAGTTTATTATTCCTTTTTAAAGAAATGAAAAGAAGGATGCTATACCAGAGGAGCTAAAGAAATATAATGAAAGAGTAGACGCTGTATTCAGCTCGATGAGTGTAATTAATAAAGCGCTAACAAAGTTATACGAAGGTCCCAACTTGACAACGGAAAAACAAAAGAAATATGCCGAGCATAGACTATCTTTAGCATTCCACGAGACGGCCCATACTTTGAGCAACGCTTCCATTGATCAAAATATTAATAGTCCTTTAGTTCAAGTAGTATCACAAATGGCTGGCTTAGAAGCAAATTTAGCGAATAAAAAATTCCTTTTCGAAAAACAAATTCACGAAGCTGTTGTAAAAGATATTGGAAATATTCTTAAGAGTCAGCCCCAAATACACAAATCGCGGTCCCAATTGAAAAAGGCCCAGCAAGAATATGAAATGGCCGAAAATAAACTGACATCGGCCTCTAGGCAAACGAATGCTCAATCTCAGAATAGCGAAAAAATAGCTACTTTAGAGAAAGAGAGGAACGATGCCTTAAATTCAATGGAACAGTTAAGAAATGATTTAGGTACTGAATTATATGAATTTACTGCAAAGGAATCTTCACATTGTGAATTGTTTACGAAATTAGTTCACCTGCAAGAAACATACCATAATGATTGTTTAAAGATTATCAAAGAGAATTTAGAGATAATTAAAAAAAACAACGAGGAGGCAAAAGAAGAGCCATCATTTGGTAGAAGATTAAAAGATCATTGTGATAAAGAAACTAAAATTGCATTCGTTATACAAAAGTGTTGTGATCTTATTAGAAATAATGGCGGTCTGACTGAAGAGGGTTTACTAAGAGTGCCTGCAAGTACTTCTCGTCTCAAGAGATTCAAGGCTGCTTTGGACGTGAATGCCGACAATTTTGATAAAAGTAATTTTGATGTTCACACGGCAGCTGCTGCTTTAAAACATTACTTAAGGGAACTTCCTGAACCTCTTCTTTTATCGGGAAACTACGAAGATTGGACTATAGCCAACTCAGAATCCGATATTGAAAAGCGTAAAGCATCTTTTAGAAAGATTATCAATAATCTACCGGAAAGCAATAGAAAAAACATTCAATTTCTCTTCCAATTTTTAAAGGACGTAGAAATAAATCAAGGGGTAAATAAGATGACTGCAAGAAATTTAGCAATAGTCATTGGACCTAATCTAATGGCATATGGAACGGATGAGAAGGAAAGATTTATCAGTACTCAACTAGGTTCAACAGTTACTGAATTTTTGTTGACCAATTACGATTATTTCTTCAATACTAAAATTGTACAAGAATCATTCAAGCCTACGTCTGGTAAGTTAATATTTTAAAATTAATACGTGATTTTTTAAACGACTCACTAAAAAAATGCTTTATTCTTTTTATCAGCTATTGTTCCACCACCTAGGTTAACAAGGTCGATAGATAGTAAGTATATACATGTGTATATAAATAGGTTTGATTTTAATGGCGCACCACTTTTTTTCGTTTTTCGTTTGTTTTTTTTCAATAGATATCCATTCTTCGACACCTTCACTTAGGGATAGTTATAATGACATTTATTCAACGTCATCCTGTCTTATTTCTTTAGGGGCTGACCCAACCTCATTTCATAAAGAAGCCCACGGATGTTTGGACAGACAAACGAGAATAGCAACAAGTAATCACTCATCACTAAGTTTTTCATCATCATTGACAGATTCTTCGGATTTAAATGTAGTCAGGAAAAAGCAAACAGCTCCTCTCCCTCCCGATCAGAAAAAGAAACTGTCTTTATCTCCCACGAATAGTAGTAGCTCAGAAAGTACAAGTACAAAAAACCCTAATAATCACTCAATGGAAAAGGAAATAACATTGGACGTATCTTCAATAGAAAGTACTGAAATTCTGGAACAAAACCCGAGACCACTAACACCCGATAAACCACTTAGCGAAGATAACACAGCTCCAGTAAATTCCGATGTTTTCGAAATATCTGATTCACCAAAGGAGGCAAGTACACAGATAGAGAATACTTATTTATAATTATTAAAAATTGAAGAGTTTAGTAGCAAATCAACTAATATTAGAAATAAAATGAAAGCAGACAACGCAAAAATATAGCCTATTCCGCCTAAATTTCTCGTCTTAACTTATCTGCAGGAACATTTAATCAAGTTTATCCGAACTGTAACCTTTTTTTTTAATTTGTTTTTCCTATTATCATACTATATATATATTTATAAATATGTATAGTATTGTTTATATATTATCGTATTTATACTAATTAATTAATTCAAGCAGAATTCTGAAAAGACTGCAAAAAAAAAAATACCGCAAATTTTTTTTTCTTCATTTGAAAGATATTGAAAGAAACATATAATATATTTTTCTAAATATACAATTTGTTAACAAGAAAGTAAAAATAACAAAGGAAGCTTAATTTTATACTCTATTTGTTAATAGCCCAATTGAAAAAGATAACGCCCATAGGGATGTTTTTTTTTATTATAGGTCTAATAAAGTAAATCCGTTAGTTAGAACTAATACAACTAATACACCTTTTCGTGATAGGGATATTTTTAATGATTATTCACATCTTAGTAACTTTGAAACTTTTTATTTTTACTTTTCTTCTTACATAGGCTATATTTTGTACGATGACTAATTTTCTTACTCTTTCTATAGCTGTATATATATATATATATATATGTATTTCTTTTATTCAATAATCCGTCCTATTTTAAGTAAATAACATAGTTAAAAAATTTATACTCTATGTACTGTGCATATAGAGTTTATAGGTTATAGTTTTTATAATGAAACTTAAGGATTTAACTTATTCATTCGTTTTCGATTAACATTTAAAACAATAATATACTATCGAGAAAGAAAGCTGCCTATTGATTGAATATAAACAGTATTTATATATCTTTTAACATTTTCTTTTACTTATCAAATCCTTAATTAAAGAGAAAAACTATTCTTATTTTGATAGAAACCAAAACAAGAACAATAACAACAAAGAAACAAAATAGAAGGGAACAAAAAAAAACTTTGTACTATCTATAGTAATTATATATACATGTATATATAAATATATGTATATTTATATATGTATATATGTATAAGTGTATTTATATATATATACATATAAACACAGGATATGAAAACAATGTAAAATAAAAAAGTAGAAAAGGGAAAAAAATTAAGCCTATTATTTAAACATTGATCTCTCTTTCTCTATCTATCTATCTCTCAATCTCTATCTAACTTTTCTCTCTTTTATTTTCTTGTTTATATTCTTTTGTCTTTTTTTGAAAATTTCTATTTAAGTACTTATTGTAAAAACAAAAAATTCGATTAAAAATAAATTATAACCCTATTGAGTGTTTAGTGCTATGATCATATATTATTATCTCTCTCTCGCTCTCTTTTCTTTTTTGGTTGTAATCTATCTATCTATCTATCTGTCTATCTATATATCTATCTTTACTATTAAAAAAGATCCACTCAGTCTCTTTCTATTATTTTTTTGCACTTTTATTACTGAAAGTGTAACTCTTATCGTACAAGCATACTTTGCGATATTAGGCCTACTTTCCCCCCAAATATAACTTGTACACGTATAAGACTAAAAAAAAATACAACACCGGAAGTAAAAGCGAGGAGTAGGAAAAATTCCAAGTTAAATATTCCCCTTTATGATATTATTTCCATTACAATAAATGTTTTATGAAGTACATATTTATTAATATTTTTTACAGAGTAATAAATCATTTTTTATCTTTAAGTTATTCATTTTATTACTATTTAATGTAATACTGAATATAAAATTCTATCTTTTATAATATTATTCATCTTTTAATAGTGATAATACTATTATTCATTAAATTAGGTTAGGCTTAAGAAATAAGATTTTAAATATATTATCTTATCTAGCTTTTAACGAGATAATTGCATAAAAAAAAGTGTAATTTTATAATTTTATATGTTATAATAAAAAAACTTAATTAAAGAAGAGAACATAAATGTTCTTTTTGACATATATTAAACAGAGCTAAACTGGTATATAGGGTTACATATATTAGTATATAAATTTATATATATATATATATATATATATATATAGTGTAATAACATATCGTTCTGATTTCAACAGCAAAAATTCAATAATTCAATAAATAAATAATAAATAATCCTCTCATTATCTTGATATACAATATTTCTTTAATCAGCAACTAAATAAACATTATATTTCCTATTTTCTAAATTAGACCTTAACGAAAATAGGGTAAAGGAAGTTTAAAAAAGAACATTAGTAAGTCATTTAGCATAAAAATTCCTAAGATTCTCATCTTAAGTTTGGATAACTTAAAAATAGGTTTGTTTTAAGATCTTTCTCAGAATTAGTAATGAACATAGGCCTAGATAAAGAAAAAAGGGTGTAAAACAGTGATTTTCAAGATCAGCATAGTACTTTTCTTCACCAATTATGTCTTCTAAAAACCCACTACAAATTATCATATTTTCCAGTTGATGCCTGTTCGATTTTAAAAGATTTAAGTAGATTTTCCGAAATTTTCTCTACTAAAGATAAGTCTGGATGTGATTTTTAAGAGATCTAAGGGGTTAATCTTGTTCTTATCTGATTAATTGAAGTTGATGATAAAGCGTAAAGAGGTTTTGTTGCATAATTGAGATGCTGTAATTTGAAATTAGATTTAATTCGGATGTCTAACTAAGTAATCTATCCAATAATTTAAAAAAAAAATAGGCTTTTGTGATTTATCATCTAACATTTCTATCGAAAAGATTTTGTCTGCTTTTCTTCGGAACGGAAAATAGAGCACTTTTATGTCGATCTATCTAAAATTTTCAAATAGAGGTCTCTGTGTGAAGTCATATGACCGATTAGTTTATTTGTTTATCATCGTGTTTCGAGTATTGTAATAAGTGGAAAACAATCAACATGCCCTCCCAATCAAATTGGACAATGTATCGTATCTTCTTAGCATTCTTGATGCTTGTTGCAGGATCGATAAATACTTTATCGGCCAAGTATGTTACATTTTGAATAGGTTCTTTACTTTCGTCTTTGTTTATATGCTAAAAATATTCTATTTATTAAAAAAGATGGGCAGATCGTTCAGAAGCAAAAGGTGTTTATCCAAATTTACCTCCAAGAAAGTTCGATCATCCTTTCCTTCAGGTTAAACTTTTTCTCTTTTTCTTTAAGCATACAAACTCGTGGTAGGCGGAATGATTAATAATCTTGTGTCAGTTGTCGACAACTGAACAATACAAATATGAAATGACAAACTGCTTAAAATTCCCTTTGCCTTTTCCCAATGCAAACGAAAAAAACGCAGGCAGTCGGAATGTTTATTGGAGAATTTTCTTGTCTCATTGCCTTTGGATTATTGTTTTGTTATCGGTCTCGAAAGGGGAATCCCATTCAAGTGTCGAGGTTCAATCCGTTCATATTCTACCCTCCAGCACTATGTGACATGTGTGCAACTTCCATTATGTACGTTGGTTTGAATTTAACATTTGCATCCAGTTTTCAAATGCTTCGAGGTTCAGTGATGATATTTACTGCACTCTTATCAGTCGCATTTTTGGGTAGAAAAATCAGATCGTTCATGTGGTTTGGTATGGTTGTTGTTCTCGTTGGTTTGGTTCTCGTTGGTTTGTCAGATGTTGTATTTAGGAAAAGTTCCTCGGAAAGAAGTTCCGACGTTAATGGTATAATATCGGGTGATTTGCTTATATGTGCCGCCCAGATTGTCACAGCATCTCAAATGGTGTACGAAGAAAAGTTTGTCATGAAATATAACGTTCCAGCTTTACTTGCAGTTGGCTTCGAAGGTTGAATGAATTTTCAATGATCTGCTCAGCATCATTTCATACCAATGTTGTTTTACAGGTCTTTTTGGACTTCTTACTCTCGGCCTTCTACTCATTCCCTTCTATTATATCAAAATTACTAATCCAAATAACCCGCTAACGACTGATCCACACGGACGAGTGGAGAACTCACTTGATGCTTTTGCAATGATGGGTCAGAATTCGGCCATCCTCGTAGGTACTCTTGGTAACATGGTCAGTATAGCCGTATTTAATTTCGCTGGTATCAGCGTGACTAAAGAGCTCAGCGCAACAACAAGAATGGTACTTGATTCAATGAGAACACTTGTAATTTGGATATTTTCCCTATCAGTTAAATGGAGACCTTTCGACGTGAAAGAGTTCTTCATGCAATTGGCGGGATTCGCCTTTTTGATTATGGGTATGATTGTTTATAACAATCTACTGTTTATGCCATGGCTAAGGAGAAAAGTTGGCTGTAGAGTAGATGATGAAAATCATTTACAGTCACCTTTCCAAAATGAAGCAGACGAATCTGAAAGACTATTACAAGATGAAGATGAAATCCAATATGGCAGTAACAATACTTCAACTGATCCTGTATACTCATAGACAATATTTACTGGTTTTAAAAAAAGATTTGAGCTTGAAAGAGAAATCTTCGACTTGTTGGTTTTAATTATTTACTAAATGTATATACATACATGCATACAAGATATGTTTAATATATTTTTAGTATTTAATATGTTCTCAATGCTTTTACATTTAATAAAGTATGGATTCCATCATATATTTATACAAAAGGAGTAGAGGTTTAGTAAGCTAGTGTAAATGCCGCCTTTTTTTCAGCATAAACTTAGTTTTCTGTTTGCATAAAATCAGTTTTCCGAATCTGTTAAAGTAGCAATTAAATTATGTTATATTTTAAATTGTTTTGTATTTAAAATTTTAAAAAATTGAACCAAAAGTATCTTTTTATAATCTAGATTGTTTTCATGGAAAACCTTTTTTCCCTTAAAAGAAACAATAACAAAAATAACTTAAAAAAACTGCAATCATATGCCGAAAGAAAATTAAACAAGGATCAAGCAAAAGGTACAAATCCCATAGATTATTTTCTTTATGTATATATATATATATTAGTGTAACAAGCAACCTTCTTTCTAGGAGACTTATTAAAAAAGCACCTGAAGAGGACGAAGAGCATAAAGGAAATCATATTTTTTCATGATTGTTTAACTAATAATTAATTTATATTATTTCTTTTCCGATTTGTAGTTAAAGTTTCTTAGTAGATTAATCGAAAATTAGTTCAGGAATGATTAGTATTTTTAATTGTTTTTTTTTTTGTCATTAATTCTGAATTTCTTCTATTGGCTTACTCAGCCTGACAACTTCGCGGGATAGTGTCTCTAAGTTCTGTTGAGAAAATATAAGAAAAAGAAATATTATATTATTTATGATATTATAAAAATTTAATTAAAAAAGGATGAATAAAAACCTCTTGTAGATGAACATTTTTCATTAGTGTTTCCTCTAGCATCAATTGTAATTTTTTATTTATTTCTCGAGAGCCAGAACCTTCGTCTTTAACAAGATCAACGACTTTGCGGAGGAGACTAGACGCTTCATTTTGAGATTGTTGTTGCCCTGTTGAAATATTGAAATTTTCAAGTTGGAACAAAAACAAACGATAATTTAAAAATAAAAGAGAAAGGAAGTTATTGATTTATTTGGATTTTTAAAAGTTTTTTCAAGTATTTCTAATGTTTCGCAGTCATTTTTTATTTGTCCTTAAAATACTTTTATTGCACTTACCAAATTGTTTATGCATATTGAAATGATCGATTAACGATTGTTTCCTGAGTAAATCTTCGGCCATTGCTGAATTATTTGATTCTAAATATTGTACTCTCTCTAATAAAGTGTCCTTTTCTTCCATTGACTTAGCTAAACGTTTCATTAATTCAGTATTCTCTTCTTCGTAATTATCAGGTGAAATTTGTGACATTTGTGATATTGAAGCTGAACATACGGAACCTTCTCTATCACGTTCAGTAGTTAAATCTACAGGAACGTCGTATTTACTAAGAACTTCTTGAAGTCTTTCTTGTAATTTCTCCGTACGTTTTTTTTCACTTTGTAATTGTCTTTTTAAATCTTTAACAACTGTCATCCCTTTCTTTTCGTGCAATCGCCTTTCATCAATGCTATCGCTGATATTCTATACGATAAAATAAATAACATAAAGTAAAGAAATAGAATAAAATAACATTAATTATTTTCAATTTACTTGTTGCAGTTGCTGAATTTTCTCTTCAAATTCATTGTTTTTTGCTTTATGTAACTCTACTAATTCCATTGATTGTTCAAACTCTTCCGTGTGTTCATCCTTCATGTCTTTCAACTCTTTGGAATGTTTTTCTTCTAATTCCTGAAAAGATTTTTCGGTAGTTTCTTTAAATTGATTAAATTCCTTTTCGGTATCCTCTAATCTCCTCTCTAGCCAACCTTTAGCTTCCTCTAAAGAAGACACCTAAAAAAAAAAAGTTTAAGAATTTTTGTCTAATATATAAATCTAAAGATTATCGTACTAGATTTTCGAATTTTGAACAGTTTTTTGCGACTTTTTGAACATCTGATAGGGAAATTTTCAATTCGTCAATTTTTAATTTATATTCTTCTTCTAATTTCGCTTGAGATTCGTTCATTTCCTTTAAAGTATTTCTATGGGAATCAGCTTCCGTTTGTTGTTTTTGTACAACCTCCTCTAGTAGAGATTTCCTCTTTTCAGCTAACTTTTTAAATTCTAATGCCTGTTTTTCTTCCTCTTCAACCTTTATCAAAAGTTCTTTTAATTTTTCGTGTAAAGTATCATTTTCTGCTTGTAAACTTTTATTTTTTGCCAAATAATTATCAGCATTTATCCTTAACTCAATAATTTCGCTATCCGTAGTTTTCCATTTCTCGCGTTCAGCTTGAATTTCTTCGTGATTATTTAGGAGTTTTTTATTTAATTCTTCAACTCTAGTCCTATTTTTTAATATAATATCCATTTAATTTATTTCTTTTCACAATAAACAAAACTTTCATTTAATACTTACGTTAACTCAGAATAGATTTTCTCCTTTTCCTCTCCAATTTGAGCTAAACTTTCTTGTTTCTTTCGTAATTTTTCTCGAAGTGATTCCTTTTCATTTTGCAGCTTTTCCGTTTCCTCGTTATATTTCTTTTCTAATTCAGATAATTGATTGGCAAGAAGACGCTTTTCTTCTTTCTCAGTATCTAAACTGAGATTAAGACCTATCAAGAGAGAAAATAAATTAATTATCTTCGATAAGATTGTATTTATTGTTATTTTTTAAATGGATACTTTTTATTTGCTTTAAATAGGTGGAATTGTCAGCCATTAAACTACTCTGATTAAGAATTGATGAATCGGCTTCGTCAGTTGTTTCCTTATCGGAATCACCATCAATCGACCTTTCACTGGAAATTAAAAGAATAAACATTAAGAATGGGGGTGTCAGAAAGTAAATTGAATTGAATTTATATACCCGTCAACGCCCCCAATAGGTCTTGCTCTTTTACCGGATAATTTAATACATTCGGCTTCCAACTCAATAATATTACTTTTTAATTGGCGTACTTCATCGTCGTGTTCCGATTCAATATTATCTAGATTCTTTTGTAAGGCAGTCTTTTCAGCATTTAATCGTAGAACCTCCTGCTCCAACTCCTTTGATCCATTCTCAGTGATTTTAGTAGTTGATACTGTATTATCGTCAGTCTTTAATCTGTTTTAATTAAATAAATAGTAGAACAGAAAGGAAGAGAGAGAAAGAGAGAGAGAAATTTAAACCTATTCATTGACTGCTCTAATTCCTCATGTTGTGTTATATAATAGTTTAACTCTTTCATAATAGTTTCGTTCTGTAAACGAAAGTCATCTTCTTGAGATCCAAGCTTTTTTTGTAAAATATTATTCTCCTGAATCAACAATTCAACTTCCTTTGACTTTTTACTCTTTGATATAATCTGAATTCGATTTTGACAAATTTGTACATAAATTAGTATCTAATTTATTGCGAATTTGGAAATGTTCCAAAATTAACTACCTTGTTAGCTTTATCCAAATCTCTTTCTTTTACATCTAATATCTCTTTAATAGCTTTCAATTCTATATGAAATAATCAATAATTTATAAATGTATTCCACATATATATATATTTATATTTGATAGTAAACCTTTTTCCTGTTTACTGCAGTTTTCTTCCAGCTGGTAATTGTTTGTCTTCAGTTCCAATATTTGATTCTAATGGAAAAATTAAAATTAATTTTTAGGCAGTCTCATCTAAATTTGTAAATAATTTTTCTAATAGATAAAAATAAGCATATTAAGTTTATTCAAAATATATGGAGATTGTGAAGCTACAGCATTCGAATTAGTTCAAGAAATGATAATTAAGTGAACAACTGATTTGATAAATTTGTGACATCTAGTTAAATGATGATTTGTTGAAACTTCAGATTTATGTCAGAAAAAACGAATAAAATTTTCATAATATTCCGGACCATTTAAAATGGCATAGAATAAAAAATAAAAATGTAGTGCCTGTAAAAACAGAAATTCTTCTTCGGATATTGACGATGCAGACGCCATTTTTTTATCTGCTATTTCATTTCCGGTTTAATCTTTTGCTAATATATACCAGTTGACATTTTAAGTTTGCCCTAAATTTTTAAGTTAAACATTATTTTAACTTAGATATGACAAAGAGAGAGTATCCGTTTTCAACTACATTTGAAACTCAAGAAAAATGGCATATTACAGACAAAAAAGTTGACAAAGGAGTTGCAAACTTGCAGAATATGCGTAAAGTTTATGGTTAGTAAGCGTTGTGTCCATATTATGAAAGTTGACTGAACTCTCTACTTATAAAAACTTTGTCTAGAACGTACAAGAAACCTTCTCTACGAAGGCTCAAAGATAAATCAACCGCCTTGCATTGATCTGCCAACGACACCTCCAAGAGAAGTTCCATCCGCCTTATCGAATTCCCTATTAGTCGGTCAACGTTTCATTCAATCTTCTGGGGGGATGATAAAACTGACAAATGAGGTAGAGCAAAAAGCTGATAGGAGTTACAGTAAGTAAAGAGCAAATACGTAATTAAATTTATGTACAGTATACATGTCATATATGTATAGCGTTAAATGCCTATCGTTGCGGATGTTTGACAAAGATGAAAACTGAAAGATGTTTATCATGCCTAAAAATACTGTGTTCAAATTGTCTATTTGTTTGTGGAAAATGCACCAATGGATACTGTGAGAAATGCGTCTCTGATTGGTTAGTTTATTTCATCATTAATTACTTAATTAATTCGCTTTTTGAAAAATTAACTGTAAATTTGTACACCAAACCAGGCCGTTTGAAAGAGTCACCAGGGATACAGAAAACGTATTATGCAGAGATTGCTATTATTAATAATTCAAAGATATCTTCCCATAATATCTAAGTAAATTTTTAATGAGAGCAAAGTGTTTTTAGATTGTTTTTTTTCTTTTTTTTTATATTCTGAACTTGTATTTCTTTCTTTTTTTAAACATTTCGTCTACTAATCAATTATTAATAAAAGTTTTGTCACTTAAATTTAAGACCTACAAATATAAAATGTAACTTTTTCATAATTCACCCAAACCAAGTTCACTGTGGTCATCTATTTGTTGGTCTGTTTTTACTGTTTCTATGGCTTCTATATAATAGTGTCGTCTGTCCTCTGAAAGTTTAAAGTATTTATAGATATCACTTAATCTTGCATCTTCTTTGCCCCACTGTTTGTAACAGAGGGATTTGTAGTATATTTTAGTTGTTTCGTCGAACAAGGATATAATATTATATCTTGCAATGGCTTTTATAAACATTATCTTATCAAATAGTTTGTTCACTCTTCTCGACATTACTGCAATTAATAGATTAGCCAACGTAAGATATACCACTATGACGCTTGATACATAGAGAAAAACTGTGAATATCGGTGAATAGCTGTTACTGAAGAATTTATCTTTGGGAACTAATGCAGTTGTTGATAAGAGAAATGCGTAATATAGTGATTCTGGAAAAGCGATTGTTGCATTATGAGAAACAACTCCAGGGCAATTTGGTTTTTTATACATTATAGCAAGACCTGCTCCGAAAGCCATAATTACTCCGAGCATTAGAGCAAAGTAGCTTGCAGTTGCTTTCATCATGTGCATTATAGTTATAAGTAAATGGCCAAAAGGACTAATCTGAGATATATATAGAATATTAAGAACCAAAAGAGCCATGATGCTAATGTGTAGGACGTAATAAGAATCTTTAAGCGATGATTTATAACAGAAGTCACGATTAAAGAGAACAATTAAAGAGCCAACACTACTCATAATAGACGCAATAGTTGGTAAATGAGAGTAACCATTACTGCTAGCCATTGTGAGTCCTCTAGCCTTATTTCTTATTATTATTGGTTTAACGACTTTCACAGTTATCCCTATCGATATAATTTCTGCAAAAATAACAAACATATTTGCCAATAGTAAGAAAATTAGAAAAATGGATGGAATCCTATGTACTCCGATTGTTATAAAGAGAATAATATGAATTAGATGGAGGAAACCAGTTGTCAGAAATTCAAAACTCCAAATTAGTATTCGCCAATAGTAAGTTTTCCATTTTAAGTTGGAATAGCTCCTTAGAGGTTCCTTATCCAAAAACTCAGTTTCTAATAAAGCTTTAGCATCCTCCACTGTCGATAAAGATATCGTAAGTATCAAGGATAAATTATCATCACAAGTTTCGTGCTCCTCAACCGATGTCATATCATACCAAACAACGCGATATAAACCAAGCTCTTGAACAGTTTTCTTGGGATATGGTTCAGTATTTAATATTTCAAGCAAAATGCAAGGTTCAAATTCATTTATAGCTAGTTGAATAGGTGTAATATTATCATAATTTTTACATTCTAATATACTTCTAACAATATCTATCCCATCTTCTTGTTTCTCTACGTTTTTTATTAAACTCTTAATAATTATCTTGTAATATTTGATAGCATTCTCCGATTTAAATTTTGAGATTCTAACAAGATCGTGAATTACATTGTTACCTGATTTGTCAGGTACGAAAGGATTTAAATTTCCATTCGTTATTAGAGCATCAAGAATATTTTCGTCACCGTACCAGCAAGCGTAAGTAACTGTATGATTGAATGGGAAGCTTTCTTTAGCCGAATATCCAAAATTAGACAAGCGTAACCATTCCATAAAATTAGATCTATTGATGCCGTCATCTTCTCCAGTAACTGTGAAAAGATCTTGACTTGGTTTTTTTGTACCGTTTATTAAGGTTGTTACACAATTTATTGGCAGTTTATGAAGGAAGTGATTTAATTCATAAGATGATAAGGTGCCCTTTGCCAAAGCCGTTCTGAATGGCAATACGCAATCTGTCCAAAATTTCTGAATAGACTTATGATATAGAGTTGAGCAATGGTGAGCACTCTTATCCACTTGCTCCATATGTCAGTTTTCTACTACACCAAAGGATAGATACCAGGCGTAAGTGGTGGATTTATTATGATCATAAATAAATACGTCTCCACCGGTAAGCACTAATGGTTTCAATTATGACAGAAACGCCAATCAGACAGGCTGTTACCTGGTTTTCCACCATATTGGACAATCCTAAGAAATATTCGAATGAATTCTCATTCGGAACACGGGCTTTTTTTACGTGCTTGGCAAAAAATTGTCTCTTGCCATCGGATCTCGAATTCTTTTTATCTAAATTAAGTGTATCCCAAAGGAATTATCTGTTAAATCCTAATGATCTAGACATTCTAGAAAATTCTGAAAACTTAATAAATCTAAAGGACGTTGAAGTTGTTGTTCATTGGATGAAAGATATTGAATATGGACCAAAGTTTAATACTGGAAAATTGGAATACGAACACGCTTTGGCTTACGCCTGTTGGTCTGGTGATGATAATTGTACCAAGATAGTTTTGAAATATTGCGACATATTTGCTAAAGATAAGCATGGTAGAAATATTATTCATTGTCTGGCCCATATGTCCGGATTATTACCGCATACAACAATTAAACAATACGATATTATTATGAATTATGTAGAAGAGAACAGTTTATGTGTAATGGAAAGTCAAAGGTTATTATTGGAAATCGAAGATGAAGAGCTGAGAACTCCTTTAGATATTGCGGTTAGAATGGGTCATCCCACAATTTTTAACTCAATTTTTAATACTTCTCCTCTTAATCGACGAGTAATTAGTCAAAATGGTCTAAGATCAATTATCTATTATAATGTAACAAGATACGAAAAAGATAATAGTAACTATATCACATTCGATTCATTACTCTATTGGTTATCCAGAACAACCTTTTCCGATGCAACAAGATATTTCAAATATGGTAACATATTCGAAAAAGAACCAATTAAGACCTATATTGAAAAAAAGTTTCATTTTTACAAATATCCATTAATACTTTGGGGCTGTGAATCGTTAATAGTAATTATTATTCAATTACTTAAATGTATATTTTTCTTAACATCTGGAAATGTGAATATTACACCAATTGCATTAGATATTATAACTGTAGTTGTAACTTCACATCTTATAAGTAGTGATTTTTTACTCTTAGCAATAAGATTTTCTAATTATAAAGAGAGAAAAAAGAAACATAAGAATAATAACCATGCTTTAGCTGATGCTATAACCCTACGGGTAGTTATAATACTATTATCACTTCTTGTTATAATTCTCTCTATTCTTCGACTATTTCAAGTGGATTTGTGCAAATATCGAAATATTTTTTACATTATTCATGTAGCAGCTTTAAGTTGTGTCGTCTTATCTGTATTAATATTTACCCAATTGCTTGGTGACTTTGCCCATGTTTTACTTATCGTTGAAAGAGTTACAGGTAACATTTTCGTCTATTTGGTACTCTGTTTCATTTGTATTTCGATTTTTGCTTTAGGCTTCAGTGTGACTCACACTGATTGCAAACTAAACAATCAAACGATGTCAAACCAATCAGATGTTCCTAATTATGCTATATCATTGTATTATACTTTGTTATATACAATGAAAATAACAACTCCCGATGATATTTTCTTTACAAGCTCTCAATCATCCACAGCTTCTATTATCATCTTTATAGTTGGAATAATCTTTGTTCATTTAATTATTACTAATCTTTTAATTGCAGTAATGAATAGACACGTTAATGATTGGTACGATCATATTGACCTTGCACTTATATTAATTAGACTAAGCTTAATTTGTAGTATTGAAAAGTTCAGGTTTATAATAGCAAAAACTGGTTTGGGAAAAAGAATTGTGAAGTTTATGTTCGCTACATTTTCGCAAAAATGCCTTAAAAAGATTGGTAATGAGTTGTTTCTCGAAGTAATTAAAGATATCTCCGATGAATAAGATATAAATGATAACACCATGACTTTTCTTCGTCATATGTGTATCTCTGTATTTGTTGCTCTAATTTAATGCTTGCACTATTCCCAATAAATGGTTGATTATATAAATTAAGCGTTTGGAATATCTTTCAATCAAGTAATGAATTTCTTATCTTTTAACTATAGTGATCAAACATCATTAGGAACACTGCCATCTAATTAATGTTATCAACAATAATCCATATAGTATTATATCACACTATACACATTACATTACCGCAGAGTTTAAATATCGGATCAGTTCCATTTTCTATAGACATAAGAAAATTGTTTAATTAATCGTTAAGTACTATTAATAGAAGCTTTATAGAAAAATTCAACATAAATATAGATAAATTACGTCATAATACTTTATCGCCTTATTTAAAAGTTCTTTTTAATAAAGAACATATTAGTCTTGAAGTTAAAATGATTAACACATGTTCCACATTTGTCCAAGACTTCTACTACCGCAATATAGAATTTAGCAAAAATAACAATCTATAGATAAAAAAATGTATTAAAAAAAGAAATATTATTCAAGTAAAAAAACACTCTACAATTAAGACTAGATTTTTAAAAACTGTTATCTCTTTATTCAAGATGACAACAAATCTCAATAAGGTATAAACGGAGAATACCCCTCGTCAGATCATTTATTCTTTTAAAATCAGTAAATATTGTCTATGAGTATACAGGATCAGTTGAAGTATTGTTACTGCCATATTGGGTTAAATTTTCGTCTTGCAATATTCTTTCAGATTCATCTGCTTCATTTTGGAAAGGTGACTGTAAATGATTTTCATCATCTACTCTACAGCCAACTTTTCTCCTTAGCCATGGCATAAACAGTAGATTGTTATAAACAATCATACCCATAATCAAAAAGGCGAATCCCGCCAATTGCATGAAGAACTCTTTCACGTCGAAAGGTCTCCATTTAACTGATAGGGAAAATATCCAAATTACAAGTGTTCTCATTGAATCAAGTACCATTCTTGTTGTTGCGCTGAGCTCTTTAGTCACGCTGATACCAGCGAAATTAAATACGGCTATACTGACCATGTTACCAAGAGTACCTACGAGGATGGCCGAATTCTGACCCATCATTGCAAAAGCATCAAGTGAGTTCTCCACTCGTCCGTGTGGATCAGTCGTTAGCGGGTTATTTGGATTAGTAATTTTGATATAATAGAAGGGAATGAGCAGAAGGCCGAGAGTAAGAAGTCCAAAAAGACCTGTAAAACAACATTGGTATGAAATGATGCTGAGCAGATCATTGAAAATTCATTCAACCTTCGAAGCCAACTGCAAGTAAAGCTGGAACGTTATATTTCATGACAAACTTTTCTTCGTACACCATTTGAGATGCTGTGACAATCTGGGCGGCACATATAAGCAAATCACCCGATATTATACCATTAACGTCGGAACTTCTTTCCGAGGAACTTTTCCTAAATACAACATCTGACAAACCAACGAGAACCAAACCAACGAGAACAACAACCATACCAAACCACATGAACGATCTGATTTTTCTACCCAAAAATGCGACTGATAAGAGTGCAGTAAATATCATCACTGAACCTCGAAGCATTTGAAAACTGGATGCAAATGTTAAATTCAAACCAACGTACATAATGGAAGTTGCACACATGTCACATAGTGCTGGAGGGTAGAATATGAACGGATTGAACCTCGACACTTGAATGGGATTCCCCTTTCGAGACCGATAACAAAACAATAATCCAAAGGCAATGAGACAAGAAAATTCTCCAATAAACATTCCGACTGCCTGCGTTTTTTTCGTTTGCATTGGGAAAAGGCAAAGGGAATTTTAAGCAGTTTGTCATTTCATATTTTGTATTGTTCAGTTGTCGACAACTGACACAAGATTATTAATCATTCCGCCTACCACGAGTTTGTATGCTTAAAGAAAAAGAGAAAAAGTTTAACCTGAAGGAAAGGATGATCGAACTTTCTTGGAGGTAAATTTGGATAAACACCTTTTGCTTCTGAACGATCTGCCCATCTTTTTTAATAAATAGAAAATTTTTAGCATATAAACAAAGACGAAAGTAAAGAACCTATTCAAAATGTAACATACTTGGCCGATAAAGTATTTATCGATCCTGCAACAAGCATCAAGAATGCTAAGAAGATACGATACATTGTCCAATTTGATTGGGAGGGCATGTTGATTGTTTTCCACTTATTACAATACTCGAAACACGATGATAAATAAACTAATTGGTCATATGACTTCACTCAGAGACCCCTATATGAAAATTTTGGACAGACTAACCTAAAAGTGCTCTATTTTCCGTTCCGAAAAAAAGCAGACGAACCCTCTTCTGCAATAACTAAGGCCAGTTTGTTTGATATCCAAAGCCAGATTTCTAACAAAATTATATTAATAACTATACAATTAGTTACTTCTAGTGCCTCGATATCATATCTTTATTTTTAAGTTGCTATTTGTTCTTTTCGATTTTCACTTTATAACATTGTTCCATGCTATATTCCAAAATAGAATAAGAATAAGAAATAGGAGAATTACGTCTTTTCTGAAGAATGTTAGCTGTCAGCAGCATGACTTCTGGCAGCATCTTTTGTTTTTTATTGATCCTTTTATGGAATAAATATTAGGAATGATAGCGATTGACTTAAACTCATTGATCCAAACAATATATTCATTGTTTATATGATTAAATAGAATAGGGAATGTTGAATGTTTTAAGAGATTGGCTATTGGATGATTTTTTTGAAAGAAGAAAACATTCATTGAAATAAAAGCCTTTATCGCTTAAAGTTGACAATGAATTGTACGTTTAGAAGTAATTAAATTAAGAAATTGTCTAATGAAGAAGATATTATATATTTATTATCAACAATTTACCAGTAATATAACTTATAGTTAATTTGCATAAATACAATAGTTAATTAGGTAAAGCCCAGATAGCATTAAGAATACGAAAATATATATAAATAGGAATATAAATTTATAAATGATTCTTAATTTCCGGAACGTTATCAATATTTTCAAACTTCATCTGTTTAGATTTAATTACTTCCGGCTGACTATTTTTTTTAGGGTAATAAATGTTCTTTTTCGAACAGGAAGTTGTTGATGAAAGTGAACGATATAAAAGGGACGTTACTTTACAGTCCATTTGTTTAAATTCCTTTGTTAGACAGACGTGAATTTCTTGTAAATAATGTTTTCCATGGACCTGGAGAAGGGAAATACATATAATGAATAAATATATTATATAGAATTGTAATATTGACGCACCGATGAGCATTGTATATCAACATTAAACCCGTTAAAAGCCTTGTCCAAGGCAGAGGTTATATCTTTTAGCTACCAAACATAAATAATATAATAATATATTTATATAGAGTAAGCGAAAAAAAAACCTTGTAAGGTTTTGCTCTTGGTCTTATTCCGTATTTTGCCAACTTTTCATCAATATTCAACCACTTGCGAAGAGCCAATGTATAATTGAAATAGTTATATTCCGTGTTCACTTTAGACACTGATATAGCGCAAGTACCATGCTTCTCATATTCGTGTTTCCTTATTTTAATGAATGATTAAATATTCCAAATAAGTTCTTATTAGAAACAATTGATTACCATAATTGATTAGGGTCCGTATCGGGGAACATATTTGGCCAATATGTTTGCAATTTGGGTTTCAATTTTATTATTGCCTTATCATCAAATTTGGCTGTTTTATTACAAAACGATGGATCTGGTGACTTATATTTCGTACTAGGCCTGAGAAATTGATTTAATTGATTATACAGTATTTATTTTTATTTAATCTTATTGAAAGGAGCAGTATTTATTAAGTTTCATTTACCATAGGCCGTGTATTGTCCATGTTGTGACATTTTTGGCAACTTCACATTGTTTTTTACGAGCCTTTACATAGAAAAGATAAATCATTAGAAAACATAAAAAAAAACAATAAGAATATATAAAAATAATGATTCTATTTATAGATACCATATGATTTTTGTAAAAGATAAAAAAAACCAAACAAATTGTTATGTAATACCTTTTCAATTGTACAAAAAGATGTTGGCCAGTCTTGTGAAAATGTAAAATAATCAAATTGAGTTTCTGCCCTATTTTTACATGTTTAGTTAGCTATATTAATAATCATTCATATGTTATAATACAAACTTAATTTTCAGAAAGCATAATAAGCAAATAACGAATATGTATTTCATATTTTTTGCAATAGCGACTGTTTATCACTCTCTACCGATCGTGCTGCCATCTATTCTCACGATGCATAGCAAAAAATAGGCTTGTTTTCCGTCTAGATAGTAATGAAATTTATACTCTTCTGTTTTTTCTGCAATGATAAGAACAACGCTGACAATGTATTGAGAATGTTTTGCCTTTTGAACAATAATATTTTAATTTGTCTAAAATATATTAAATATTTATCAATAATAGACTTGAGTCATAATCAAGTTTATCGTAATTAGTACAACGATGGAAGCCGTTTCAGACTTTAGTAGTTATAAGTACATTCTATAAAATGTTAAATATAGTAGTACTAGCATAAAAAAACTATAGAGGCGTACGTAAACACTTCAAAGAATAATTTGAGAAAAAAAGGTCGCTTTATTTTTAACATAATAGGAAAAAAATCGATATCATAATTAATTAGTTAATTAATTTACTTAAGACATTTATATCAAGAACGTGTGGTCTAAACAAAAAAAAAGGCATGAAAGGATTTACATAATGTAGGATATATAAATAACTGAAACTGTAAGTAGTTGATGGTGGCCATGACGATGGAGGATAGGATGATGACAACTATGAAGAATATGATGATAAGAGGCAGTGGTAAATGAATAGCAATTCTTTCTTTCAACCAGATGCGTCTACACGTTTGGCGTGAAAGTACTTTTGTTGATATATATATGTAAGGATACAGTGTACTATACATATAAAGAGTATTTTGTAGGCTAAGGTGAATGACAATTCTACTCGAATGCATTAGCGTAAGCTATTTTGTACTAAGGCATGAAAACGCGATTCTGAGCAGTAATCTTTGCCTTGCAAATGGGGCAAAATTTCTCCTCTTTAGCACAATTCCAACAGTAAATAAAATGTTTACAAGGAAAAAAAATACTATTCCTCTGCTCATTCTTACATTTAGTACACATACTCTCCTCCTCTAGTTTCTCTGCTCTTGCCTTTAATTTTTTGTACCGTTTTAATTCTATATTTGATTTATTCTGAGATTTTGACTTAGCGTCAATTTGAGCTTGAGTGAGGAAGAAGAAAAAGATGTAAACTTATTAAACATGGCTAGGGAAAATAATGTCTAAATATAACTTACTAGGCTTACGATCTTCCCGCTTGTTATCAGTTTCCAATACTAATTGATCTTTTGAAATTTCATCAATTACATCCTTTTCTTGTTTTTTCTTTTTCTTTTTTCTTTTTTTTTTCTTAACTTTTCCAATTGTATCTGTAACATTTTCTCTAAGATTATCTGATAAATGTTGCGGATTCTTGTAATTCCTAGGTTGGTTAGGTAAATGCATTTCACCAGTCGTCAAATCTGTATTCTTATTTAATTCAGAATTTATCATTGCATTTGCTAAAGCATTAGCTTCCGAATATAATTCGCCTGTAAAAATAGGTAAAGAGTATGTTTATTTATTTAAAAAGAAAACAAAATTCCTTCCAAGTGTATTTCTTACCTGTTTGAAGTAAAAAATCTCTTATACGATTCTTTGAAATATCTAATTTTTCAACATCCTTCACAACTTCACTTTGCATGTATTCCTCTATTATCATATTCCAATCACGTACTGTTTTATCAGTCTGCTCATTTTCCAAATTAGCTAAATTATTTATGCTTCCGTTATTTCCATCTTTTTCAATTACATTATTTTCATTATTATTAAGCCCTCTAGCACCATCTACGCTATCGAACTCATCAATGCTATTTCGATCATCATTCAATTGATTATTATTTATAAACTGCTCCCCTTTCTCCTCTAGGACGTACTTACATATTTTACCATATTTCTGAGCATGTAAGATCCAGGGATCATCATATTTTGATAAATTATCAAATGTTCCACCACAAGAGAAACATTTCACTCCGGTTGGATGTTCTATATAAATAAAACAAACAAAATATCTCTATATATATAATATATAGCTATAAACCTTAAGGTTTTTTTTAAAGTTTTTGACTTGATAAAGTTCATTTAATGATAAATAATGAGAAAAAAATCTACAAAGCAATTATTTGATTACGTTTATACATATTTTAAAGATAATGAACGATTTTGTTTGATAAATGGGTCGTAAAACCCTTTTTTTTGTAGTTTAACAATTCTATTTTGTTTATAATCAAATTTTGCAATTGCATTATAGATTGTCAAATGGATATTACATAATAAATAGAATATATTGGCTAATAATTAGACTATTAAACATTCTAATAAATAAAAGCTTATTACTGTAGAGATAAAATCCAGCTTCAGCTAATTTGTAGGCGGGTATTCCTGATTTAGGCCAAAGTGAAAAAGTCCTCATTCGCTGGTTTCTATCTACGTAGTTACCGTAGGTACTATTTGGTTCATTTGGTGTTGAGATGTGTGCCATTTTCTAAAAGGTTATAAATTATTCAATTATAGACTTCGAAAACAATTTTCTAAACCATTAATTCGTCTTCCTTTAAGGTTAATTTTTAAAAGAATCAACTGGCAATAAATTTTCCAAGTCAGTGATCCTTTATCTTTATTTAAAACATTACCTGAGTAAACTCTAAAGATTTTGGGCAGCGTGGAAAGGTCTTATGATGGATCATCTTAAGATCATCGTCGTTTTTCCAATCTGTTAAGACTCCTAAACAAGTATTGCATTGGACATGATTTTCTTCTCCTAAGTAGGAAAATCCCATATTTTCAAGTTCAGTCTTTGAGGTAAGATCATTGGAATCATCATTGGAATGAGGATTTATTGAAGTGTTTTCACAAAATCTACCATAGTCAAATCCATCAAATTCATCTTCATCATTTTGTGAGTAATCAGCACCCTTGTGGTCAGATTTAACACTTTCAGAATCAGATGGATTGTTATAGACGTCTTCTGTGTTCTCAAGCACAAATCCTAAGGTAGGTTTTTTCCGATTTGCTCGAAAACTTTCGCAATGTTGCTGAATGAAGGAGCAATTGGACGACTTTCTTGCATGTCTTTCCTTAGGATCATGTATTTTAATCCATTGACCCAAAACTATTCCACAAGTTTTACAAGTTACAATATCATATTGACCTATCAAACAAATATAAAAATAATGCTTCAGTTTAAACACGAAGTTAGTAAAAAATTCTATTGTTACCAGTATATTCTAATCCAGCAGACCATAATTCTATGGGCTTAGCCTGACTTTCCCTTGGCCAGTTCACGAAGCTCATAATTCCTTCACAGTCCAGCTTGTATTTAGTCATTATAGAGAGATGAGTTTCCTGAAGTTCTAAGTAAATGAAATAGAAAATTAATTATTAAAAAAAACTGGTCTATATTTCAACCATAATACAAAAAAGAATTTTTTAATACAAGCTGGAAACAGCTGGAAATTATAGCTAATACAGCTAAGACAGAGAAATAAGAAAATAGTGTTCTATTACTATAATAGGTTAATTTCACTAAGCAACACAATATGAATAATAAAATAAACTGTTAGTAATGATAATGACACATAACTATTTGCCCCCAAAGAAACTATGTCCTGTGTTTTAAACGAATTTACTTTCTAGCGAGAGGTCAAGGTTATTTTACGAAAACCAAGTTGATAATTTGAAATTTATATATATATTTATTTTAAATACTATTTTTATTGGATAAATAATGACTAAGGAATTTATTAATCAAATTTTTTTAATAATTTCATCTGTAGACACATAATTAAATATAAATTTATATTATTGTATTCCGTTGATTATTTTGAGACAAAGTGTACGTCTGTGATACTTTCTCGCTTTGTTTATATTAAAATATATGCGGTCTGAGTATTGTGTTAAGTGTTTCTGCGCAATTTGCAGATAATATCAATAGTACATTGAACCAAACACTTAATAACAATTGAAAAAATCAGTCGACAAAAGTTGGACAACAATATTAGCCCATTCGTATTTTTTACAGCGCCACCTATAGGGAATCACTGCGCATGCGTTAGAAATTATGGCGTATCGTATGAGAATTTTTTACTAATCGTTTTCGAGGATTATTCATCGAGAAGGCATGTTTTCATCACTTTATATTGATTTGGTTACAAGATAGTATAGCTCCTTTAACTCCACTGAAGACAAATTTGAACAAGAGGTAATGATCTACAGTTGTTGTTTAATAAAAACTTCTTGGCCAAAAAAAAGGTGTGCGTCCTCCAATCGCCGATCATTGTTGTACCTGTAAAACTCGGGTAAAATCCCGATCCTGTTGTGTCATTTGTTTACATTATTTAGCAAATCGTTGTATGTAGTTGTTAATTTTGGATTAATTCTACTATTTTTCATCAGACAATGGATAAATTAAGAAAATTTAGTTTCCGAAAGAAAAGAAATCATATACCAGAGTCATCCAAACCTCATCAATGGCAGGAAGATGAAAAGAAAGTCAGAGAAGGCTCTTGCTCGTTTCAAGTTCGGGTAAGCATAAAATAAGCTAGTTGTAATAAACTATCATTGAACTTTGATATTGGTCAATCTTTATATCGGAATTTGATCTAATTTTAGTTCATTTTTGTCCTAGGAGATAACTCTTAATCTGAATTAAATTTTCCTTAATCCATTTAACGTTTATCTAAACAGTATCTAGGGTGCGTGGAAGTATTCGAATCGAGAGGTATGCAGGTCTGCGAAGAAGCAGTGAAAGCCCTAAAAGCGGTTAGTTTTCTATCAAATCTCTATATAGCATATTCCGACTCTTATCACATTGTATTGTGTAATACTAAACCATTCTTGATCATTTTTCTAATGAGACTAACGTATCATTGCATATTTTCTTAACTATAAAAAAAGGATATAAACTCACCTTTACTATATTTAAATTATTAATAGATAGCATACAAATAACTATCTGCAACGATACATCTACATAACTATATTAATACATATATTTTGATATCTGTATTTATTATTCAGTTTGAAAACTCATAATTGTTTATTTTATATATTACTAATAGTTTCTTGATATTATTCATATTTCAGATCATTTTTCAATGTTTTATCATATCTATTTACTGTGTATTTAACGTTTAAGACTATTTTCCATATAACCATTTTCCATATTCATGCTTCCGTTCTGTAAATTAATATCAGTGCTTTGTCCGCTTATCTTTACCTATCTAAACAAGCTTATCGAAAACGATAAGAGATAATTTTTTAACTGTTCTACTATTACATCAGCTGTAAAAATTCTCTATTCTTTTTATTTATATTGTACTTGTCATATTTTTTTCCCCTTCTCCCAACAGTTATTTTGTTATTTAATATTGTTTCTTTGTTGTTAATTCTCTTTTAACCAGTTTGTCATAACCTTCTAAACTACCCTTTGCAAAAGAAGACAAACTTAACTAACAAAACTGAGCAAAAAAAAAACAAGAAACAATTTTTTTTTTACATTGTCCATTGCATGCCTTTTCAAGTTAGTGAAGGTGTTGTGTTACAGAAAAAATCTCGCTCTGTTTGGCAAAGAATGTCCTTTCGAATGAGTTCCCGACGAAAAAGAAAAGACGATCGTGTAAATACGCCGGTAAGAGCAAAAGGGGGCGAAAAAAAACAGCTAATAAAAAACTGATCTAACCATCAAGCGTCTGCTTTTTTAGAATTTATGTTTATTTTTATGATTTTTTAGTGGAGCTTGCTTCCTTTAATTTATAACAAACTATTTCCCTTTTTCCAACAGAAAAAGAACTACTAATCTAATTGTTATATATAGAGGATTATTGAGCTAATTCTTTAATTAAGTTTTTTCATTATTTCAGCAGTGCAAGGGAAAATACCAAAGAGCTATTTTATACGTTAGCGGTGATGCTTTAAGAGTAGTTGACGAAATAAGTAAAGGATTAATCGTTGATCAAACTATAGAGAAAGTTTCATTTTGCGCTCCGGATAGAGCACATGAAAAGGGATTTGCATATATCTGTAGAGATGGAACATCTCGCAGATGGATGTGCCACGGATTTTTGGCTCTTAAAGAATCTGGTGAGAGATTATCTCATGCTGTAGGATGTGCGTTTGGACTATGTTTAGAAAAGAAGCAAAAAAGGGATAAAGATGCTTCGAATGTTCAAGTAACATATAACGAAAAAGGAACTAGTTTTACGAGAACCGGATCTTTTAAACAAACAACTTTAACTGAACGTCTTGAAGATCCTCAGGCAGCGCTTATTGCCGATCCTGTGCCTGAAAAAAATATACAAAACCCACACGCTGTACAAAGACCCCATGCTTCCCAGGATATGCTAATCAGACAGGTAAGTTTAGTTATAGTATCATATACTATAATATCAAATTTATAAATATATTAAGGCTTCTCTTATAAAAAATATCTTTTTTCCCTTTCTTCGCGCTCTTCGCCTATTCAGCACTTGGTAAGAGATTATTTTTTAACCCTCCCTCTATAGATTTATATATATATATATATTAGCTGTATGTAGTCACTTTACAAAACTCCTTGATCACCTTTCCATTAAAGCCTGAAAATTGTGTGTATGTGTGAAAAGTTTTGCTTGGTGTTAAATTAAAACAATGTTCGCTTTTTATTGTCTTGAGTTTTACTAATCAAATGTTTTTTTTCTCCTTCTTGCGTTTAGGGATCCTTTAAGGGATTTCAAAAACTCAGTCAAAAATCCTCTCCTTTTAAACGCCAACACTCACTTCGGTTGGAAGACCTTCCATCAACTTTAGAAAGGCAAGGCGGGGACACCAATTACCCGAATGGCTTCAGTGTGCATACTATTCCTGAAGCTTCTCCATCAAAAGAAGAAGCAGAAGCATCAATCTCTGATATTTGTAAGCAGATTTCGAGTGGGTTGAATGTGAACGAGGATGATCCGTATTTGGCAAGTTTACCTCTGAAAACTAATCCAAATACTGTCAATCACGTAACTACCAAAGCGACCAGTAAGTAAACGATCAATAACCAAGAGTATTAAAATTATAATTGAACTTTTTTTTTAGTTTACCAACAAGAAAGTAATTCCAAATCAGTGCAATTACCCGAACCGATTCGACACCCTAATCCTTGGCAAAAAGAGGAACGACGGCCAGATGGAGAAACTTGGCTGCAAACAGTATCAACGAACCCGTTTAAAACTTCTTACGTTGCAAATCAGCATAATCGCAGCCAATCGGTCGATACAGCAGGAACGTCTGTATTTGGCCATCAACCAACCGTCCCCAATAAATCGGGTTTCGACCCTTTTGACGCCGCCTGGGTAGGGGCAAAACCTAGGGGGCCTCCTCAAGCACCAGTAGCCCCCACTAATCCATTCGCTGTTGAAATGGGCAATGCTCAGAAAACTTTCGAAGTAAAATTGTAGAAAATCCAGTTGAGGATAGGAAAGAGTTAAAAAATAACAAATACTTAAACAAAGACACTTCTTAGTATGAATAATAAGAAAAGAATAACATTGGCTCATTTTTTCTAAATTATCTGATCTAGTTGCGAACTAGATGATTGTTTCGTTTATTTTTCTTTCATGAGGATGATGTTGATATATATGCATTCTATTTGTGTTAACGAGAATTTAACATTCCTTTTTTTTTTTGTTTTATACGACATTTGTGTTGTCTCATTAATTTCTCGCCTCGTAACTGTTTCCGAATTGTAAATAATCGTTTTCTTTTAAAATATCAATTTACACTTGCTATGAGACAAACTTTGCTATCTCAAGAAAAGTATATGCAGTCCGGGTCATGTTATGTTGGCTTTGTTGTATTGACTTAAAAGTTTCAACCCAATAAAGCAGCAATAATATCGATTTCTTTTTTGTTTTCAATGGCAATTTATTAAAAGAAAGGAAACATTCTTGTAAATAAAGCTACATATAAATGATAAACTAAGATCCTTTTTCGAACTTGTGTCTTTCCCATGAAACACCGTCGGCATCGATTGGCAATGGCAGTGGGATGAAGAAATGAAGAAACCAAAATTGCCCAAACACTTGCCTAATGTGAATTAGTGGGCTATCTAGCCGATAACGGTTGATGTTCCTGAAGGCTTCATAAGATGTTTGACCTCGATAGACTATTAACACTTGCCAGAAGAGAAAGTGCAATGAAGCGACTAAGGTAATGATAGTAACATAGGCTTGCATTACCAGTATTATATCTCCCAAATTAATTTTCCCATAGAGATAATATCGAAGGACACCAAAAAACGGAAGATAATCAGCAAATTCTAAACGTGGGAAGACGTATAATAAATTGAAAACGGATCCAATCAACGATGAGATACTTGTATAAAAACAGAGTATAATAAATCGACGTTGCGTGAAGACTCCCACACAATTATTTAGTAAAAAACAATGAAGCTCCTTTTTGAGAACGCAAACTTTACAGTATGAGCAGTGGTGTGACCGGGGTGGTCGCATCATTTGGCATTTAACACACATGGTCCATCCTATCAATTCAGCGTTATCAGGCTGTACAATACCCCTGACAACCTTATTTCTTTCATTAAAACAAAGATACCAATTAACAGATACCTGAATGAGCAGGTAAGTGCTTAAAAGAGTGTATAATGACGATGGCGATGTCCATAAAATAGTTGTGATTGTCAAGGAGATAGTTTGAATCCAGAAGAAAAGAACACCAAACTTTCCCAAACTGTCATCTGTCACTTTTCGATCTTTTCTGTGCCATTCATCCCTAAACTTATCTTTTAACGTTCGATATTCCCCTTGGCTTTCCATGATTTTAGTTTATGTCCCTCTTTTTTTTTCTTATGTTTACCGATCGATTTCCCTTGAATTCCCCTTCGCAACGGCAGTGTAGAGGGCGGGACAATCAGCCTATTTCTATTTCGTATAGCTATACTCTAATTAAATTTACATGTTTAACGTATTTGCTATCCGTATGCTAAGTATTTATACTACGTGGATATAGAATAGTACTTTAAGTTCTAATTACTATTTTAAGCCCTTTAATTTACTAAAGAAGGAAAGCATACGAAATATTTGTAAATAGGCCTAACGAAATATGGGATCTAAAGACCGAGTGAGCCGAGAAAGTGTTAAGAGGGGAGACAGAGAGAGAGAGAGAGAGAGAGAGAGAGAGACAGACAGACAGATAGACAGAGAACATTTATATATATATATATATATATTTATGCATATGCGAGAGAGAGAAATTGGATGTCAGAGAGCACAGAGAGGAGATATTCATGCATGGCATCGTTTTGAAACAAGTGGCGCTAGCAGTTGTTCTAGCTAAATATAAATTATTGACTGACAAATTTTTAGGTGTATAGATGTAGAATAAAATCGGACAGCAACTGCCAACTCAGCGAATGCTTGACCTATTTCAAAGTAATTTAAATAAACTATAAATTGAATTATAATTGCACTTGTTAGGCTCTCTATTCTAATTTTAAAAGAAACGAATAATATTAGAGAACTGATAAAGAACAGAGGGTAAGATAAAAGTAGATAAGTTAGAAGTACTTGGCTGCAAAACTGCTGCACAATGGCGCCAGGCGTGTCGACGAACTGCAATCCCATAAAGCCTGAGCGCGGCAGCTGTACAGCCATAGCCGTTGCAGTTCTAGCTATACGACACGCGCCGATGGACTAGAGTTGCAGTTGCGAGTAGATTCTCTTCTGTAGAGCGCACCAACACTGCAACTCAACCCAGATTTACCCGACCGGCAGTTTGCCCGAACGCCTTTATACACATGACAGCAATAATTCATCGGTCTACCTAGAACGTACAGTTTCTTCTCAAAATCTTCTTCCATTTGAATTTTAGTTCTACATATTTGATTAAGAAAGAGAAAAAGAAGAATCGAAAATGTTATTAAGGATAAGCTTACTCTTCTCCTTCCTCGCCCTCTCTGTGACGGCAGAGTCGGATACCGAAGAGGTCTCGACGGCCCGATGGACAAACTCTACCCCAGCGGTTAAAAGTTGTTCTCAAGCTAGTGCCTGCAAAAAAGGGGTAAATATAACTTTTAATCAAACTTTTATCCATCTTGTCACTATAACATTAGGCCACTAGACGATGTCTTTATGTCGATAGAACTATAATGGTAGTCTAATAGGGAGAGCTTAAAAACATGTTATCCATATACAAGGTATTGAGAAAACATATGATACATATTGTATAAATAACGTACATAAACTTGGGCGAACAGTATGCATGTAAATATGTATATACATATATATTTTATATATGTGTGTAAGCAATATACGTAAACGAAATATTGATTTTTAGGTCATTTTGCCTCTGTGGGAACCGCAAAAAAATCTTTCTGCTGGAGACAAGGCGGCTAGGGCCACAGTTTATATGGCGGCGATGATTTTCATGTTTCTCGGTGTGTCGATAATAGCCGATCGATTCATGGCCGCTATTGAAGTGATTACGTCGAAAGAACGCGAAATCACTATTAAACTGCCAAGCGGTGAAACAACGGTCGTAAATGTCCGAGTTTGGAATGAGACAGTATCGAATTTGACACTTATGGCGTTAGGTTCATCGGCTCCCGAGATTTTATTATCGATTATCGAAATCGTTGGTAATGACTTTAAAGCTGGACAATTAGGGCCTAGTACGATAGTTGGTTCAGCAGCTTTTAACCTGTTCATAATCATTGGTTTATGCATATACGTTATACCTGACGGGGATTGCCGACGAATTAAACATTTACGGGTTTTCTTTATAACCGCAACATGGAGTATATTCGCCTATCTGTGGCTATATATCATTATCGCCGGTTTCTCCAAGGGTGAAGTAGAAGTTTGGGAAGCTGTTCTCACATTTCTCTTCTTCCCCGCAACCGTTTTAACAGCATATATAGCCGATAGGAAAATCTTCTTTATGAAGTTTATGAATAAGAAGTACCATGCAAGCCGCCATGGAAGGAAATCAATACAGGTCGACGGAGATTTGGAATTAGCGGAGAGAAATCACGTTGGTTCGGCTTCTGAAGATGCAATCACGTTTAAAGGATTAGACAGTGACGATACGGAAATTCGAGAGTTCGAGAAGCACCGTAAGGATTTTATCGATATTCTACGCGAACTTCGTAAAAAGCATCCTAATTTGGATATGAAATCATTGGAAGAAATGGCAGAAATGGAAGCTATGAATAGAGGTCCGAAGTCGCGTGCTTTCTACCGGATACAGGCGACAAGAAAGTTGACTGGTGGCGGAAATGTCATAAAAAAGAGTAAAGTCGAACGTCGTTCGTCTTTGGAGGATGTCAAACTTGATCTGGATCATGATGATAACGTCACCCGAATCTTCTTTGAGCCTGGTCATTATACAGTTATGGAGAATGTTGGCACTTTTCAATTGACAGTCTCCAGACACGGGGGAGACACAAACCGAGTTATACAAGTCGATTACGTGACAGAAGATGGAACAGCTAACGCCGGAACGGATTACGAATTTGCCAGCGGAACTTTGGAATTTCAACCGGGTCAGATGCACTGTCAATTCTCTGTTACCATTATTGATGATGATATATTCGAAGAGGATGAGCACTTTTACGTTAAATTGCACAATCTACGCGTTCCAGGTTATGGCGGAGATCAAAATAGCGTAGCTCAATTGGTCATGCCATCAATGGCAACTGTTATGATTTTGGACGACGATCATGCAGGCATCTTTCATTTTGAAGGTTCGACAATGTCTGTATCCGAATCGGTAGGAGAAGCGGAAATAAAGGTTTGCCGTTCATCGGGAGCACGTGGAAAGGTTATTGTACCCTATACAACTATAGAAGGCACGGCCAAGGGTAACGGCAGAGATTTCTTCGATGCTTCGGGCCAGTTGGTATTCGAAAACGACCAGACTGAGTAAGTAATACGTTATGTATGCGTTTATTGTATGTTTTATTCATGTGGGTTTACGTCCCACTCTTCTCCCTCCTTCGTCCTCTCCACTCCAAAGGCTATCAATCACGTAAGCGGCCTATAGTTTGTCCACTGTTAGGGTTACTATAGGAACGCGGCGCCTACAAGATGGTTAGAAATATAGCGCTTGCTATATATTTCTATAGGCTATTTCTTGCAACTGCAGTTGTAATTCGAACCGAACAGCTATAGCTGCTACAGACCCGGATGTTCAGACTCAACAGCCACTTGATTTTTTAATATTAAATTACGCCTCTTTCAGCCTGAGCTAACTCGAGAGATTCCATATAATAACATATGACACAAATCGATTGCCCCGTTCCAGATACTTTCGTTCATATCCTAAATATAATAAAACGTGTTTCACACACTCTCTAGTATATATATATATATAACTGTTTCATAGGCTTATGTACAATTTATTCTTTTGTAGGTGCCTGATCTATATTTATAGTATGTATGTATTTATATATGAAAAATGAATGTATAAATATCTTAATACTATTCAATATTCAAACAAAACATCAATGTATAAATGTCTATAGAAATAGTATTTAAATACTTTACATACAATATGTATATATATATGCAATATATTTACATAAATACGTATACTCAATCAAATATATATATATATATATATATACAGTATATATGTATGTATGTATGTATGTATAAATATAAATGGTACCTATCTATTTATATCACCTATATAGTGTACATGTATATATCTATATATATTTCTTATATACTAACTTACTATTAAACATATAGGATTATGAATCATGCTATTCAATAGATCTACTTCAACTATTATATAGATGCATACTCCACTAAAATATTCATATGCTTCTAGAATGTTTCAGAAACACTAATTTTTTTTATTACAAGTACATAGACCCTACGTCATATGTATTTCGCGCTTACAATAGGATGTTATTCCAGTTTTATTAATCTTCTTACATCTATCTTTAAGTGTCATGGGTGCAGCGATACATAAACTAGAAATATTTATATACTTGTTATATGCATGTACGATTAATATAGCAAGATGAATATATATATATATATATATATATATATATATATACATACATTTAGAGTTAGCTATCGATCAATTCTAAGCAATTTTTAGAAATAGAACATATAAACAGAGAAAGGAAAACTAGATAAGAGAGAATGGGATGGTTTCTATAGAAACGTTAGACTTCGGACAAAACATCGTTTATATGAATGATTGTTTGGTTGCTCGAAGAGACGCCGCCAGGTTTTAATGTAGGGCGTGGCGTCTATATAGGGCTGTAATTGCGCGTGAAGAATTCCGTTCACCTGTTTATAAGCGCAATTTTGACGTTTTTCTGCCGACGTCCATCAAAAGATTTTTTGGTTTGCAAAACACGTTTTTAATAAAAAAAAAAGAGTTGCTTAATTGGAAAAGTTTTATAGATTATGTGATATTAGTCTTATAACCCGACCATATCTTGATGCGATTGCAATCTTTCCTTCCTCCTTGCGACCAACCTCCGGTACTTACACTCCACGTGCCTCAAGCTCCTCTCTCTTTCTGTCGCTCTCTCTCTGTACTTCCTTCAACAATAATCGATTTACATAGACTGATCGAAACTCAGTCCATAATCGATTAGGTGAAATAGTACATCAGTAAAAATAGAGTGTGAAGGAAAAAAACTTTGGGGAGAGGTGAACCAAGAGAAACGTATAGTTTTCTATTTTTTATGTCTTTGATTTAAAACATTTTGCAGTTGTATTTTGCTGTATTCGTGTGCAGACTTTCTTTCTTATTCTAACAAGTTTAGCTAAATAGATTAGGCAAAAAGATGTAAATGAAAAAGTTAAAGAGAAAAAAATTTGAGTAAAGGAAAAAAAACATTTTCAACTCTTAACTAACGTTAAAAAGCCGAAATGCCAGGTGCCACAGGTGTTGCATGCACCAAATGTTGCCTTCGAAAACGTAGAGATATATATCCAGTATATACTGCATATAATATATATATATATATATTATATTTATGTACAATATATACTCTGCACATATCTATAGGTATTATGTATTTGGTTTAATCACATATATTATACATGAATTACCTGGAGATTTTGTATTACGATAAATTACCCCGTAAACCTTTAACGAATTAGGCGTTTAGACTTAATTAATTCTTTTATTAAATAATTAAGTTTGTAAGTGCATTTTATCAAGTTTGATGGTTTTTTAGACAAATAATCCGGGTTCGGATCGTTGATGATGAAGAATACGAAAAAACTGAATCGTTCTTTGTTGAACTTAGCGAACCTGAACTTGTACGAAAGGGAAGCGGTAAGACTCTTCTTTTGTTTATTACCTTTTATCCAACTTATATAATTTATATACAGTATATATATATACAATTATATAATCTATATATAAGAATATATATAGTCTCTTTTTTATGCGAAATGTATGTGATATATTGTATAAAATAACACATAAATACATCCCTCCTTCACTTATAACTACCCATTTGGCATTATAGTTTTAGCTTTTGTTAACACGCAAAATTATTAGATTGGTTTGAAGATAATAACCACTAGCTGAAAATTATAGATATGAACCTCTTTCGTTTACATTCTTTCAAATCTTTCTTTGTAACATATGCATAATTACTTACATGCCTACCTATATTGATTATTTTCGCCCTCTAGCCTTTGATATGCGACGACTATTCGCCGGCAAAGGTATTGCAGTAATACTTAAGCTCAAAATAGTTCAACAAGCTTCGGCACTTTTTTTCTTGGAATGAATGAATAAGAATATAATATTATAATAAAAAAAAGAATAATAGAAAGAGAATTCTTATGTTTTTCTTTCTTTATATTTTCATAGATGCACTTTCGGCCTATTTTTTCTATTTAGTTTGCACTCGTTTTCAATCTCCCTATTTTATACTTCTATATTACATGTTGATTTATAAATAACTCTTTCCTACAATATTCTTTTCCCTACTAAAAACAGAAAATAGGAATTCAATAACCGATGTTGCGTTGGAACCTGTCTTTGACGATAAGATTGTAGAATTAGGAAAACCGAGATTGGGTGAAGCTGGAAAAATCGAAGTACAAATAAGAGAAAGTATAGAATTCAAGTCAACCGTTGATAAATTACTGAAAAAAACAAATGTCGCCCTGGTTGTTGGAACGTCTAGCTGGAGAGAACAGTTTATCGAAGCTATAACCGTCAGCTCAGGTAAATAACCTAATTAACAAACATAATTTCAATCTACCTGTCTCTCTCTCTCTCCTCTTTCTATCTCTTTTACCCTCTCTACCTCTAAGAATCTATCTACCTATATATCTATCTAATTGTCTTCATTTTCTCCTTCTCTATCTATCTATAAAATCTCCATTCCTCCTATCCTTTCTCTCTCTCCCCTCACACTGCCCGTCCTCCTCCAGTTTTCTCTATATTTTTTTCATTTCCCCTATAAATAATATCTTCCTTCTATAAAAAAAAAAAAACAACTACAATATTCATATAAACTTTGATAAAAAAAAATATAAATAAAAATAAATTTTATTTCTCACTTTTTTTTAAAAAAAACAAAAAGAAACATAAAATAAAAAGTAGAAAAAAAACTGAATTTCTTTTATTATATTTAAAAAAAAATTAGAAGAAAAAAAAAAGTGAAAATTTTATTTTCTTCTTTTATTTTTATTTTTTTGTATATCTTTTTTTTTTTTACTTGTTTAGAAGGCAAAAAAGGAGGTATGTGATGCAATGTGCATTTATTTATGTTCACGAACGTTAAAGCAGAGTATTTTTATTTCCATTATGATTATTATTATTATAGTTGCTTTTAGACGCCAAAAAACATTCTGTCGTCACAATAGCATTAGTAAAAACTTCACAAGACCAAAAAAAATAGAGAAATACATACTTTATATATATATATATATGTATGTATATGAGAAAGGAAAAACAAATTTTTACATCCCCAGTCAAAAGCCTTAATTGGATAAGAGAACTATACTTTTATTATTTATTATTATTTTACCATAAAATACCATATATATCTATATATATATATATATATATATATATAGATAGGTAGATGATATATATATATATATACATATATATGTATCTGTGTGTGTGTGTATATATATATATATAAATTATATATATATATATATATATATATATATATATATATATATATATATATATTTAAATATATATAAACGTATGTATACAGTTCAATTATTTCGTGTACGAGAAAGATTATCTACTGTATATACACACCTACACACACATACACAAAAATTTGATCTGCTTTTATTTCTGAATCGTGCAAATGAGGTTTCTATTAGTAATTTTTCTATTTAATTGAATTATATCAATGGAGAATAACTATCATCTCAATTTTGTATCAAATTCACAGGAGACGACGAGAATGGAGAAGATGAAGAAGATGAAGAGAAATTACCTAGTTGCATGGATTATGTAATGCACTTTTTGACAATATTCTGGAAAGTAACGTTTGCTTTCGTCCCACCGACAGGTAAGTGACAATTTTGATTAATCTATATATATATATATTAGTATATATATATTTATATTAAATTAATAATAATCCAAGTTGAAGCCCAAACTGTATATATTAATATAATTTAAAGGGCTATTTACATCAGTAAATTTAAGCTTATAAGTGCACGAACACGTATTTGTGGGATAAGGTATATAATTAAGAAATCTCTTTGATGATAAACACGCTTTCCAGATTTGGCCGGAGGCTGGCTAGCGTTTTCCGTATCGATATGTATGATAGGCGTAATAACTGCCTTAATCGGTGACATTGCGGCGGCATTCGGCTGCACAATAGGCCTAAAAGATTCAGTTACTGCAGTTACTTTTGTAGCTCTAGGAACAAGTTTACCAGGTATATCTTAAAGAAAACAATTGGAATAAACAATTTTTGGTGAAGGCCTTATCATTTAGTCACGATACGTTTAATTTTACAACTGTCGCAATCTGATTAATTACTTTCGAGAACTCTCTTCGATTATACGCATGCGGGATTTAACGATTTTCTTAGTTTTATTATTCTCAGCCATTCTCTTCCTCTCTTAATTTTTCTTTTTATTGTTTTTTCTCTCTCAAATTTGATATTTAGATTATTGGGGTGGTTGGTTGTGCTTCACGTTTTCGATCATAATGATAGGTATTTTGACGGCTCTCATAAATGATCTGGCTTCATCGTTCGGTTGTACAATTGGATTGAAAGATTCAGTTACTGCTATCTCTTTCGTCGCCCTAGGCACAAGTCTGCCAGGTAGAAAATAAACCGAAAAACAACGTGATATAATCCGATTTGTTTATTGTTGTTGTTATTGTTTTTGTTTGTACCCGATGTTTCCTAAATCCAACCAAACTCACATTTTTGTTTTTTTTTTTTTTGAACTTTCACAGAGTTCTTTTTTCATTTATCTTCATCTTTTTTTTTTTTACTCCTCCTCCTCTACACATTTTTCTAAAATTAGAACCAGCTTCTTTTTGTTATATTGAGCTTTTTTCGTGTGTATGTGTGTGTGTGTGTGTGTATGTATGCGTGTGTACTTTCCGTTTTGTTTCTAACACACGTTTTTAGGTTGATCATCTCTAGGAGAGGACCCTCATCTATTATTGACGCCTTATTCGCCAGTAATTATCAACAGTGCTAAAGAGTCAATTGGTTATACGATGGAAATTGAGGACTTTGTAGCTGAAATATCTTTCGTAGCTATGGGCACTAGTCTTTCCCGGGGAGCCGGCTAGTGCAAGTAAAACAAGGCGCATGTTTTCGTCTAATCTATATTCCAGTCTTAAGTGCCGTTTCTTGTTAAGGCAGTATCGCTCATTTTTCATCTGCCCGCCAGATACGTTCGCCTCCAAAGTGGCAGCTATCAACGACGCCTACGCTGACTCCTCTATTGGCAACGTAACGGGAAGTAACGCCGTCAACGTCTTCCTGGGCATTGGAATTGCCTGGACGATAGCTTCTGTAAAGCACGCCATTGAAGGCAAACCTTTTAAAGTCGATCCTGGTTCTTTGGCGTTCAGCGTTACCGTATTCTGTTGTTTCGCCTTAGCAGCTATGGCTATACTAATTATTCGACGCCGTCCAAGTATCGGAGGCGAATTAGGAGGCAAAAACAGGAACTTTAAAATATGTACAACCGCTTTCTTCATAGGACTATGGGTTGTATACGTCATCCTTTCGTCGCTAGAAAGTTATTGCCACATTAAAGGTTTTTGAAAAAGTGGCCTTCACCTTCATCAGCCGCCACCGATCGACTGTTAGTCTAATTACCTTTTGAAATATTAACAATATGTTATTATGCTAGAGCGGACTGAGAAACTTTTATGTTAAAAATTTTAAACAAATTCTTACACCCATATAAAGTGAAACAAAAAAAAAAACGGAAATCTATGCATCGTTAGAAAAGTTGTAGCGTTTTACTCGTTCGTTATTAAAAATTATGGAAGAAAAAAAAACGTTTTTTTCCGTGAGGATCTCAATGTTTTTTCCTTTTTTTTTTAAAGAAAAAACGAAACCGATTATTAATGAATTAAAAGATATTAAAAAAAAAAGAAAGAAAAAAAAAACAACCTTGTGCTAGTTACTTTAATGAATATTCATATTATTTTACATAAACTATATAATCTATAACTCTAAAATGCAGGAAAGATTTCGTACTTTTTTTTTTTCTTCTCTTTTTCTTTTTTTTTGTGTATTGAAAAAGATACAACGGTCAAGGAGCTACAATTATATTATCTCGTTTCTTGTATCTGTTTTATAATACGCGTCGAAACGTCAAGTTGTTGAAAGTTATTACCCTGAGCGATTTGTATGAATATGCATATATATATATATATATATATATATACGCATATCTAACAATCTTTCTCTATAAAGTTATTTATGTATTATTTACATAGCGCTGTCTGTTACCTTTGACTATTCTGTCTTATTCCTTCATGCATCTAAATCTTAAACGTCCGTCTTCCGGATGCCATTCGCTAATGTTATACATACATATACATATTTATTGTCTATACTGCAAATATACATATATACACATGTTGCAAAAAAAAAATAATGAATGAATGAACCGGGAAAGCTAAAGAACGAAAGGAAAGGAATTTCTATCCATATATGTGTGTATATATATATATATGTAAGAGTATATTGTCTTTAATATTGTATACGCAGTTTTACATACTGCAGGCCTTAAAAACAAAAGTTTAAGAAAATGTACCTATTTTAACATTTATAAAAACCGCACCCTTACCCATTAAATTAAAAAATATTATATATTCTCTTTCTTTTTTCTTTCTTTTTTGTTTTCAGCTTTACGCATTTTGTACAGTAAATAGTAAAACGTGATGAAAAAGCCTGTTTGAAAACGGAATGTAGATATATTATAAAACGTGCATTAGCCTCTTTATCCTGCAATGAATCTTTTGTCGATTTCTATTAATAAACCTACGCTTGTTGTCATACAATTTCTGTGTGCGAATACCATCGCTCATTACAAAACTTCTCTTTTCATAACAACAGTGGAACGCCCATTGAAATATAGAAAAAAAACCTCCATTAGTCTTAATCATTTACCGTCTGTCATCGATCTCGACCAAAAAACAACGCCCAGTACTAAATAAAAAATACAATAGGGCACGAGACCGCCCATAAACTTTCCCTCTTTTTGATATATCAGGCGTTTCTTCATATTTTCCATTAGGTCTTAAAATAACTGGTTAGTTCACAGCTGACATACGAAGCCCGAGGCAATTTGTTACAGTCTAACAGCTAATATAATATGGACTAGACTAGTCTTGGAGGAGAATACACAACTTAGAAAAGATGACCTTTTTGTGGAAACGCCGCCATCTGTTGCTAGTTTTGGCTCACGCGTAACCTTATCTTAACAATATATCTAACGAATTTGAAGGAAACATCTCTTAGTATTACCAGATAATCTTGTAATAGTCACTTTAACATGTCAGCCACCTTTATTATTTCTAGATCGTTTACCTACTTCAAATATATTATTTATAAGACGAACAAGTTAAATAAGCCATTTTCTTTTTTCACGTAATTTACTGGAATGAGGCTGATGGCTCCAGTGAAACCATTCGACTCCAACGCTGAAAAGAGAACGATAAATTAAAACACTTGCTTAAGCTAGTCTTCCTATCTTTCCTATACTTTAATAATTCCTACTAAAATGTAATCAACATAGATAAACTCTCTCACTCTCTCTCTCTCTTTCTCTCTGCTTCTTCGTTAATCTAGTTTTAAAATCTTAATGCTATATTGATATTATTCGCTGACAAAACCATCATAAAATTGATCCAAAGATATTAAAAATTCGATCGTATAGATTCCCAGCGGAATAAGCATTTTCCCTAGTATAATTTCGGGATAGAAGTAGCCATCGATTTTCTACTCTCTTCTACCGTAGTTTTATATCTATTGTTTTTGTAATTTACTGTCGTTTCTGCCATTGTTGCTGCTTTATTTTAGCTGGCAAATGGAATAATAATTAAAAAAGAATGAGAGAAGAGGAACTAACAATAGAAAGAATGTAAACTAGAAGTTGGATGGAGATTGGTCTCCTTGTAGACCGAATATATCAAACTAAATATATTTATATATATATATATATATATATATATACTACAAGTAACTGTAACTCGGTCAAACGTTAACCATCGTAGTAGTAGATCGATAAAAGTAATAAATATACTACCAAATTTTTTACAGATTCTTCCGACCTAATTTAATTATTTACATGCAACCTATAAATGATTCTTTCGTATTGAGGACTAACACCACAGAGAAAACGGATATGAACTTGACAATGAGCGATAAATATTTCAAAAACTATACAATCGTCTGCTTATCGACAAACTGTGTAAGAGGTCTTTTCTTTTTGAAACTAAAGGGCTGCCTTTTTATATATATATATTATTTTTTTACGGATGAAGGAAAAATTTATTCCGCCTACTATTTTTTTTTTTTCCTCTCTTACTCAAATATTATCATTAATATTAGTTTTTTTCTCTCTTTTTATTAACTTACCCGATGAAATTCTATCGTATTGAAAGAGGCTCTGATTAAAGAAGATCTTCAAGGGTCTTTCGTATAAGATTCTTGATAGATTTGGGAAATTGATAACATCTTTGACCAATTCACTCTCCTTACCAACCAAAGACAAAGGGTGCTCGCCTAATCGGTGTTATAGAAATATTATTGGATAACCTTAGGGATATAATACGATCTTAACATACACGAAACGAATACTTCGTAGAAAGGTATAGATTCATCTTTTCTGCACAATTCCCTCGTTTCATAATCTAGTTTATACAGCTCATTTCTTTTAAAATCCGCCTTTAAAGACAGACTTTCTTCTCCCCCGTCGATTCTGATCGCCTGATATTCTATCAAAGCGTTTTTCGGTAGAACAGGCAAAACGCAAGATATCATATGACAATCGTCGACCGATTCTTTAGTCTATTGGGAATGAGATAGAAAAAAAAAGCAAAATATTACAGACAGTTTTTTGACAATATATACATTAATATCTCATTTTCTTTCTATAGTCGAATAAACCTAACATTATGGCTTTTTTTTTTGTTTTTTATTCTATTTAAAATAAAAAAATTAGCTTTCTATTCATTGAGACTGCAGCAATAAAAAAATAAAAACCTGTATGCCTGGTGCGCTGTAAGTTCGGTCGAAATGATAACGCCACACGTTTTCGGCCAATACAACATTTTCCAACGCGGTCACCTGTTTTATTTTAAATAAATAAATAAATAAATAATAACGTTTAAAGAGAGGAATTAACTGTAAAATTTGGTAATAAAAAATATACAAAAAAATGAAATTTTTTTTATATAAGACAGAAAAGAATAAGAGAAATGATTTTAGATGATTAAAATACTAACGTAGATAATTACTAAGTTTGGCTTATTCTTGGAATGCACTCGAATAGCACGAAAAGCGTTTCTTGCTGCTAAATGGCATTGGTTTGTTATTCCTCCAGGAATAATATCTAAAGTTCCCGGGACCATAGCAATTTGCCCGGCGTAGAAATCGTAACCGTTAGTTGTGTTAGCTTGACTATATGGACCAATATTTGCCGGTGCCCAATGACTAATACCCTGAACATGTAAATTTGTCCTGTTATTGGGATTTTCTTTGGTTAGGATACAATCTAGCTGCCAATGTACGTTCTTGGGTAATGGTGCCTGAACGCATGCTCTTATTGGAGGTTTATGGGCAAAATATGTTTTATAAACGTTGTTAACTTCTGCGAATACTGACATATTATTTACCCATAAATTAACACTAACAACGTCCTCTAATTTATAACCTTTCTCTTTGACGCATTCTAAAGAAATAAATCAAAAATTAAAGGCAACCTAACAGTGCAATATTTGATTGCTAGATATTTTTTTATAAATTAACCTTGAAGATTATTCATCGCCTTCTTTGAGGACTGCACTAAAGTGACATCTTCATGATGAAAGGCAATCACGCTGCTAATAAAAGCCATACCGATTTCGGGTCTTTCACTAAACAGAACTTTATCACCGCTAAATCCTATTAAACGAGTTTTTTTCTTGACAGACTTCCCTTTTTATTTTACACTTCAGAATATTTACCTATTAGATTCTCTTGTTTGTTCTTCATCGCCTCTTTATCGACTTCCTTTACAACATCATCAATAGAAATATTCGCCTCTCTACTTAGTGCGTCGATTTCTTCTATTGTTCTCTTCGAATCATACACCAAGCTAACTGAATTGTCAGTTACTTGACTACTTTTAGATTGCAGGCTAACTTTCTTTAAATTCAGATAACCAACCATGGAATCGTTTTGTGAAATTACTTTCTCAACTGATCCTTCATCTATTAATAGACGTTTCTTAAATATAGGACAATCGATAACGAATGTCTCGTATTCCCCTCCTTCACCGCAAACGTTCAAGCCGTACTTTTTGTTCTAAAAATACACAGAATGAAATGGAAATATAGACGCCTCTTAGTCAGGTCGATAATATAAGTAGGTTACAAATGATATACCATGTCTAGAAGATGCGGCTGTATATCTTTCAGCGACCTGCCCAAATGTTCTTTCGGATCCAGACCTATGGGAAAGTAATGTTTGTTTTTGCGGTTAACAAATGTGTTCACATTATCTAGATTGTGAGAAATATTCATAATATAACTGTAATTTATGCTACATCAATTAAAGAGAATATTAATAGTCAATATTTGCGAATAAGAGCTTATAAGTTTTATAAGAAAATCACTATGCAACTAGAGTTAGTATAAATAATGATATATTTATATATATATAGTTCTTATAACACGTATAACCGATGCAGATGGTTTTCATAATAAATTTATAGAAATAGATTCTACATGGGGGGTAATATAGAAATTTTTATATATAGACATATTAACTGTCTTGCTTGAATTGTTTTAACACTAATGAAAGCACGAGAATTCCCTTGTTATAGATTTTTTTCCCACCTAAACAACACAGCAAAACTAACAAATATTACATAGGACTAAATGAAGCATTAAAAAAAAAATCGTTCAATACTAATTCTTTAACGCTCTGTAGCACTGTCTACTGTTCTGCTGTTAGAGGGCAATATTTAGTTTGCATGGCTACTCTCCAAGAAAATATATCTTTTACAAAATAGAATTTTAAAAATGACTGCCTTAGCTCTCTTAAAGGTAATCGCCCTATTTTTTTTACAAATACGAAACATCAGCACAAATTGTGTAGAAGTCTGCTGCACAGAACATGCTACAAAGGCATATTTTGAACTAGAATGCCCCGGAAAAGCTATGAATTGCTCAACTGAAAAAATTCTGTCTTACTGTCAATTATTCAAAAATAAATTTTCAACTTGTTCCGCAAATCCTGGAAACATTTTAATAAGCGAAGGCAATAAACTTATTCGAGAACAATGCGCCTGCAATTCCATAGATATATGCAAATTTGGCTGCACCAGTTGTAGTCTGGATCCAAAGAGCACTACTGAAAAGGACGAGTCTTCTATTGGAATCACTGTAGCATCAAATATACTCCTCCTTTCTATGCTTTCTCTAACTACAATATATTTTAATACACACGATATCATAAATGTAATTATTTAAATTTTATCTTTGCACAATCCTCTCTTCTATTAGTATTTCTTTCTTTTGATTTTTAATTAATGATGACTTTTCTATTCTTTAAATACAATTTGAAGGATACAAATATACCAAAAAAAAGTTTGCGACTATCATCTCTATAAATACTACACAAAGGGTATTAATGTATATTTATAGATAAACAGAGTGATTTTAGTTACGACTCAATTAGATCGTAAACGAGCTTAAACATGAATAATTTACAAACATAAATTAAATAAAGTTAATTGTGTAAAGCTTACGTAGAAAGGATTATGGGACGCCCTCTAAAGGATATAAAATGTGAAATAATATGTAATTTGATGCCAAGAGATAATTTTCTAAAGCTCTTCGACAAAGAACCTTATCATCTTTCTCTTACTGAAAGGGTGTACGCGCCTGAATAACCATATTTCTATTTAATGTACTTTACCTAGGCATGCTGTTTTAATTATAATAGCTTCCAAGGAAGCTGATAGCATTTCCTGTAGTAATTCACTCTGATCACGTTGCCAAAGATAAGCTAAAGAAGTCAATCCCAATCTTGAGCAACTACAATTTGAAAGATGTAAATGATACAAAGTACACCTAAAATCAAGTGAAATACTAACACATTCTCAACACGCAAGCGTTGATAATTAGACAGTATAGCTCCACAGGAGACGGCGTCTACCTTAACCTTTTCTTTTATCTCTTTCAATAATTCGTATAGATCTTCTACTTCATCCCCTTCTGTTGGCAAGTAGCTATTGACCGTTAATTTAGATGAACCTTCGATTGTTCTTCTAAACAAAGGTAAATCCATAGCTTCCGCATAAAGATCAATGGCATGGTGTCCAACAGTTTGATACATATAACTATCTAATTCATCTGCGTTATGAAATGAACTTATCAAATATCGAAGACTATTATATATAGTAAAAAGAAACTTTGGAAAGATTTTTCAACCTTGATCTTTTGGTTTTAAATTTGCCAAAGCAACAATTTCATGATGATCGGCCATACATTGCATCATATTATAGCAGCTATCTTTGCCGCCACTGCAAGAATTTATATAAATATAATTTATTATCCAAGAAAAAAAAACATTTAAACTTTAGACTTGGTATTGATTACTCTACAATACCATAGTAGCAATGTATCAACTATCAATGTCCCCAGACTACAGTTTATTTCAAAATTTACCTTATTAGAGCAACAACTCTCATATTATTTGATTGGTATCTTTTTATGAAACTTAATGGAAAAACAAAGCTTTTTCTAGTCGAAAAATTCACTAACAACTTGCTGAAAGTGCCATACAACATATGGAAACTGGTAAATGATAACCGGAACTTCCTGTATGCATGAATGTTTTGTTGAAAGGAAACACGTAGATTTATTTTTCCTGTCTCTCTCAGCCCTAATATTTAACAACATATTATTTCTCAGTGTTCAATCAATTTATATTTAAGCAAAAGAAAATTTCTTCATTAAATTTGCTATTATAAGGTGAAACATTTGCTAAATAACATTGTTGACAAACGAAAAATAGAACTATACGAAATGTCGTGGCTTAAGGAGTTCGCAGCCAAAACAGAACATCTATTAAATAATCTTGATCAGGCAGCAGGGCAAATGATAACAACAACGGGATCACCAACTCAACAAGTTGGGGAGGAAAATACTAATCAATCATTCCATGAATCGACTACAGTTTCTTCAAATATTATCCAAGAGAGATCGGCACCAATGCCAACTTCAGTTAGTGTTCCTGCTAATATGAATAAAATGAATGGTAGAAGCTCTTCCCCATACTTAAACCAAATGAGCAGATCGTCATACGCATCATCTCAAAGTAATGGATCATCCAAAAGAAAAGATAAAGATGAGGAGCTATTCGAATTTCTCAATTCTGGCGATGATAAAAAAACAAAACATTCGAGGCAATCTAGCTGTTCATCGACAACTAGCGCTTTATCTAGTAAGTCAAGTCGAACCAATACAACAACTAATGAAGCTCCATGCAGCGAAACACCAATAAAATCAAGTATAGGCTTTTATTTGGAATTCATTTCGAGTAAATTATTTTATAAATTGCTCTTTTCAGGCGAAGAAGTGATCCCTATTGTAACTGGAGAGGAAAAGGCTGACCAGCAAACACATCAATTTGAATTAGAAAACAAATTACTGAAGAACGAAATTTCCTCATTAAACAATGAAATGAATTCGCTAGTAAAACGAGTTAAAACTGCAGAAGAAGGTTGAAAGGTTAAATTAACTTTTATTGAACAAAATTAAGATTTTTTTCTATGTTTTCCAATTAGAATCAAAAAAACTGCAATCCCAGATAAACCAAAAAAATTACGAAATATCTAAAATCGACCAAGCACTTCGAGATTTAAGATCTAAAGAGACCGACTTTAACGAAGCATTAAACGCTAAAGACTCACAATTAGCTGTTCTGAGAGTAAGGCTCGAAGAAAACGATAAAGCATTAATGTCTAAAAAAGAAATAATCGAAGAACTGCAAGGCGAAAAGTCAAGGTTTGTACAAAAAAAGAAAATATTACAGATGCGCTAAAGAAATAGTTTTTATTTTAAATACGTTTTTATTTAGACATACAAGTATTAAGATATGTTGACACAATTAACAAACTTGTTGTCTATTCAGTATCTTCTATCGCTTGAACGTGAATATTTACAGCGAAGTCAGTATCAAGGTGCTTAATGAATGTTACACCAGTAATGACAAATTGATACGTTTTGTTGAGAATTAAATTCTCAACTTTGATAAATTCCTCATTTAGAGGAGGATAGATTATATAATCATTATGCTGTTTATGAAAACCAGTTTTCAGATGTAAGTCATGCTCCTTTAATAGGTTATCAGTTTTTGAGAGTAAAACTTCCATTTTGACATCTTGTACTTGAATAAGGCGACGTTCATTTCCGTAATCTTCGTGAGTAAACGAACCGACGTGCCTTGCAAAAAAGGGCTTGTTTACGATATGCTTGTAAATTTCGGTGGCCATCAAAATTTTGCTCTTCATGGTTTCTCCTAAGACTCGATTCTAACTTTTACACGTAGATGTGTCGATCACGTGCTTTGGCCAAAACATTTGCTATAGACAATAGGGTCAAATGAAGGTTTTTAGGACATTAGAAATTCGTCCTCAGGGACACAATAAAAGCTTTTCATAGTATTGTTTTTTTTTTGTTGATTATAAAATACTCTTCTCTTTGCTCTCCAGAATTTTACAAGACCATACGTCCGTATCAGGTGTTCAATCTCAAGCTTTAGAAAGCGTGAAAGATCGTTTAGAAGAGGTGCAAAGGACAACCGACCGTGAAAAGAATGAATTTCAGAAAAAAGAGAGAGAGTATACTGATTTAATTGCTAAGCTAGAGGATCAACATCAGAGTATCTCGGGAGCTTTAGCCACTGCTCAAAGGCGCCTTACAGAAGAACAAACTCAAAAATCTGATGCCGTCTCGCAATTGAAAAATTTTAAAGTCTCTTTAGATAATGCAAAAAGAGAATTGACAGAATACAAGGAAAAAGCTACTCGGATTTTACAATCCAAAGAGAGATTGATTGAGAGTTTAAAATCTGGTGATGGTGGTGAGTCGGATATTGCCGCCAGCGAGATCCGTGAATTAACAGAAGAGAAGGAGTTCTTAAGAGAGGAATTACAACATACAAGAGCTACAATCGAAACCCTTCGAACCGAACTCCAGGATACTGAAGTTCAATTTGCAACAGACATTGAAGATGTAAACGAAAATCTTAGCCACTGCCGAGAGGAATTAGAGAGCGAAAAGCGCAAATGCCGTGAATTGGAGCATGAGAGTTCTCGACAAAAACAGCAACTTGATTTAGCCGGTGAGGAGTTAATAAAGCAGAAAGCTTCTTTACAAACAAAACTAAAAGAAAAAGAGAATGAGGTAGAAAAACTACGATCGCAGGTAATTAAGGGGTCTCTTTACATCTTTCCTGTGCCAATGGAAAATTACTATTCCTTCCAATTTTCAGCTTTTATCTAGGCCAGCCCCAAATTCAAATGAGGCTGAATTGGAGAACAGACTTCACGCATTGACCGAAAGTCTAATTCATAAACAAACAATGGTTGAGGCATTGAGTACTGAAAAAAACTCGCTATCACTGCAATTTGAAAGACTTGAGGTAACAACAAAAGAGAACTTGTAAGCTTTTTAAGTACTTTTATCTAATTACTATAATTACAGTATCAATATAAGGAATTACAAGCTAGTAATATAAGATCTCATGCCACAATAAATATTATGGAAGACGAAGACGTTCGACAGAGGACACCAATGTTTATGAGAGAATCTCCTGCCGATGGAGACGTTACCCGAAGAGTTAAAAGAGCTGCTAATAATATAGATCGCTTTAGTATAAGACTTGGTGTTTTCCTCAGGCGATATCCTATAGCAAGGGTGTTTGTGATTATTTATATGATACTACTACATTTATGGGTAATGGTTGTCTTATTAACCTATCAGCCTGAAGTTCACGGTAAAGAATTTAATGGTAAATTGCCTGCTGCTCATCCACCTTCAGATGGTTAAGGAAGCGTATCTATTTTATATATTTAAACGAAAAAAAAACAAACTGTCGTTTGGTATTTATCAATCGAATATTATATATCGATCGTCCGTCTTTCTCATGTTATTAATCAATTATTTCTAGCATCAATGCAAATTTAAAAATTTTGAATGAATAGTTATCAATTTCAAATAGATATTTACTTATTATATCGTTGTTGTAAAAGACTCCAGGCTTTCTCTACTTGCCTTTGAGTCACACTGGGTTCCCATAGTGTACTGAGGACAACATTTGCATGCTCTATTCTCTTAGCGTTACTCATTTGCTTTTCCAGACGCATAATTGCTTGTTCTTCGGTAATTTTATTTCTGTCTACTATCCTCTTGACTGCTTCTTCTTGCGGTATGATGACAACCCAAACTTCGTGAGTGTTTTCATGCCAATTCGCTTCCAAAAGAACAGCTGCATCTAGAACTACAATATCTTTGTCTGAAGTTTTAATTTCTTCCTGTGCAAGTTTCTGAATAGCAGGCCAGACAATCTTATTCAAGTCCTCGAGCGATTGCTTATCGGCAAAAACTTTAGCCCCCAGTTGCTTTCTATCTACAGTGCCGTCTTTGGCGATTACGTCGTCACCAAAGCGTTTTCTTATGAGCTCGATAGTCTCAGTCCCTGGTAAGTAGGCTTTATGCCCAAGCTTGTCGCAATCAACAATATGAGCTCCAAGACCTTTCAACCTTTTACAAACAGAAGACTTACCAGACGCCATACTACCTGTCAGACCAATAACGTAAGGCTTCCCTTCTGATTTGACAGGAGGCTTTAAAAGAGTCCCTAACAGCCTCCTTCGACAAGATGAAGAGCTAATTTTCTCTTCTTCATTTTCCTCTTCCCGTATCTCGTCTTTAACTAAGTCTACAATTGATATGTCTAAAATGGATAAATTCTTCTCACGTCTCTTTTGGTTAATAGCATCTCCTCCCGTCTTTGTTTCATCACTAACAACTATCGCATCCAAATCACTTTCTGTAATGGCAGGGCCAAAAGGATCCGACAATTGTCTTAAATCTCTTTTAATAGATGGACGAACATCCTTTAAGAATTCGTTAACATCAGCCATGCGCCGCTCCATTGGCACAATTAATTCCTTCAGGACTTTCTTCTTTGTTAAGCACTCGTCCGATACACCGACTATAATACCCTTTTTCGCTTGCATAGCACCATAACTTAATAGAATTTTATGTCCAGCGTGAAGTCTATCGAAAGTTCCGCCTAAGCAAACATTATCGTACGTTTTAAAGACTTCCTCTTTTTCTGGTTCAACTTGGGTATTAAGTTCTAATTTGATGACATTTAAAGCCGACGCTGCTTGTAGAATGTGCTCTTTGGCATACTTTGCGACGGTTTGTGATTCGTTAGAATCTGTCAAAAGTGTTTCGTACTGCCCATAGCCAAGGGTAATTGATTGGGGTGGCGAAATTCCTACATTATGTAATAGGAAGCGAACATCCAATTTATATTTAGAGCTTTCGCCATATATCGAGACTAAAAATCTTCGCAGGGAGTCATTTTGTGGGACAGGAGAGTGAAGTTCATCATTCGTCACGTGAATGTAAACAGCCCTACTTGCATATTGCGCTGCAGTTTTTAATATTTCCCTTGTGTTATATCGTAGAACGTGAAGTGGTCTAGTTAAAACAAGTAGTGCTTCAGACATTTCTGTTTATATGAAATAAACTGTTTTATCGCTCTAATTATTACTATATCTTGCTAAAATTATAGGATTGACAATATAGCTAGTAGTTTGCTACGAAATTATTATAATATTTACCGACAGATTTTCTTAATTTAATTATCGATTTATTAATGTAATCGGAAATTGAATACTTGACAATCTGTACAAGGGCCGCTCTTTAGGCCTAGATTTAGGCAAAATAGGCAAAATCAACATGGCGACTATTACAATCAAACATGAAACAGCTTTTTAGAAACTAATTAATCTATGTAGACTTTGGTCAAATCTAATACACAAGGACTTGGATATTTTCCTCCTTTTTTTTGAACATACAACATTAATATCTCTAATTCTGAGCATCTGTCTTTTATAAGCTATTTTTCTTCAGCTCGTATAATAGAGATAGCGCGCGTTTCTTTTCACTTCTAAAATTACGAAAGAAACATAATGATATCCGAAAATCAATTTCCGAACGAACCTATCTATTATTAACACTGAAATATCATATTTATATTAAAAAAAGATAATTATGGAATAGAATATGTTTTCTTTAGAATATAATAAATAAATTCCGTAGAACGAAAAACAAAAAATTTTTCCCAGATCATAGAGTAATGTCCTCTAGTGAATGTAATATATACAAAACCTAAACTAATCTCCACATTTTTCCTATTACATTCTACAATTTCTCTTCGAGATGTAAAAATAGTTGAAATAATGATAATAATTAACAATACTAAGATGTCCTCTATTGTTTATAGTATATGTTCTTATTCTTTAAGAGTCTTACCTCCCTTCGTCTCTCTCTCTCTCTCTTTCACCTATTTAAATTCAGACAGCCAAGGAAATAGACTAGAAAAAAAAACTGAGAATTATTTGAAGAGATATTATGTTCTTTTAAATTATTACTACATTTTATTTTAGATAAGGATAGTTTCTTTTCGCTAAAAGCAAAAAAAAAAAAAGAACACATTACAATTGTTCTATTATTACAACAAAGTAAATCCTAATGGGAAATGCAGATTTGATGTTTTTAACGTAACTTGATAAACTTATATTTTGTCTACATAAAAATTGATTAAATTAATACACATTCCATTAGAAATACGACGTAATTAGAATGAAATATAGAATAGGAAAAAAAGAACAACAAACGCTTTCCATGTATTCATTAGTTCATTAAAAATATTTTTTATTTATCTATTTCTTTCCAGTCTCTTTCTCCTTTTCTGTATCTATCTTCCTTTCCCCATTCTATATTTAATTATTCTACAGTTTTTGATGTAAATCTAAAGGAAAAACAATATAAAAACTTAAGAATAATCAATTGTTTTCTTTTCACGTAATGCTTCGATCTTTATTTCTCTTATACTATATACTTTAGAGAGTATTTTATATGTTTGTGTTAATTTTGATCCTTTTGCAACAAATTTTTACACAGAACACTCTTCGCTGTTATTAGAATAAAATATTGTTCCATAATTTATAGGCCTACTATTGTTTTTATTTTCAATGTCCAGAAGCTTGGACAATTTTCGACTTTTTAATTCTAAGAATTTTAAAAATATTCTTCTTTTTCGAATTATTCTATTTATAAGTGTTTTTTCCATGAATATATTATTCCATTGTATGATAGGAGATAATCATGTTTGGCCGTGGTTTATGGGATTACTATGAATCCGTATCTGTTGATGGACTAGATAGACAACCTAATGCGGGGAATAATCAGGAGAATAAAAAGGGTGTTGTTGTTGATTCTTTAACCGCAGAAGAGAAAAATTCTAGAACATCGTATAAAACAATCAATGAAATTGATCCGGAGGGGAAGCTGAGTCAGGAAAATGCAATATCTGATCAAGAAATTTGGCACAGAACAAACAACTTTTACCAGTCGAATACGACAATATTTAATCAAGAAAAGTTAACTTATAGGGAGTTATTTCATTGGAATTCTTGGCGACCATGTATACTGAATTTAGTAACATCTAACGGATTTTCTTCATTTATCATGGTTATTATCCTGTTAAATACAATAATCCTAATTATGCAAACTTTTGAAGATTTCGAAATACATGCTAAATGGTATTTGGAGGGAATTGATCACGTATTCGGAGGGATTTACTTGTGGGAATTATGCCTAAAGGTTTACGTTTGGCGGTGTGGATTCTTTAGGGAAAAATGGAATACGTTGGGTAAGATATTTATTATGCTCGATAATAAAAAAGAAAAACACCAAAAACCCAGTTAGAACGCTTAATGAAATTTATTATACCTTATTTATTTTTTTGTGATATAGATATATTTATATTACACTATGAATTTTTATTTATATAGATTTTTTTATCGTTTTAACGAATTGGCTTGATATTTTATTGGTTGCTTATGCGTCAACATCAAATTTTAATGGTGCAACAATATTCCGATTGTTAAGGATATTTCGGGCAGTCAGAGCCATTAGGGCAGTTCGGGTTTTGAGGACCATCAGATTCTTATCCAATTTACAAGTCGTAATGGCTACTTTAGTTCAATCGATTCAATCCATTAGCGCCATTGCAATGATTATTATATTGTTTATGTGTATCCTTAATTTTACGGATTCATTCTCTCTATATAGATTCTTTGCATAACAATTCTTTTCACTAGTAATATATTCATTAAGCAGAGAAATACCCTTAACAAGTTTTCTGAAGATATATTTGCAGTTATAGGCCGATTGTTATACGCGAATACCGACGAAGAGCGTTTTGGTAACATATTGAAAGCGCATTTTACGCTTTTCCAACTTCTTACTTTGGATGATTGGTCGAATATTTCAAATAGCATTGTTAAAAAGGATAAAAGTATGAAAATATCGTTTAATTTTATTAAATTAGTATTAAAATCAGTATTGCTCATTTCTATTGAAACAGGTAAATGGCATATAATTATATATCTCTTCATTTACATAGTTGTAGAATATTTCATTTTTCTAAAGTATATATACACACTAAGTTTTTATTATTGCTATGAATTATTCAAAAGGACCACTTTTTTTAGTCTTTTCGTGGCTGTACTTGTTGACAATTTTCAGTTATCATTATATAGTCCAAAAGATAATGGTAAGGAACCTAAAGGCGTTTGGCAGAAGGACGAAACACTTTCAGAAGATGTAAAAGACTACAACGACGATTCGTCTACAGATTTCCAACGTAAACTCTAGTTTACATTAGAAGTCGTTTAATCCTTTTTCTCTTTTTTTTTTCCAATAAATCTAAATCCCGGCTTGATACAAAAATAATCAGCTGGAGAACAAGACGACGAGGAAAAAATTCGAAAAACTATTGACGACTACTATCCAGACGTTGATGAAGAGTAAGTGTTTGTTGCTCGACGATAAGCGGATTATGAATTACGAATTAATTCAGGTCAAGAAAGTCCTTGAATCGATTCTTTATGTTACTAGTCGCAATTGAAGCAAACGTAAAATATATGGAAAAACAACAGCAAATACTTGATACACTGCTACAAATAGCTGAAGACACTCCCGTTAACACGTGAATGAAAGTAACATATTAATATATATAAACAGTTATTTATTTTCTTTATATACAATATATACAAAAGAGAATTAATAACAAAAAAATGTCGGTTTTTTCTTATTATTTCTTACTTAATATTAATAATGCGTCAAGCATTTTTCTCTTTCTAAGTGTTTATGAAAATGTCCAACTCGTAAATTCGGTAAATATAAATGATTAACGCCACAAATATGTCTTAATTTTCTTTTTATGCGAGCTTTTAACGTAACGCATACGAGCGTTACTTTTGATCTCTTTTTTACAATTTTACCAATTTCTTTCAAGCTATGACTAATACGATCTGTAATGTAAAAGATGATAGTTTGTCCGGAAGAAGGTCGAATCTCTGATTTCAAATATGAATTTAGATGATCTTTTATATATTTTGCTCTGCATTGAGTCTTACATAATCTTTGACTGATCTTTTCAATGTTATGTAAGTGATGTTTATCTATCAAGTCCGATGTAAATATGACTTCTACCGTTAATAGGTGATAAATCGTTTTTAAACTTGAAAAATTATCAATCGTTGACATGTAATGGCGATGAGGTTTAGAGGAATAACTTTTAAGAGAATTCTTTGTCGTCTCGTTACTTAAAACAAATATTCTTACTCCTTCTGATCTGGCTGAAAATAAATTTGCGCCTAATATCCAATTATTCTTCTCCGACGACAACACTGGCCCTAATACTGTTAAAACTAGCATACGTAATTTAGACGAGTCCATTCCATTGAGGGCTGTGTTAACGATGCTATGCTGTACGTTTACCGCGCAATCGTTGTCAATTGAGGTTTCACCCTTTATCCTATCCAAAGCCAATATTAATGTCTTACTGTCCGTTCCCTGTCTAGAACGTAAAATAGCGTTGGAAAAGCACGAGTAGCTGACTAGACCAATCCGAATTCGTCCCCATTCCTTATAAGATGATGAAATTAACGGTAAATGCTGAACAACTGATTTAAAAAGATCAATCTGCTTTTGGAAACTTGTACCATTTATAGAGGCATCGACAATAATCATCATATCAGCTTCTCCATCCTCGCACCATTTCGATAAAGTTGGAACGTAGAGAAGCGTACAGCAGACAAGTCCAAGAATAATCTTAAATATTCAAACAAATACGAATACGGTGAAATTTTTTAGACAAAAAATATAGAGCCGGATGTTTCGCAAGAGTTTGGTAAATAAGTTGAATAGGACACGCGAAATTGTTTTTCCTCCTACCCTATATTCTCCTATTCTAACAGTCTTATTCGTGAGAAAAGGCAGAAAGATATACTTACAGTCGAGTTTGATAGAGAATTCGTCATGTTTTAGTCGTTCAACAACAAGTGCCGTTTACTAAAAAAATTTGCCCCTTCTCAACAGGTTTAATAGGCCTATTGGCGGAGGTGGGGGGAAATTTGCCGGGGATGATTCAGATCGAACAATTTGAAAAAGTCCCGATGGTAGTGTCATCTAGCGTATTTCAACATTTTCACTGAGAGTGAAAAAGAGGGGGGAGGAAAAGGGGGGAAAGGGACGAAGAGATGAGAAAGATGGCGTTAAAATCGGTTTGCTTCATCTCAGCTGTTATATATTCGAATTCAACATGGCGGTGAAGACGGTTAGCATTCGGTTAAAATGTTGCTTGGTAGCCGACGCTGGACGTCGCGACAATAGGATAATGACGTAATGTGTAGGCTAAATGGCTCACCGCTACAGTAAGCGAAATGAACAGTGTAGCCGTTCGAAGCCGGCGAACGGCTCGAATAAACAGGATAACGAGAAGAAGACGGCGACATGCTCGACTAATCAACTGCCTCAAAAGTACGATGATAACCCGAACCGTCAGGCTTATCATAAGGTATGAAATATATAATTTGATTTAAAGATAATTAAAAAAATTGGCTTGCTTATAAATTACTGATCGATAGACGGTCGCATTGACTGGGGCGGCTGTACGATTCATGCTTGTTCTTCCGAGAATTTTCACTGATCCACGTGCCTGCGCCTGTTCAATAAAACTCGTTTATTATTCACACTTGCCTCTTTCATATTTTATTCTAATCGCCTGATTCGACTCGACGTGGCCTAAATAATTAGCTTCGTTACTTTGGCGAGCGTTTTTTTTTCATTTATCCCCCCTTTCGGACAGCAATGGAGACGCTCCGTAGTAGCCTTTCCGCTTCTAAGTTTACAGTCTCTTGTTTACATACTGAATATATTCGTGGTGTGTGCGGGTGTGTTTCCGGTTTAAGAAAACAATAGGAAGACGGCTACCGTTGATTTCATCACACTCCTATATTCCTATATGTCTACTGTATATATGCTTTATAGCATTCGCTATATTGCTTGTATATAAATAATATGTGCAGTCTCAGAGTAGATAGTACCAAACACATTACAAATTTCCATCTATATTCCATGCTAAGGTAAAATATTTAATGTAGAGTTTATGCTGGCAGATGTGTGGAAAGGCATTTGAGATGATTGTATATATATATATATATATATATACAATCACAGAGAGAGGGAGAGAGAGAGGGAAAGAAAGAGAGAATCATTTTCGATTTGCTTGTTTGTAACATTGTATCAACTAATATCTATTCATCATCAACAGATCGAAGAGATCGTTGAGAAGATGCAGGACGAGAATAATGGCATTCCAGTAAGGACAGTTAAAAGTTTCATGTCAAAAATTCCCAGCGTCTTCACTGGATGTGATCTGATAAATTGGATGACGAGGCAGTTAAAAGTGGACGATACGAGTAAGAAAATAATAGTAATTTCGTAATCTGTAAAACTTGTATGATTTCGTACCCCTCGCCTAATTACAGTCGAAGCTCTACACGTTGCGCACTTAATGGCCGCTCACGGTTATCTCTTCCCAATCGACGATCACATATTAACGGTGAAGAACGATAACGCTTATTACAGGTAATTTTTATACTAACTGAAAAAAATATGTCTAATGTATATTTTCCTTCTGTAAATATATACGAATGCTTTCCGTTTCCGGTAGATTCCAGACGCCATGCTTTTGGCCGTCTAAAAGCGGAGAGCCGGAAAATACCGACTATGCCGTCTATTTATGCAAAAGAACAATGCAGAATAAACAACGCCTCGAACTGGCTGACTACGAGGCGGAAAACCTGGCGAGATTACAAAAGATGTTCTCGCGTAAATGGGAATTCATCTTTATGCAAGCCGAAGCTCAAGCAAAGGTGGATAGGAAACGAGACAAGTTGGAAAGGAAGGTTCTCGATAGCCAGGAACGGGCTTTTTGGGACGTCCATAGGCCGCCACCAGGTTGTGTAAATACAACCGAGGCTGATATTAAAAAGACCTGCCGGTCAAGGCGTCGTACGCCTATGAAGGTCAATTACAATGTACCAGGAGGCCGTTTAAGTCCAACTGTTTCTGAATCGGATTTAACAAATCCTGTCGAACAAGCGCAAGCCGAAGTTAGCCGACTAAGAATGATGTTGGAAAGGCGTCGAGTTAAGATATCCAAGGTTGCCGAATCATATATTTCTTATTTTGGTCAATATGTTGAATACGATTCGTTCATAACCCCACCGGAATGCTCTAATCCTTGGATTTCGGATAACTGCGAGTTCTGGGAACAAGAATCTTCCTTAACCAACATATCTGCTCGACGTGTACGCAGGTGGGCTTTCTCCATTCATGAACTGCTCAAGGACGCCGCAGGGCGGGAACATTTTACGCGCTTCCTAGCCAACGAATTCAGCACGGAAAACCTGAGATTCTGGGAGGCCTGCCAGCAGCTTAAATACGTGGCGCTCAAGAACGTCGAATCTCGCGTCGCCCAAATCTATCAGGAATTTCTAGCTCCAGGCGCCCACGATCCGATTAACGTCGACAGCCGCGTTTCTGAGGGTGTGAAGAAACGTCTCCAGCAGTCGCCCCAAGATCGTTATTGCTTTGAAGAGGCGGAGGTATGCTGATCCTCTTTTATCATTCTCCCCCTATCGCTTTCTAACCGTATTGACCTGGTCAATCCCTAATTATCTTTGTTCGACAGGAGCACATATTTAAGCTAATGAAGAGTGACAGTTATAGCCGATATTTACGTTCCGATATGTATAAGGAATTCGTAGGCGGAACGAAAAAGAAGGTAGGAATCGTTTTCATCTCATATAATCGTGTAATATTACTATATAATTAAGGTCTACTCTTACCAAAATATCTAAATATTACTAAATTTGCTGTAAATGACTTTTAAAAAAAAATTTTTTTATTCTAATTGTCATCTCTCTTTTTATTTACAAAATTTCTTTCTCTTCCTTTTCGATTTCATATGATTATCCTTAAAAATTTTATAATTTTATCTTTCCATTTATTTTACTTTTAATATTTTTATATTGCGGTAAAAATCCGCGCTTGTGTAAAAGAGCGGAGCTTTTTACTATAATCCCCTCGTTTTTACTTTTATCTACGGCACGCGCACGAAGCTTCAATGTATATTTATACTTTTTATATTTATATGCACACAACACTCTTTTTTCTACTTTTTTTTCCGTTTTGTGCTTTTTGCTTGCAGCCCGCTGTACGATCTATCATACCAAAACTGCCGAGTTTGAGTATGGGTGGTTCAACTTGACTCTGTAAAATTCCTTCACAGAGTGCAAAACGCCGTTTCGCTAGTGAAGTAAGAAAATTGCGCGAAATGGCCGCTACCACGTGCTGATTACATGCAGATACCCGCGTTTGCTGCTGAACTTTTACTCATATATACATGAAATATATACAGAATATATATATATATATATATATATATATATATATATATATATGTGTGTGTGTATATGTATATATGTATATATGTATATATGTATATATATGGATATATATATATATATATATGAGTATATATATACATATATATATATATATATATATATATATATATGTGTATGTATATGGTATATGTATACATATTTAAGTATAAATATAATTATATACATACATGAATATACATATATGTCCGTTATAATTATAAAGTGTACATGAATAAAAGTTCGTTTAAATTATTCGGTAATCGTCTGCGAGAGTGACGTGCCGAATCCAAGAGCGAATCGATTCCGATCCAAGTTGCATGCTCGTTACTCGAATTCCAGAGCAGGTAAATCCCGACAATTCAAAGTTGACGTAAATGGGTCCCATATCCTCTTTTATTGGTCGCTCATCCGAATAGTGCAGCTGAATAAATAAACAATGAGGGTAAGAAGCGTTTAAAAAATAAACTAAACGATAAGGGGAAGAAGTAAGCCTACTTTGAAGGGTAATAGACATTCTTCGCCAGCCTTTATCCTCTTTACCTTCCACTTGACGATGCTAGTCCGTCGGTCAAAGTCAAAAGATCCATTCGGTAAATTTTTAGGCGAATAGATAGAAGCATTTTCGACCAAAGCCGGAACGGCTATTCGTACGGTCACGTTAATAGCTTCGAGTGCCGTGTTAATGACGGCAATTAAACGAAGGCTCAAGGTCGCGTCGAGAACGTACGCCGACGAATCGTTTTCGCGACACGTAAGAGACGCTCGAATTGGTACGATGTGCCCGAATTCGCGTTCTTGCTTATACTCCAATATTGTAAACTAGGAATAAGAAAAATTTGCTCTGAATCTTACGAAGCTTATAATATGCGATTCTTATTATATACTTCTCCCTCTTTAGGTCTGACTATACACGTTCTCTTATTCTCTAAATCGTTCTCCCTTACACAATCGTTTATTTTAATTTCGCTCAGCCTTATTCGATTTGTATCTAGGTTAGAAATTGCATTTAGTCCGTGGTCAATTTAATTACATGAACTTACTAAATAGTTGACGTAAATCGCCTTCCTGTTCTACGTCTATGGGCGTTTGAAACGTCAGTTTAATATCTGTTTGCTTTTCTATGAACGCTTTCATTTTGATCAACCCTCGGATGTTAGAAGATTTTACTGTGCCATTTCTTTCCATCTCCAAATTCATTTTTTCTATTACGTCCACGTATACGTCATTCTTCCTCTGAAGCTATTGTATTTTGTAATTAATTTTCTCTTTATCTAATATTGAATCCGATATATGTTTGATGTGATGGATTTTTAGGTACCTGCTCCCAGGCTGGTTGTATCACGGGTTTTGATTCGGCATTATAATCGGTAGTTTTTTCCAAACCGAACTAAAAATTAGGTCGATCGCTTGGTTATCTTTATAGAGAGTAAATATTTTCTTTACTTACGAAGCCGTACTGAGTCGTTTTTGGATGAATGAGAATGGGTTGAGCTTGAATAAGAGGTTTTAACCTCGCAACGCTCGTTATTTGCACGTAGCCACTATCCTGAATTATGAAATAAGAGTATTACTTTTCCATATACATATCGATTTAGAGCTTACTATGATTTCTTCTAGTATTTCGTATATTAACATCCAATTGGCTTTGACTGCTTCCTCACAAACACTTCCACAAAATTCTTTTACCAGATGAGCTATACTATTTGAATAAATAATATTTTTCTCAATAATTTTTATGCAAAGAGTTAAAATCAATTGGATAACGAACTGTAGAAGCAAATGAGATATAAAGGCGTAGCCATTATTTTTGGACACCAAGACGAAAAATACTCCTTCCTTTTCCAAACTTGTCAAATGCACACCATTTTTTACCTAATCGATATAAAGTAGTATTATATAACACGGATTTCATTAAGGTTTACAAAATGTTTACCATGCAATCCGAACCTAGAAGTTCCTTCTCTGCTTCACTATTAACCCCACAGTTGATTAAACAATTGGCTAATTTATTATGTTGACATTAACCAATCAATGTCATAAGCTTAAACGTTATATCAAATCCTGACTTTCAAAATATTGATTCTCTGGGAAAGCTAATAACTTTCAATTAATAAAATAGGATTTTTTTTTGTTTTCTTTTTCGAATAAAACATTTAAACGAGAGTTTAACCATACTAATTTACTTTGATTTTCACCGAAAGTTTCTTAAGTTTATAAAATGCTATGTTTTCCTTATTATAAAACTATATCATATTTGAAAATACTAAAATTCCCTATATTATACATCTACCAGCAGGATAAGACTTTTTGTAAACATTATTTAGCAAGCTGGGGGGCAAATAGATCTTGCCATTTCTTTTCTTGTAAAACAGATGAAAAAATACTAATGGAATCTTCTTCTATATCTGGACGATATCTCTGTTACACGTGAAAATCTCCAATATATAAATGCATAACATTTATTAATAGGCTTCGATACCTTGAATATTAAAGGACTACCATGACTATCTGTTATGAAAAATTCGGATACAATACATTCGCTTTTCTCCCATTCATCCTCATTTATATTATCGCCCATAATGATATAGTATCTTTTTCAAAGCTCGATATCTATGGGCTTTCTTTTTATGAGACAAAGATACATAGAACCTCCAAAATGTTTACCCACAGAAGACCTCTTTAGTTACAATTTGTGAAGAGATAATAGTTAATGACTTTTGAGTTTATTCAAAGTATAGAATTTGTAAACGAAATATTCATTATTTTCGTATCACGTGACAGTCACGTGATGCCATGGAAAATAGCTGCTATTGCGAACAAAATGCTAGTAAAGTGACGTATTTCACATCTCAATATGGCAGGAACGATAGTTTATCATATACAGTAGCAAATATATGCGGTGATACTAGTATTTATCCAAAATATGGGGATTTTACCCAGACAAGTGTTATGGTACGTTTCGAAATATAGAGCGATATTTTAGTGTTTATTCTTAGACAAATATAAACAGCCCTGTCATATTTTAATGACTTAAATTGTATTTTCATTAGCGAACATATGGGCCATGGTGGAATAAGTGTCCATCCGCATCAAAACCGTTTATTAATAAAGGCCATAATTTTTACGGAGAAGATTTCATCGGTTTGTCAAATTGATAAATATTAATATCATACACACACATATAGCTATATATATATTTATATAAATTTATATGTATATATAAAGTATACTGTTATCCTTATATGTCTCTTAAAATGTTACATAAATTAAATGAAACCGTCTACTAACATTTGCTCAGAATTGAAATTCGAACGGATAGTGATTCCTATACAAATTAAAATTTTCGAAACTTATCACCCTGGCTCGGTTATCAAAATATGGGGCGCAAAATTAAAGAATTTAAAATCTAATGAAGTTCACTCTTGGTTACTATTGTGGTCGGGTCCGATAAGGTCATACAATGATAACAAATGTCATATTCTGAAAGCAAACTGCAAACAAGTTCAATTCTATACTGAGTTTGTATTAGAATTAATTTATTGAGTAGATTTTATTTACTGATATTTACGAATATTTTAAAGCTTAATTCGAATCGAAATGAACCATTCAGAGCTTCATTATTACAATGAAATTGATTGCGTGCAAATGCTTGGTATTCCCTTATCTTTTGAAGAAGATGAAGGATCCTCTGTTGATAGAGAGGATGATGACGTTTCTGCGTTGTCAAAAAAATATGAGAACATCAATTTGTTTGGTAACTCGGAGACGCAAAAAGAAAATTTTTTCGAATCATTACCGGTATGTCTAAATACTTTAAGAAACAATCATTACTATTTGAAATGTCAACAGGAAGAAGTAATACAACTTATTCTTCTCTACTTAGATACTGCATCACTTTGTAATTTAGCATCTACATGCCGGTATTTCAATTTTTTTCCCTCTTATTATGAGATACTAAGTGGAAAATTACAGACTTCTACACCAGCACTGCTATGACCGTTTATTATATAAAGAACTGGATTTACAACCCTATTGGCCTAATGTATTAATTATAATTTTTATCATTCCATCTTATATTTCACAATTATTATGCTTATTAAAGATTAAAGATTCTTCACTTGAATCCCTAACAAGCAGGTGTCGGAAATTAGAACGAATAAATTTGTCTTGGTGTGGCGGCCATAATTTTATTAGCTTCAACGCTTTCAATAAGTAAAAAGAATATCTATACACTCTTTATTCAATTTATCATTTTTTATACAGAAATCTATTTTTAATTATCAATATTTTATTATAATGGCCTGTTTTTTTCTTGTTGATTTAAAATGTACAAATACCCAAATTACGATATTTTTTTCTTTTTAAAAACAGATTTCTTCTCAATTTGGAAAAGAACTTAATAGTCTTGAGATTAAGTGGTTGTGAATTTTTAAATGATAATTGCTTCGATGCTATATGTAGCAACTGTCCTAAATTAGAGGAATTAAATATTGCAAGTTGTATAAATACAAATGAATTCTCTCCATTGGTTCGTTTAAACAAGTTAAAAAAATTGAATTTGTACAGAACTAATATTGATTATTTCTCTTTATACCAATTTATAATGTAGGTGTATTCTATTTCCCTCTCTCTCTCTCTCTCTCTATTTTTTTATTATTCAAAATTAATTAATTTGCTGATTTGTTTTACTTTTAATTAAAGGAAATGTTCAAGTTTAGAACATTTAAATATCGGTTCCTGCTCAACGCTGAGAAATTGTGGTGATATTGTTGTCAAGTTAAGTAATAACTGTCGGTAAGTTTCTTTTATTTATTAAACGACATCAATTAATTAAAAGATGTTTTGAATTTTTGTAATAATTAGAAACTTAAAGGGTCTTGATATATGGAGAGCGAAAGATATAACAAGTCTTAGTATTAACTCTTTGGCGGAATGTAAGCAATTGGAAGAATTAGATATTGGATGGTGGTTAGTTTTTTTTATCTTATCCAGCAAATCTTCAATTTCATATCTGTTTGCTTATAAGAGGATTTTGTTTTTTTCCCTCTTATACCAATAGTAAAGTAGAATCTAATTGTGGATGTCTAAGGAAACTAGCCGAAAATTGTCGTAAAATGAAAAAGCTCTTTTTAACGGCAACAAGGTAAATAATCCTATTGAAATCGAGTTAAAAATCTTTCCCATCTTCTATCTGAGTTTTATTTCAAATAGAACTGTTAGCGATCTGGATTTACAAACTATCGCCAAATATTGCCCTCAATTGGAGCAGTTTGATATTCTAGGAACAACAGAGGTTACACTAGGAGGAATAAAACTGTTAGTTATTTATTCAACAATTATTCTGCATATACTTAAACGATTTATTTCTCTTATAGAATTTTAGATAAATGCGAAAATCTGCAGTTATTAGATATATCGTTTTGCGAAGAGATAAATGGGAAAATCTATTTGGACTTGGTAAAACAATACCCTCACGTTAATATCAAGAAAAGCTTTCAAAGCGATGATCTTTAATTGAGCCTGCTACTTTTTTTATTTATTATAAACTGAATATAGTATTTATATCATTCTATTTTTTGTTAATTTCTAATATTAATTACATTCGAATTGTTATAATTACATTGAAAATTATCTTTTTCTACATGAAGCAATTCATATTTTTAATAAACAATCTTCTATTTACATTAATAATGGAAAATAGGCTAGTAATAGGCCTAGCTTGTGACGTATACGCTAGTTTTTTGTATAAAGATTTGCATTCCTCTTCTATTATTAAATCTAAGTTTGAAGAAAAAGACTAGTTTTTAAGCAAACTACGTGTATAAATAATTAAATTTTCTATAAGACGAAAAAAATAAGTACAATAAATTAGTCTCTGACAGATGCATGCATTCTCACAAAGTGCAAATTAGTCATTTGCTCTTTTACATCGATTTTTAAAAAATTTATAATAGTATTGGCTGATTCTATTTAGATATTACACGAGTTTGCAAAGTAATTCTGAGGCTTTTCATTACTATTTGTAATCGGCCTAGTGTTTCCTGCTGCCCTGACTTTTAAAATATTTCCATGCTTAAGTAAAAAGGCAATGTAAATGAGTAAATGTGGGACTGTAGGCTCTCTACTTGTGATTACTAATTGTATCTAAATTAAAAGATTTTTCAAATAATTCAATTCTCATAACTTTTTATTTGAACCAAGTCATACGGCCAAACTATTACAGCAAGACTTTAATAGATACGTAAAGAGGGACCCATTGTAGACTTGATGTACAAAGCTCTAACGTTTTGCCAGTTTTTCTTCAACAAAGATACCAAAAAGTTGATGGCCATATTGGTATTAGACAACAAATCTTCTGGTGCCATGGAAACATTGCCGACAGCGACTGCCAAGCAAAGAACCTGGAAAGAAAAATGGCATCAACTGTTTATCTCTTAAAGAACTAGTGTTGCTTACCTTTTTCATTTGGAAACGAATAGTGGCTTTTTGTTCAGCAACTTTGTTAGCCATAGATTCACTATGGGACAACATAGTAGGGAATTTACCGGCTTTGTTTAATCCGGGTCCCAAGATTCTTGGAATCTGCTTGATCAAAGAATCAGATGCTAAGAAACCATCGTATTTCTTGGCCAACTTCTTAACCAACTTTTTGTTTTTATTCAATTTTTTCAATGAGTCAACATCCATGGCTGGGATGTTGTTAGCAGTAGCTTCATCAATATGCTGGGCATCTCCCAATACACAGATGTTGAGCTTGGGACGAGGAACGTGCTTTAGCCTAAAAACGATAAATATGTATTAGTTGTGAATCGTTATTCACTATATACTACTTAAACAGTAATAAGAATGTCGTATTACACAAGTTTAACGCAATTATTAACGCAAATTTTTCGCCTACAATGTTTGGTGACAAAACGATAAATCGTTTTGCGACCTCCCCAATTATTTTAAGACCCTGGGTACAGGTCCGCTGACATTTCAGCTTCCTCTGACTTTCAGAGGTAAAAGACAAATGTAAATTCCATTACTTGACGGTTCCCGAAAAACGCTTATCCTTTTGGGGATCATAGTTCTTCAAAGAAATTTGGAGTTCAATTGTCTCGGTGAATTTACGAGGTTTCTCCTGGGACCTCTTCAATACAGTGTTGAGACTTTCGAGAAGCGAGTCTTTGCTAATCTTGCTGTCATCAAAAAATATATCATTAAAAATTGAAAATCATGTGGATTTTTTGGATTATTTCTGGCAGAATGTTATTTAAGAACTTGTTCTTCAATTTAGAACAACTCTCAACAAATTATTGCACAGATAAACGAAGATTTTAAAAGATTTCTTCACGTACCTCATGTTGGCTGATTGATCAAACCGGAAAAGGAAGAGGCCCCTCAGAAAATTTTATTCATGCGCATGCGCGAGAAATGTAAAAAAAAAAACCGGAATATAACGCGGCAGCAATTACACGTTAGACGTTAGGAGCGCCAAATACAAAAGGGAACACGGCTTAAATTTTTAAATTACTTTAAATTAAATAACCGATTGAGAAAACTTAACGAAAGTATATACAGAATATCATTAACAATGCACAAAATATCAATGTAAGATTGAAACAACTCTTAAATACTCTTAAAAGAAGAATTATAAAATCGATGGTTCTTATTCCTAAATTGCGACGAAAAGTATTCCCTTAGCAGTTTCATCTCTTATAGATAAAACTCTTATATAAAGAAAGAGAACGAAATATAAAGAAAACAAACGATATAGCTCCTTCTTAGTAAGAATAACACGCAAAAAGTATAAGATAAAGAGATATTTATGCGAAAAAAAAAAGAAAAGAAAAGAAGAAGAAGAAATCTAAGTATTTCTTCTCTTAGATAACAAAAGAACGAAAAAATTATTAACTTTGGTAAAAAGAACATAAATTCTTTACCAAAAGGTTAATAAATAGGAGGAAAGAATCAATAAAATTTAACGCTTCTTTTTAAGGGAAGAAAACCAATTATAATTACGGAAATCCTTAAATAAATTTAAATAATGAAATAAATAATAAAACTTACGTTTATCAATGTAAGACAATTTCAAATACTTAATATATGACTTATTATTATTTGTATTATGTCTTTTCTCTGGCAGATTTTTTTTCTTTCTCATTTAGATTCTCTCTCTCTCTTTCATGCTCTCTTTCTCTCCCTCTTTCATTTTTAAGACTTTGGTGCATTGCTTCGCAACTGTCATTTTAGTTGATAGAAGGTTTCCTTATCCAATGAGATATCTTATCTGCAGTATCTGATCAGAAAGCTAATATGTCTGTATAAAATTCAGAGCATAGATAATGTCAGAGCATAGTATATTTATGCTTTTATTATTTGGATATTAGCGATATTTACTATTATTAATGTTATTTTAAGGGTTTATAATTATCTTTCGACAAGATTTATCGTATTAAGTGTTATAGAGATTAAATTATCTGAACTTTTAATCAAATTATGCCCCAATGCAATTGTATGAATGGGTTAAAGTTTTTCCTTTATTTTTCCTATTACTTCCTCTCATGCTTCCCTTTATCTTCTTAAATCGGGGAGAATAACTAGCATTTCTTACTCATATCATCGTTAGTAATTTATTTCCAAGTACTAAACGTCAAATAAAATTGACGTTTTTGCAGATTAATGTATAATAAATTTTAATAATTGGATTGTATACTCAAATACTGTATATGAGATATAGAGTCTATATCTATTAATTTCTTATGTATATATATACATATATTAAGTATTTCTTTCTAATTATATAATAGTATAATGAGAAATATAAATTATGTGCAAAAACCGAATAATAACAATTGAATAAACAATACAATAATTTTCTTTGTAGTTTATTATTTTATTATATTTTCGTTTTTATTTCACCGAAATAATAAACACTGCATTTCATATTGTCAATTATATTTATTAGATAATACTACATTATGTACATTGTACATTAGCTTAATATTCTTTTTGTTTTTTTTAAACAAAGCCAACAAGTATTGAAGTTCAGCCAATAAGCAAAATTAACGTATCTAAGGCATTTAGATCATTTGCACTTTATGCTATGTTTATAACTATTTGCCTTACCTCCCGACCCTTACCTATATCCCTTTCACCCCTTTTCCCTTTTCCCCATGCTTTTTCTCTGCTTTTTTTTTTTTTATAGAAAAAGAGAGATATTTATACTACATCTAAAGCCGTAATAATCATAATTCTTTCTTTCATACATCATTCAGTAGGTAAGCCATACTTACGCCATAGAATTATTTTGATGAGACGTTAGAAAGAAGGGTTCCTTATTCTTTAGGATAGAAATATGCTTTAACTTAATTATTTTTCTTTTAATTTCTTATATTTATACAATACTTTCGCTAGTTTCTTTGTCTGTATATGAACTTACTGTTTGCTTAGAGGGTAAAAAGTTATTCAATATTTTTGCCTCAACTTTACTAATTTTCGGCTGTGATTTTAAACTGTCCGATATATTTTTTGAATCTTGTCGTAAAACCACAAAACGACCTGCCGATGATATTTTTGGAAGGTGTTCACTTTGTTCAACAGATACTATTCGACGGAGCTGCCGCCCTTCAAATAGGCTGTGTAAACCAAGAGTTTCATAATATTGTGGATGAAGTATATCATCCGTTGGGACTGCAGATTCAATATTTGATGCTACAACGTTGGCCGCCTGTTTAAACAGGAGAAAGATAAAAAGTGCCTCTTGTCAAAATTATATATTAACTTACCACTGGGTGTCCACTTTTTAGCAAGTTCTACAGTTTGAGAATATTAAATAAATTAACTTATTAGTTATAATCTTCAAGACGCATGAAAGAAATATAACCTCGTAAATATCGAATGTGGCAACTTTATTCTTCTCTGTTAAACTCTTTGCAACAAGTTCTAATTCCCAATTTCTACCTTTCTTAATTGTTTTATTATATTCTCTAGCAAACTGTGAAAAAGGGGAAATGCGATTAAATTCTCCTTATCCCAATTAATAATTACTTACTGCTATAGTTGGTTTATTGAAAATAGTCTCCTTTGCTACATGATGATCTCTATTACAGATGGTAACGCCTTTCAACTGAAAAATAGGAAATAGATAAATAAGGGAGAAATTTTGAACTAATTAAAACTAACGAAAAAGACGAATACAGCCGATAAACAGATGCAGATAATGTTAACAAATGTCAAAAGTAGACTTATTGTTCCCAATATTGCTAGATCATTCGTGAGGTTACAGGTGTAAGTTGTTTTATAATTATTATTGATTAAGGAACTGCATTCCAAATTAGTTGGACTTGAAATTGATGAATTTAGCATTTCTGTGGAATTAGTTAATCTCAAATCTAGTTTAGAAAAGATTTTAACAATTAAAGTTAATTATTTTTAAATCGAAATTAATTACCCCTACCTGTTTCATTCACAAGCGGAGACTTAAAATTATAGACGATGGTACTTGCCCAAAGCATACCCTATTGGAATTATATTATTAATAAGATAAATTAGAATTACTTATTGTTATTATATTTAGGCTCTTAAATAAAATAACTTTTCTTTTAAGAGTTAATTATCCTTTTTATGAATAATTGCTAACAAATTCTTAAGTAAAACATTACGAACACAATTGACTGCTGGAGGAAGTAATGATGCCGATATAGCAACTCCAACCAGGCTGCTTATATTAGCACTAAGACTGGAAACGGCAACCCCCACGCCTGATGGTATGGCAATGAACGCTCCAATCCATAATCCTCGTAATAATCCCCTATTAGTCATTTCTGCTGATGGCCATGAATCAGTACCTGTATTCACTCCGTTCTGATTAATGAAGGCCGTGGGAACTCCACAAATAAATCCGGTTAAAATACAAATGAGTAAAAGCAGTATGGCATTAAATATAGCTTCTTTTACGAGATCCCATTTTCCTATTACAGTACAAAACGTCCCACCAAGGATTGGACTCTTAAAAAGACAATATATATATATATATATATATATCAATTTGAGTTAAGTTTATTTATGTTATTTTCAAGTACCATAAGAGGTGACACTAGCATACTAGCTACCAGAACAACACTACTATTCTCTATCAGGCCTATAGCAGCTATTATACTGCAAGAAAAGTGCGTTAGAAGTAATTGTAAGGGTTTGAAGAAAAAAAGGTCATTACCTTGCTAAAACAATCAAACAAATACAATCTGAAGTAAGAGCGACTTTGGAGGCCATATCATTAACTACTTGGGCGAATATTATACAATTGGAAGATGTTTTTAAAATTTCATTTTGCTCTGTAGGTGTTTCTTTTTGTGATATAGCAGACATATCTTTTAAAAGTATTCCCTCTTCGTCATTTGTCTTTTCATCCAACCTAATTAATTCAACAGAAAAAAAAACAATATACAGTGTATATATAATATTCTCTTTTCTTAGTTTTCCCTCCTTTCCCTACTTACTGAAGAGGTGCAACCGGCTCTCCTGCAGTAAATGTTGGAGCGCATTCTTCTGAATTAATAGTATTTTCAGTTTCTTCATTATTATCTTCAACTTTTCCATCATTTAAACAACTTTCGTGCAGAAAGGGGGAAAATACACTGAAAAATACCTATGTTAATCTCTTTCATTGTTCTCTCTTATTTATAATCTAATATACTAATATAATCGACGTTATCGATAAAGCTATTAGAATAATGAAAGAAATTTTATCAACCTTATACTTGTTCCACTTAATTTTCCAAAGCCTATATTTTGCAACTCGTAATATACGTCATCTACTTTAGTTCCTATTACAGGTACTAGAAATGATTCTTGAATGTAGGGCACTTGATCCAAATGCGATGTTACTCTGAAGGAGGAAGTAATTCCATTTTCTTTAAGTATAATTCTGTACAAACGATTGTTTTATTGAAAATTCAGCTATTATTGTAAACACATTTTTAATTTCATGAATAGATAAGGATAAATACCTTAGTCTCTCTTGAAATGAAAAAAATTTAACAGTTTTTAATTTATCGTCTGGAGATATTTCTCCATTTTCTTTTTCCTTTAACTTGCTCACTTCTTTAATAATTGCCTCTTCTAATTTCAATTTCGAAACTGATGTCTTTAAAACAGGCTCTAATAATTTTTCTGAACAATCTAAACTTGTATGGCTAGCACACCTGGAACCATTAAATGACGATATGGACTGGGTGGCTGAGATCGTAGCTGGACATGAGGGATCTGATGAATTTATCCAGTCCTCAACTGGAGGATTCTGTGTTGGAGTATCAAGAATTGTGTCGTCTGCCTCTAGAATATCGGGCGTAACAGGATCAGGCGCTTCTGTAGTTTTCTCAGATTCAGCTTTTTTTTCTTCCCAATTTATGTAGGTTATAACAAATTGCATACATAACGCCATTAGAACAGTCAGTTATTAAAAATATTAGGGGGACCTTCTCAAAGTCGGAATTCCTAGGTGTTCCCCACAGTAAACTGGTAGATCGATAAACAATTTTTCCAAACAAATGCCTAACTGCGGTATCTAACATGGTTCAAAGTAAGAATAAATCTGATTTATCGTATTAAAAACACTTGATTAATCCAAGTTTTTTAAACAAAATTATAAAATTTACAGTTACGGAAGATTTAATAAGAAAAAGGGCGGAACATAATGAATGTTGCCTGTCAAATTTAGAAGAAGTCTCTTTACATCAACAAGATATAGAAAAGTAAGCTGAAAGGATTATAAAATATTCTATTTTTAAATAATCAACTTTTAAAAAATAGGATAGAACATATAGACAAATGGTGTAGAGAATTAAAAATTTTGTATCTTCAAAGTAATCTTATTCCAAAAATTGGTAAGTACGAAATAAAAAGAAAAAAAGAATGTGTCTAAGAAATTGTTCTAAAAGGATATTCTATTCTTTTTTAGAAAATGTTGGAAGATTAAAGAAATTACAATATTTAAATTTAGCTTTAAATAACGTTGAAAGAATTGAGAATTTAGAAGGTTAAAATACAAATTTATTAATATCTTAATAACTCTATCCAGCTAAGGTTTACTCGTTTTATTTTTATATTTAGGTTGTGAAGATTTACAAAAATTAGATTTAACTGTGAATTTTATTGGAGAACTTACAAGCATAGAAGGTTTAAAGAAAAATATTCACTTAAAAGAAATGTAAATTTCTTACTAGAACTATTTATTCAATTAAACATATAAAAAAAGTTGTCTTTAACTTATTTTCAGGTACTTAACCGGTAATCCATGTACAGAATATCACGGATATAGAGAATATGTTGTTGGAACACTAACACAATTGAAAGTATAATAGATAATTTTTCCTATATTTTTGCAAAATATTTCAAAGAATATTAAATTTTCAAATAATTATAGACCTTAGATGGAATTGCAATCGAAAAATCTGAAAGAATTTTGGCCTTACAAAATCTACAGCAAACGAAAAGTGGTATAATAGAGCAACAAAGAATTTATCAAAAGAAGAGAGTTTGTATTATGCTCTATTGATTAAAAGGGTTTTTTTTTACCTAATTACTTTTTTTTTAGGAAAAAGAAAAAAATAAGAAGAAGAAGCCTAATACAGATTGGTATACAGATATTGATAATGCTCATCTTTCAAGACAAGACGAGGAGGAGGATGAAGGAGTGCAAATTGAGGAATTAGACGACGAGGAATTTCATAAGAAGGAAGAAGAGTTTTGGAATGAAAAAGTACCCTTTACTCCAGAGTCAAGAGTTCGAGTTCACGAACATATGAAAAGTGTTAAGAAGAGAGATGAAAAGAGAAGGTAAATTGTTAAAATTTCAATTTTAGCATGATTTAATTTTTTTCTATCGACATATTCAGTCAAAATGATCAGGAAGAAAAGCGAGAAAAAAGATTAACAGCTGAAGATGGACGTATTTTAAATGTTAATGATGCTAAGTATGTTACTGATAAATTTATAGTCTTACAAAATATTTCATTTAAATATTCAACACAGAGTGGAATTTTCACTAATCGATGATGAAGAAAACAATCAATTTTTATTAGATGTAGCCGTTTTCAAGTTTGTACATCAATAAAGAGAAACTTTTTTATATATTGAATTATTCATTACAAATTCTTTACAGGTACATGGATACATCGCTTTGTGATGTAGATGTTCAACCAAACTACGTCAAAGTTACTTTGAAAGGTCGAGTTCTACAACTCGTTTTAACCGAAGAAGTCAAGCCTGATTCATCGTCTGCCAAGAGGTCCCAAACAACCGGCCATCTGCTTATAACTATGCCTAAAGTTAATGGAATTGTCAAACCGAAAGTAAAGAAAGACAAGAATACAAGAAATAATAAGAAAGAGGAAAAACCGAAAACTTCTCAATTTCTAGAGTTCGAAGAGAAGAAACTTTTGGATTATAAGAATATTGTGAACTCTGCCAAAGACATACCGAAAGCTGCAAAACAAGTAGAAATAATAGAAAGGGAAAATAGCGAAACTTTTGTTGACGATCCTGATGTACCACCGTTAATATAAAACTACAGATTTGATATTAGAAAATTATAAGTAAAAATAAATTCAAAGTTTTTTTTCTGTTCAAATGCTTGATGATAATTTTTGTTTAATGTAAAATAAATGGAGTAAAATTGTCTTAGAACATATGGTACAAGACTCTGAAAATCAATAGTTCTAAGTCTTACAAAATTGTCCAAGTTGAGCATGTAAATTACGAAGTTTCCTCAAATTTCGATCGTCAGCCCGAGAATGTAGAGAAGCCCGTTGCAGTTCAGAAAGACATAATTCCAATTTTTCCACGATTGAATCATAAATATTGAATCTCATTTTCTTTGCCTATTCGTGAATATAAATGCTTTTTTGTATTTTTTTGCTAGAAATGACAAAGTGTTATTCCAATAATGATCGAGTATCTGGAATGGATTGAGGGTGATTGATTGCATGATTGTTCTTAATCGTGACGTGCGTGCTCGAAAGAAGGATAGATATACTATCAATCATGTACTATTTTAGCCCTTGTGCATTTTTTTTCGCAAATTTTTTTTTAGATTAGGTCTTTTTACCAAAAGATTTAATAACTTATAACGTCCTTGAAATATTATTAAAAATTCCATAGATAAGAAACAGGAATGACTTTTCTAACTTCAATTACAATGGCTTTTGACCTTAACTTGTTTCTGATAATAGAATCACGTCCGGTGAATAATTCTCAGTCAGGATAAAGTGTTAATGATAAAATTATAATAAAATAATGACTTTTTTAGTCAAATTCAGTCTACTTTAAGGCAATTAAAGGCTATAGTAAGCCATACAAATTGCTACTTTCAACCCTTAAGCTTAAAACTGCCAAGGAACCAATCAATGAAAAATTAAACTTTACTCTTGCCCTACAGTGATTCTCTATCATCCCTGACTTTTTCAAAGTAATCGTTTGGCCATTACTTTTTTTAGAAGGCATTTTTTAATTTAGCCAATGTCAGTTTAGTACGATACCTTATCATTCAATTCCGGTAGATTATAGGTTTTATCTGGACAACAGTTATCAAGAACATCTTTGGCAGATTGGAACGCCTTTGGAGACAATTCTTTCTTCATATTGTCGTGCTGTGAATAAACCAATTCAATTACCTATGTAGCTGATTAAATTTATTATTATTATTATGGCACAGTAAAATACTGACGCTCTTAAAGCTATCGCAGAGTTCTCTTTGAACTCGAGTATCTTTTCGAACTGAGTTTTTAAGGACATCATCATATTTAAAAACCCTTGAGAATCTGAAAAAATCAAGCAAACTAGGTGTGCTTACAAGAGGATCTGAATCCTTAAATAAGAAATAAAAACAATCTGATATTATTTCTTTTAATTTTTCTTTCTGAAAAAGAATAATTGCAATTTATTTCGTGGCATCTCACTACATATTTTTAAATCTCTGTCAAAAAAGAAAATAAGCTTACGTGAGAATCACTTTCAAAGCTAGCGTATCGTAACGATATCAAGAGAATTAATAAGACATTCTTTAATTTAGAGGGTTCACGGCAAGATGACGATGAGCAAGACTTCAAAGTTTTCGATAACAGCTAAAGAGATGACAAGAAGAATTCACTTTCTTTCATTTTTAATTAATAAATTAATTATTTGTAGTACTTACGTTAAACATTGATCTATTTTTCCAATAGATATGTGGTATATGAGCCGAAAGAAGTATGGCATTGATATAGCATAACTCTAAGATATAAGACGATTCGAGAGAATTTTTACCACAGAACAAATCGATTTGTTCGCAGAGCTTAGATAATTTTTCTCCAACATTCCCAGAACACTTATACTCAGTATTCATCCACTCTTGTAGTATGTTTACAGTGATATTAATTGTACAAAACTGAAAAAAAAAATGCTTAACTGAGTTCTTTAAAGTCTATGATAGGCTATGTAAAGTAAAAAAAGTGAAGGACTTGACGTACAAGTTGCTTTATATCATCAATTTTGCATTGATTATTCCCGTTTAGCTTCTCAAAAAATTTCAGGCATCGTTCTAAAATATCTTGTAAATGTTTCATAAAAGTATTTTCAGAAAGATGGTGTAAAGGTAAAAATATCCATAGATTCGGAAACTTATCAATGGAATGATTTTGTATGAAAGCAGCCTGACAAAAGATGAATTAAAAGAAACGCTTAAATAAATTATGTCGCTTGATGCATATCCTCTTAAAACCTGTTCATCGTTTGATAAAATTGAAAACAGCCGAGTAAAATGACAACCAAGAATGACAAATCTTGGGCAATGACAATTAATAGGTGCATGAGAAAGGAGATCTATACATAGTTGCAAATGATCACTTTGAATTTTGCTGGAGACTATGCTAAAAGGGGTAAAAAAATTATTATCATCTGATTGTCCTTAGTAAGCAAAACTTACCGAAAAAGACACGCCCAAATGTTAGAAGATAAGAGAGAAACCTGTATATTCTTGTTTAGTAACCCCTTTAGAAGAGCACGTTCCTAAAATATATACATAAATATAGATAAAGGTTAGTTCGTCCGTAATTTATTTTCACAGTAAAATATCAAGTACTAACAACTGATGGAAAATGCTCTTCGTTCAAAGAAACAACAAATGCTTGCAGATTAGCGGTTATCTCAACTGTAAAATCTATTTGGTTTGATAATAAACCAATGGACAGATCTAATGCAATTTGGATAAATATTCAATAAAGCACTTTATGCAATAATACAATAAATACTTGCCATTTGCATAAAGAAAAAATATTGTTTCTATAATTCCTCTTGAGTTCTTATCACGATCAAACCAAATCTTCAACGTTTGATCTAAAAATAAAAAGCGTGTTTTGAAATTTTTTGAAATATTTACGATTAGATTAAGTACCAGAGGTTGTCTGAAGATGCTTTGAAATGATCAGTAAAACCTTTAATCTCGAAATACTTTCTTTTGCTACAAAATATTAAAGGCAAAGGCTATAAATATACTATTTAATATTTTATACCATCAAAGTTTGAAGTGAGGCAAAGCTCGTCTGTAAACGTTTGAACTGGGAAAAAAACTTGAATTAAATTCTCAAAATTATCATTAAGATCTTTTAATTCTTTCGTAAAGGACTCTCCATAATCTTCATCAATTTTCTTCTTTTGGCTAAGAAAGTAAACAATCACCACAAGAAATATCTTTCAAGTTTAACAGACCTACCTGTAGTAATTGATAATCAATTTAGCAATGTTTGTTCCGCAATCAACTAATCGATTATTATATAAGGCTGATAATTTATGAATAACTTGCGAATAAAATGAGACCACAACAAAGTTTTTTTTCTTCATTTTCATTTTTTCAGCATCACTTTCAGTAGCAAACTAAAATTACATTAGATAGAAATGAAAGCCATTTTAAAAATCTAAAATATATAGTATAAATTAAGTTATAACAAAATAATTACATTTTGTGCAGAAATTGCCGTGCCTAATAGGAAAGAGAAATCATTACTAATGCCTTTCAATAGATTTCCAACATTGAAATTGCCAAGATGCCATTTTAAATTCTGAGAAAGTCTGAAAGTAAGATTAATCAAATTTAAAAAAGTAAAAAGAAATAATAAAAAGAAAGTCTTACTTTAATATATGCTTTATGGAAATTATTGAAATTTTGACATCTATAGTTAATCCCGTATTAGAGATTTTATACAAGACTTGTAAATCTATATTTTTGAACCGTTTTTTAAGATATATTTAGTGCTAATTGAAAAAATTTAAAGGTGAAGAATAAGAAATAGCTAAAATTACCTTCCTCCAACTCGTTTATTAACTTTCCTTCCGTTGATGGATTTAAACTGATTTTTTCCATTAAACTCACAATTAACTATTTAAGAGGAAAAAAGAAAAAATTATAGTAAGATCAATCGGTAAATAAAAATATATATAAGGCACGAACATTGAGGAGTGTAAAGCACTTTTTAAACAGTTTCTGTAAAGTTTCTTTGACATATTTTATTCGTGTTCCATATATGTCGTTCATGTTCTATTTTAGAACGTTAGTATGGTTATATGTATTTTTTTATTCGAATTGGAAAACTTACTTTACAATGGGAAAAAATTTGAAAAATTATGTCGAGATTTACTCGCAAACACGTATGAATACAACTAAATTCGCATTTTTCGTTGGCTTTAGATAATCCATCCGCTGATCTTATTTGATTGGAAACCAAGTCTGAGCAAAACTGATTGCATATAGATTAATATTAATAACTATTCTTATAAAGGCATTACTATATACCGTTAATTTTTGTAAAGTTTCTTCTACTTTTCCATTACTTTGAGAAAATTCTTCTTTAGCACTTGAAACTGATGACTTCAGCAGACGGGATACAAGTTTAAGAATCTGTTCTCCAATTTTTTTATAGTATGTTTCGTAGTCTTTTATGGGAACGTAAACCAAAAATCGGTCCATGATCAAGCTGCAAATCTCTGAAAATGGTTTAACTATGAACCTTAAGAGTAAAAAAATTTGGCAACACATTCTAACCTACTGAAGAATCAATGTCTTCGGTGCTTTGAACTAAATTAATCAGTTCTGGTAAAACTGATGCATAATTTACTTTTCTTTTCTCTTCGTTCCATACATATAATGCATCAGAAATTAGCTCTTTATCACTTTGAGACATGTTCCCTCAAGTAACGAATTTAAAGGATCGCTCGAAATTTAGGTCTTCCTATTGATATTACCGCTTAATCCAATCACTGTCTTGTTAACAATACTTCAAAAAAAATGTCTAAATAAATTAACTTTATATTTTTATAAAATTTATTTTGTTAATGGAAACAGAAACTTTTCGATATTATATTTGAAAATGTAAAAACCGGCAAAATTCAGATTGCGATTAATCACGCCATCTACTTTACACATATACATTACCAAAAAAAAATTACTAGCTAAGTATTTTATTTCACAAATACGGTAAATCTAAGCAATGCTTTGTATCTCAATCACACAAACAAAAAGAATAGTATGAAAAGGGAAAATAAAGTTCAAGTTGAGCCTTTCGCACTCCTTTATAACATCTATACAACACAAAATAAAAAAGATCCTCAATGTTGGTCACTATGTTCAGACCCCTCCCTAACATAATCTGCTCCGGGAGAGCGAGATCTACTTCTTTCATAATTAGGAGAGCGGCTACGTCTAAGTTCCCTTCTTTCTGGGCTTCGGGTGCGTTCACGGGAGTGAGATCGGCTGTATGATCGTCTTCTTGAGCCGGATCTTGATCTGCTTTTAATGGATTAAGTTCTAAAACTGTATTTATCATTTATATGATTAATACCTTTCTTTTCTACCACGGGAACGACTTCTGCTCCTCGAATAGCTTCTTCTTCTTTCATACGACCGCGATCTACTGTGATTAAAAGTGACTTTAACAAACAAATTTAAAGGTGAACGGCGCTGTAAGGTTATAGGACTAGTCGAACGTCACAAATATAGCTTATGCCGTCTACCAGTTGTACCAGACCATTGTTTTCGTCATTAGAAATAGTAGATGACGAAGTATCTAAGAACATCTGTGCTTTTAGTTAGCTCCTTTTAGAATCACAAATACACAGTATAAAATATATGACAAAAACACGTGGCATCTAAAAAACTTACGTACCACAGTAAGTATACGAAATGTGTACGAAAGGGGTTGCGAAGCTGCTTTTTGGGTAGAATTTACATGTGTAGGATTAATCAATTTATGCACAGATGTGTAGGACAGACGAAGTAGTTGGCGGATGAAGATGTTGCAGTATTCTGCCATTCATAGCAGTGTTTATTTGTTTTTAATTCTTAACGATTTTTTTAATGACAGTTTTAAAAGTAATTTTGCTTTTAACGATAAGTGTAAAATTTTTTCCCTATCGATCAAAAAGTATCGTACTAACCGCCTATCATTTCTTCTTGATTCTCTTCTGTCATAATAAGGATCATATCTTCTTCTAGGAGGTCCTCTCCCATCCCTAAGCCAAGGTTTTGGCCTAATTTTACCATTAGAGTGTTCTACCCTTGCTCTTACCCCGCATATTCTCCTAAAGAAACAAATAAATGTCAAGTTGATTAATTAACTTCTTCTCAATACTTGTCTACTTACGATCCGTCCAGCTCTCGAACAGCATCCTCAGCGTCTCGCGCATCTTCAAATTCGACGAAGGCAAAACCTGGCGGATTCCTTGCTACCCATACATTACGTAATTTTCCATAATAGGAGAAGGCTTCTTCTAATTCTCTTTCTGTCGCGTCCTTCGGCAAATCTCCTACATATACCTTGCAATCGAGGGGTGCGTCTCGAATATTCCCGCGACTCATATCTAAAAAAGGGAAGCATATTAAGAAATTGTTTCTTTATCGCCATAGTACAGCGTGAAAAATCAATAATGGTACGGAATGTCTGACTTGCTAGTAGCGCCATTAGAGAAACTCAATAAATTAAATCTGTTATTAGAATCTTAATTAACTAAATAAAGAGTATCTCAAGCTTACTTAGATTCGATTTTAACGATAAAAACACGGTTAATACTTACTTTTAATTTTCTAGGTGCAAGAAACGTGCCACACTACCGGACAACGCTAAGTGTCACGTGACGTCAGGAGGAAAAGTAAGGTTCAATATGTCTGCTTTTAATAATCAAGGATAGTTTCGTAAACGATAATTCTGATTGCAACCCAAAAAAGGCTATTCATTTTTCACTAAATCTGCCACCTGTTGTCTAAATACACGACCAGACACTCAAGACATGCTTAAAGGACGTTATATTTATTCATAAACGATCATTCTCATTGTTATTTTTTTGTAGATGTGCCAAGAGTATTATATTATATAGTATTTAACTGCATTTACGACACTCAATACTATTTCTATTACATCACATTTTTTGTTCAAATCGAAAATTGTTAATCGTCTTGGGACTTGAGAATTTTATATTTTACCCATTTCAGGATTCCGTTGATAAATCTCTTTCTGGCCTAAAAGTAAATCAAATTAGCGTTCGTCATTAAAAATTAATTATAAAATTAATTGAATAGATTGTCGATTTACTTGCAGGCTAGTCTTATTCCTAATCCTGCCAAGTAAAGGAAAAAAAGTCGTTTTAATACATAAATATTGTTTATTTGGTTGTTAAAGGTTAGAGAACAGCTTAAATGTCTTAAAACAGCTCTATAAGTTTAAAATTTCTGAGGCCTCTGTCACTTGGATTATCGTCATACTCTAAATAAATAAAAGAGCAATTCTATAATTTAATAGTTATGTAATATGTGATATGACAAAATAAAATAACCATTGTCCGAGTCATACGCTCCTATATCAACTCCTGTATCGAAATGCTGATGATCGGGAAAGGGGACAAGTAAGGGTACTGAATCGTCAACACCTTTCCTCTCTTTAAAAAGGAGTTCTACAAATTTGAGTAAAGGCGTGTTTGTCAAATATGAAATATCTGGGCCAGTACAGTGCTCAATTTTCACTTCTGTTGAAAATGAATTACATTAAATATTTTATTTAATTGTATTTGCTAAATAATACCATTATTAGCCTGTTTGTAAGCTACTGCCAGTGCTAAATTACAACATGGATGATTAGATGCATTTCCACACTCTGATTCTGATGCATGATTCTCTGTGATTGACGTCTCAGAAAATCGTATAATAGCTGATCTGCAAGCTTTCTTCAATCTCAATAAGTTTTCAACCTTCGCCTTTGATATAAATCCGTAAATTAACCTGAAAAAATTAAGTATTTATTAAATTTTTAAAGAAATAGTATATTTTCCTACTTCCGCTCCCAACAGTATTTGACTTGTGGATGTTGTATTGTATTTATACAAGACAAAAACCAGTACCAGACCTTAAATTTTTGACGTATGCATACCTAGTTATTTAAACCTCTTATAGAAAAAGACATGGGAATAGAGAACTAACATTTGAAAATTGCCTTTGATCAATCTTTTGGTTTACCACATTAAATTGACACTTAAGATATTGCAAATGATCTTCCAATAAGTTTAACTGAGTTCTGTCAGAGAAATATTTCGCCAAACATTCTAAGAATAGATCCTCCTTAACTGTTTCTTTTACATCGTATAATCCGTTGAAAGAATCTTTCTGTAAAAGTAATAGAATTTTCACTAAAGAAAAATAATATTAAATCATAAAATTCTTACCAGAGAAAAGTTTTCATACCAAAATAAAGCTCCTAAACTGTCGGAGGTTTCCTCTTCAAAGTTTGTCATTGGAGAGAAGGTTTCTATAACGTAATCTTCGTCAAATATATTTATCTTTGCGGTAAACTTTAAATGATAGCGAAACCATGATTTATCCAATTGAAAGTTTCCAATTTCTTCTTCATAAGGCTATTTAGATATATATGACTTTTAGAAAAGTTCCTAAGTTAAAAGAGTTAAATAGAGAATGCTTTACCTCTACTGAAAACTGGCTTTTGATACATTTGTCATCTACAATTAATGAATCTAAAAGATTTGTTATTTGTGTCGATGAATTTAGAATGTAATATTTTAGTTGCATTGAACTGCTACATTCAGTTTTCCAGCTGTTACCGAAAAATATTAATTTACAATCTAATTCTTTCACTTTGAATTGCGTTTTTGCTTTTTTGCCTCCTAATATTCTGAGTACTATGTCGTTACATTGTCCCTTAAGAAACGGTTTCGGAAATTGCACAATAAATAATAAATCTCCAATTAGAGGTTTAAGTTTTGCTTGCATATTATCTCTGTTCCTTTTAATTTCTTCATACAGTTGATTTAATTTGTGAGAATACATATCTGATCTCCAACGCCTCGCCTTCAAGTCAGAAATCGTTTTCAAAAATTTTTCATGCATTGAAATTACAATTCTAAATAATGTCATAAACATGAAAATTCTGGAAAAAACAACATGTTGTGGAAATAGTAAAATTAATATTTTAAAGAAGATATTGACCCTTCATCCAAATCAGCTATATAATGTTTAAAATTCATATTTTTGAAATGTTGTGTCTCTCTAACCCTCCTTAAACTTTTAAATACAAAATCAGTTGCATTGTTAACTTCCCATGCATTATCAGAAAAATCATTTTGATAATCCTAAATTCAAAAGATATTCCTATGAAATAGCGTACTTTGGAGTGTTTATTAAATACCTTTAAATATATAGCAAAATCTTCCGTTAGCTTCAAATCTTTCTTTTCTTGAGAATTTTCACCTTTTAAATTTAAACGATTTATCTATAATCTTGATTTTAAATTATCAATTTAATTTTACCATCAATTTCACTAGGAACTAAGTTTTCTATGCTGATAAGACTCTTTTCTAATGTATCATCTTTCACTTTTTTGTCTATTTTCTGTTTCGATATGGGTTAAATTTTAGATGGTTAATGTAAGATATTTTTCTTGTTTTAGCTTCAACCTCTATCGAATCCATCATCATTTTCGATATAACAGTCTTAAAATTATGATTTAAACTTGCTTCTGTTCCTTGAGTATTGTCAGAACATGACAATGTATTTGTTTCACACGAGGTCGCCATTTTATAAAAGTTTATAAAGCGATTTGTTTGGTAAGGTTGGTATTCTGGTGAAATACAACTGTTGTAGGAAATTTGTTATTCGATTTATCAATTATTAGTCTGGTCTCTAGACTGGTTAAATTTTCTAAGCTTTTAGTTGCAGGATATCAGATACTGATAGCGTAATATTAAAACGGAGGAGAAACTGTTATTCTATTAACCTTATAATTGATATTACTTAAATAAATGAGTAAATTAGAAATTAAGGGAAATTTAATTATGTAATGTTAATTAGAGTCATAGTTCAACACTTTATATGTATTTTTTTTCAGTCCATAATTGGCATCCCACGCTTTCTCTCCTTGTTTCTTTCTAATAAGGAGTGAGATAAAGCCAAATACGTAATTCAGATATATATATAAATTCTGTATATACATAAAGAATGATTTTAGAGTGAATACTTCAAATATATAATCGGATTACAAGCCTCTAAAGTCCTTCTCCTTTCGCTTCTTCCCACCCACTCCTAATTCTTCCCAAGAAGATTCTTAACGTCGAATTCCATTTTTGCGATAAAGTAGGAAAACATGAATATTTAAATATATTTAAATTGTAATAGAATGAAAAAAATTTGCTATTTTTTGTATTCTGGAGAACTATTTATTGAATTCAAATATGAAAATATATATATATATGATTTAATAATATTGCATTGGTAATACTTCTCTTTATATCTTTTAGATACAATTATAATATAAATAATAATAGAATTATTAGAATCATAATAACTACAAGAACGAAGATTGCAAACCATTGTAAACGTTCAGTTCGAGAGCTTGATTCCATTGCCTTCTTGACGAGATTTGTCCGTGATCCAGTTATTGCCGATGTAGTAGTGTCATTTACTGTGTTAATTGAGTTTGTACATTGGCAAATCTAAAGAATAAAGAACGCCGAGTAAAGTTATTAATATATGCAAAATAAAACAGTAGATAGATCTATGTATGTATCTGTTTGTTTGTTTTTTAAACTTACCCCATTCATAGTTTGGTTTTCTATATTATCATTAGTTAACTTCTTGTATTTATTCATCGGTTTGGTAGGACCCTGTTTTGTATTCATAATATAAAATGAAAAGTCGACAAACAATCTATTGATATAGTGTGAAATGAAATCTTAACGCTTGTCATGTAAACCAATTCGACGGTTTTGACATTTGTATGATAGAGAGACGTCCAGAAACACCAAGAAAATGGGCATTTTATTAAATGTCAATGTCTTATTCAACTTACTTGATACTTGCAAATATCTTCGGCTGCACTATCATCAGTAAACACATATATGTTACTTCTTTCTTCCACTTCGTTCATCTCTAGTCTCTTTTATTTCTTTATCTGCAATTTCCTTTTTTGCCAATTTTACATCGATTTGCTAAAGACATTATATACGCATTCTACTCACCCTTTTCAAAGGAATGGAGTGAAATAATAATAAGGGAAAAATATGCACTTACTGTGAAAGTTGTTTGTACTGTTTATAAATACAAAGATGCCTCAGTTATGGTCGATCGGAATGCAGAAACGCTAATGTGACGCTTTCGAGTAGGCAACGCTTGTTATCGTCTCTGTCGGACGGCCTAATTTACTTTGGGTCGCCTTTTAACTCAATACAGTTTCGGCAGAAGCCGTCAATAAAATGCTGGTGCTAGCTGTCACGTTGTCATATCAGCAAGTTTTTTTCCGAATTATTAATAGTCGTAGAGATAAGTTAAGAATTCCATTTGATTTTATGGATATTAAATCATATCATTGAAAAGATGCTTATGTTACGAAATATATATATGCTGTATATGGAGAGAAATAGGTTAAGTTAATTGGAACACTTTGTTAGGTGAAATTGGCCTTGATGTATTTCGTTAACAAAAAAGCAAGAGCTTGCCCCTAGGAGCGTCTTAAAGAGTGATCCATTTAAATCGGTAGGCTTATTCGGCGCCAAAAATCGATTTCTGACGGAAACGGAAGTTCTCGCGTTCGCCTTCACCTTAAAACCGTGTTCATCTTGATAAGATAGAGACATGTAATTTTCCCGTATGTATTTTAATGTCATGATTATAGATTTCAATCACTAGTTTTGTTTGTCAAACGGATAAGATGTAATGATTCTAATTAGCCGATTTTAAAATAAATCGGCCTAGGCCTAAATCCTTCGTATAGGCCCGTCGAATCGCGTCAACGAATGCTTTAAAGTTTAAAATTCGTCACTTATATTAAATAACACTTTGTCATCGATTAGGTAAGTTACAACGTCATTAATTAAGTTTAAGTTGAGTCAGCTAAAGGTTCTCTTGAAATGATTAAGATAAAAACAGAATTATGGAACAATCGGTGGCAGAGACGGCTGATCGAAATGACGCGGCCGTTTACATTCAAGAAGGTGTACTTTCCGATATATCAAATGGGGATAAAGGGCCTTACATCTACCCGACCACCTATGAACAGCCCGGTTATTCAAATTGGGTGGAATGGCCCCATCAACAGTACACCACTGAGCCTATACATGCCATAACCAGTTATGGTTGTCAACCGACGCCCATAACGTCGATTGAACCTATAGCTCCTCCATCGCGAAGGGGGAGACCCAGGGGATCTTCGACTATAGTCGATGAAAATGGTAAACCCGTCCCAACCGTAGGTGACAAAATTGAGCAAAGACGACAAAGAAATCGAATTGCAGCTATTCAGAGTAGGATGAGGAGAAAAGAATATATTCGACGTTTAGAAACGAGACAGCACGAGCAAGGGCATCTTATTGAGCAGTTACAAGAGGAAGTTAGATATTTGAGAATGCTGCAAGGAATTCCTCTAGATTTGCCTTTGCAAACTTCCCTAAATCAGAATGCCGATTATGCCGAGTATATCCAACAGACTTATGGATCAAACGGTCCAGCTGCAAGTGAGACTGTCGTTGAAGAAAATCAAAAGAACAACGACTTGCAGGACTCGGAAGTAGTTGCTAAAAAAGAGACTGATTAAAAATAATAGGAAATTCTTTTACCATTTATTTTCTTCTATTCTTAAGCTTAGAACATTTTTATTAATTTATTATTCCACTACTAAACGCTAATAAATATTTTAGTTAACTAATCTCTCTAATTAAACATCATTCATCTTTAATCAATTTCATAGTATACATAATATATTTATCTATAGTGTCTTTACCGACTAAGACAAAAAACAATTATCTCATTTTTATATCGATCATTGTTCGACGAGTAACTCTTACTTGCCTTTTACAAAAACAATTCTAAAAACAACATTCTTTTCAGTTCTCAACTAACCGGGGAATAAAGTCCTTGAAGGTAAAAAAAAATAAAAAATAAATTATAATTTATCAATTTGCTTGATTTTTCAATATTTATTCATCTCTTTCTGGCTGAGCATGATCTTTGTCAAATTTATAATTCCAATTGAATTTATATGTCCAACGCCAGTTTTGAAATCTGTCTGTGTCGCTGCAGTCTGTCATTTGGACCATTTGTTCCATCTGGTGTATTTTGTGTACATTCGTGACTTGAGTGGCGCAAGCTTTTCTAGCCTTTCCCAAATGGCTATAATTTACTACTATTTTACCAGTATAGTAGCCATCGTGCTCCATTGACCATATTTCATCATTATCACTGCTTGGCTCTTTGTCGCTAATATATAATAACCAAGAGCCTTTGTCTACTCTTAGCACTTTGTCACCAATATATACGTGTCTGGAAGGTTTCATAAAAAATTCGTTCTCCGGTACAGTTCTGTGAAAAAAGCATTCAGTGGTTATTCCGATATATCCAGAGGACCTAACATGCCAACAAGATTCAGTTTTAGTATTAAATATCTCTCCACCATGTATTGCGTCTGCGGGAGGAATATTTACTTCGGGAGCAATGTTTACCAAATACCATTCGAAAGATTTACATTGTAATCTCTTTCTTAAATCTTTCCTTTTTTGTAGAGTTTTTTTCTCATCGTCTGTAAGATAGGTTCTCTTTGAAACCCATGCGTAAGTGATGGCATAGAAGTATTTGGCGTAATCATCCATCCATGTTGCAGCCGTTCTAATGAGATTTTTCTGAACAATTTTTTCTCTGTCACCGTCGAATTTATAGGCGAATGGTTTAAATGTATGAGCTACTCTAGAGCAGGGATGAGTTAAAACTTGACCATGGCATTGCCATGTTCTCCACGCTAATTCGATGTTTTCACCACCCCAAATCTTAAAATCCTCATCAAAAGTACCAAGATGAATGAAATATTTCTTTAAAACACCAAAAGCGCAGCCAACTAAAGTAGCGCTACGAAAAGGATAGGAAATAGGAGGAATATTTTCCTCGTTTGCCAATCTAGTGACGCGGTTCCATTCATGATCGGGTATATCAGTCCAAGTATATCGAAGATCCCAGCTGAATCCTCCTCTTGATACTCTGCCAGTGCTTCCTCTGTACTCTAATGTTTTTGTATCGATTTCGTCGACGTAAGGTTGAATAACGGTTCGTGGATTTTTTAATATTTCGTTCAAGAGAGGCTCTAACCATTGGACATTAGCTTCTGTGTGGGCATCTTGAAAAAATACAAATTCCCCTACTGCATTATGAAAGCCCAATAATCTTGCTTTAATCAATCCCAATCGTTTTTTGTTCGTTAATAATTTCACTTTAGGTAAATTGCTTATATAAGGCCGTAAATAGGTTCTCAAGTCTTCATTGGTACTAGCATCATCAACCAAAATTACTTCCTCTAAAAGCGATTTATGACTTCGGTTTAGTACAGAATGAACCGTTCGCAATATCATGGAAAGCGCTTCGTTATAAAATATTATAACGACGCTTGTTTTCGGCATTTTACTAATGTCGTAACGCATAGACGAACATCCTTCCGGTCTAACATCCGGAATTTCCCTATCCAAGGCTATTTGTTCGCTTAGTGTTATGTTTATATTATAGACAGAGTCGTCCGGTCTTTTTGGGTTAATGAACATAGTTCTTTGCAATTTTCTGAGCCTCTTAATTCCAGCCTCAATCTCTTGGGTGTCACGAATCGTTCTTTGGTCATTCTGCGCTGTCGTGAGATATATAAAGAGAAGAATTGATATATAAATTGCTGCCGCAATCCAAATAAAGTATTTCCTTAATCGGGCAATGAATCGCTTCCTAATACAGGGCATAGTTTATTCGGTTTACGAGAAAGCTGACACGTGTACTCATACTAACTCCAACCATTCTAGTGAGAAAATCGTATTCAAACGTCAATATATAAGTTCAATACTCCTTAAGGTTGTGGCTTTAACGTATTGAAAAAATTCCCGTGCAAGATTTCCAACCTAATACTAAAAACAAAATAGGAAACAGATGTCGCTATTGGTCTTTTGGTTAATATTAACCAAAACCAGTTATCTTACGATAATTTCTTATAGGATAATGTTTATAAATGATATAATAATATATTTTTTTAATAAGCTCTAAAGAAACAATATGCCGCTGTTTGGTAAAAAGAAACATGAAAAATCAAATAGAAAATTAGAACATAAGTTATTTTTAGTAAGTGTTTATGTATATATAAATCACTCTTTTTTATATATAAATTAAAGATTATTTTGACTGAAACTATATTAAATTGCAAATTTTATTTACATCAGGCACGAGAAAATCCCGATGGAAACTACGACATATCCGATTGCGAAATCAACCATGTTTGCGTTTTTATATGCTTGTTTTTTATTCAACATTTTTATATGAAATAATCATAAAAACGTCCGCAGGTTCCATCCGGGGTGTACCCTTTATGTAAAGTTTTGCAGAAAGAGGTAAGTTGAGCATAAGGAAATAATCTGATAAATTAATTAAAATCACTTCTAATTACGTCTCAGGTGCTTCTGGCTCATTCGAATTTTATCAAGTCTTTAGACGGAGGAGGTTCATTGAAAGATTTACAAAGACTTAGGGTGGGTGAAAAAATAATTAATCCCAATCTTTTGTTAGATCTGGATTGTACCAATTCTTTATTGCTTATTGTATAAAAGTCCACTATTGTATTATTAATTTTCTCAATGATTCATTTTGTCCCATTTTGTTTCCACAGATTTTGGACTTGCATCAAAATCGGCTGGTTAAGTTACCAAACGAAATATCTTATCTAACCTCACTACAAATACTTAACTTAGAGAATAATCAACTAATTGAATTACCACCATCGATAGGAAAACTATGTTCTCTGCAAACTCTAAATTTAAAATGTAAGCATTCTCCAATTCAGTCACGCATTTATTAAATCGTCACATAAAACCTTTCCAGCAAACAAACTAAAGCAGTTACCGGACTCGCTCGACGGATTGGTGAGTCTAAGGCTAATGGATATTCGGGAAAATGAGTCTATTGCTCGTTTACCTAAGATTGTTGCTTATATAAAGACTCTTGAGAGTTTATTGTTAAATGCCGACAAGTTTGTCTATCCTCCCCCTGAAATCTGCGCCAGTGGAACTGAACCTATTATGAAATTTTTATGCGCCGAATGCTCAATAGAATATGTACAACCTACGACAGTTTTATTACCTATTTTGAAAAATAGTCACGTTGGCGAATCGAGTAGTAACGTTATGAATGATGGCTTAACCAAGGTAGACCAAATTATTAGAGCCAAATACAATGACGCCGACGAGAAAAGGCGACAAAGAATTGAATTGGAAAGACAAATTAAGGAAGAACAAGAATTGCATGTTTCTCGATTTACCAGTTCTGCTTCAGAGAGACGACACTTACTTAGTAGTGTTTTGCAGGTTTTTTTCTCTTTAATATTCTACTCATTTCCATAATAAATAGATTTATACTATTAGGAAAATAATCAAATAGAAGAAAAACTAAATATGTTGCACGAAACGAAAGATAAAGAGAGAACCGATTGGCACAAAATTTTGGGCGAAGGTAATTCTATAAAATAAAAACATGACAACGATTAATTCGTTGACAACTTTTAATTAAATAGTTGAAAAGCATTCGGATGACGTTTTAAACCAACTAATGGAAATGGGAGAGAAGTCTAGAAGAAAAGAAAGTCTTCTGGAAGAATTAGAAAAAGATAGGTGATGACCTTATCTTTAATCCTAGTCTCTTTATTTTTTCTAAGGACGTTAATTAATCTTTTCACAGAATAGAGAAAGAAAGTTTGTTTCTCGTTCAAAATGAGGAATCTGACAAAATAAGAAGACATGAAATATTAAACTCTATGACTGATATGGTTAGAGAAAACGCATTATTGAAAAGTATATTAGACAGCAACGTATCGCATAGAAGTGCAACCGTCAATGAATACTTACAGGAGTAATACAATTTCTTATAATTGTCCCCTTAACAAAAGAAATGCTTATGAAAGTTACTCTTATTTCCCTTTTTTTTTTAACACGTATAGTTCTTCAAACTTTGATAATCAACTCAAAAGATTCTACGAGGAGAAAGATAACGATCAAGATAAATTCATTCGTGGGTTGTTAGAGGAGGAAAGTGTACAAAAGAGACTTTTTGGGGTTTTACAACTGCAAAATGATACGAGATATAACCGTATATCACAACAAATTGAAACCATTGAAAAGGAACTTTCCGAATTATCCTGGTTAGAAATGAAGCAAAAGGAAATGAGAACGGATAATATAATAGTAAGATATTTTCCTCTTATAAAGTTTTAATCATATTATTAGAATAAGCATATATAATACGTTACTAAGGTTACTTCGATTATTAACTGCTTTTGCATTAATTTGTCTTTTGTAAAAGAACACTTTGGAGTTGAAACGCAAGAATATGATAGACCTCCTTCAGTCGCTAATCACCGAGAGGGATAAGCGCAAAAACGAACTCGGACAACGCCTGATCGAAATGGAAGAAAGTAAGGAAGACAATCAAGTGAATTATTGGCTTGTACAATATCAAAGGTAGACTTAAAAATGCTAAAAGCTGAGCTGCTATATCACTTTGTGACCACTTCGCAGATTGTTACAAAGGAAACCGGAAATAATATTGAATAAAGAACTAGAAATGGATCCTCAACTTATGGATTTCCTATTGGAATGTGGAGCAAGCGAATACGTGCCTCTATTAGCACAGAACAATGTTAGAAATTTCAACAACCTACTTGGTATGGGTGATGCTGACTTGAGAGGGGTAAATATGGAGCAAATAATTGTTATTGCTGCTTGAAAAAATTCCCTTTCTCCTTTTACAAAACAGATCGGTATAGAATCGGAAGAAGTCAGAAGAACAATTCTTAAATTTTCCCGCCAATATCAATCAAAAGTAAAAGAGAAGGCTAGCGAAAAAACAACGTCTATCTCGACGATTCCTGCCCTTCCTAGCGCTCCTCGATTAAACCAAGTAGTTTCTAGCGATCCACTACCATCACAACCAGAAGAAATAGTTACGAGAATGACGGCACAATGTGCTATTTGTCTGGATTCTCGGGTAAGATTTCATCTGTCTTAATGAAATAATTTTTTTTTTATTATCATCATTCTACTTCTTTCTCTATTCAATTAGGCCCAAATTATATTCTTAAACTGTGGACATGTGTGCTGCTGTCAGGCTTGTTCTAAGCCGTTAATACTTTGTCCATTGTGCCGTTCGGATATCGCCTCAAGGATTCTTCTTCCTTCTGAAACATAGTCACATACTACTCAAGAAACATAAACTGATATATTATTTAATATTTTATTTCCTACAGACATTTTTTTTGCTTCTTTTATTTTACTGTCGTTGCTGCTGCCCACCGCATTTGCCAATTTTCGTATTTAGTGCAAGTTTTAATACCAGTTTCCGCAGAGTTCTTAACGTACTATTTCGTATAGAACGATGGCAGAAACGTCAAATATAGATAAATTAAAAAATTATTTCGATTCCTCAAAGAAATCATCGTCATTACCGAGCTTTAATGTTGGGGGAACTGCTTTAGTATCGAATGTGAAGAGCGCGTTTAGCTCAGAAAAAGATTCTTCAGTCTACAACTCACCTTCATATTTAGATTGCCCAAGTTTGTCTAGAAAGCAACGAGCAATTGGTTTCATTTTGTGTTTCCTGCTGGGGACCTTCTGCCTTTCTCTAGCCAGCTTATATATTCCGTTTCTATTGTTGAAAGCTAGAAAATTCGCACTGCTCTATACCTTAGGCAGTTTATTCATCATAGGCAGTTTCTCTTGTCTTTGGGGACCTCGCAAACATTTCCAACATTTGATTGCCGTCGAACGTCTGCCGTTTACTCTAAGCTATTTCATTACATTGCTAGGGACAATTTATTGTGCAGCCTGGATGAAGAGCACCATCTTTACAGTAATATTCGCATCATCGCAACTACTTGCTTTAGTATGGTACTTTATTAGTTATATTCCCGGTGGTCATACGGGACTTAAATTCTTCGTCAACATTTTCACGTCTATTGCGTCGAGAACTGTAAAATCAACTTTAGACGTTTAATGTATTTAACGTCCAATTTTTTCTGCAAATTTTAAAGACGAAAAATAATAGATTTAAATATCATTTTTTATTGTTATTTTTTGTATCAGTTCACATTGATATTATTTTGAAAAAATGAGTAGTACTTATAAAGATGCTTGAAAATAAATCAACAGCGTGGACGTTTCAGAGATCGAGCTTTTAAGAGAGTTTTACGTTTTTATAAATAATGAATGTAGCGACAAATTGGGGATCGCGTGTTCTCCACCTCCTAATCTGATATCCTCTTCATATTTCGTTCTTTTTTTTCTAATAATAACTATTAACAAGTTCGAGGTGAAAGCAAAAATAAGGAAGACGGAATTGGTAAATAAAATATACGACGCGTCTCTCCGGCTCTTGGCAAAGAAAAAATTGATTCAATCGCATCTGTCGCTTAACAGCTGCGTGAGCCAGAGAGAGAAACATTAATATCAATGGCGGAGGAACGGGAAGAAGAAGCGCTATTTGAACGTGGTAAACAAAGTGATTATGGTGGAAAGGAGAATGGACGGGAAGAAACCAGCAGCAACGGCGACGTTATCAGCGAAGTTCACGAAAAAGCTATGCTGGCCGCCGGTTTCGGGAGATTACAGTGTCTCCTGATAACCGCTTTATCGTTCTCAGCCTATCTGCTACATTCCAACGTTTTTCATTCATCTCTGGAGCTACTCGGACATCTTCCTTTATGTCTGACATATTCTCGGCAGACGGCGTATAGTAAGTATTTTCTAAACGTAATCCTCTTCTACAATCTTATCGAGAAGTGAGTCGTCATCCTCTATATCATCCTCATCATCGTCCTCTTCTTCTCCCTCTATATCCTCTAAGCCGTCATGGGCCATTTCTTCCTCGCAGTCGATGAGAGCTTCGTACTCATCCTGTGGAGGAGTTTTATGAGACGACGCTAGCCTTTCTATTCCTGTACAAGTGAGAGCAGCAATACCGGCAACAACCCCTACAAACTCTTTAAAAAGAAAAAGGAAAAACAGTCCATTTGCAGGCGGTAAACGGGAAAGATATAAGGACCGTATCGAAAATAGTGGTAGATCGAGTAAGGCAGCTCCACAAGCCAATAGAATTTGCACGTAACCTATGAAGGCCTTCTCACCTCTGTAGATAGGAGGAATGGCAGCTGAGATACTGCCAATTGAGATAATTAAAACAGTCATACAACAGACCACTCTGCCCGCATTGCTCAAACTTTGATCGACATAGGCGAAACGGATGAGCGATTCGGCAAAGGACGCTGCATCAATGGCGTGCAATAAATTCCAGAAGGCAGTAACGACGAATTGCTCGAACTTCATACGCCATCGAAAGTGAGTGAATCGGATGGCTGGTGGAAGCAGGACGGCAAGTTGGACTACAGTAATCCAGTGACGCTATTTAGGGAGTAAAAAAAAAAAGAACGATTTATTTCCAGATACGTTAGATAATACGACAAGGCAAATTGGTTTTTTTTTACCAAAAAGTAAACTTCACCATTCCTTGGCCGTTGACCGCCTTGTAATACAAGAGAGCACCAAGCGTCCAAATTCCCTCCGCCAATAGCAATGTCACTGCTACTACTGCCATTTAATGCTGTACACTTTTGTAGTTGGGTGGCCTTCGGCATGCCTCTGACAACCACAAAAAGGCTTGTTGCCAAAGCAGCAATTGACGGATCGGCTATGAGATGGGCCAAACTAGAGAAAATATGGAAAAAATTTATATATATATATAAAAGGAGAGCGTCGAATATATGACGCAGTCGTTTGGAAAACTACATTGAACGACTTAAATAAATTACTTTATCCGGGCGTTTTGTTTGCAGGGCCGGTTCGCTTTACGAAAAAAACGCAATTTGCCGGCCTAGGCGAACGTTGACTCGTTATATGGAAAAAACTATAAAGGCGATCAATGCTTTCCAGTGCTTTTCCTTTCTTCCTTGGTTCTTTTTCTATTCCCCTTCCCATTTTCTTAGTATTTCGTTTTCGCTTTGTGTGTTAGTTCTTTTTCTTCTTGATATTTTCTTTATACTTTACATCCCGATCATCCCTTTTTTCTTTTTCTCTCGTCGTTCTTTTCGCTCGGCGGAGCGTAAAGACGAGGAGACGCTTTTTACGGAAAGAAAATGTTGCGTCGGTTCGAATTTCTCGCCGACGCCTAATTCACTTAGCTATTTCATTAGCCGACCCAAAGCAAAGCTCCGGCCGATTATAGCCGATAGATTTTTCCCTTCGCCCTCCACCATCAATCATCGTTTTCCGCCTAAGAACTTTCGTCAGGGGGGCACCGAAAAAAAGAGAAAAGAATATCCTCCCTCATAAGAATCTTGTAAAGGCCGAAATACACTAGCCCAGTGCCTAATTGCCTTAAGTACTTTCACACCTGCTGAGTAATACGGAATGCAAAGGAAGATGTGGGAAAGAAATCTCATCGACTGTCCTTTCCAAAGTTTATTACTTCTATTGCATTCATTATAATAATGAGTCTTTATACAACTTGTCTCAATAAAGCGACCGTGTTCTAAAGGAAAGTCTAGTGAGCTTAGTCTAAGCTAAACAAATGCACCAAACACCTCAAAATAACAGCTACACGGATAAGATAAATATAAACGAACAAAAAGAATGAATATACTAAAGGAGATGCGTGCGGAGTTTTATAGGTTTGTATTAAGACGAACAAGATTCTGAAGCGGATAGGCGAGAATCGAAGCGCGCCTACGGTAAACAACTCAAACTGCATTAAGATCTTGGTCAGTCGCCGTCTCGGTCGAAATCAAAGCGGAAAATAGATGAAAGGGCGTTTTCCACTCTCTTTTCCTCCTCCTCCTTTAACCCTTCCTTCTTTAGATTTTTTATATTTGCTACTATATTTTATACAGCTTAAGTTCCTACCTTTTGCAGAAGCATTTTTTTTGTTTTAATCCTATTTTTTTTATTTTCTTTTTCGTAAATCCGTTTTTCTCCTAAGAAACAAGCCTTATCGAATTATGTACTTACGGAGCGGATGATGGAAGATCTCGGCACGCGCATAATAAAACGGTGGCTGTAACGAGTAGAACAAAGAAGACAATGACCTCGGCCAATACCCATAGGCCAAAGACAACAAACTTTTCTCTTCGTTCGATTAGAGCATCTCCTAAATCCAACATATGGGCAAATGCTGGTGTGAATACCGCCCAAAAAGCCGCTGCGTTTAATATGAACCATCCGAATAGCAGTTGGCAGTATACAATATGACGTTTTATACCCATCGTTCGGCTAGGAAGTGACGCCGTCTCAAAGTGCGAGTGGGCAGCGCCACCTACTCTGTTCGAATTGAATGATTGCACTGTCATTAACACCCGGGGGAGACCGTTTCCTGTGTACCGTCATTTAGGCTCTATATTTTAATCCATAGGCCTATATGTAATATACTGTACGCGCTGAGAAATACGAATATTTATTTTTCACACATATTAATCATTTTATATCTTTCATCTCCAACAGGCGCAACAACTACTGTAATGATGATACTGTCTTGCTGTACAGCGGGTACTTTGGCAGATCGAACGGGGAGAAGACAATCTCTTCTTCTCCTGCTGGCAATACACATTTTCTTCACAGCAATGTCGGCAATCTCATCCAACTTTACCCTATTTATCCTCTTCTCTGTCTGCTCATCTATCGGGTATATAAAGTTTGACCTTAACCCTTTCTAACGTTCTAAAAATATCAACAATAAATATCTCAACCTTTCGTCTTCTAGGGCGTCTGCAATAACGCCATTAGCCGTTAGTCTACTTGCCGAATTTACTCCTCAGAACCAAAGAGATAGTTTGGTCGGCTTCTACGTATTAAACGCATTTGTTGGTTCAACATTTATATCCTCCCTAACCTTAATATTTACAATCGGTACAAAACACATCCGTCCCACCCCTTTAACCCCGGATATGGTTATTAATTGTTCGTCAATATGCAGGAGAAGTTGAAGACGCTTGGAAAATGCTCCTCGTCGCTTGCCTAATATTGTGCTTATGCAGCGCTCTTCTCCTCTTCTGTTGCGGCGTCGAAAGTGCGCGTTACTTATTGCAAATTGGACGAGATATGGAAGCGAAAAAGGTTTATAGAATGCTATTTACAAAGAATAATAGTGGAGAATCAGAGAATCAGGTGAACAAGGTAAATAAAGTTCTAATGAATATTAATTCGTTTTAAATGACTTTCTTAATACTTTTGCATATCTTGACCCAATTCGCTCTTGTTTTCTTTCTGAGAAGAGTTTCCCACCCCTTCCCTCATCTAAATTAGTGCATATTTTAATGACAATATATTTTCTTATTACTTCTCTTCCTATTATAAAATCAGGCTATTCAAGAAATAGAATCGATAATTTGGGTAAGTCTTTAAAAAGAGCAATGATAGAATATATATGAAAGGCAGGAAAGGAAAGAAAATTTATTCCTCTACAGCTGCCCGAATTGGAAGAGGCTGATCCGAGAAAGACGGCAATAAGAAGCAAAGATTCGTCGACAGGGTCCCTCTCCAGGACATTGAGTGCTCTCGAGAACGTAATAAGTTTTCTATAATTTACTTGCATACCTATATAATATAATATGAATGCTTTAAATTCTTATCAATTAAGATGAACTGCTTTATTGTTGCTCTATTACAGTTTTGGCCGTCGTTCTTGTCGGTAATCTACAAACCTCATACGTCAAGCACATTATCATTGACGGCAATATTCTGTCTTTCTTCCCTCGGGTAAGCCGCTTTTAGCCTCGATCCGCCTATCTCTCGTATATTTTTCTTTAATTTCCAGTTTGCACGCTCTCCTGTCGTCAGCCCAATCGAATACAATCAGATCACATTTCAATCAGATGGAGTATACGACATTTTTGAATGAAAATTACTTCGACAAGCGATTTTCAAACGATATTTCGCATAACAATTTCATCAATTCAACATTCGAGAATTGCCGTTTTGAATCTATTCAGATGATGTTTTCAACATTTACTAATTGTTCATTCAGAAATGCATCTTTTATCGATATCTCAAGTGTTCAACTCCACTTTATTGAATCGTCATTCACGAAACTGAATTTTCAAAATACTGATTTTAATTCTGCTTCAGTGTTTGACAATTGCCACTTTGAAGATGCTAAATTCATTGGGGATAGGATGCATTGTGGAGATTTTCTACATAGTGATAGTTATAGAGTGGAATCGTTAACTATGCAAGTCATCGTTAACGCCGTTGCGATTTCTGGGGCGTTTTTCGCTACTCTCTTATTAAACAGTGGCTTTCGAGTGAAGTTACTGCGTGAGTATCTAACGCTGGCGTGCGTTATATATATCAACGTTAGACGAAAAACGGTGTCTAATCCTTTTACATGAGAAAAAGCTTCTAAAACGTTGTTTATTCGTTTACAGAAGCGGTCTTTATCTTCTCGGCTTTCGTCTCCCTTTTACAATTCGTTACCACCGTCAACGAGGCGTCTTCTTTTATAGTTCAAAGCATTTTCTCAGCTCTTTTAGCCTTTCTCGTTACCCTTCTACTGCTTCACGGCGTCGAGGCATTTCCGACTGAAGTTCGGTAAGTTTATAATAAGCACTGTCATAATGAGCATTATATGCCCTTATCATACACATCTATTCTCATCAGGACTACGGGTCTTGGATTGCTCTGGGCATCAAAGCATTTGGGAGCGTCTATAGGAGTTAACGCTTTTCGTGAGGCGCCATCTTCAGCATCAGCAATCATCAGTGCCATCTTAATGATCGCTGCTGCATTTTTATGTCGATATGTTCCAGATAATAGAAAAAGATTAATGTAGTTTTTACTTAAAGACATCATCACAATTTGTTTTTTTATAGTCTGGGATATTTTAAGCAATTTGTAACTAAATAAATAAATGATTGAGACGCGAAGAAATAATGGATAGAAACAGACGTCGTTAATTGAATTCTCTACCTCTCGCATTATCTATCTCTTCCCTTTTTCCCTCTGTCTCACTCAGTCTCTATCTCTCTCACTGTCACTTCCTATATCTCAACCACATAGACATACAACTGTCAGTTTTTCACCCATTATCTACATACATCTATATCCCTATTTTTTATCAATCTATCTCTACCTCATTTAAGCTCTTGCAGTTTTTTTTTTTTGCTTATATGCAAATTAAACAACCAATCAGCGTTTGTAAATTTAAGGTGTGTATCCCAGTATAGATTGTTCGAAATACATACACATAAATACATACAGACACACATACATACATACATACATACACACGTGCAGTCACAAACGCACTTGTATAGATACCGTACGTCTTTTACAGCAAAAAAAAAAAATCTTCTGCAAAATGAGACGATTAGTATTTATTCCAGATAAAATAGTCAATTAAATATTTTGTTTATTTTCTTTAATATATATAACCTATATTATATATATAACAAAAAAAATAAACGAGAGTGTGACAAAATCATAAAAACTAAATTATGGCCAAACAATTTGATATTGTCGTTAAATTACTCTTAGTAGGAGATTCAGGAGTAGGTAAAACTTGCATGATTCAACGATTCGCTAATCATAACTTTCGAAAGGATTATCATTCGACTATAGGTTTGATAAAATTATACTCTTTTTTTTATTACCTATATATATATATATTATATATATAACATAATTTATATGAAATGATTTATTACTTTTACACCTTCTGTTCAGGAATCGATTTTCAAATGAGAAACATCGACTTAGATGGTCAGCAAGTTCGTGTGCAGATATGGTTAGTATTTAGTTATTATTCTTATTTATTAATATCCAAATGGAATTATTATTCTATATTTATCTAAAAGTAGGCCAATTAAAATTATTCAATTTCTCACTCTTTCATTACCATTATTATTATTGTTATTATCGAGGAAAGAAATAAAGATGGACTTTTACTTCCCCGCCTCCCTCTCCCTTCTCCTCCTCCTCCTCGCCCCCCCTCTCTCTCTCTCTCTCTGTCTCTCTCATCAATTTAGGCCTATAACAAACTAAAAATTCCTTTCTAGTTAAATAGTTTAATTCTAGATCAATTATTAGTTTTTTTCTATTACAAAAAAAGCAGCTGAGACGATTTATCCGCAGCTGTTTCTTCCGCAAAGAGGAAAAAAAAACGTGCTGTTTTAACTCGATACTCAATTAAACTTTATTTATCTTTTACTCATACGCTAATTTAATTAGGGATACAGCCGGCCAAGAACGCTACGAATCTCTAACGAAACAATATTATAGAAGGGCTCAAGGAATATTTCTAGTCTATGATGTTTCCAACGAAAAAAGCTTTCGAAACATTGCAAAATGGTTTAAGAATGTTCGAGAGGCAAGCATATGTAACAAATAACAACCATACATCCATATAAAAGATATATGATATATAATTTAACACCTTTTTTGAATTGTAAACTATAAACAAGTGTATATTTTTTATTGTTACTTTACTTTGGTTACAGTGCGCTAACGAAGACGTGGCCTTAACCTTATTGGGTAGTAAAACTGATCTTGAAAGGGCAGTAACCGAAAGCCAAGGCAAAAAGGTTTTAATTTTATTACTATTTTTTTAATTATTGCGTAATAATTGAAAAAATGGCCGAAACAGTCTCATACTTTAGTTTTTGTGTTTTTGTAGCTTGCCGAAAAATTATCAATACCTTTCTTTGAGACTAGTAATGTTAGTTGCGAGAATATAGAAGAAGCTTTCATCTCAATGACTAAGCTGGTATTGCGTAATAGAAAACACGAATACGATGCACTGCAATTACACAGAAGAGAGAGTAGCACTGAATTTGTCAGTCAGTTATTGACGAATGAGCACCAAACGAAACCTTGTTGTGATTAGTAATATTTAAAAAAAGAACCATCTTTGTTCCATTAAATCGAGTTAAATCAATAAATAAACGAAATTTTAAGTATTTTTGCATAAGTTGTTTACATTTCATTAAATTTTGAACAAGAAGCGCCAAAAAAATATTAGTCACGTGATTGCTGCTATTATCGTCAGACAGTCGATAGTCGAAGGGTTACAGACATGGCAGCCGAAATAAATCGATTAGAAGATGTTCTTGATGAACATATTCCATCTGATCAGTTAAAGGAGGTCAAGCGAATACTTTTCGGTAATGCGCCGATTAAACTACCCTTGAATAGCAATGTAGAAGAAAAAGCTAAATCGATTAATGTTGACGTGGAAGGCTATAAATTTGATTGTCCTAAAGAACAGAGTAGAGCTGCTAGACTTGTCAGAGTAGGAGCCATCCAGAACTCGATAGCTATTGGTACTGATGAACCTGTCGTGAATCAAAGGGATGCATTGCACAGGAAAATTGGCAAAATAATTGATCTTGCGGGAGAATGCGGTGTAAATGTACTATGCCTTCAAGAAGCTTGGACAATGCCATTTGCTTTTTGCACTAGGGAAAAGTATCCCTGGTGCGAATTCGCTGAATCTGCCGAAAATGGTCCATCAACTTGCTTTTTGCAAGATTACGCAAAGAAATACAATATGGTTATCGTTTCGCCAATTCTTGAAAGGGATGAGGCTCATGGCGATGTTATATGGAACACGGCTGTTGTTATTTCGAATAATGGTCATTATATGGGCAAATCGAGAAAAAATCATATACCAAGAGTTGGCGACTTTAATGAGTCGACGTATTATATGGAAGGTGATACAGGTCATCGAGTATTTCAAACTGCATTTGGAAGAGTTGCCATAAACATTTGCTATGGTAGACATCACCCTTTAAATTGGCTTACTTATGGCTTAAACGGGGCGGAAATCGTTTTCAATCCTAGCGCAACTGTGGGTGGCCTCTCCGAACCAATGTGGCCTATAGAAGCAAGAAACGCTGCTATAGCTAATAGTTATTACACTGTTGCAATTAATAGAGTGGGAAGCGAGCAATTTCCTAATGAATTTACATCAGGCGACGGTAAACCGGCGCACAAGAATTTTGGACACTTTTACGGTTCAAGTTATATAAGCGCTCCAGACGGAAGTCGAACGCCAGGGCTTTCTAGAGTTAGAGACGGATTAATATTTTCCGAGATTGATTTAAATCTTTCAAGGCAAGTTAGAGATAAATGGGGATTCCGAATGACTCAGAGATTGGATATGTATGCCAATAGTTTGGGTGAGGCAGTGCTAGATGAATTTCAACCAAATATCATCACAGAATAATAATATTGATATATAGTGTTAGAAAAAGAAGGACAATCTATAGAATTAAAAAAACAAAACGTGAAAAAATCTTAGAGGGTGTGTTCAAAATATAGAATTTCCTTTGCTTCAAAATACTTAAGTCGTCAATCGTTACTAACAAAGATGATTCTAACTACAATAAACATCTTAGATAGAAATAAATATCTATTCTTAGAGAGAGAGAGAGAGAGAGAGAGGCAGTGAAAAATGCGTACGTAGGCCGGAATGGTTTGACATATTACAGAGATGTTAAATTACAAATTCCTTTAAGCTGAACAATTGTGTATTTATCTGTTTTTTGGATAAATTCCGTTTTGAATAGGATTTTGTTTAGTGGAAAGAAAGAAAACAAAAAGCGTTGTAAGCACAATAAGCAGTTTCAATTATATTTAATAAAAAAAAGGCGGTCATTTTTATTTAACGTATACATACAGAGAGCGTGATCATAGCGGCGAAAGACGATGCCTTAAACAAAAACCAGAACGTTAATTATGATATAACCCAAAAATTACAAATTACTAAATAACCAGCAGGATAAATCTAAATTCATTCAGTTTAGATATTAGAAAATCATTTTATCTAAGAGATATGACAAGGCCGATATGACTCACGCACCAAAAACAAAATAGGAACAAAAAAAAGTAAGAAAAGCTTGATCGTTCAAGCTGGGGATATTGCGTTAAAAACTAGTAAGATTTCTCAATCATCACAAGAATGGCGGTTCTAGCGCGAAAAACTTTTGCCATTTGCATAAACACTACACGCGATTTTTTAAAAAGTCTAACCAACTCGATACCGACGTTCAAGTAGGACATTCGAACAGATCAACTCTCATCTTCATATCGTTTCTTTTCCATTCGGCCAGTCTATAAAATTCTTCGTGACCAATATGAAAGATAGATTCGAATTCTTCTTTACTTAAATGTTCTTCTAGGTTCAGACGATCGACGCCGGGTGGCAAAGAATGATTTGTTAGTTTAAGTTGCTCGTATGGATAGATCTGCGTAAACATACAATTGTTAAATAAAAGAGATAAGACCAATTGCTTTGTTTTCGTTACCTTTGCCTGTCCCTGGTCAGGTCTCAACATAGACGGCAATGAATGCCTTGTGCTTGTATAAGCTGAAGATTTTAGACTAGTGCCAGGAGTCATTCGATATCTAGGCACTCTTCTTAATCCAGTTTCTGGATCATACTCCGAAAGAGATGCTCTTTCCCATTCTAGACTTCTAGAAAATTTACTAGTTCCATTGCTCATTGCCGAAGATGGATGAGTAGATGATTTTAAACTATATCCAGGCTTAGGAGGAGACTTAGATGAAACCACATAGCGTCCTCTACCATAACCACTGGGTCGTTCGTCTAAGGAACTTGATCTCGGTCTATATTCTAAATCTCTCGATGGAGACGCAAATTTATGCGACTCGTAACGTGTCCTAAAAGGTGGCTCTTTATTAGCAGATGGTGTTCTAGAAGCACTGACCGGATCGAGTTCCTCTTCCGGGTCATCTTCTGCTCTCTGTTTCTTCAAGCGCTCCTCTTTTTCGAAAGACTTCAATAATGCTCTACCAACACTGGACGACTGACCATATCGTCTTAAGAAAGCTATCTCTCTAGTGGAGTCCAGTGATTTGTTATATTTTGTGTCCTCGTCATCTGATAAAGCTGACCTAGTCGATTTTGATCCGGTACTACTGGATCTTATACGAGGTTCAGAATTGCGCAGAACCGCTTGAGCAGTTGGACAGGGCCAGTCAACTCTTTCAATGGGAGCAACATAAGTGGCAGGATCCCCATCTGGACATTTTGCTAACTTAATCGCTTCTTCATTGTTCATAGCTGGTCGTGCTTCTCGTTTTCTTTTATCTTGAATTCTAAGAAGGAAGTCAGAATTCTGTTTAGTTGGTTGAAAGTCTCTTCTAACATTTTTGTAAGAAAAGTTGTCAGGCCTGTGAAAGTGCTGATATTGATTTCTGATATTTGGATTCTGAGGAGGACCTTTCTCAACTGGTTTTACATCAATTTTCAAATAGCTTTGATTGTAGAATTTTCCAAATTGAATTTTTCTGCTTGCTAGAGCCTCACTTGTAGCTTTTCGTTCTGATTCTATTAGGGGATTGTCAGCTTCGGGAGGAAGAACTTCACGTTCCAGCTGCGTAGCTTCATTCATGATTAATGTGTAATCGTCCTTTACTATATTGTTAACCTCTTTTCCACCAATCGGACTGGCAGCAACTGGTGTTACATCCCCAAGCATCGGTTTTAAAGGGGTTGACGTTACTTTAGGGCCACCAGATTGTATCTTGCATTGAAAACATGAGAATACTTTACCATCGAAAGTCACTTTCTCGCCAGCCTTCATTTGTCTATTACATAAAGCGCATTTGAAACAAGTTGGATGCCAGTATTTATTAAGTGCCATTGCTCTTTCCTCATCTCCATTAAATAATTCACCACAGAAAGAACATTTGGCAGCAAACAACCGTTTAAAATCAGCTTGGCAGTAGCATTGGCCATCATGAGAGTAAAATTCAGAGATGGAGAGCGGCGTTTTACATTCGGCACAGGCGAAACATTTTTCGTGATAATATCGGTCTTCTGGTACTCGGATCGCTCCCGACTTACAATTTTTTCGACACGCTACGCAGTTTTTCTTTCCCATGTTTATCGATTAGGTCGAAAATTAACGAAATTTAAGGGAATTCACAATAACTTCATCCCTACTCGAAACATAAATAATCAGTCATCTACTCGTCTGCTGACCTACTGCGCATGCGTAGTTCTTGGAGGGAATATCATGAAAGCCTTCATTGTTCTAGTATTATTTGTTAAACTTAAAAATCAATACTGACATTTTACACTTGCATTTTGTATATTGTAAATGATATGAAAAAATTTTAGTGCGAACCTAAACCGTCGCGCCGCCATCTTGAATCTTGAAGACAGCTCGATTTATTTGTTGCGATATACATAAAATACGTCATGCCTAGTGTTTGTATTGAACGAGTCGAAATGACTCGACACCAATATCAAGGTTTGAAGACGTATATAATGGGTGAACGTCGCAGAAAACAGAAAGAGTTGGAACTAGGAGAGGAACAGGAGAAGAAAAGGCGTCAAAGGGAAGAGGAAAGGAGAAAAAAGGAACAGGAACAGCGAATATCCCTTGAAACTATCACAAAGCAGCTTCATGAGAAGAGAAACAAATTAACAGAAATGAAGAATGAAAAAACTCAGCTATTTGGTCAGTTGAAAAAGGTGATCAGCGAAGAGGATGAGAATAAAAAGCGAATTGTACAGGAAAGAAATGAGCAACTCTTAAGTCATAGTCTTCTTGCTCCTCAAGTGACTGGTTATCCAGCTGTACCTATCCCGACTATGCTCAATAAGCCTTCTTTATCAAAGAGACCTCATTCCCCTGATCAGTCTTCACCTGTATACGGTAAAGCTTATAAAGCATTTTCTCAAGAAACACCATTCGCTCCAAAAATGGCTACAACTGCAGCTACGAGTACTACGGGGTCTTTTGTTCCTGCCTACCCATCAATGCATGCCTATCAATATCCTTCAATAACGCCCTATTCCAGTCAGCACTTGCTAGCAACAACAAAGAGTCTACAACAGCAATTGGAACATGCAAATAGCAAAGCAGGATTTTCTGCCGACGATAAATACAAGTTGCAACAGCAGTTGCAAAGGGGTCCAGTACCTGCTCCACAACAGCCTAACGCTGGAAGTATCGTAAGCGGCTATCCTGTAAGAACGCAAACTAATCCATCATCGGCCTTTACACCAACTTTGACAGGCCAAAGAGGTACGGCTCCAATGCCATCAGCTCTTTCCCACTCTCAGTATACTAGATTAGATAGATATTGAAAAATTTAAATCATGCAGAAGAAAATAAACCAATCTTAACTGCTTTTTTTTTTTCTAGTCTTCGAGAGAAGTTCGAAGAGTGACAGAATGAAAAAAACCTATTTTTTTTAAAAGATTTTTGAAAATTCAATTAACTGAACCTAAATTCAAAAAAATTGCGATGCTAGTTTTCATTCAATTTGTTGATACAAGAGAATTGTTGAATTATATATTTAAAAAAATATGTTTCCCAGAGTGGAAATAGATGATATAGTTAGTTTTTTTTTGATAAATCGATAATAGCTCAACTACTGCATTATTATCACAATTTTCCTTAGAAATGGAAATAATTAATTATATAAATCCATAAACTGTACATATATTTATGAACAAAGCGTAAAATGCAAAATAAAACACAAAGTTATACGCATACAGCACAAATTGTATATGATTTATAAAGAAATAATTGAATAACAATACAATCTCTCTTTCTTACATTTACATATATTTAATCCTTTAAACGTCATTGATTGACTTAAAAGAGGAAAATGTCAAAATATCGATGAAATGAATCTGATATGAGAAAGAATACCATACAATATGTAAATGAGGGAAAATGAGCCGGATAATCATTTAATACTAACTAGGGAGTAATAAAACCGAGAAAATAAAGTAATCCTATTAATAGCATATATATATATATATATATATATATATACAATATACTGCATATATAATTTGAAATATTTTAAAAATAAAACAACACAATATAACAAAAGTATTGAATAAGATGTAAATAATTGACAGAATGACAGTATTAATAAGACAAGAAGGAGGTGACAATTGTTCAATTAATTGTACTCTTCAACGAATAATAGAAGTAACAAATTGTCAAGAATCTCCAATAATTGAATATTTTATATCAAAATTACCATTTTTTACGCATCTAACAAAGCTTTTTGCTAGTTTTTCCCATGTTGGACTATATATTTCTCTTGGAATATTACATTTCTTTTATATTCTGTATTCTCTATGTTTTTTAATGGATGAGAGTTGGTTAAGGAATTTCCTTCATTTAATTGGTAACTATGGTATGAAAAATGTTGAATTACTTATATTATTACTTTGCTTTCTATGGATTATCTTTGAACTATTCCATATAATACTTATCAACATTATTCACATGCCAACTTTCGAGCCTTTAAATAGTCCTGTCGAAATTTTGAATAGAGGAAGAGGTGACTATATCAGAATTGTTCCGGAAGGGCGAATTTTCACATTACTACAGGCTTTAGGTATAAGTTTTGAATTGAATGAGGTCGTTATTGAAATTAGTTTCCGACTGCCCTGGTGGAATTGAATAGACTATTCAAAATAAATTAACAATAACAATTTTTTTTCAACCGATTAATGCGTTCTACGTATCGCGTAAATAATAAAAATTATTGACAATAAAGCGCCTATATATACGCTTATATGTACACATATAAGGGTTATAAATAGATACTGGCAAATGAAAAAAAAAAATCGTTTTTTTTTTTTTTTTTTTTTTCACATCATCAACATGGCCGATACTGAACGTCTGCGTGTATGTAGATCCGATGAAGAGAAACGTTCTCGTACTCTTCCAAGCGATGACGAAAAACTAGTAATTGAATTTCGAAGTGCTATGGAAGCGACTAAACTAAGGATGGGCGAATTAAGGGATGCATTACACGATCAGTAAGTTTTTTATCATTTTTTTAAAAATGTACCTTCTAATCAATATTATTGAATATATGACCCCAGTCTGTAAATTAATATTGATTTTTTCCTCCTCTCTTTTTTTTGCAGTAGGCTTTCTCTTTTTTTTTATTACTATCTAAGCAATTTTTTGGCCTACTATAATGGAAATTTTATTTTCGTCTAGGCAAAAGAATATCGGTGATAGCAGAGATCATAGTTTTGGTGATAAAAGACGGGATAATACTTTGGATAACCTAACCAATATTCAACAATATAAAGATTACATTCGGTTTGTGCTGCCATCTATCGATGATGAAACTCTAAACTTTTTATCGAAATTTTTTAGAAATAAGTCGTACAGTGATGACAAGAAAATCGAAAGTCCTGCCGGTTAGTTGTGTACTTTTATTAACGACTATTAAACATATAGATATATAAGTGTATATATCATATACAGTATACGCATAAAATATTTATATAAAAAAGGCTCTTGTTCAATTTAGGTCGGAATTTATCAAACGAAGCCAAAACTCATAGAGGCTCCGAGAACGGTCGCATCAAAGACTCCCTTCTTGAGGAGGATAAACGCTTAGAGCCGGTTTGAATTTCAGTTCAAATTTTAAAATGCAAATTAGCTAAAGTGATTGAGCGGTGGAAAAACGGTTGAAGTACGCGAAAACAAATATAATTAAACTTTTTTTTAGCTATTGGAAAGGGCTAACGTCGAGAAGGAACAACGCCGCCAAATAAGTATTTTAACTTACGAATTAAATATTGGAAGAGATCTAAATGAGCAGGTTAGTAGTAGGCCTACACAATGTTCTCAGTATGGGTTATCCTATACTCCTTTCCAATTATAGCTACAAAAAAGGCTAGCCGATTGCGAGAAGGAGCTAATTAGTTTACGAGTCGATGGCGAAACGAAAGAGAAGCAAATTCGAGCGGAAGCAGCAAGGCAACTGACAGGTCATTCAATTACTATTACAGATATGTTGTATATAAAATATATACTATATATATATATATATATATATATATAATTCATATAACATAAAATATTGGCCTTGTAGGCACTTTACCGAACGTTCTTCCAGTCAATCTATCAAATTTATATATATAAATTAGATATATTTAGTTTATGGTAACTATTTAACTTATAATGCATATACTACATATGTATATAAACATAAGTCGATAAGAATAGAGTATATATCAAAACAAAAACGTGCCTTTGTTTTACAACCAAATATTTACTAAAATACGAGCTTTAGATGCAAAAGGTAACTTTGAACAAACTAGCATAAAGTCAATAGCATAATATTTTCTGTTTAACTTTATCGTTTGTTTTGTCAATGTTTTGTTTTACAACAACAAATTTTTTCAGTACACGCTTCCAAGCTTTAAATCTATAGAATTTCGCTTAATAAGCACACACATTGAACATTTATATATTTTGAGAGAAATGTGTACTGTTAAAACAATTTCACACCTAATATGTATATATACTTTCTTTTTATACATTTACAGATCTTGTTCAAGAAGTCCACGAAGCCCAAAAGCAAAGAGATGAGGCAGTTGAACAGAGAATTAAAACTGCTAAACTAGTCGAAACATCCGAACCGGAAAAAGCTGCCAGAACCAAAAGGATTATACATTTGAATGATGTTGAGGATATGGTAAATATTTCCTTCTATTATAAGGACATTATAGAGACGGTGATGTTCTACATCCTTATCAAGATCTACATAAATATTGTAAAAGTATAAAGAAATATATATATATATATATATATATATATATATTGCGTACATATACAAGGAACTGTATAAAATTATAGCCATACATTAGTATATATTAGATATATATATACTGTATATGGAAAGACAACGTAGCTAACTTATATATCGTTAAGGGATTAACTAATCATTGTACATCAAAAGAAAAATTAAGAATATTTGTTATTCCGCTTCAATTTGCACCCAACTTCCCATTTGTGCATGTGAACGTTGCGTCTCTATGACAACGCTGGACGCAAGGGGATGGCAAACAAATAGACGCTGTACGAATTGCGTCTAGTCTTGATTAGTGTTCGTCTACTTTTCAGTATATACATACTGTATATATCTCTCGCCATTCTTCTCATAGCAGTCATCCTCCTTCATATTCGTCGGTCTATTTGAAGAAGGGCGTAATGTAATATTAAAACACACAGAACGCGCATTTTCAGGGTGAATATATGTAATATATATGCGTCTTAAAATTATATAAATAGATATATATCTTATAAACTATATACGACTTCACCGGTATGCATAACGTTTATGTATGATGGTAAATATGCTCGCATTAATATTTAAACCTACATAGTATATACATTTACTCTTTATAATGAATTTGGCGTGTATTTTGTGCGTATGGAGGATGAAGTCCTATACGTCGATCTTGTCAATGGCTTTTGAGTTGGTGTGGTATACCGAGAGTATATAATTAGGCAATTATGCTATAAAAAGCGATGTTTGTTCACAGCGTGAACGTGGAGCGGTATGATTGAACAACAATGGCGCCCCTACTGCGAAACCGCACGCACTAACACCTTGCGTCTATTCAAATCTAATTGATGTCACGAATACACCTTCATTATATATCACATATATGTATTAGAACTTAAGCTCTGCCGCCCACACCCATATAGAGCAAGGTCATTTACATATACAATATACAGTTTATATATATGTATATATACATATACATATAGTATATATACTATATATCTTTATGTCAGTATGAATACGCTAGTACGTCTTCCGGTTCGATATATACCCTGCAAGCAAATTTATACAAATATATAAACTTATAATATATATATATATATATGTGTGTACATATATCATATATATAATATACATTACATAATGTACTATATGTACTTTATATATTTTATATATAAATATATATTTACGAGATTTGAAGAATTTTGGGCGCGATCAATGTGAAATGAATGGGTACACCTGCAGCGTACAGTATGAGTGTGACCATATATTCTATTGTTTACTTAAGTCTACTTTGGTTGTTCGGGAGAAATTGGGCGAGAGGGTAAATAGAGAAAAAAAAAGGTAACACCTTTTCTTTGTATGAGGACACCGGAAGGACAGACATTTTTACAATAGACTATAATCTACAAACACATTATGTAAAATTATCTAATTAACGAACACTCAGTTAACTTTATAATCTATAATTTGTTCCTCTCTCTCTCTCTCTCTCTCTCTCTCTCAATATTCTTCCCATTCTAACAGATAATATATTAAAAAAAAAGCACGAAAGCAACGTGCATAGACATTTTAAAAAGTATTTATATTCAACTTGACAATCTTCCCTTTGTTAGCGTAAAACTTTGAGCGAAAGTGGTATATTTTAAAAATTTTAATATTCTGAATATACTTTATTATATTAATAAAAAGTTATTTATATATATTTTAAAAATTCATGAAATTTTTATTAGTTAAATCGACAGATTTTTTTCATTAAACCTTAATTAAATTTCTTTCTGTTTCTCTTTTTCTTCCTTGTTTTTTTTCATAAAAGATATTCCATTCTAATGTAGCTTTGCACAGAACTGTGTACATATATACATAATATATAGAGAGAGTTCATACGTTTATTGATTTATTTATAAAAATATATAAATGTATTGATGTAGGTATAGTTGGTATATATACTATGTATTATATAAAAATTATATACCTATATATATATATACGCTATGTATATGAGCATTTATATATACATATATATTAAATTTATCTTTTTGTATAAGTAGTTATATAAACTCTCTTTATGCATCTCAATTTATAAACCATATACATATCAATGCATTTATTATTTTTTTTGCCTGCTCTCAGGATATAAACGAAATACTTACAAAGTTTTCCGAGATAAGCGACATTGGAGAAAATGGTAATGCTTTATCGGATGTGATTGCGCGGACAGCTAGGCGGCGGCGATCTCAGAATGCTCAGCAATTAAAATTGGCTTTAAAGGAACGAGATGAAGCTTTACGAAAGGTATATTTGCTTATCTGCTTATTTATTTACTTTTAAATTGTATCTTTTTCAACGACGAGGCGTAAAAGTGTAAGCTTTTGCGATATTATCTCGTGTCACGGCTAATTTAAACTTATACGTAATTAGAAGGCATACAAGCGTTTGTTTGTAGAACTTTTCACGCTCCAACCTTAATTAGGCTAATTTACGTTATGTTTGTTCATTAGTGTCGAAAACTCGAAGCGGACCTGAGACTGAGAGGCGATTCGAACATTCAACATCTTAAGGTATTATAAGATTTGAGTAACGGCAGATATATATTATAATACTCTTAAGACGTCAGTTGAGAGTGTACTTACGACGTCCGGCCTTAAAAAAAGCGCAGGCGTTTCTATACGCTTTTATCAGTGAAGTTTGGAGCGGCTGTGAGGTGTAGCAAACACTAATTAGCATTCTAAGCCGCAGGTGTGGCGTTTGAAGCGTGCCGACAAGTTTGCTCAGCCTTTTACACTTTCTCTCCATCGAATCATAGCACGTTCCCTTTTCCCCTCTTTGCGCTCTACGGTTTCCTATCTACTTTTATCTCAATACAATTGAAATTTCCGGTGCGATATGCTTTTAAAAAAAAGTGAATGAATAAACCGACTTACATGACAAGTCCCGACAGCTGTCATTTGTCCTCGCATCAAAAGCTCTTTATTCTTATGCAAATCAGATTGAATAATCCAATTAAATTTGACAGAATTGTTGACTTTGTTCTAAATCTCTTATCGAGATTTTCTATGACGTAGGGATGAGTCGGTGAGAAGACTGATTTTTTTGTGTGGGAGTGGAAGGGGAGACGGTTTTGATCGATAAGGTGGGAAGGAAAGGGAATGAGTGTAGCGTGTTCGTATGTATACTGTATTTATATATAGACGAGCTAGTGTATATATATTGTCTATTTGCGCATCGTTCGTCAAGCATCAATATTTACGAAAATCTCACTTGATCAAATATAATAAACACTCAACCAGTGCGCTAGGAGCACGAGTTTGCCTCGCAAATTTACGTTAGCATCAACGCGTGTGTATAGATTATAAACTGTATAGTTATTAGTCAATATTGTCTCTCTACACACATATTCATGTGTGTAGTATATATAGTAGATATATATATATATATATATATACTATATATTTTTATATATATATATATATAAATGCACTATTTATCCAAAGTTAAAATACTATATTCATTGGCCTAATCACATATTGCATGTGCAACTGTATGGAAAATGTTTTATATGATGTTTGTACTAATAATTAGCGTCTCATTTGAATCTTTTATGTACGATATACTATTTTTATTTATACTATATTAACGTATACCGCCCTAGTCGATGTTGTATCTATAATTGATTGCGGATGTGCGTTATCTTAACTATAAAACTTATCGGCTCTAAATTGCACTAAAAATGCTGGCTGAGCAGGTGATGACTGTATACTCCTACGTATTATTGAATGACGATAGCTCGCTCACTCGCTCTCTCTTTTTATTGCTATTACTCTGTTTTGTTTTTTCTTCATCTTTCTTGTCACTGATTCGGCAGATCCTAGCATCTGAAAAGTATGTTGATGAGTATAGACAAATAGCTTATATAAATTGACTTATGCCCATATCAAGTATTTACACGGTTATTAAAGTGTTTGGCCAGTCTGTGTATCAATGTGTTGATTTTATTGTTTGAGAAAATATTATGTTTTTGATAAACGTCTTTTACGCGAAATTATATAGACGAACAACGCCGCTACCGTTTAGTGGGAACTAGGCCTATGATATCGTATATATTATAAAACAAATATATAAATGAGATGTCGGTTTTCCATCAAACGAAATGACGCGCTAACCAACAAGACGTCACTGAATAAACCATAAAACATTCATGACGCCCGATTGAACACATGCCGTTCTCTCACTCAGAATATACCTCATTAAACGGCCGCATGACAAAACGTCGATTTGTTTGTTTTTCGGCCGACGGGAAGTGCTGCAATTAGCTCACCTTTTTATAAGCTGCGACGATTATTCACTTTTTTTTTTCCATACGAGAGCAAAAATTGTGTTGGATGGGAAAATGTTATTAATTGCATAAGGCCAAACTGATTATTTTGTACAGCAATTTGTCAATTATAGAATTAGCTAATATTTGTGAGTGCGTGTTATTATCTCCCACTACACATATGCATACAATGACCTTATGTTCTTCTTTACAAGTTATATATATATATATATATATATGAAAGGAATATATATATGTATAGATAATATTGGGAGAATAGAATAACTTTTATATAAAACATAATTCATCTTTATAAATGTATATACATCTATATTAAAAGTATAAACAATTTAATAATTTGTCTAACATAAGATGCGTGTTCGTCTATGCCAACTTTACGAGACCACTATCGATTCTTGGCTATATATACATAATTAATTGGGCTTTGACATCATTTTCCATTAGACATCGCACGTGTCCATTTACTGGTTTGCTTTAATAAAAGTGTTCATTGCATGCCTGTCTGTTCAGAGATAAGTATTTATACACGCTATTTTCATAAATTAATTCACGCATAATGTTTATATACTGTATGCAAATGATATCATAATTAATTATTTAATTTTATATTCATACACGTTTTTGTAGCGGAAGCTACGTTCATAGGAGCATAATTGTTTTTTATCTTATAATGGCAAAAAAGAAGAGGCTAAGCACAATTTTTCTCTGCATCATTTAAACGTTTAGGTTATATATATTTATATCATAGAAATATATATATATATATATATATATATTTATACATATATTCGCATTAAATATATAGAACAATCAATGCTTGCAAATTGATGCCTGATTGTCTGTAGACGTTCACTTCCTCCCTACTGGTTGCTATGGAATCAGCACACTTCATAATGCTTTTTATTTGTAAATTAATTTTACAATTTCTAGACGCTCGATCAAGTCGTTAATCGAATATTAGACGTTTATAGGAGACGTACAAAGCAATATCGGAGAGCATAAACAGTTCAATATAAGTATGTATACGTGCTTTTCCTTTCAATGCAGAGTCGATTGGCGGCATCGGAACAGGTTCGGGACGAATTGGAAGAAAAGCTACAAGAAATAAAAGTTCAACTCAGGTATATATAGAAATCTTTCAATAAATATATGCGCCGAAGCGGCGTGATGGCGCATGAAAGTAGAACGCACTGAATATATTCCACTCAGCGTTCTTATTTCAATGTTTGCTTATAGGAGTGACAGCAGTTTCGAATGTCGTTTTCCATTTTCAGCTTACACAAGTCGCTCGTTGAACAAGCCAACTACGAAGGGGAATTGAATAAACTAAGGGTGGAGAACGCAAGGTTTTCATAATATTATTTAGATAATTCGCGTTTTTATATAAAGTCGAATATTATTCGAGTACATATTGAAGTTGTAGAGCGCAAACATTCGCTCACAGTACGCGCCACCCACATCGCCTAAGGCTCGCACAGGAAATGAAGACGCTTGACAAACACGATTATACTATTGCAGATTACGCCGCCTAGTGGGAGTTCTACGTCGAAAATTGCATCAAGTCAGATGACCTTATATTGTTTGTGAAGAAGGTAGCTTTCCCTCTCACAACCAATATGGTATTTAAACTAGAAAAAGCGATTATACTTTCTGTTTTTCTCTTTTCCATTACGAATAAATAATTAGAAAATAACTAAGAAGGAAAGTGAATGCATATCTAAATTCATCTATATAATTCATTCTCAATCTCGTTCGAATAATTAATTGGAAACGAGCGCGTATATTTTGAAAGCAAACAATCGAGGCGGGCGAAATTAAAAAGTAGGTCGCGCAATAAAAACGATGCAGGAACACGGAGGGCGGACGGAATGTGAAAGCCGCGAATAAACAGTTCGAAAAGCCAAACGCATACACGTTATATATGGCGTTCTATCTATACATTCTATAGTAAAAAGGACGTCAACAAATAAAAATATTGCGAGAGAATAAAGTCGAAATGTAAATTTGAAGAAGATGGAATTAATGGCGTTATTTCTGCACGCTACATTTCACAGAACAAATTTGTCGATCGCGTTAAGGAGGCTTGTACACTAATATTTAGATGACTTGTAGCTGAAATCTTCGTCAAACTTGCTCAACGTGTCTGATGCAAACATCTGCTTGTTTGTTCTGCTTCTTTGTGTTGGCAAACTTGACCTACTTAGTAGCCGTATGCGCATATATGTATATTTAAATATCTATATCTATATCTATATATATAAACTTATATAAATTCTTTGCTTTAAATAGAAATTATCCTTAGTATATAAATATATATATATATATATTGTCGACTTAGCAGTCCAACTTTCGAATACACACGTGTTTTTAACATAAACACATGTAGACTTGAGTTTGTAGATACATAGGTACATTGATACATTTATTTATTGTATGCATAAGTGCATACAAAATTTTTTTTCCCTAGATAACCTTCTTTACCTTTTGTATAAAGAATCTATTAAGATATTTGGGGATAGGCTCTTTAATCTCATGGGCATGAGAATGTCATGAATTTCTTGTTGCTTTTTTTTTCCATGGTACGTTCACCCAAAATCTTAATTGGCTTTAAATAAAGTAAACGCTGTCTTTTTTAAGCGTAACGTCGCCTCACTCAGTAAATAATCTTCTATATCGAACAAAAAGAGCAAGAAGAGTGTACGTGCAATTTGAAGAGGTTGTGAATAAGGGCGCCTTCTAATGTTCACAAAAAATGTTTGCTATACTTGAATAGAACGCTTTCTGAACAAACTTGTTGGTCTGGCGGGTCGGCGCCGCCCTGACCGCTTTTTTCGAGAGGCCAGTCGGCATTCGGTGACGCTTCTTTCATCTCTAAGCCCACGTTTGCCTATAAAGAGAATTTCCGTTGAGAAAAAAATTGTCTCGTAGAAAACGTGATAAGGCGCGTTCGTTTTTCTTCATCTCTCATCACTTTTATTATTAAAGCGAATTCTTCCTAATCTCCTTTGAGGCTAGATTCTCTCAAAAAAACAAAATGTAATGAACGCATTCCTAAGACGAATGCAATAAACGCAGGCTAGTCACGTGACGCTCGTATGCAAATAGGACGCAGATGTCCGGCGGCTACAGGAAAATATATGAAAGTCTACCGTACGTGTCTTTATTTGAGGCTGGAGGATGTCTACTATATTGGTTGGGGGAAAGAGACGAGCCAAGCTAAATTGCATATATATCATAGAGATAACAGAAAGAGAGAGAGAGAGAGAGAGAGATCTGTAATTACAATAATCATGTAATTTTCCTGCTGCTATAGGTTGACCAGCTGCACAAGCAAGCCTCTGGCTAACTTTGCAGAACACCCTAAATATATATTACATTAGTTACTTATTTCTGCCCGGAAAGAAAAACGATGACGTAAGAGAACAATTTATAAGTGAGTTTTATGGCTCAATCTGCTTAATAACGCTTTACAAATGAAAGATCACGAAACGCATCAGGTAAACGTGCGATTGAGACGCCAACGGCTTAATGGCGCTATTGTTATTCACAGAACTTGAGTAAACGAACATTTTCTAGTTTACTTATTTTCGCACTACTGTTTATTCGCCGCTTTACTTTATTAGAATTCTGACAAACGACACGCATATACCGAAAAAATGCGAATCCTCCCATGTCGCCGACTATCACGTTCACTTTCCTCATTTTCCGCAGGTCGCCTACTAGGTGGTCCGCGCACGTTGACGTTTCTCAACAGTCCGCGCGGTCGAGTTATCTATATCTTTTACTTTGCCTCTTTTCTCCTTTCTCTCTCTGTCTCTCTTTCTGTCTCTTTCTCTCTCTCTCACTCTCCCACTCACTCACTCTTATCTCTTCGCAGTGTAATATACAGTATAGTACGGCGCCTTACTTTTTTTATCAACAAAACGTCAAAAGGTGAGTGGATTTTGAACGGTTAATCGTATGAAAGAATTGGGAAGGAAATGATAAAATCGCATAAAGAAGGGGGCAGTGAAGGAAGAAAGAGGGGTGGGAAGGAAGAAAAGAGACTGATTAATTGACCATAATTACAAATATCAACAAAACTTCACGCAGGAGAGTCGTTGAAAAATTTGAAATCCTCCTAACTGGCATCTACTTTCGCGAAGTCTTAGAACATTCACCATTCGTTCGATCTAAAGCCTTTTGAGAATGTGCTAATGGAAGACTCTTGTATAAGTCGGAATAGGCCTATTCACAAGAACAGCCACCCATTATCCGAATTCTAATGACGAATTAATAAGGCCTGTAAGCCGGTAGATATAGAGCTTCAGCGTTATTCTAGACCGATTTCAGAAATTTATGACTCGTCTTATCTCTAATATATAAGAACTTTCGCGGCGTCTAGCTCTTGAAAAGAGAACGGTGTGCTCTGTAGATAACGAAAAACTAATCCGCCCACAACCGCCCCTTTATGTCGTCCACCCATTGATCAGATTAAACGGCCGCTAAACAGATTGCCGCATCGACCCGTACCCAGACCGACGCCTTTAGCTCGATTAATCCGGCGTCACTTTGAGCCGTCGATCTAGGGCGTTACTTTATACTTGTCCGATGATTTGTTAACGTGACGCTGAAGACGGATTGCGAATTATATTTGGCAAACGATTCCGGCTGTATGTTTAGGCCTATAAATAATCGTGTGATAGAATGCAAGCAAATTATATCGTTCAGCATTCACCTGATAAGAGGTGGAAGAGAAAGAAAACAAAGGAAAAGTCAATGTTTATGTTTTGTATACATAAAGTATGGAGAATGTTGACCATAGTACTACTGTGCAAATGTAAATTGAACATAACTTGCTTCAACAATTTCAAGTGCATCAAGAGAAATGCATATATCATTTACGATAAGCCTTATCAGGCGATGCTTGTCTGAATGCATTCATTATAAGCATAGTCGGACCTTTCAATTCCTTATCGTCGACTGATTTATGCTGACACTACATTTTTTAGCAAGAACTTTTTCATTCGATTAAAGAATTACACTTTTTTTTTTATGGTTTGTAATATATACTTCTTATCGATATCCATATATTTCTTTCTCGTGAGAGTAATTTCTCTCTTTCAATATGGATGAAAACAACATATATATATATATATATATATATATATATATGCATGCATCCTGTATATAAAGGCACAAATATATATATATATATATTATTTTTATTACATTATATTATACGTATATATAAACATATAAACATATATTTATATATATATTTTATTTATATTTACGTATTCAAGATACCAGACCAAAAACAAAAGCTCGTTTTATTGTACTTTCGTATATTATTTTACTTAAAGCTTATTCATTTCTTATCAGAAAGTACTAACTATTCCGTATTACGACTATTTTATGACAAGAACAAAAGAAAAAGAGGTAAAACACCAATAATAAAGCATTTTTTAAGTACAAATCATTCCTAGTGAATATTTATAATTATAGCTTAATGAAAAACGCATATAAATATAATAAGCTTTATACACTATTTTTTTTGTATATTAAATACATAAATAATAAAAATTTACACACATTTGTATATATATATATATATATATAAATATAAATATAAATATATACAGTATATATAGATATATATATATTCATTTTTATTTAATAGTCTAAAATATATTTCTATAAAGATATATTCGTAAATATGTATATATTTTTATAGCTTTATAAAGAAGAAAGACAGCGTCCACATTGTATAAACAATACGTACATATAAAAAGGACAAAGGCGTTCCGCGAGAGGAAAGCGGGTCATCGCGCATGCGTGCGACGAATATTCTTATCAACGAGACGCAGGTGAGAACAGGTGCGACGTCCAGATTGCAGGCAGACCGCGTATATATTGATGATATGTTTCCTAGCAACCTATATTCCCTCGTTAAGACTGACGGCTCAATATACTTTATTACAAGCGAGCGTTTAATCTTAGCTGTAAACAAACTCGGAGCGAACAGGTATAAAGAGACAGAGAGAGGCAGAAAGAAAAGTGGAAAGAGAGAACGAGAAGGTAGAGGTTATATGCGCACAGATACAAAAAAACGAATATATACAGTATGTATGTATATATTCAAATAAATAAACATAAATATATATATGAAGATATAGATAGGCAGATAGACATAAAGTGAGATAGATAGACAGAAACAGAGGAAGAAGTTTTTTAAATAAAAAAAAACGAAGATGGAGACGCGTTATCAGAGTAATCGCTCTTTAGCTTTTACAATCAAGCTGATAGAAGAAATGTCAAAGTACTCGATTACGATAGAGATTCATTTATTGCTTTTGTTTGAAGTTCAAACGCATAGAATTTAAAAAACCGCAAATTTTATTATCAAATATAACGGCTTTTATTGGCGGCGTATCATTTTTTCATCGGCCTATAGAAGCGCTTTTATATATGTATGCATTTTGATAGCGAACTATAAATAAATACAAATATATTGACAACTATTCATATATCTATTACAAATATAAAAAGAGCCAATCGCTTCGAATTTAGAAAAATTCGATTACGAGGAAGTTGTAACGATTATAGGAAATATCGAACTCGTCTCTTTATTCATTGACTCGTGAAAATGAACGTCATGTGGGCACCGGGAAGAAGAAAAGCGATGAGGAGCCGCTCGAGGCAGAACACATCAGTCAGTCGAATGTTTACACAGCGGATTGCAAACCGCTCGACCTTCTCTTCCAACCTGATTAGAGCAAGGCGTGAGAAGAGAAGTAATATTCCAAGCTCTTTCTCTTTCTCCTTCTCCTATTCCTCTCCTTTCTTCTTTTTTTTTTATTACAGCTCCCTTCATCAACTCATCTCGTCTCTCTCATCTTTCAAACTTTATATAGGGGAAGGGGAAGGGGGCGAGATGTGAGCAGCCAAATGGCGAAGAGAAATATGAAACGAAGACTCTCTGAGTTATTTTTTTTTTTTTTTTGCAATAGAACGTCAATGCTTTATATATATTGACCGCTATATCGTCTACGTACAAAAGTGTCGTATTTTCCTTAGCAATTTCACGGACCGTTGCGCTTTTATAATTCTTTCTACTAAACCTTTAAAATCGCCTTGACAAATTATCGGTGTTAATTTCTCGACTTTGATACCTTTATTTGATCGAAAGCGTAAATTATTAGGTGTTCTTTTATATAATTTCATATAATTTAATATTCATAATTTTTAATTTAAAAAAAAAAAAAAATACACAAAATTTATGTGAAAAAAATTTTCTTAAAAAGACTCTTTCGTACTTCATATTAACATTTTTTATTAAAACTTTCATTTTTATCGACTTTTATGGTCTATAGGACGAAAAAATAACGAAATTATGTTGTTACATATATATATATATAAATATATATATATATATTTATTGCAAATTACATGTAGAAGTACATATTTTAGTATATTGTATGAAATTAACACTAGAAAACAATTATATATATACCAGAAAGAAAATCTAATATATATATATATATACACAGAAAATCTATATACAAATTTTCGTACACAACCCTACATACCAATATATATTAAATTATATATATTTGGTTTTTGAACACACATACATATTATATATATATATTTATATTTACTGCACATAAATTTCCAAATTGATTGCATTTAAGCAGTAAAAATATTATATATTATACGGACGACTTTATATTGTAAAATGATGCAGATAAACAGCATATAATTTATATTGTGCAAAAAAATTTACGTCTTTTTTATAATACTAAAGGAAAATTGAAAGATAGAATTAATCTTATTCGATTTAAACGGGAAAAAAAGATGAGAGAATCGAGGTGTTATGGGGAAGAATAAAAGAAAAGAAAAGAGAAGAATGGTTTAGGAGGGGACAGAGAGAAAGAGACAGAGAGAGAGAGAGAAGTGGGGGGGAAGGGAGTAATTTCGCAGGTGTTATACTGAGGAATTAGGAATAAATTCTTAAAAACAACATAATTCAGAATTGTATATAGTGCATTTGTCGTAGCCAGCCACTGTACTTTTCATAATGGCGAAATTCGAAAACTGAATGCCATTTTAGCTCTTGTATTGTATCTATACTGTGAATGTGTGAATAATACAATATTAGGTGAATTTATCTGGCAGTTATTTATAAGGGGGGAAAAAGATTTGCTCTTTAGGCCAATAATTCAATCAACAAAATGGAGAGTATTTTCGGTTGTAATTATACAAGTATGGCCAATTAATTACCGCTATGGAGGTAATCGTACCAAGTTTATGTACAACGATCAAGTACAATGTACCCCCCGCTTAGCTACGCGCGCCCAGGTGTTGCATTTGATCTTAGCGTAATTCTTCAGACATAAATAGACGCAAATTTTCTTTCGGATATATATATATATATATAATATAATATAATATATATATATATATATATATATATTATTTTAATAAGTAAAAAATATACAATTCTTCTTATGATCTATATAAATATACGTAAACGTTTAAGCATTGTACACGATTTAAATATATATACATATATATATATATATTAGTTTATATATATATACATATAGATATCTATATACTAAATATATGTACTGCATATATATATATATATATTTAAAAAATTGACTGGTCTTTTTGGAATGATTACGAAGTATGTCGTCGAAGTAACCACAAAATTTAGGTAACTAGATCGACATTATCAATTTTCTTACAATCTATACATAGATATTTATATTATGTATAGAATACATATAAATACGTATGGGTTAGTCTCATTATCCGTATTTATATGTATGTATATACATATGTATAAATATATGAATACAGGTGAAATATATATACACGACAGCGCGCCTGCACACATGCATGCAATTATTATTTATATAATATTAATAGAAAAAAAAGTGTATACAAAAAATTTTTTCGAGATTACCGCCAATGTTGCGCCAGCGAGAGAACATCACAGACGAGAGAAGCAGTTCTATTCGCCATTCTTCCTAGAGAGGTTGCGGACCGGCGTATGATTTATAATAATCGTGCATGGGGGAGACGTTCTGGCCATTTCCTAAACAATCCTTCGTTATTGGACCTGCTGTTGAAGCGTTTGGGGCGTAATTCGACGGATGATACGCTTGCATGTCGTACATTCGCAGGTCTAATTTGGCTTGTTCAGCAGACGAAATAATGTTCGTTATCGAAAATGGGTGATTAAAGGCGTTCAACATGCCCGGATGCTGAAGCTCCGACATGGAGACCATTTGTTGACGTAGAGCGAGATCTGTATCGTGTGGTGAAGTTACAGAGGGAGGTTCCTGTTTTGTTGCTACACCACATTCGGGATTACCTTGCATTGGTTGTCCAGTAGGTCCATCTCCGGCTAGATCGTGTAGAGTCGATCCCATTAAATAGCCGTCGTGAACGGCGCTATTATTTGGCTGCAGTTGTTGATGCGGCTGATGAGTTTGCGGCCCCGGTCCTCCTGATTCACAATCATCTTTTTCCGGCGAAGAGTGTTCGCCACCGTCGTGATTGTCATCTTCGTCGTCCGGTAAAGGATTTCCGTGTTCATCGACGCCCGATGCGCGTTGCGCTTGTCTGAGAGCCTCTTTTTTTGGGTCTTTAAAGCGTTTTTGCCGACGTAAGTAACATCCGTTTTCAAACATATTACCCGAATCCGGGTGGAGAGTCCAGTATGACCCTTTTCCCGGCCTATCGGGAGAACGTGGAACTTTGACAAAACAGTCATTAAATGAGAGCGAGTGCCTGATCGAGTTCTGCCAACGTTGCTGGTTTTGACGGTAGAAAGGAAACAGATCCATTATAAACTGATAAATTTCGCTCAAGGTACACATTTTATTGTGACTTTGTTGAATAGCCATAGTTATGAGCGAGATATAGGAGTATGGCGGTTTTGCGTGAGTATAGGATCGGCGATAAGTCTTCTCGCGTGCCCTATTTAGCGCCTGCATGCGTTCCATGCTCATGGGTGACATACTACCCGGTTGAGGAGCCATCATTGAGCCTGGAGCTGAGGGAGACGCTCCAAACGAGCCGTTCATCGGTGAAGCCATTCCTCCGCTCATCATTCCCATGCTGCTCATACCGGTCATACCGCACATCGAGTTCATACCTCCCATGGCACCCATTGGTGCCTGACCATGATAAGACATAGAGGGCGGCATTGGTGCACTCATAGGAGTAAGGTTCGGCGTAGACATAGGAGAATATGAGGAATACGTGAGTGTATTCGAAGCGCCTGTCGAACTTTCATAGGTCGGCTTTGCCGTCAGCATTCTATAGGCCTAGATAAAAAGTCTTTCAAAGTCCGAGATAAGCCACGTTGTCTCTTCGAAGTCCGAACGTTATTTGCCGCGACACAAGGCGAAGCGCCATTCAAACGTCATAGACTCCGCCTTACACTTCCTGTAAACAAGGTAGCCAATCACTGACCAGAAACTATGCTCCTCCCAACCAATGAGAAGCTTATTTTAACGTACTGCATTTCTCTTTCCTTTTGAAAAAGAACATTTGAAAAAAATCTAAATCTTAGTTGACCATCTTTGTTGGCCAATAGCAGCTTATCAGGACGGAACCTTAATATTACTTGCTATTATGTATTCGCCTGCGAAGACAATGGCGATAATATAACTGATATGAATAAGGAATGGCACGAAAAGCGTTTCCATCCCTCATACATTCCTAGTCGGCTGCTAAATCCGCGTCGGTTCAAGATCAAAGGCGTTTTAACAATGAAACGACTTATCTCAATATGCTCGTAATAATGATGCGCGCGAGCGTGCAATTTTTATTCGCGCGTAGGCTATACTCAAAAAGAAAATATAAAGTGGAAGCGATAGAAAAAATACGGACAAAAATCGAACAACATTCGCCCGCACACAGTCTCACGATAGCGAGGCTTTTGGCGCTTCAGTGCAAAATGTGACGAGGACGTGTTTGCCAGGTAAACAGCAATCTAGCGAGGCTTTTGTTCTCTTGATGGTGTAGCCACTCGCGGCTATATAGGCTCGCTTATACGCTATAGAGAATAGCTGCAACTTTCATCAACAAACCAGGTGCGGTCATTGTTTGCAAAGTTTCGTGCTGCCATCTGGCGAAAGGGCAATCGAAACATAATGATGATAAGGACGAAAATCGGGTGAAGATCACTCCGCCAACTTGGATCAATTGAGGCCAGGGGCAGGTGTGGCGAAAAGCTCGCATTTGAGAGTGCTTTTCCGCCGCATTGTAGCCGCGACTTTGGATTAGCGGCGAGTCGCGCAGGTGCGACGTCAGCAACGTGTCGTTTGTCAAGCGTTCGCCATCGATCTCACTTCAGACTAACTAGACGTCAGTACTTTGAACTAGCCGACAAGAAAAACCGCTCCACCCAAATACGCCTATAACTTGTACTATAACGCCCACATACTTTGGAGGGAAGGTTCTCTTCTAGAGTTATCTCCCTTATTTAAAATATCCGCACAAAATGAACCCGTTCTAAGGGCGTTCAACTAAAGAAAATAAGAAAAATAATAGAATGAAACTGACAGAGAAAAGTGTGAAATGTGAACAACAGAAATCTGTCTATACACGCTCACCTGACGACATATAAAAATCGAAGGCGATCAATAGTCACAAGATATTGGTGTGTCTCAAGGAAGAAGCTTTTGCTCTGCCTCCTCGCCGCCGAATGAACGTTGTTTATTTGTTCGCTCCCGCTACGTTCGAACATTTTGTTGACATTCGAATTTACTTGTTGTATGGAGGCGACGGAGAATGCTGTTTAGCTCAGGCAAACAGAACCTTCACAATTCTTTATTTGTAAATTACGCCTCATTTACTTATATACAGAGTCGAACCAATTGACGCCGTTTCGCTTTTCTAATCGCCGCAATGTGTACAGTCGTAAAATTTTACAAATCCGCCTATTTCCTCGTTTGAACGATTTTGACGTATACAAATTGATATTAAATGGGAACATTGTTATACGATCACTACAATCATAATAACAAGATTTTAACGTCAGCCATATAACTATTTATTATGTATAACAAATACTAGTTAATTACATTGGTTACATATATAAATATACTTGAAAGAAAAAAACAAAATAACAACAATAACAATAACAACAACAAATACAATTACATTTATTTAAAAACAATAAATAGTTTACTATACTCTCAATATTCTTAATAAACACAGTATACTCTGTGTTTGTTGTATTTGTAACGATTAAGTAAATTTTTACAATAGATATTTAAGGTTTGCTATAAGATATTAGATGTATAAATATACATAAAAAGAGACTTATATACTGTATATAAATAAAAAATATGTACTCTGTATATATATATCTGTTCCTTAAACATTTTTACTTTGATAAACTCTCTTTTCTCTTCCTCCCTCTCCACTTTATTCATTCTTTTTCCTTTGAGAAGATTAACGTGTTAAAATCGCCACATCAAATAATTGTAGAGATGTTCTTAAGGTTCAGGCCTATTAAGAGTACAATAGCGGCAATAAAAAGAATCTGTGTGGCTCACCTAAGGTCCAATGATTTGATAAGAAATGCAAACAATTTGGAAAATAGTACGTTTGAAAGGCGGTTAGAGTGCGGCTTTCATGCCTGGCTGGCCAAAGAAGGATGCGAGGAGAGGCTAGGGGCGGGAATGAATTCCTAGCGGCTTTTTTAAAGAAGTTTGTTGCGTTATTTTTTTTTTGCTAAGATTCTCATTTTTTTCGTCTATTCAAAGAATAAAAATCGATTAAGAGGAATGCATAAAATATTTATGGAAAAACTGGTAAGAAGAAAAAAATTGAATAATAAAAAGTAGGTGTATATATAATTTATAATGAAAAGGAGTGAGAAAACGGAGAAAGACAGAGAAAAGGACAATATCTGAGGAATTAATAGAATAATAAAGAAATAAAGTACCTAACCGATATCTTTTTTTATATGTGAAAAAAAAATAAAAGCGAATTAAGGATTAAGGTCAGAGCAGTCGTATTAAGAGCGAAAAGATATGGGCTCTCACAATAATAATTGTCGTTCAAGCCGAGACTTGGCTTATAATAAAAACTAACGGCGCCTAAAACGTGTAACAACGGATTGAAATCGGCACGAGTCGTCTTTAATCGTCCGCCGGCTCATTTAATTAGCGTCAAACTGTTGACAAACGCATCATCGTACTATAAAGACAGTGTAAATTTACCGCGCCAACAAATTGCAAATATTAGCAATGTAATTTTCCTTACAATCAAACGCGTACATTATGAAGACGATTGTTTGAGTTTCTATTCAAGCTCTTGTTTGTATGAGCTATAGCCTCGGTCAACAGACACTGTATGCAGGTTTCTTACGAATAATTATCGACAGTATTTAACGCACTGCTCTCTTTTTTTTTGCATTCAGAAAATGGCCGTAGGGTAAGGATTTAGGTGCTCGCGTCGCAGGTGTTCAACGTTCACACTTCATTTCATAAGAACTCGGCCACCCGTTTGCTTTACTCAACCTATAGACAAACTCTAAGCTTAGGCCTTTGTAAACAAAATGTCCACTCGCCATAAACGGATTACTTCAGTTATATTCAATCTTTTACTGTGTTACTCTAATACCACTCTTAGTATATACTCTTTTTTTTTCATTTTTTTTTATTCATACGCTACTCTTTGCAGTATGAAGCTATAAAGGAAATCGAATTTTACAGATGGCCGCGACTCCTATTGCGGTATATGTTTGCTCACATGTATAATGCTTTACTGTACAATGCGACGCTTGTTGTTTTTTCATTCAAAGTTTCACGTTCAAAGCAACAGTTTTACAAAGCGGGCAACTGTTCGAATTGGATTAGCGCAATTCGCTTCGCTTCGGGCAAAGGCGGGAAAATAGCAGCCTTCTAGAACACTTCCGGACAACTACATTTTCCAAATGGTGAACGATTAGCGTATAAAGGATTCAGTGGGGCATAATTTCTATTAAATTAGTTGTTAAATAGTCGTATTATTCACCTTAGTAAGAAATGGTAATCCCGCATCAAAAATTTTTACAAATTCTATGACCACATTGAATGGTAGTACTGAGAAAGAGATTCATATGCTTATTTTACAATACTATCAGCTTTTTCTTTCAAAGGCTTTAGTAGTAATTAGTTGTAGAATGGGTAGAAAACATACACTCTGAATATAAGAAAATACTATCGGTAAATAATCTGATAGAAAGAAAGAAAGAGAAAGTTGAAAAGGAGAATAAGGAGGAAGGGCGTTCAATTATAACGAACGCTGGTGTTCAATCATGAATATCGACGTCTAATCCTTTGCTGTAATAGTGACGCCATCTGTAAGTCGTCTACAAATGTAATATAAGTTTCTTCTTTAAATAATGTGTGTTACACCATCTGTCATCCGTTTCATAAACTCTTAAAGGATGACTGAGAGATCTATCGACTTAACAAAAACACAGACATTAGAGTTGTGCACTTCCGAATAGGTCGACAAACCTAAAAGTAAGAACCAATAAAAAATCAAGGCTGATCAATAAAAATCGACGTTGACCCGCTTAATTTATCGAGGACATCTTGAATTTAACGTTAGCCGACCACGAAAGGAATAGGGGGTGATAAAAGGTGAAGAAGGAAGTGGTGGACAATGGCGGATTAGTCAGAAGAGGGGAAAAGTTATATTTACTCGTTCTACGCTTATACGAGGTCAGCAAAGAAAAGAAGTTAAATCTGAATGACGTCATAAAAATAAAGCCCGAGAGGGTTTTTTTCTGCAGTACTTAACGAAGCCGGAGTAAAAAGCGAATAAAAGGACAAAGAAATGGGGCGATTTATTTAAAAGAGAGAATGAAAAGAAACAATTCTTTGGTGAAGATTTTGAATAAAAAAAAAAAAAGACAAATCAATAATACTTTTAAAAAGGAATATAAATACATATTTGAATATCTAAGTATGTGAATAATTGTGTAAACTTTGATACAACATAAAAGATAATGTATATACCTAAATAATTAATGATGTTACGTAAGATTGCCCGTACTAATTGGAGAAAAAATCGTAAACAACCATTTAATTGTGCTTATACTAAGGCCTATGACCCACAAATTTATAAGGAAAATAAGAAATATATACCCATAAGGGAACGGGGTTATAGCAACATATCCAATTTGATTAGGACTAAAGAGACAAATCCAACTAAGGATAGAACTCTTGGAACTGTTAACTGCCCACTCGCCTCGACATATTGTGTTGATAAATTATTCAACAAACAATTCAAACATAAACAAACTTCGCCACGAACGAAGGCGGCTAAGTCATGGGAGAACTTATTGAAGGTTAATCAACCGAATAGAGCGATTGCCCTGGGTAAGCCTCGGCGGGAAAGTAATCTTTATCCTCTAGTTATTCTCACCTGTAAAGAATTGAATGATGTAACCACCGATCGAATAATTAAAGAATTTCAGAAGAAAACAGATTTGGAGGGTTGTTTAAATTTAAATAAAGATAATGGAAAGATTACTAGAGAAATAGCTAAAGAATTATTAGATCATTTAACTGTTATTGCAAGATCGTCGAAAGATAAAATTGAGCATAAAGTTCCTGAGCGAGCTATTCAAAGGAAATTGAACAAATACACGCAAACTCTATTGGAAGAAAACGCTCAAGGCGACCAAAAACCAGATTATTTTAATAAAATGCGTAAACGGAATGAAAAGAATATGAGAGAGAAGGCTAAAGGTGATGACGCAAGAGATGTAAACTTTATCTGGAATTCGGAGGATGAATTGAAAAATTGCGAACGGTGTGGCTACACATGCACGGAAATTTGTTCAAAGGAAATCGAGACGTATGAATGTTTGTCTAGTGAACACAAAGCAGGAAATTATGTGAAACGACATCGTTCGCATTCTGGCATATCGACTAGCAGTCAAATTAGCTCGACGGAACTTAATACATCCGCCGACGGCAAAATTGACAAACTAACCAATCAAAATCAACGAAAAATAAGTAGTAGGAAACGAATTTTTAAAGATTTACTGCCCAGAAAGATGAAGTACAAACAATCAACAGAACATCCAATATATCGTTGTAATTGGTTTCCCTCAATGGAAAAAGAAAATCGCTTGTATAGCGTCCCTTTTCGGTTTAATTTACTTAAAAGACGAATGAATGACGCGTACCTATCAACGGCTCTAAGGAATTTTATTGAACGATTAAAGAATATTAACCCGAACAATAACAATAGCAATAATCGCGGTCATAATCATAATCGTAATCGTAATCATAAACAACAAATGACTTTAGAATGGCTGCTGACACCTGCTAACACCTGCAGCAATAATCATCAACGATTACGTTCTCTATGCAAATCGGTTAGGCAACGTAGACGGGAAAGGTGCCCGAAAAATTCATCGTTTGACGAGGTGATGAAATCCAGAAGATGGCGTTATAGTGGAGATGAACCCTGGAATGGTACAATTGATTTATTGCAAGTACCTAATCAGTTAAGAGCAGTAAATCAAAAAGATTTTATTCAAGAGAGTGAGATACTCGAGTCAATTAGAAGTTTGAATGATTTATTTCAATATGGTCAAAACAATAATAACAATAAAGTGAATAGTAGTGATCCTCAACCCAATAGCTCAAAGGACGAATTTAGTATTAAACCCTCTAGATCGGGCTTTGTTGAAGAGATTATTGCACCCGTTGAGACAAAAACAGATTATAAGCAAGACGAAGAAATACTAACAAAAGTTGCCGCCCAGGAGGCAAAAAGGAGATTATCACGTTGTACTTCAACTCGAGAAGAAGAAATCCAACCCTCTAATTATCAGCCAACGAAAGTGAAAGATCTTATTATTGGTCCTCTCGTTGATTTAGAATCAGTTTGGACTCAACAACCAAATTTAATTAATAAGAATAAATCGTCTAGTATATCAAAAATTCATTGGCCAAAAGTAATAGACTCTCTTGATATTTATAAAGTGAAATCTTTTCAGAAATTCTCTCAATTTCAAAATCGAGCTCTGAGTTCGGACGAGCAATACGAAATGGATTCAAATATTAAGCTAAATGAGCTTAGGTCACCGTCTATTAAGCATGCGTCTAACAAAACGACAGATGGAAACAATAGAATAAAAGAGGTGCTAAATAGAATTTTCGATGATGTCAAATCAACACTTAAATCTCCCGAAGCTTATCAACTAGAGGAAGATGGAATTGTTCGTCACGTTATGAATAGATTAGAAGCTAAGAAGCATTATTTAAATAACGGAAAGCAGGTATTAGACGAAGAAGAAGAGCAAAGTTCACACTTGAATCGAGAAAACGCTACAGAAGAGGTAGAAAATAGCCCTAAAGTTACCGCCTCTTTTATACAAAATTTGATTGATCAAGCAGAAGCGAACTGTATGAAAAAAAGGCACTGTCGAAGTAAATGTAAATGTTATCAACATCAGCGTCAACTTGACATTTCTCCAACAAAGATAGAAATAATTGTTAAACAGGAAACTGACGGTGGAGAAACAATTAAACCACGTGTCGTTGATTTAAAACCCACACAACCGCCAGCTATTCATCAGTTAAACGATACTGAATCGCAAAATCGTCAATTTAATCAAAATGAAACCTATCTAAATCATCAGCAGTATCTTTGCACAAACCCGAATCATATTCGCTTTCAACGTCCTTTAGCTTGTCGGATGTCAAACGGTAAAAAATTTTGGCGGAAAATCTTGAACGAATGTCGGAAAGAGGAGAAAAAGAGAAGATCAACGGGAAAAGAGGAGAAAATATTAGACGAACTAGAAACTATTAAAAAGCAATTAATTCATATGAAAATTAAATTTATGCATAAAAGATCCAAAAAAATTGAAAATTGGTTGTGGGATCAAAATAATTCAAACATTAATGTCATATTAACAGAAAATGAACAGCCTATAACAACCGGAAGTATGGCAGACACACTTGAAGAAGAAAGACATAATAATATCAAAGAAAAATGATAAATAGAATGTAGGAATAAAACATAAACTAAAATAGTGTATCAATTATCCTTTGAGAGTGTTTTTCCTTCTTCTCTCGCCCCTTTTGTAATTTTCATATATTATGTAATTGTTTTAACAGTTTTTGCGCTTTAATCACTTAAATCGTTGGGAAAAAGTCGACTAACAAATCAAAAGTTTACATCTAATTATCGTTTACTTAATTAATTACATCCCTAATTCTTTCTTAATTAAATTTAGGTTTTGAAACTTTATACTATTCGCATATACAGAGCATATATATTAGTATATATATATACAGTATCTATATGAAAACGCTATTAATATCTTTTTTTTTTTTAAAAAAAATCAAAATTAAAAATTCTTTTCTTTTTGATTTCATTCATTCTTCCCTTAGTTTCTTAGGCCAAATCGAAAAGAGAATAAACTTAGTTTAAGAATATATATAAAAATAGAAAGCGAATAGAATAAAAGGATTTCTTTTACGCTTCGAACTGATACTCTTTGTGTAAAGTGCAAATAAAAAATACTTGTTATACTGAGAAAAAAGAAACATATTCTTAAATTACCCTAAGTATAAATTTGATTTTGTCATTGGCCTATAATCATATTTCCGGAATTACAAGTAGGCTTAATATATCTTGAAATAATGTAAATGAATAATTAGTAATATTAAGAGGGTAATAAGTAATAGTAGATAAGTAAATAATTTTTTTCTGTACGTTAGAATATATGTGCAACCGGGTAGAAAGTTGTCAATATGTACTTAATACAGTTTATATCTGGTTATAGATTATCACGGACATCTTCTGTACCGGTCTCATAGATCGTCGCATTGATACTTGGAAAAAGGAAGGTTGTGATTTGTTTGTAAGATATTCAATGGAATATGAAAACTTTGTTAATTTCTAAAAAGCGTATTGTATTGTATTTCTATAAGAGGCATTAAAGACTGTTTATATAAAAATAAGTGAAAACAAAAAGATGTAAAAGATGTTATTGGTTTTTTAGGAGAGGTAAAGTGAAAAAGAACGATGGAAGTAACAATGAATACATTTTATATATTTGGCAACAGAAACTAATAATATTAGTTATCATTATTAATTAAGGAAAGGTGAATGAGTAAATTATTAACAAACTGTGTAGTTACAAGCATATACATTTGAAATGATTTGTATCTCTGTACGTACTGTTTCAGCTTGATTCTTTACAACTCAAGTCCTTAGGCATGTAATTAAGAGCAAACAGGAAAGTCACTTGCCTGTGAGCCGCCATTGACACTCGTCTTTCCATAAAGTTTTACCACAATAATTTACTTTTTTTTATAGATCTTGGTTGCTGAGTAAGTTATTTTTTTTGTTATATTAATTTTCAAGTATTTAATAATTTCTTATCTTTTGATGATAAAAGAAGTAAATGTTTGACTTGTTACGCATCGTTGCTAATAGTTTATAGGGTAAGAACAAATGTTTTCGATAAATATCTATAATATGTATGTATAAACAGTATATACTGTGTATATTGCATACGGTTCATAGGATTTGTACTTTGGTTATGAGGAAACAAATATATTTTCTTTCCTTTTACCAATTGTAATATTATTACTGTTATTATTATAATACTTTACCTACGTTGATAAACAATAGCTATTCGCAGAGATGTAGAAAATGGAAAATGCCTCTTTCTCTCTCTTCTCTTCTCTCTCTCACTCTATCTATCTCTCTATTCCTCTCTTCTATCATTAATTATCAATGAAATGACCGCACAATTCTTTCAATTACTATACATTTTGATGCATCAAGAATCTCTAAAAGACATTTATACTATCAATTGAAAAATCTAAAACTGGAAAAGGATTCCACAATACGTTAATGGAAATACATGTTAAGTATGTCCTTTGCAAATACACTAGAATAGAAATGGATGTATGAATAACAAATTTTTGACAAGAATGGCGCATAAAAAAAAAACTATATTGATACGTGCTGAATAAGAGAAAAGATGTTTCCAGTACAAAACAGAATTAATATTGCTATCTAAGGGACGATAAAATCCCCATTGGCAAATATACATATATAAATAACAACTGTTCTAATCAACTAAACAAAAAAAAGTATGGAATTAATTAAACATAACTTTCATTTAGTGAAATAATATTTATTATTAACCCTATCCATATACTTTATCTTAATGATTGTTAATTTTAAAAGAGAGTAGCAATCTCTTCGTTTATTCGTGAAGAGAAGGAAGAAGTGGAGAGAAATGGAGGAAGAGAAATAATATACATCGTCGAGACTCCGAAACCGGAAACCCAGAAGTACAAGAGAGGGAATAATATGAGACAGCTTTAAAAATTTGTTCTATTTAGATAAAACAAAAAATAACACATATGATTTAAAAAAAAGCATAGTTAAACGATAATCTAAAAACTCCATTTTACTTTCAATATATGAAGTAGAAAAACTATGCTTCTATTTGCTAAAGAATACAGTTTTTTTGTTTGAAAAGAGTGACCCTTTCAGAAAATTGCATGGTTTAATCAAAAACCATACTGCATATGACAAGTATATAGCTTAACACTAGTGCAATACCTGTCTACCTTCATTCTTCTCTCATTCCATCTTTCACTATATATGTGTATAGGGTATATTTATATATGAATGTAAATATATATATATATATATATTTGATAAATAAATATAACCTATTTCTTCCATTCTAAATGTGGAGGAAAGATGTTTCAGCTTTCTTTTTTTTAAATACAAGCAATGTCTTTTTCTACGTCAACCTTTATCATATATATATAATAAATTTCTATATATTCAGATACCCGTTGACGTCTTATTTTTCAGGTCTTGTGTTCTCTAACACCTTTTTTACTTTCCATCTCTAATTATCCTTTTTCCTTTCTTTCCCGTCCCATTTTTCCTCTTCTTTCCTAATTTTCAATACTCCGTTTACCGCTTCTCTTATTTTCATCATTAGTTATTCACTTAGAGAGAGATTATAGATAGTCGACTCATTACATCTTAAAAAGTAACAAAAGACTTTCTGATGGAAACATTTTTCCCTTTTGTTATCATATGTAACCTTTTGTCTGATATAAAAAATTTATAAGTCCGCTAAATAGTTCAAAGTGTATAGTCTTTTAAAAGGAAGATAAAAGTCTAATTTTTTTTTTATTATCAAAGAGAGGCGTGGTATATAGATTATATATATATATATATATATGTATATGTATACATCATCCAGCGTACGTGAGTAGTGTAGATGTCAAGTAAGTATAGCTGAGAACGCAAATCTATATATTTATACGTATGTCCCAACAATAAAGAATCTTATCCAATCCTTAAGTGATAGTAACGCATCATATTTCTGCCTTGTTTCAGATATGAACGGAATACTGCTCCTTTTGCTTTTTAGAGGGATGCTTTCGTCTTCAACGCAAACTATTGATGGTAATAGTTTTAAGCTTTGAGTCTTCTTAAATTTAATATTATTTCTCCTATCGTCTTTCCAATATTTTTCCTTTGCAATTCCTTTAATAGAGCGATATCAAAAGGCAAAAACTGCGTTAGAGTATGTTGAACGTGTTCGAACGTCATCTTGTAACGGTGGTACCGAAGAAACTTTACCTGTTTCGTTTGATCATCGCATCTGGGCCGAGTACGCTCATGTCGCTATTAAAATGGCAAATTTGCTAACAAAGATTGTTATAACCAATTCAAATAAATTAGATACAACAGAAAAATTTCTATTCGATCTTGTTCGGAACAACGTCGATAACGACAGCCCTATTTTTGGTTCAGCAATTGCTGTTGAAGAATGGGTTTATCCTAAATTTAAAACTTTTTGTCCTTATTCGTACAAGAAGAAAGGAGTTTTTGCTCACGATATTTCATTAAATTACAACTACTTGAGTAACGCCACAGAATGGTATCATACACTTCGCTTCAAGAATTGGACTTCGGCTAGAGTTTCTGTTAACGAGGTAACTTATAGACATAATTCAACATCTCATAGCGCCAAGAAATTAATATACCAGCCCATGTCCGTCATGGAATATGGGCACTGGACAGCTCCGTATTACGATTGTGGAGGTGGTGATATATGGATGGTTACATATTCGAGTCCAATATTTGGCTTCAAACCCAATAACATACCCTTTTTTAGGGGAATAGCAACAATCGATATTGAGTTAACAAATATAGATATTAACCAGTGCGATTTGGAAGACAATCCTACTCGAACTACCTCTTCTTCCGTGGACGTTTTTAGAGGAACGCATAACTGTCCTCTGTCGACCACATGCGTTCCAATTCTTGGTCAAGGCTTTATTCGTGGGGCTTACAAGTGCGTGTGTTCCGTTGGCTATTACTTTCCTGATATTTCTGCATCAGTTAAATCCTACAATGGTTCGTCTATTGAGGAAGCTTTAGCAAACGCTACTAGCATAACTCAATTTCAATGTAAAAAGTGTGCCGAGGGCTGTGAGACGTGTATAGATGATTCACCATGCTTATATTCTTTCGTTCTACCTATCCGGGTAGCTCTTCTTGTTCTTGTTGTCATCTTATTTGCTTCTGTCATATGTTTATCAGCTGGAATATCCATATTCCGAAATACAAGGGTAAGATAATGATTTGATACATAATAGCATATTCCGTTATTGAATATCTTTTACATATTATGCTTTTGTTGATACATGTTTACAGGCTATAAAATCAGCAAGTCCTCTCTTCTTACACTTTATGGCCGTTGGGTCAGCCTTGATGTGTACATCAGTAAGTTTCCTTTAACCTAAATTACTAGAGTTTTTAATTATAGTCGTCAACCTGTCAATTTAGACGCTTTTCACATATCCCGAACCAACATGGGCAACGTGTGTATCCGCCATGTGGACTGAACATATCGGATTTGCACTGGCCTATGGAGCGTTACTACTTAAAACTTGGAGGTATATAGTTATATGCATTTATATTAATAGTACGTTTATTAATGTAATGTTGTTTATGTAACTTCTTATAGAATCTCTGCAATTTTTACTGTAAAATCAGCGAAAAAACTCAATTTATCGGATAGAAAATTGGCAAGAGGGTTTATACCAATTGTACTATTCGCTACAATCTTTTTAGCAGTATGGACAGGGGTTGGAAAACCTGAGGTGATTTGGTCAAAAACATCATCAGATCTTAAATTTAAAAGTTGTGACTACGGTTTTTGGGAGTATATTGCTATTGTTGGTAAGTAGTAATATAACAAATAATACAACTGTTTAATTAGCTTTGCAAGTAATCAAATAATATGCTTACATCTCTAGTTGAATTTTGTTTCCTTCTATGGGGTGTTTATTTGTGCTACATTGTTAGGAAAGCACCGAGTCACTTCAATGAAAGTAAATACATTACATGGTCCATTTACAATAACGTCATACTTGGAACTTTCATGATAATTATAGAGTAAGTAATTTTGTCTTTTTTATTAAAATAGAATGTCACTAATTCTTTTTCTTTTTGTCCATCTAGGAGGTTTATAGCCTTTCAGAGAGGTCCAGACATTATTTATTTGTGTCGATGGATCCACTTACAGGTTGCTGTTACCGGAATGTTAACGCTTATTTGTATTCCAAAATTTTACGCAATAGTTTCTAAAAAGAAGGACGATGCAATAAACAATGATAACTTTACGATAACAGGAAGAACAGTTGGTCCTATGGTATCGGCACCAACTGACGTTTTCGAAGCGGGAAAGCCTTTAAGAGATGTATCAACGCAGACCGAATCCTGTCTTATCAAAGCTAGTTGTTTTCTATTTATTATACGTTTTCTCAGTTATAACTCCATATCTCATTAAGAATAATGAGCTTATCCGCCCACACTTCTACTTCATAGAAATACTATTGATAACGTGTCTAATTACCCTACAGGTTTGCAATTCAACTACAGACAACTTTAAACTACCACTACCAGCCAATTAACTACTTTAGATGACAAACAAAAAGTAGCCACTATTTTAATTATAGCAAAAATAATCATGTTCAAATTTTTTTGCACCTATAGTATAAAGTTTAAACGTAATACAGTGACATATTTGTGCTTCTTCTTAGCCCTATTATCTTAATCTTTACCCAAACATGCTCATTTGATAGCTAACCCAAATGACTAAAGCCTTCCTTTTTATTTTATACGTCTTTTCTTTATTTTAATAATCTATTTATGATTCTTGAATTGGGTTATGCATTTCCCTCATATTCCTCTTCTTCTTCTTCTTCTTCTTCTTCTTCTTCTTCTTCTTCTTCTTCTTCTTCTTCTTCTACATATATAGTATAAGGAAAGAGCAAGAAGGAAATTGATTGGCTAGTTTGTTTCCCCATTACTAATTTTATATTTATAATCGGCTTTTCTATTTTAGTCTTTCTCCGTTGATAATTTCTTTTCATGATTAACCGATATCTCAGAGTTAATCTCAGAGAAACTTTCCTATTCTATACAACATTCTCTCTTCTTTTTTTACCTTTTTAAACACACACTATTTTTATATTAAATATATATTTAACAGGAAAAAGATTAGCAAAAACCGGAAGAAGTACTTTACGTAATAAACTCTAATATAAGCGTTTTCCAAATATTTTCTTAGAAGTAAACTAAGGTTCTTTAATAGAATCTGTTATATATTAAATAATCTTATCCTTAAAAAAGGCTTTTAATTGAACAGATAGTTCTTATCCAAAAAAAGAATGAATGGTTAGGTAAATAAGTTGATTATTTCATAGAATATTTGACCGGAAGTGCCTTTTATGAAAGATAATGAAGACAATTATATATCAATAGCAATTCAAGAAATTTATCCGTAATTTTTTCTCTTTCATACACGTTGAATAGAGTTTTCTCGTTAACCCAGACATATCAATATTTGATATCTTTACCGGAAATGTTAATGGATATATCCCGAATAAAATCAAATATCTACTAGTAAAAGATTTTAGGTTAAAAGGTAGAAATATCTTGTGCATAATTCACTTTTTCAGCAATATTCTCTAGCTGAGAAATAGCAGAAGAACAGGAAATATAGGTCAATTTAGTATGAAAATGATCATTGAAGGATATACAAAAGAGAACTTCTATAGTGTCAGAATTAAATTAATCAATTGTAAAGTGAAGAAGACAATATTGTAATGATAATATAAAAAAAAATGCGGTATAGTAGAAGAAAGAGAGAGAAAAAAAAGAGCAAATGGAGGCTGTGGGGGGGAGGGGGAAGAGGGAGGGGATCGCGACTATGAAATTATTAAAACATTTCCAATTCACTTCACAAATACGTTATTAAGAAGAAAAAGAAATAAAGAAAGATTATAAACTTCTTAACTATAAGCTTTTTCTTTTTAAATGAAACGTTTCTTTTGTATAAAATAACATTTTAAACAAAAAGTCATATTATGAAATAAGATTACTCTTATATTAAATAGAGAATTCTTTCTATCCTACTCTAGTAACCTCGTAATTATTCCTAACGAAATTTCACCCATCAATTGCCTTAACTATATATCAAACTATAATGACAAGAACTATATGAAGCATGCTCTGTTTATATTCGGGAAGAAATGGGAGGGGGTGGGAAAGAATAGACGCGAGAGAGAGAGAGAGATATTACCATTAAAGAAAAATAACTTATATTGAAAGATTAAAACCTTCCGAACTAGTTAATTTTCTCAATGAAATAATATATGTCATTGTTATCTTCTTGGTAAAAATTTCAAGATTAGCCTTAATATTTGATTATTTATAATTATTTTATTTTTCTCTATTGTATTATTCAAAGATTTAAAAAGACACTTTTATAATATTAACCGAATTCTTTCACGGCTTACTTGAATGAATAGGCTACGCTACCTGTATCATTATCTTACATAGTGAATTGCGGCTCCATCTATATTCTGGAATAGTAACTAAAAAGAATATTTTGATATTTTGTATCTGGTTGAGTCAGTAATAATAACGACGAAAAAAGTCGATAATTTTTTTCTTTAAAAAAAAAAAAGAATTTTCTCATGAAGAATATTTTTTCTTAATTTATTTCGAGTTTTAGATTGGATTAATCGCTTTGTTAAATAATAAACGGCTAACTGTTTAAGTACCGATATACAATAAGTCATTGAGGCCCATAGGTGATATTCTTCATATTATTATTATTTTTGGACAGAACTAATGGATTTTTGTTATTTTTTCCGAAAGAAGCATTTTATATAAAAAGAGATTACTAAAAAATTTGCACATCTACTAAAACCTTTATAAACAATTAATTGTAAATAGATTCTTTGTAGAAACAAATTAAAAAACATACGTATAACATAACTTGTCAATTAATTAATACTTGGCAATAAATACTAATATTACATATTTAATTACATAAACAAACTTTTAAAGAGTAAAAGCAAAAATAAAATATAGTTATTTATATATTTTCTTTCTTTATAGTTCAATTCAATTAAAAAAACGCGGGAAGGTATGCAATAAAAAATAATATATACATTAACAAAACTATAAATGACCTAATGACCTTGCTAATATTAATTACTACCCCACCAAAACCAGGCGGTTATAACCACGGATTAGATTTAATCAGTAATAAGTGCGCAAAATATTCTTCTTAAAAAAAAGACGTCAAACAAGAGTAATAAACACAAATTCACTATGTTAAATGAAGAATGCGATAAAAAAATTAACGAATTAACAACTGAAGTAATAGATATCAGAGAAAGTATTGATATAATTTTAAAAGATATTGGCGAAATACCAGAATATACCAAAGGTATTATATACTGTAATAGCTTTCTTTAAATATTACAATTAATATGATTTTCTATAAGCAACTGGTGATGTTGTTCAAAGTTCAAATGGATCGATTGAAAAAAATCTTTTACCCGTTTTTTGTCAAGAAATTGAGAGAAATGACGAAGAGATTAGAGAGCCAAAGACTACATTTAGAGCCTTTGAAAAGAAGATTCATGAATATAAAGATAACTTATCATCATTGAAAAAAGAAATTATTATGAAAGATTTAATTATTAAAGAACAAAGATTACTAATTGAAAATTTACGTAATACTTCCTACGATGGTACCTTAATATTTAAACTGGACAAATTTGAAAGTAAAAAGAGACAAGCCCAAATGAATAAACTGACGAGTTACTATTCTGTTCCTTTTTATACGAGTCGGACAGGTTATAAAATGTGTATACGAGTTTATCCTAATGGAGACGGAAATGGTCGAGGAACACATTTATCAGTCTTTTTTGTTGTAATGAGAGGATCTTTCGATGCTCTACAAAGATGGCCGTTCAACAAGAAGGTGACTTTTATTCTTTTAGATCAAACTGATCGGGCTGAGCATGTTACTGATGCATTTCGACCTGATCCATCTAGTAATAGCTTTAAAAGACCTACAACTGAAATGAACATTGCAAGTGGCTCTCCAGTTTTTATTTCACAGACCATTTTGGCTCAAAAGAAAGACCAATACTTGAAGGATGATTGCTTATTTTTAAAAGTTTTAGTTGATACATCATCTGGATAAGTTTTACAAGTATTACTTAATTACTGTTAATGAAATATATATATTTAGTTATACATATCTAAATATAGAAAATACACAAAATATCAAAAGAGTTTAGAGTTTCTTTTTTAACAGCATGCATATACATTCTTAATTGGTTGCTTTTAATAAGGCAGATATTTTCTGTGAGTGTAGACTTGAAATTGCTCATATCATTGTACATCTTATTTAGTTTTGCTTGATTTTTTTTAATTCAAAGCAAAAGACTTAAATTAAATTGTTATTACAAAGTTTTAATATCTAAACTGTATGCTGTATATTTTATATATTAATTATTGGAAAAAGTATGTTTGTAAACTAATTCTAATTATTTTAGCTATAAAATCATTATTATATACTCTTTGGACAGTTTTGTTATAATCTTTATCTTTGATTTTATCTGTTAAATTTGATATTTCACACTTTTCGTCAGTTTTCATAGTATTTTTGCTGTTTTGTTTTAAAGTGAATGTGTAATTTATTTGTTGGAAAGGAAAACCAGAGTTATAAATTTTATCCATTGGTTAAAGTCTCAATTGGTTTTTACCCTTGAAAATCATTGGAATGCTTGTTTAATTGTGAGCAGCTTGAAGGTAAGATTTATCATTTGTCTATTATTCTTAAGGAATTCGCCAATATAAATTAACCTAATAACTTACTAGTTTGGTATAGTATACATCTATGTTTTATAAAATAGGAACTACAAAATGTTCTTCTTTCGTTTTCAAGAATAAATATTATTGTAGGCATAGCTAATTTATACTGAATTTGTTACGATAGAAGACGTAATAATGTCAATTTATTTATCAATTTGGAAACATAGATTAAAAAAGATTTTGCACGGAAAAAGAGAACCGTGCGAAATAGTATATAGAAAACAGTTAATTAGGTAATAAAAATACTATCTAAACAGAACGATTTAAACAATTATTCAAGTAAGGTAACTATTATTATAATCTTATATAAAAAAATTATTAAAGATAACCACAACTTAATATCTTATATCCATATATATTTATATCTTAAGAGAAGGGGTTATATGTGAAATTAATGTTTGTTTAAACATTACCAAAAAATATTTTTAAATATCAAAACTACTGAAAAACGTTTAGTATAAAATGTTTTATTTTTTCATTATAATAAATGCTCCTAGGTTCGATTTTGAAAAAATACAAATTATTTAACCATATTTCCGGTAGGACTAAAGTTAAGCAAAAACCACGTTTTCAAAAGGTTAACCAGGTAAAAGAATAATCACAAAAAATGATGTTTTCTATGTTAAATTCATTTGTGATTAACCACTTTTTTAATCTTTACAATTCTCATACAGCTATAATTTCTTCGATAATAAAGAAAATTTTGAATGAACTGTGAGTGCCATAGTATTTATTATGGCCACGTCTGATGCCATTGCAACTGCTCCAAATTCTGGCTATCCAGCTTCTATAATAGTGAACAAGGAAGAATATGATTCAGAAAAATATGCTTGTCCAGTTTGTAATAATTTCATAAAAAATGCTATTCAAATATCCTGTGGCCATCGATACTGTGAAAATTGTATTGAATATTTAAAGTAAGATAAGGATTACAGTGCGAAAACGATCAAAACTAATAATTCATTTAATAAAATATAGATCGAATAAGCAGGAACATTGTAAACGTTGTATAGATGATGGAGAGCCCATTTCCGAAGAGATATCCTTTCGAGATGTAAAGCAGTACCTCTTATTATACCTAATCACTTGATACAAAATGATTTTATAATTTACTATCCCATAATTTACATAGGCGTTTCCTGACAAGGCGTTTCGAAGAGAGATAGGTAACATTAAAAGTAGATGTATGAATAAACCATGTTCTTGGGTCGGAAGAATAAAAGAATTGGAAGTAGGTTAAAATTTTCCTTATCTAACACTACTTATTTGATATATTATTTGTGTTTAGAGTCATCAACAAGCCTGTTCATATAAAATTGTAATCTGTGAATGTGGACAACATATTCAACTTAATAAATATGATGATCATAGAGCAAATGAATGCATAAAGAGAAAAACTATATGCGATTTATGCAAAGATGAATATATTTGGGAAAACAAACAAAATCACTATGATAATGACTGCCCAAAAATGACGGTCAACTGTGATTTATGTGGAGAGAAATTAATGAGAGACGAGGTAAGGATATTAAATTGTATTAGAAAATATACATTTTTTGGTAATAACTTTACAAAACTATAGCTTTCATCTCATCAAGATAGTTTAACGGGATCTTGTAAGAGAGACCTGGAGCCTTGCAAATTTAATAATGGAACAACTCATAGGATATTTGTAAGCAATAAGAATAACTATAGCCTATGAAATGTGAAATTTTATTTAATATTATTCTTCTTTTCCCTTTACTATATAATTGAATTAGTTAAAAAGGAAAGATATGGAAAAGCATTTGGTCGATGCCTGTCATGAACATATGAACCTTCTTCACGACAAACTTGCAGCTATTGATACAAATGATAATAATGTACAGGCAGAAAATCCAATTTCGACTCAATCAACTACAGAATACGATAAAAAAATTAACGAATTAACAACTGAAGTAATAGATATCAGAGAAAGTATTGATATAATTTTAAAAGATATTGGCGAAATACCAGAATATACCAAAGGTATTATATACTGTAATAGCTTTCTTTAAATATTACAATTAATATGATTTTCTATAAGCAACTGGTGATGTTGTTCAAAGTTCAAATGGATCGATTGAAAAAAATCTTTTACCCGTTTTTTGTCAAGAAATTGAGAGAAATGACGAAGAGATTAGAGAGCTAAAGACTACATTTAGAGCCTTTGAAAAGAAGATTCATGATTGTGAAGATGATTTATCTTCATGGAAAAAAGAAGTTATTATGAAAGATTTAATTATTAAAGAACAAAGATTACTAATTGAAAATTTACGTAATACTTCCTACGATGGTACCTTAATATTTAAACTGGACAAATTTGAAAGTAAAAAGAGACAAGCCCAAATGAATAAACTGACGAGTTACTATTCTGTTCCTTTTTATACGAGTCGGACAGGTTATAAAATGTGTATACGAGTTTATCCTAATGGAGACGGAAATGGTCGAGGAACACATTTATCAGTCTTTTTTGTTGTAATGAGAGGATCTTTCGATGCTCTACAAAGATGGCCGTTCAACAAGAAGGTGACTTTTATTCTTTTAGATCAAACTGATCGGGCTGAGCATGTTACGGATGCATTTCGACCTGATCCATCTAGTAATAGCTTTAAAAGACCTACAACTGAAATGAACATTGCAAGTGGCTCTCCAGTTTTTATTTCACAGACCATTTTGGGTCAAAAGAAAGACCAATACTTGAAGGATGATTGCTTATTTATAAAAGTTGTAGTTGATACATCATCTTGAGTTTTTAAAATACAGTGCCGATCACGCAATAGGAGCACATTCTTTTCTTCAACCAAATTAGTCTTTTTTTACTTTTGTAAAAATTAATAATTTTCGTATTTAGATTGCAATAAGGCAAGATTTTATTATTCTTAAAAACAATGCTGCCACTTTTATTGAGTGATTGGGACGCTGAACTTATGAGAATGCTGTATAAAAATATCTACTGTGTATTTAAATACGTTAACATGTATGCAAAAATAATTATCTACAAAATATTAAAAGAGACTAGGAAATTGTCTTTTTAATAACATGCATAAAATATGTGGGACACTCAATTTCATCAATTGGCTTAAAATCACCAAAAATACTATGTTTGGCTTCTGGACCAAAGACTTGTCTTAGGAGACTAACAAAATCAACAACTCGATGTGGATAATAGGATAAACGGAAGTGTTCCTTTCCGTCATCGGAAAACCATTTGGCTTTCTTGGATTCATCCTTGACATATGTTGATACGTCCATTGTATAGTTGAATGTTGTCATGTATGGTTTTCCATTCACATACATATTAGAACAATTTATGTCCGTGATTCTTTGGCCCTATATTTATTAAATAAGAAAAACAGCTTTTAATCATACACTATCTTGAGTGAGATTATCTTTTTTTTAAATTACGCACCATATATAAAACATTCTTTCCGAGGGGAGGTTTGCCAGTGCGCAGGATTTCATCATAATTTCGATGATCAACAATCAATATTCCTCCGGGTTTGATCAAGGAGCAGAAATTCTTCAAAGCTAACCTCTGACCTCTCTGATCCCCATCAAAATCTAATAAGTGAGCAAAAGAGTTACCCAAGCAAACAACTGCGTCAAATCCTTCTTCTGGACACCCTTTGACGTCTTCTAAATCATTTTGTAGAGTGAGCCAATTCGCTTCCTCTATTACTAATTGGAAGAAAGAAAGAAGGTATAAAAGAGTGACAGAATTTTAGACAGGAAAGTAGAAGAAAGAGGGGGAGAACGCTCATTACCCCAATTATCGAATTCCGCTTCCTTTCTTCTATTCCAGCGTTCTTTCAAGGCGTATTTAAGCATTTGATCACTAGCGTCTGTACTGATGACTTTAAAGCCCTCTTCTAATAGCATAATCGAATCGACTCTATTAAAATGAAAACGTTTACAAAAGCTTTTTATTGTACTACAGGAGAGAAGTAGGAATACTTTTCAATGACCTTTTCACATATTTCATAATTGTACTAACCCCGTTCCGCAAGCAACGTCTAGCACTCTCTTACAATTATGACTCCGTAATAGTTGGCATATGAAACTTTTATAATTTGCTGTTCTGACTTGTTTACTCCCAATATACATTTCCCAAACTTTTGCTGCTTTTCCATCAGCATACTGATCACTTAAAATATCTTTCTTCTCATAAGCTTGCTCTGTCATATCTACGATGCGAGTTTCTCATTAATCTAGTACACTATTTGTTTTTTCTTACGTTTAAAAGCATCAAACCGGATAAAACTGTCCTAGACAGGATATTTGGCGGACTTTTTCAAAAGAAAAATAAGATAAAACCAGTACAAGCCATGCTCGTTTGCTATTATAATACTACTCAATACCAGTCACAACTGACTTAATGACGTAACAGTTAAATAGGCATATTACTAAGGGAAAATTAGCGTTGTTTACTAGTTGAGAAGAAATGGATATTGAATTATGTATTAGCAGGTGATTTTATTAAAATAATTAATTGAATATGTCATTATATATACTATTTAAAATTTAAAAAACTAAAAGAACACAATCCAATTATGGGCTTTTTACGAAGAAAGAGAACAAACAAGTATGTTGAAAGAACAAGTATACAATATACTTATTAAAATAGACTTTAGCTGTAAAGAGAGACTAGTCGTCTTAATAGTGGATAAGCATTGTTTTCTTTTTCTTCTTTTTTTATCCTACACCTATATTACTCTATAATTAACAAAAGTGTTGTTTTCTAGGAATTCCTCAAATGTCGAAACGTCAACTACTACGTTGGAGAAGAGGTATTCTATTTTTCGTTCTTTTCGTTCTATTTCTGAAGAAAGACCGAGAAGAGAGCTCAAAATGACCCAGACGTATGATGAAGAACAACATACGGCCTTAGTCAACAAATGTGATGCCTTTAATCCTATCATTAAGTCGGCTATCATTAGACGAGACTCCATTAGAGACGCTTGGCATTCAGAGGAAAACTTAGTAAGAAAAATATATATATTTATAGCAAATTTATGTGTATATATATAGCATACATACTGTATATCTTTATACACATATATACAATATATTGAATGGGATAAATAGCTAAATTTAACTCTAATTAATGAAAAAAAACTTTGCATATCCCATCTTTTTGATTATTTCATGAAAGATATTAAGTTAATTATGATAGGACATGTCAAGCTCTATACTCTATTATAAAGAGAGCAATTATCCGAGACTAGAGTCTTGTAAAGGGCAAAATTCGACAGGAAATCATACAGGAATAAACTCGAAATATTCTATAAAAGCTCAGCTAGAAAGTAATAAAAATAGAATTATTTATCAATATATATATATATATATATATATATTGATAAATTTCATAATAAGGATAAAAATAACATGCTTGTTTTTTGTTTATAAAAAAAAATAATAACAATAATCTTATGCAAGAGGAAACGACTGTTTCTAAATGGCTTAATCAACCTGATATCGAATTGCCGAGTTCGATAGAGGAAGATAGGGAATCAATTGACAACAGTAATGATTATTACACGATAAGCGACAACGATGATAAATGGCCATATGTTAGTATTGATCAGAGTAAAATTTACGGAATATCTAAGAGTGCACCATCGAAATTAAATTGTAAAATATCTGCAAAAAAGAAGAAAAGCCTTCGTGATGCTCGAAAAGTAAACTTAATTGAATTTATATAAAAGAACAAATTAATTAACTTTAATTAAAATTGCTAATAGATTTCAAAAATAGAATCTTGTTTCCAAACATCGACTAAGAATAATTCTCCTGAAATAGCCATTGCGGGATTAACGCCGGAAAAGTCACAGTTAAGTGAAATGGGTGAAGAAGTCTTTCAATATAATAGAGTAGAAGATCTAGAGAGAAAGAATAATAAAATTGAAAAGGAACTTTTACAATTAAGGAAAGATGTAAATTTAGTAATGTCTATAAATTCATTGGATATAAATGCCAAAGGTGATAATGATAGAGAAGATAAAACTGATCAATTTCATCTTGATAATCCAAATTTTAAATTACCAAATTCCTTAATTAATTTGGTCGAATGTAAAAGTTCATTACCGTCAGCTGAGCAAATGTTTACGTACGAAAAGAATAAACTATTATCACTTGAACTGAATAGAAGGCAAAAGAGGCAGAAGAAAATGAATAACGATCACAAATGATTAGAAAGATTAGTGTTGATATTTTTATTATTATGTTCTCTTTTTCTCCCTATCATTCGTTGACCTCCTTCTCAAAGGGAATAGGAGAGAGAGAGAGAGAGAGAGTATAATTAATCAAAGTAAAAAATTTAACTGAAACCTTTATACTCTATTGTTTTATAACTAACAATTGAAATTAAATATCTCTTCTTTTTTTACTAACTAATGGTTCTTTCCTTGTAAAAAATTCAATTTCTTTTATATATTGTTTAATTGTTATAACACTAAAATTACCAATATTTAAAAAATCTTATTGCGCAATAAAGCTATGATTTTATCAAATATTAATTACTATGTATATAATTTATCATTAAAAACTACGTCAATTTATATTTATTAATATTTATTATTCATAAGATTATTACTCTTTTTTTATTTATTTGTTAATTATCTTATAAAGGTAATAAATATTTTGATATTTTGCTTATAAAACTCCCCTAGTTTTTTCTTTTTCCACCCTTTTTCTTCTAAGTTACTTATGCAAGAAAGAAAATATTCGTATGTCAAATTTATATAAAGAAGGCCTCTAATGAGAAAATGCTTTTAAAAGTGGAAGTATGTTCTTTAATTCTTATTTGTCTCTTAATTGATATCTGCCTAAGGTTTTTGCCTCTAACTTAATACGAGAGGTGGGCGAGGAGGCGAAAGACAGTGGGTGGAAAGAAATTTTACACAACTGTATATGTACGGTATGCATACACTTTTTATTTTTACTTATAGACATGTACATACTCTCTACGCTTTGAAACACAGATGGCAGTAGTGTACTAAATCACTAGTCAGAATCTCTTTTCAAGATGAAACGAAAACTAAAAGAAAGTTAATGGGAAAAAAGACTAATTTCACTAATTTCGTGTGGTAGAGGGCGTAGAAGTGTATAGCAAAAGGTTAAATAGAGTTGGCGAGACTTTGAATAAAGCTACGGGTCTCAATTACATCTTTAACAAGCCTATTAGCATTATTATTACGAAACAGCATAATTCCTCTACTCAAATTGCCTACTTAAAACAGACAAGAGCTAGACTTAATCGTTGCTTTAGTGTCTGGTAATATGATGGGCGTAACTTTCTTATAACAACATATGTTCGATATTTTCCCTTTTTTTGCATTTTTAATTAAATAAAGAAAAAACAATGCAGTAATGCGAAACGAGACGATATCGAGACATTAAGTTGACATTAACGTTGGCATTATCAATTTATCACCAAATTCACAAGCGGTCAACAATAGAGGAGAGAGAAAGAGAGAATTCATTGGGAAAATTTAATTTCCTATATTGCATTAAATGATAAGGGAAAAATTTCCAGGGTTTCAGGTATATCTTTATAACAAAACATTTCGTTAGATTAATCTTGATGACAAACATGGTTATTTCTTACATCTGCAAAACCCACCTGCATATCAGTAATCAAGTACAAGTACAAACAAAGGCGCATATACAGATATATATGTATAAATTTATACATATATATATATATATATATATAAAGCACATATAGCACATACACATATCACAGGGGAGCACAACACCCAAGCAATTTAGGAAATTATTTCATCGAATAAATATACCAAAACTTCCATTCTTATCAACAAATTGCGATAATAGGTAATTTAGCCGTTTATATTGTTCAAGATTCTTATCGCGGCACGTTTCCGAAATTGCAGTTATATAAGTTTTGACCGTACATTCACATACTTTTTTTTTAATATAAATTTTTATATTTGTTACTTTTTGTTTTTTCATAAAAAAAAGTAGATTTCATAAAAACCTAAACTAACTGATAAACATTAATTCATAGCTATTCATTTTTTTTAAAGCTTATTAATATATTCCTTGTTAACACAAGTCATTAGTGTAGATAATTTTCGGGTGAGGTTACTGGTAGTGGTAGTACCATGTTTTGCAATCACGCAATAAGGGGCTGATGACGCATCTCGTCTCAGGGCCGATGAATCAGAATCTATTCTTTAAGAATATGTAACACTCTCTTTCTGCTATGGAAAAGCAATGTTGGATGATTCAAAAGTGAAAAATGACTAAAACTTAAAGCCGACTCTCCTATTAGAAAAATGGAATCTACCGTTCTTTTTTATTTTAGAGCGGATGCTTTCAAAGGATTATTTGGTTATTATACAACGATTGAACAGCTTCTATAAGTTGTGGTAACAGTACCAAAAAGACTAAATCAAGCAAGATGCCTGAAACCGACCCAAAAATGCAAGATGGTAAGTTTCGTAAATAGAGCTAAAATGAATTAAAATAACTGTATAGGATAAGAAGATAGAGCATAAGAGAAAAATATAATTATGCATGAAAAGATACAAAATACTGTACATTGTACATATACGAATAGAGGGGAAAAAGGATAGACATGGTAAACGTTTATATATATATATATATATATATAGAGAGAGAGAGAGAGAGAGAGAGAGAGAGAAAGAAAGAGACAGAGAAAGAGACAGAGAGAGAGAGAGATGTAGAGACAAAGAGGCTAGTTAGTTACTGATAATCAGTCTCTTTTATACATATACATATATATATCTATATATATATATTAGTATATAAATTTATATATATATATATATATATATATATATATATATATATATATATATGTATATTATTTCCTTCCCTCACCAACGCTAACCAAAATTTATGATGTTATAGATAATATAGCTTTCTTAATATTTAGCATTCCTTACTATTTGCATTCTTACCAAGAAATACAGAAAAAACCTTATAAACTTATTACAATTGTAGATATTTACATAGAAAAAGGTTACATTAATAGACGAAAAAAGAAAGAAAAAAAACATGTAAAAATGAATGGTACATTTCGTTATATTTCCGTACATATATCGATCGATACACCACACCCCATTACTGCCACGCCTCACTTTACAAACAGGCCAAACGTAATTTAGATGTGTTATAACTAATTATATATGTATAAAGCATATAAGCAACTTTTTTTTTTCTATTTTATTCATGTTCATTTTCCCATTTTATTCCTCTAGGTTCATTAGTCATCCTTTTTTTTTTTTAAATTGTGTACAATTTTTCTCCGGTCTACTTTTTTTGTTTGTTTGTTTGCTTTTCAAATTCTTAGTAAACTTCTACATTCATTTATACAGATGTACATTTGTATACGCCGATTATAAAGGAATATTTATAGACATGTACTATATATTTGCATATGCATTTCTTTCTCTTTTTTTAGATGTTCAAAAAGACATCGAAGCCTTTGACGCAAGTAAATTAAAGAAAACGGAAACTAAGGAGAAGAACCCTTTACCAACGAAAGAACGTAATAAGATTCTATTATTATTCGTATTTTCTGTAGATTTTACCAATAAAATGACAACTCTTTACCCATTTTCTTCCTCCAACCTTTACAGAACTGGAAGAAGAGAGGAAATCGAACAAGTAATATGAAGTAAACATCAGACGACATACTAAGAAAGAAACCTGAACAAATAATAATGGAAAAAAGAGGAAAAAAAGACAAAATGTTCCTACTCCATAAAAATTGATACTTAGGCATTTCCAAAACAGCTTTTCTCTCTATTTATACTTTTAAGGGCATATATTTTTGAAATAGATCTTTTAATAAACATTTTCTTCGTATGCAACCAGATAACAACGTGTCACTTTTTTAATAAGCAAAGAGAGACAGCGAGAGAGAGAGAGAGAGAGAGAGAAAAAAAAATAGAAAGATAGGCAAATTGAAGAAAGAGAATTTAGGTGTTTTATTCGGTCGATAGATGGCATTAATAGAGTAATATTGAATCGTGGCGACGTGGTGCGGGCGCCGGTTTTCACTCTCAGACTAATAAGAAGGAGTGGCGTAGAAATACGATATTATTAAAGCTAAGCCAAGTACATGAAAGCTCATTGTTACATGATAAACTTAGGCCTTCCTTAGTATATAAGGGAATATCATTAAGTTTATGGCCTGTAGCGCAATTTGTTCATATAGGATGATTTTGTGATATTTAGTTCGCGCAGGCTGTTATAAAAATCAGGAGGAAATTGATTAAAGGCTGAAGAGTAGAGGGAAACTGTATATTTCTAGTGTAGAACGACGATGAAGCTGATCGGCGAGCGATTTTAAGCCTCTTTCCGTCGACAGTCTTTGATATATAGTATAGCTTTGGGGGATAAATAGCAAATAAGTCTGTATGTATGTGTATTAGTGTGCATGTATATATACATGCAGATCGCATTAAGTTATATTTAGTCAGAGATACGTTTTTTTCGAGACAGTCGCTATGCGTTCGTCGCTGTTAGCATCGATTTTTTTCCTGTTTTGTTCCCCGAACAAATGCGACGTCTCTTGCCGGAACAATAGGAACGAGACGGTTGATTGGTAAGTGGGATGCTAACGCTTATTAACGCTATTTTTCTCGAGTAATCGAATAACTAATCTATTTGCTCAAAGGTTCGCCGTCTACAAATTACCTAAACGCGCTCACAGCTCAGACCGGAAGTTGAAGGAAGGAAAGGCGTTCGATTATTTGGACAGTGGAAGAACTTACTGGAGGAGGAATGAGAGATCCGTTAACGATAGTCGACAACCTCTCTCCTACACCGTCGGGCAAATATACGAAAATAAAAGCGTAAATATTTGCATAATTTACGATTGTTTATTCCATTTGCGGCGCGCGCATCGTCAGCTAATTGCTTGAAAATAAAACTTATATATAGTTGTATATATATAAATTTATATATACAGTATATATATTGTTTATAAGCATTCATGAATTTGTATCTTGACGTATCATTTTCCTCTTACTCCGTTCTTTTCCAGCTACAATACATCATCTACAACGATCAGCCACCGCCTTCAGCCGAAGGTCGCCCAGCTATCGGCTGTGGACATACTAAAGGCTTGGTAATTTTTGATGAGAAAACAGCTATTTGGATTGTGCATAGTATACCTCATTTTCCGCCCGACCCTTCCCTTTCAACTAGATACGCTTATCCGAGAAGCGGATGTCGGTTCGGTCAGAACTTATTATGTATGAACGTCGACCGAAGCCAATTACCGTCGGTAATAGAACAGTTGTGGTACAATGAAGCGAATGTATACGCTTCTAACATTAAGCCAAACTATTTAGACATTAAATATTTATACGAAGTCGTTCATAACAAATATCCAGCTTATCGTTCTTCCTGCGAACGCGTCGCCGACATTTCCGGCTTTAAGACATTCGCTAAATCTAAATGTTTCGGTGATGATTTATACTCTGGTCTAGTAGCGTCAACACTCACTTCCGATCTACTTGTAAACACCTGGCAATTGGAAAAAAAGAGCGACGTTTTAGAATCAAATTGCAGCGCAAAGTATTCGGTGAAGAATGTGAAGGGTCTAAAGGTCAACAACGACAATTTTAATAATACATCCGATCATTCCAAGTGGGCGGTGAACGATGATGATTCGAGACAGAGTACCGAATATTGGACATGTATTGGTGATATAAATAGGGACAAATCTCAATTCAGAAGGGGAGGAGGGACGGTATGTAGGAGATCATACGCCCTTCATAAAGCATACCGTCAATCGATAAAGCGCATAGAAAAATGTACCGAGAAAACAGGCACAAAGAAGCGAGTGTATTGTGCGAACAATAACACAACATAACTAAAATTTTATGTTATATCGTATAATATATATGCCAAATATATATATATATATATATATGTGGGATATATACATAAGCTTTTGTAGACAATTATATCTTTTCAGAAAATATACATATATATATATGTGTGTGTATTATGTATGTATATATATAAATATACTGCATATAGTAGAAATATATATATATATATATATACAGTTTTTAATATACATATAGATATTATCATGACAGTAAAACGAATTGAATAAAAATTGAGAAAATGCACAAATTTTGTACGAAAACATAGATAATCTTGGACAGGGAATTTGTATACAATTTTTTAAAAATCTACTCGTATAAATGCTTTCTAAACTTCTTTTTCGGATATTGTTTTGAAAATATAAATGACAAAAATGTGTACAAAAATACTGTCGTTATACGCGTCAAGGATATGTACAAAATAAAGAAATAAAACAACCTGCAAGAGTTTGCATACAGTGCAAAAGCTTTTCTCTTTTCATCTGACTAGGCATTAACGGTGATATATAGAAATCGACACAATTATATGAACGCGAACAAGACGGCTAGAAAAGAAAAAGAAGAATTTCTGGAATGTCGAACGAATAAAGTAAATTTATAGATATTATAAGGAATCAAGTCGGTGAGAGTTTTTTTTTTTCTTTGGTCCCTTTTTCTTTTTGTTACGTATTAGATTCACTTTTCTCTCTCCCCTTTTCTATCATTCTCTTTTTTGTAGTGTTTTTGTTTTGCTTTTGTTTGTAAAATCCCCTAAGGCTACGTGGTTCATTTGCATCCCGATCCGGTATTTAGGTGCTCGATAAATTCACACCAGGTAGCAAAATGTTCGTTGCACATTGAGCAGGACGCCGGCCTGTGCGGATCGTGCAGCACTCGATGAATGGCTAAATGAGTGCGATCGTTGAAAATTAAGCCGCACACGCATGAGGAAGATCTTCTCGACATTAGTTCGTCGAGTAGTTCATTTGTAGAAAACGCATTTAAACCGTCTGGAGAGGGCGGTGGAGAGTTTGGCATTTCGTCTCCACTACTATTCAATTGCTCATCGACCCATGATTCTAAACAGCCGTCTTTTAATAGTTCTGCAACTGGTCCCATTTTTGCTCCTACTCCTTTTAAGGCTTTGCGTAACCTACAAACAATACTTTCTCTTCGCGCCATCTGGTGATTTTGATTAATATCGACCTTTCGGTTATTGGGCGAAGTTGGGGGTGTAGAGTCTTGATCGAGCGGCGGTAATAGGGCCGAGATTGAAGGCAACGCTTTGTTGCTAATCACGTCTCCGGGCTCGTCTATTGGCGTGAGCGGGACGCTCATGTCCGGCGGTTTGCGTGAGTTGCTGTTGGCTGCAGTAGCGGGAGCTGAGGGCGTAGATGAAGTTGGTAAAACGAGCCGAGCTCGCGGACTACAACTAGTAGTACTGCATCTTGCTGGACTAACAATTCTAGCCGCTGGACTGACAGTAAGAGGAGAGGGTGGCAGCGAATGGACGGGTGAGAGTGCAGGTCTGGCAGGGCTAAGTAATGATTTGGCTTTTGGAGATTTCAGTGTATGATAAGTGGGCGCCTTAAGAACGCTTACGATGGCCGGATGGGTTGTAGATGGAGGAGCTGCAACGTCTAAAGACTCCGAATAAGAGGGAAGTCGAGGCGCTGATTTATCCTCATCTGGTACTGGCTTTAAAAACTGATCAAAACTCGGCAATTTTAAATCCATATCTAGTGAAGTTGCTATGGGAGAGGTCGACCTTTGCTGGCCCCCCATTAGGAAAGACGCGTACTCATCATCTGGTGTAGCTGGCGTTGGTGGGGCTAGACGAGCGGAAGGACTGACATCTGTCATCTGCTGTTGCTGCTGAAAAGAGTAGATAACATTTTGAGCGTCCATGTAGCCTGGTGGGCAGAAACCGTTAGATGAGGATGCTTGATCCGGATTTAATCCATGAACGTTTTCAATGTGAGCTCGAAGTTTAGAATCTTCGGCGAATCCAGAACCGCACAGAGAACATCTTGCAGTTACAAGAGCAGTTGTATGAGGAGGAGGCCAATCCTCGCGCTGTAATTCTTCCATTGAGCCAAACACATTTTCAATATCCTCTAGTGTAGCTTCCTCAAGAACCTCTTCCTCTTTTTCGGTTTTAACTCTCACAATTTGAGGAGATGAGTCGTAGCGCCGTCGTTTAACAGACGTTTCATAAGATAGTGTTTCCTTCTTAATCGGCTTGTTGTTCGATAGCTTAAGAGGGTTTGGACGAATTCCGCTATGGCAACGTTTGTAGTGCTGATACAAGCTACTCCTTGAAGCATAAGTTCTTCTTTGATTTTCTGGACAGTCTGTACAAGCATATGCTGCTTCTGAGTCACTCGAACAGGCTCCACTATCATCAGTTGTATGAATTGGACTAGAACGTTTACGTTGTGCAGGTGGTGATGGTGGTGTATCAGCATCGTCCATACTGGCTTGTCTTCCGTTACCATTCATCGCTCTTATTACCCCATGTTGATTAGCTACCTGCGCAAGAATTTCATCCGTACTTGGTACGTCTTTTGTTCTATTGTGAACTTTTCGAAGATGGAATTTTAAAGATCTAGGTGTAATAAAATGCTCATCACACTCATCACAGGCAAATGGTCTACCCTTAACATGGTTCCTCTCGTGCTTATTCCTATTGGTATCGTCCGTGTAACAGGAGCCACAGAAATCGCATCTGTAAGGCCTTTGGCCGGTGTGGAGTCGTAGATGCGTGTTTAGATAGAATTTCGATATGTTCTTTCGGCATAGAGCGCACCAAACGAATTTATCAGCGGCCTTTGATGCTTCTTTCATCTCTTTTGCGAACGTCCGCATGCGTTCCTTACTAAGAGTGACAACGGCAGCGTCACCGTGACCTCCGTTAGTACGATGCTCCCGCGTTGTACCGAAAGCGCTCTTTGTTGGCCATGGACGGTCATTACGATGTTGTCTTCTTGAATGCCTTTTAAGAGCGGCACGTTCCATAAATACTTCATTACACGTTCGACATTTAAACGTTGCAGGTTCATTTTTCCCATTTGTCTTCTCTTGTGAGGATGATGAGGATGATGAACAACCGCCGCCGTTTCGAAGGGCTTCGTGACCCCAAACCATGTCGCTATCCCAAGTTTTAGCGGCGTGTCTGACTGGTCTGGAGGATGTCTGCAGCTGTTTTACTCCGTCTCCTGTGCGAGGTATTGATAGTGTATCAGTGAGGAGACTTTCGCACATATCCTCTTCTTCTTCGTCCTCTTCTTCCTCTCCCTCTTCGTCCAGATCTACGTCGTCGGGCAGTCGCTCGACCACAGTGAGGACAACGGCGGCGTTTGACTCAGTAATTAAATTTTCTTTTGCCGACAACTTGTGTTCATCGTCAGGCGTGGCGGCGTCTACAGCTACTGTGGACGGCGACGGTCCGTTAGACGCCAGTCGGCGCGAGCGTCGCGGTGTGACGTCACTAAAAGGGGTAGCAGTCGGGGCGTGGTGCGCTTTCATCTGACTTGCCGATGTAGAAGGCGACTTGCTGAGGCTGATGGTTGCTGCGTTTGGGAAAAAAGCATATTGGTGTATTGTTTTGTACATTGATGAATAATAGTATTGTGTATTTATAAAAATTATTCATTTTATATATGAATTTATATTCAATTGTATATGTACATACAATTTTATATAAATATCTACTGTATATATACACGCATATTATAGATATATATATATATAAATATATATATATATATATATATATAACTTTACTTGATACTGTATTTGTTGGTTACTTCATATATAGAAATTTTCTCATTTCTCAACGGAAGTATGTGAATATGCATGTAGTATATACAGTATATATATATATATGGTCTGGTTTTTTTGTGTACATTTTTATATATATATATATATATATATGTGTGTATAAAACTAACCTGCTGCTGCATTCAACGTCAATACTTTATCGTTGAGTCTGTAAAGATAAGACGAATAATGAGGACGCTTATTAGACGTCGTGTGGTGAATGCAAAAGCAACATGACCCTACCAACAACGTATGATTGTGGCGTGATCAAGTTGCAGGAGACTGGGGGGTGTGGCTGCATGTTGCCAGCAAACGCGTAGCCAGAAGACACGGGACGAAATAACTCAGATTACGGAATAATTACTTGCAAACGCAATTCAGCCTATTATGCTAATCACTTAATCGCGCTGTATATTTTTACATTTCGGCAGAGATCGTTATTTTGTCAATAATAGCCGTCCCGGCGGGCTTCAAATTACAGTAGACTAGTTTACTAAATGTATTTCCCATCAGTATTAAGCGACAAACAGGGATCCATACTTGATACTCTTGATGGTGTTACCCTCTGGCCCAGGATTTGGAATGCGGCCACCCGAAAGCGTATGCAACCTATTACCCTTATGTCACATTTAGATAAAAAATTTTTTACAGCCGGTATTACACATAAAGTATATTCTATACAGTTAGAAAGGAAATGATTGGAATACGATCGGCATTCTTCTCGCCTCTGCACTTTCGCACGATGAATAAAAAAAAGTGTAGGCCTATACATTTCCCCCTTTCAATACGCTAAAAATACTACTAATAGCAAACGGTAAATTAGCCAAATCTAACGGCGTCAAACAAGACGAGCGTCCAGTAACAACGTCGGTCAACTCCGAGTGACGCCGTCGAGGTTAAGCACGCTACGTTTAGCCGGCGGTCTTCCGACCACGTTCGTAAAAGCGTCACTGAGTACTGTTCGCCGTCACCTTTAGGCGTTTTATTCACGCCAACGTTTCTCGTTCTCTTCTCCCGGATCGTAGAAAATTACTACTAAAACGTAATAGGGGAAAAAATTTTTTTCGATCGATGAAAACGACCGCGGCGCGGAATATCAAAGTAAAAAAAACAGTACGACCGGCGCCTTCGTGAGTACGCATCGCAACGAATTTTATAAATACAGACTGATCCACGATACATATAAACGAAACAAAACTTTTAATCCGATGGAAATTTTCAAAACGGGCGGGAAATACCAGGGTTAAAAGCGCGCCAAAAAAAAACCGTCGACGAGGAGCAATGTACGCTTGGCAATCGTCCAAAAGACGTTTGGAAAATGAAAGACCCTTACCTAATCTTGAAATAGACTCGACGATCTGGAGAAGCAGCTTTATTCTTCGTAGAACACGGCATATTTCCGACTAGTTATGAAAGTAAAAACAATACTTTTGTATAGTGTAGAGCTGCTGCGACACAAGTGCGGCGAGATATCAAAATCGCGGCCTTCTCGCACGGCGAAAATAGGCCCGTTTTTTTTTTAGTTAGAAGTGAAGTAGGGCCATGGCGGCGACCGGATAGAGAATGAGCAATACTAGCCATATAAAAGCGGTGGCGACCATGCGTATAAGGCATGTGTACTTTCCCCTATTCATAGATTATGACTCACAACTAGAACCGGGTATGCCCCTTATTCAGTCACGTGATTCATAGTGAACTTTTGGAATTTTTGCTTAACAATTAGTTTTCTGAAGCAAAACCTATTAATAGCAGTAAATTTATCAACATTAAAATTATTTTTCCTTATAAATTTGTTCTAGATAGATAAGATGAAGTTGTTTTTAAAAGCATCGCTTTCTATCGATATTCTATTCGGTACTTCCCCTCAGTATTTGTCCTGTGACGTCATAACGGAAACGATCAATTAACGATAGGCCGACAACGAACAAGGCCGCTTAGAAATAAACAGGCGAAAAAATATTTTTGTCGAGAAAATAATGATAAGCGTAGCTGAGTTGCAGATAACATTGTTTACAAAGTACATTGTCGAGACTACGTAGTCCTCTTTTTATGCCATCGAAGAAGGGAACTTTTTTATTATTATTATTTCTGTTTCTCTTCCCTAGTTATTCTTTTTTATTAAAAAGAAAAAGCCTATTTGCATGCGGAAGAAAAAAAAAGAGTTTTGGCCCGATGAAGTCAGGAAATCATTAGAGAATCTCGTTTCATTTCGCCATCGATAAAAGCTAATTGCCAGAATCGACATCAAAGTGACTGAGTCGGCGAACACCAGGTGGCGTAGCCGAAAATCGACCAGATGGTGCGCGTCTTCTACGATTATGATTAGTCTATAGTGGAACTAAAAAGAGACGCACTGTATTACTTAATTAATCCTTGCCTAAAACCCGAGGCCAAATGACATCCTGATAAACGCGTGACTAACGGAAAAGAAACGTCAGGCGTGTTTTAAATAAATGTGTATATAAACGTAATGATATTATGTAAAGGCGTACATGCAAAAAGGAAAAAGAACAAACGTGCTAATGCAGCTAGTGGAGGAGGTTTATCGCGTGATAAACGCCTTCCGTGCGTAGGCCTAGAAGGTTCCAAAAAAAGCACTATAGGAAAACAAACAAGATTCTTTCTTTTTTTTAAAAAACTCTACGGCTGCGTGGAAGGCGTTTTATCAAAGCTCGATTAGACGCTAGGAACGGGCGAAAGCGTCGAGCAAGACGAGAGGAAGTAACGCCTTGATCGACTCTAACGACGCACGAAGCCTATTTTATGCATCGTCCGTTTTTTATCCGCCTAAAACATATAATGGATACAAGAAAAGAATAATCGTTCGTCGTATGTGTACATTGGATATACAGACGTAAAAGGGTGGATGTAGATAAAATATAAGTAACAAGTTTACCGTCGCGGTACACGAAAGACAAAGGAAGACGTACTAATGATGCCTTAATCACGATATACGACGCCGAGCGCACGTAAAAACATGGACGTTTACCGCCCTACAATCAACTTGATGCTAACTCAATACTGTCTCGCACAAAAGACGGCAACTACGCCTATATACACATCAATCTATTATCGCTAAACAATTTGATTTTCGCGCCAAAACTGATATCCACTTACTGGCGATCCGGTAAGTTCATTATAGATGTAATTTGATTTATAAACGACGATCACTACAAACTACTCATTTTAAGAGCTCACCTTGAACCCCGATTTAGCAATGTTGTAAACGCCATGTTTGCCGCCATTTCAGATGCACGGTCACGTGATACAGGTAACCGTTAACGGCGTCGCCATCTATGGGTCAAATTATCTAACGTTTCCGACATTTGATTAGCGAAATTTTCTGTTACAAATTTCGTTTTGATGAAAAGAAATAGAATAGAAAAAAACCAGACAGATAGATCAAGATAGATATATAGATAGGTAAATTGACTGGTTCAATAAAAGAGTATAAAGGAACTATACGAAACGTAGAATTTTATTTTTTGAATGAAGACAAAATAATAACGGTCCCACAAAAATTTATTATATCAGTAACGTAGAAAGAAAACAAAAGGGCGCCTAATCGATAAGCGAATTAAATCCGAGTCGGCGGCGTATTGTATACACGGGACGACGATAAATCGTTTATGTACACATACACAGATAATCAAACGCGTTTCGTGTAGACAGAGAGAAACTGATAATCAGCCCACACGACTTATTACTAAAAAAAAGTGAGTGAATAAGTGACAAAGAGAGAAAGAGAGTGAGAGAGAGAAAGCTAGAGAGTAATGAAGAAGAGCTATTTTGTAAATATAAAAAAGAAAAGAGAATATCTCCCTATCCCATTTTTAGTACAAAAGCAAATAAAAATTCTTAAAAATAGTTCTTAAATATAAAAAATAGAAAAAAATTGTCGTTTATGCCAAAGTCTTGTTATGTATGCTTTTCTTCGCTTCACTTCATTTGAATTGTGTCAATAGTTGTCTGTTGTTAAAATTCCCTTTTCAAAATTTCCAAATAACTTTTATCCCACTTGAAATCTTTACATTTCCTATTTTTTTTTCACATCCCTAGTATTTCCTTAGTTATGGTTGGTCGTTGAGGGAAAGACGTGTTCAAATGACAACAATTAGTAAATTAATGAAAATATTAATTAGGGTGGAAAATTAGAACAAACTAAGCTGATTACAGGCAAAATAGCAGAGCTTGTATGTGAAGCAATTAAGTGGAGTAGAATTTCACGTCTTCGTCATAGATTTCTTCCATCTCCTTTTATCTAAGTGGAAGAACATGCTGGGGTAAATATCGTCCGGTTAACTAAATAATAAAAAAGGGCGACCTAAAAATAGACGAAATAATTGAAACGAATAACGTTGGCCTATCAAGCGGAAAACGAGAAAAAAGTCAATTCAGCGATTATACGATTATGAAATATTATAATATGGTTGTATGGTAATATGGTTAGCAATGTGATTAAAATGCTCTGTAAGAATAAGCCTTTATAAATAACTTTCAGACAATCCGATAGATGTCGTTAAAAGCAGTTTAAATAATATTTCGTAATAAAAGTCAATATTAAAAGATTGATATGTAAATCAGGAAATAATGAGACAAAAAGTATGAACGTCCTCACAAAAAATAAGACGTGATATAAATAAGATGATAATAAAAACATATATATATATATATTTTATACTATATATACAGTATATATACGCCTTATGATCTATTTATCTTATAACAATGTCAAATATCCTATTTTTGCTTTTGAATTAGAAATAAAAACTTTTTAATTATCTTAAAAAAGAGCAGCAGATTTTTAATAGTACTCATTTAATTCTTTTTATGTGTTTAGGCCACTTTATCTTACGCATGCACTATGTAAATCTCTTTGTTCGTAGGGGGATAAATTGAACAATTTTCTGCTAATTAAGAAGACAAAACAACTATAACGTTAACTAATTAATACTGTTATTACATTCTCTCATTTTATTTAAAAACTACTTATGGATCATTAAGAAAAAACTCCCACTCTCTCCTTTATATCTACTTTCGTCTTTAGCTTTCTCTCTCTCTCTCTCTCTCACTCACTCACTCACTCACTCACTCACTCTCTCCCTTTCTTTCTCTCTTTTCTTATTATTTTCTCTCAACCTTCTACCATCTAGTGCACTTACCATTTTCCCCTCCCCTCTACTTCCCGCATTTCATTTAAATATCGCTTCTTTTTCTTTTTCTGCTCTTCTTATATCTTTTAGTAGCGAGAGAGAGAGAGTCATGGTTTCTATTTGTCAAACAGAAAATAAAGAACAATGAGAAAGAGATAGGAAAAACAATAAAATTTATTTACACAAAGAAAAGTTATAATTATATATCTCATTAGACCAGATTAATGTCATAGTTATCATTGAAAAAGAATCACAAAGACAGGATTAAAAATGATAACGATAAAATATCCACTCGAGTGAACTACAAATTTTATTGCACGAACAAACTAATGAAAATCTAAAATTTTTTTTACAATGTAAATACTATAAATAGAAATATTTGATAAGCCATCGAAGAGATAAGGGATAACTGATTTAAGGACGAAGACTTAGACGATGTTTGAATGGTTGTAATATTCAAATAATTGAGATGTCTATACTTTTCTTTTCGACATTGTTTATCTCCATTAGAGCAGCTGAGAGTATAATCTATTAAGTCATCAACAGCTTCTTCCATTGTCTCTAGTGGTCCGTATTTCAGTGATTCTAGTACAACTTCGTGAAAATGTTTTAAATTGAATAATAGGCCTAATTTTTTTTCCGCTTTAGACAAAGCGTTTGTTATTGATAAATATCCTATGTAATAGCTTGTAGCCTGTCCGGGATAGGTAAAGTATCTTTTCACCTCTGATTTTGCCCCTTCCTTATTGAAAAGTGTATTTTTCAGGAGGTAAGATACGGATCTATCATACGACCACCCATAGCCATGGATGCCAGTATCAACAACCAATCGACTAGCTCTTAAAAGTAAAAATGAATAATGACCAACCAAATCCAAATTTGTCCTGTAGCAATTTAATCTTTTCGCTAAATACTCAGCGTATAGACCCCAACCTTCAATAGACGCCGCAAAGCTTGCAGTACCAAATGGTGTTAGTTCAAGACCAATATCAATTTTTGTAATATTTTTCGAGCTATACGTAATTATTTGTAAACTATGACCCGGTATAGTTTCGTGAAATAGTATCGGTAAATAGAAAAATTTATACAAGCCATCCTTATATTTAACGTTCATTCTAAAAACATTTCTGTCTTTGTAAAAGGCAGCCAGAAAACTATGAGAGTTGTTTATCAAAGAAATCCTGTCACATAAATATAGGAAATTAGTTGGAATTTTCTACTCGATAAATGCACTGTGTAATACTAACTTTGGCATAGTTATAGGCCGTAAAAAGACTCTTTGAAAAATTGGCAAATACTCTTTTAATTTATTTAATAAGAATTCTTCAATATCCTGCGAGTTTTTAAAGAAATTATTCCTATCAGAATTGAAATAATCTCTTATTTCTGTAAAATCTCCAGTTAAATTCAATTTTCTAAATATTATCTTTTTTATGGGAATCAAGCATCAATCTTTTTATTAAGTAACAATAAAATAATCACCTTCATCTCTGTTTGTATTCTTGCTACTTCTTTTAAACCCAAATTATGTAATTTTACAAAGTCACCCCTATATCTTCCTAACATGTGTTTTAAGATAGAATTGTAAACGTTTTTCCCCTGATTGATGTAGAATATACTAAATGAATTATTATACTCTTGAAATCTTTCCTAAAGAATGTAGATAAGAAGAGAGTGGAGGAGAGAAAAGGTATTAAAGTTTTTATATTTATACACTTTGAAAAGAGATATCTCGATATTTTAATAGTACCTTAATTTTCGTTTTAATTTCATACAAATCTTTCACATTTTCATAGATAGTTAGGCACATTGAATCTCTTTTTAAACTTTTACAACGTTGCAAAAGCTGGTTCTGTAGTAGAGAATTTCGTTATGCTTCAGCCAAAGTACAAGTAAAACTTGTAAATATTATTACTTTTATAAACAATCTATCAACATATGCTTTGTTATAGACAAAAGTTTCATTCCATATTTTTACTGCCCTCGATAATCTTGAGAAACATTTTGTAGTCTTTAAACGCTGTAGCGAATAACATTCATCGTAGAAAGGGTTGCATTGATACAAGTAACTCCATCTAATAAAACAAATAGTCATATTAAAACAGAAAGTACAAATATTCGAGAAAAATAGTTTCTCTTAAATAAACTAATTAAAATACTTAATTTAAATATTTTAGATTGTCATTCATGACTTGAATAGACTGCTGAAAACTTTTAACAAAACGACGATTATGGACATTGTTGAGTTTGTATGGGTCAATTTTCATCAACCAGTCATAAAATTTATTGAATTTTCCCTGAGGAAAAAAATAAATTGTTAATAAATCAATTAATTAATTAGCCAATTAATCAACTAAACATTCAGACTAAATTGATGTATATTGAAGAAGTCTGCAAATAATCTTGCGCAATTCTAGTTTGCTGTAAAATTAATTATATTCGCAGTAAAAAGAGAAGTTTGCCTTTAAAAGGATGGCAAAATGATTAGTACATCCACGCGAAGAAAGGGGAATTTATTACGCTCTTAAATACCAACATGAATATAGCAAAAAAGTTTTATTATTAGCGAATACTCAGGAAATAAAGAGAGATGATAGACAACTTGAAAATATATGAAAATTAACAAAGACAAGATTATTCGGAGATATGGAGGAGAAAATCCGAATAAAAAGGAAGTAAGAAAAGGGCTAAATGTTGACAAGATAATTTTATATCTAGTTACATGCTGACGAAAAAAAAAACAGGAAGATTAGAAGACAATAGTTTGATCTGATGAATCTACTTGTATTCTGTATTAAAATAGGCTTGAGGAGATATGCCAAATATATCAAAATACAAAGAATTTACAGTATGGCAAGCTACAAGGGACAAAATAGTTTCAGATCCGTAGGATTTTTACAATGGGACAATTAATATCCTGTTGGGAGTATTATATCCCTCTTACAAAAAATAAAGTTATATCCTTTAGGAGAAGAGATCAAAGCATAATGTACAAGGCAAAGATTGCTATGTAATATTTAAGAAGAAAACGCTTTACAGTGATGAAAGACAGGCCCATAGAAAGCTGTGACCTTAGGATAATCAAGAACATATGCCAGATACTAAAACAGATTTAAAACAAAACACCAGAGACTACCGATGATTTCTAATAATCCTTATTGCAGCTATACGACAAGATATGGATATAAAATCTACAAAAAAAACTATGATAGACAAATAATTACCCTACGAAGTTCTTTGTTTATTAAAAAAAAAATGATATATACTCTTTCTAAGTGCTTAATATGACCTATATAGTGTTTATCAATAAATTTCTCTTACCATATTCTCAGATATCATTGAATCATCTGGACAAAGTGGTATTTCAGAGTCAAAAGTTTTTGCAATATTTATAACTTTGAATTTAAACTCCTTCATTATCTTCTTATCCTTTTCTATTAATGATAATTCCGATGACGAAAAGTTTATAGCAGCCGTGATTAACAGTAAGACAATCATCTTTGGTTTTTTTCAAGTCCGTGTTAAGATGTCTAAGGATGTTAACTCTTTAGTATTCGTCTTATTATATACATAGGCGAGTGTTTTTGCTCAAATAGAAATCGTAGTTTATATATTCCCAGTATAATAAAAAGATAATATTATACTACAGATGCTACATATACAATTTCGATACGAAAGGGGGAGCGAGGGGTTCCCTCCAAAAGAATTTGATTAACTATAGTAAGATATGTTTACCGTTTGAGTATATGTTTACCGTGTACACACTAATAGAGATTATAGTTATTTGATAATAACCTACTTAGGATTATAGTATCTTAGAGTTGTTGTTAAGCTTATTATAATTTCCAGGAAATCACTATATTCAATTGACATTCTATGAATTATAAATAAGAAAGTACACTAGGTGTGTTATAGACTACAGTCTAATCAACTTTAATTTTCATTCACCAGATGTTTTTAATCTATCTTACGAACAGTTTGTCTCTAATATTTAGAAGACTTAAGGAGTTACGTTTCTCTTATATAAAGGCTTCCGAGAACTTCGAGTGTCTTTAAGTAAGTATGAAGGGAAGACAAATCGATTATTTTTCCTGTAAGAGTTCTTGTTTCAAAATAGTTTAATTGGTTCGCTTTATTATTATTTTGTCCCATTAAATCCAATAATGAACTACGATAAAACAGATATAAAGTTATGAAATTACAGTTTTATTCCTTTTATTTCATACTTTTTACTTTTAAAGAATACGATTAAATGTTTTCTCTTGTTTGTTGATCTAAAGCAGCACTAAGATCTTTCATATGATCTAGGCTGCTTACTGCTCTTGTTGGAAGCTTATGTCCAAAATTTAAGTGATTTGGGATCCTCTTTCCACTTCCCGAAGGAGAGCTGCTCGGTGTTGGAGACTTACAGCGAGGACTAGTGTTCGGTGAGACTGATCCGTCGCTTTCCAATTCGATCGACAGGGCGCTTTCCGGTCGTGTTTTATTTTTTATCTGACGTCTACTTTCCTTCTTGCCTCTGAAAAGAGGATAAAAAAAATTTTGAGCACGCTCCCTACAGAACAAAGACTACATAGGCTTAATACGGACGTAAAAACTAGCAGACATCTAAGGATCTTTAATACTGAAATTATGCAGTCAATTGCATTGAGCATTGCTATTAAGGACACATCAGCATTTTTAAAGAAGTACAAGACAATAGAAATCTATAATTTGTAGACAGCAATGTCAGATAGATTGTGATCACGTTCCAAGATATATATATATATATATATATATGTATATATATAGTTAGGATAACAATAATCACGAATTATTCAACTTATGCACTTAAAGTACTAAAAGAGCAGAAGACAAGATTTTTTTTGCCCTTGCTTCGTTAGTTATTATAAAGCAAATTAGCCCGACGTAAATCCCCTTTCCCATATACATCTTAATCTGTAGGTTTCTTCTATTTCTCCTAATTAATACAATGGGTTTTAACTATTATTGAAAAGTAAATAATGAAAAAGTTCATTAAGGCTATTTGAAACCTTTCTTAGACATTCTATTAAGAGGGTATTTGTATGCTTGAGGCTTATTTAAACACTAAATCAAAAACAATCGCCCACTCAAAAGTTATAAAAAAAGAAAAACAACTTAGAAAAACATTTATAAGCTTTCATTTAAAAACCAACTTTTTATAATCATTTTTGCTGAATTTAAAGGAGGCCGAAAATTTATGGACCATTATCATATGTTCACGTCTTTCGTTCGGTGTATTAAATACTTCATTGCATGGTTCATCAAGGCACTTGAACTAGAAAAAAGACGGAGAAAAGTCAAAATGGTAGGTAAAAAAAAAATAAAGAGAAAAAAAAGATTGAGAGAATTTTTGGATTGCACTTGGAAAATTTTCTAACCAGTTTTTCAATTCCATTTTCGAATTTTACAGCAAAAAATGGATCGTGCCATTCTGCTATATGAATGTTAAGAACGTGTTCGGAGAGAAAGTAACGTTTACATTCACAGCATACGTTTTTGTGGCGTGTATTATAATGGGCTTCGAATCTGTCGATTGAAGTTTTTATGATTAATTATAAGGAGAAAAGGAGAAGGGAAATTATAACTTACTCAACTAGGGAGGAGAAAACCTTTTGACAGGGTCCGATTTGGCACTTAATAATATTGTCCGGCATTCTAAAACGCGAATTACAAGAGTTTACAATGAATCGTCGTCCGCCAAATGGGTGAGTAAGAAAATAAAAAAGATTTTCGTTTATACTCACTCAACAGTATCGATCCTATAATACTTTGACAATTGACATTCGTCATCTCCCTCTTCATCTTTTTTATTACCGGTATCGTGCTTTCTCTTCAAAAGCGGCTTCCAAGACCACGGTTCATGGTCTATAGAGTCCGACATCTTTTTATATAGACGTGAAAAAACTGCTGAAGTTCAATTTGGTCAAGAATAGTTAAAATGAAGAGAAATATTGAGTAAATTGAGTAGAAAACGGCATTTAGTTTGTTTATTTTTAAATAGGAATATTGAGGAATGTATACATGTATGTTTTTTGTATTCAAGTTGAGATGTGGAAAATATACAGAAAACTTAAGAAACGACAGCATGACTACCGGTTTCTCTGCTATCGTATGGTAGAGCCATCTACCGGGATATGACAGTACTAGGACGACCTGTCTAAATGCCAAGTTGAATAGAGACATCATTAAACATCTTTACAAGCGCAAATTTCCCACAGGCTAAGAAGTCATCCACCAGACAGGAAACGAGTAATTTCTATTGTGATGAATGAGCTAAATCGTCTGGGTCAGTTAGAGGGGAGGATTGTATAAACCTATTTAGATTCTCGGTGGGAACGAGATAACTGCCTCACCCGCCGAGATCAAAGGTATTCGAATGCTTTGGCGCGTGTAGCGATCCAAATAGGCGGCTTAAGTACAACGGACACCGTCAATTTATGTTAAAAAGGTTTAGATTTTAAGGCTTTTAAACTTTCTATTCATAAATTTATTCTCAAACATTATTATTTTACACGCGGTGATTGAATAATAACAACGATACAAAACTATTTAATCGCGTGAACACTTTTTCGAAAATATGAGCGTTTTTTCCAAAAAATACTCAAAATTGGCACAAGAATAAAAGCGTCTAACCAAAAATTTCTACAGTTAACACTAAACAAGCGTCTCCAATATTAAATTATATTATATTATATATATATATATATATATACTGTATATATTAGTATATATCTTCCCCACCCCCTTCTCTCTCTCTCTCTTTTTTTTTTCCCCATTTTTTTTGTCTTTAAAAATAAGTCTGTACAAAAAAATTTGCAAAAAACGATAAAACGAACAAATAATTTATATGCAATTTATATCGATCATACAGTTTAACTTTTTTTTTCTCGTCAGCAAGAATAATTTAAAGGACGGATACGAATTAAATATTTTTCAAAAAAGAATACAATTCGTATTGGCTCATTGGTTGGACGGACGAAAACTCTTACAAAGACACAATAAAAATGCATTTCTTTCTGTAATAAATAATTAAGTAATATTTTTGGGCGGATTATCAATTTTTCAGAATAAAACATAGAATATAAGTATACAAAAAATATATAGAGATAGATTATGAAGAATAGATGCGATTAAGTATATAACAAAGAAGAAAACGTACAAAATATGTAAACCTAGTTAATATTCAAACTACTAAAATTCTCTTGAACACAACCCACCATCTTTCACAGACTCTCTTTATAATTTACGCTCTAGATTTTTTTTTTTAATATGAACACTTTCAAACAGTTTTTTTGTTTTTTGTTATAATGATAGAACACACAAACTGGTCAAATGCACTGCAATCTGAAGAAAACGAGCGAGAGGTATGAAACTCGCGAGTTTGGCAATAAAAGAGATATATGTAAACACACATATATATATATATATGTATATATATATATATATATGTAAACATATATATGAAAATGTTATAATATAGAAGTATACTGTCTATAAACATCTATAAATATTCACAAACAGATATATATATATATATACATATATATATATATATATGATTGTATAGATAATATCTTCTTGTAAAAGAAAAAGATGTGTCGATTGGACGTTGTTAATAAAAACGGCAGTGCTTACTCATTAAAAAATTGATATTCATTTTTCACCGTCCGACCTCTGCTTGTCGTTGTTGCATTGCGAACTTTGGTCTTTTCAACGGCTACAACTTCTAGTCTATTGTTTTAATAAGAAAAAGATAAATAATTATACTACTATTAATCAAAGTCTTGTAAAAATACAAACTGTTTGTTATAATCGTTCTGTTGACGTTTGTATGAATCGACTTGCTGTTGCGGTATCATCGAACTCAACTCTAAAGAATCACGTAGTCTACATAGCATTTCAAAATTTTCGCGTCCTTTAATCTGAAATTAATAATAAAAAATATAATAAATAAACATATATTTATATATATTCATTTACTGCTCCCTGAAGAGAAGATAAAACACTTACAGTTAACGTGAACACTTCGTCGTCCGAGTTTCTCTTCCTTTTAGTACCAAAAGAAGTCGATACTTCAGTATTCATTCCCATTCTCGGCGTGTGGGGTCTTTTATGAGCTGTTACTGGTTCGGTGGCCTTTTCATCCGCCCTTCTGTCACGCCCCGGGCAAGCGCAGATACGAACTTCAACGGCTTGCCTTCCCAAAACGTTGCCCTGAGTGTCCTCCAGAGTAAAGATCACTTGAATTGGTCGCCGATTCAAACCACCCACACACGAGGAAAAACACATAAATTGGAATAAGTTGGTGACCCATTCGGCACCTGGCTGAGGCTGTTCGTGTGGAAGTACTACACTCTGTCTTCCGGTATAATCGTGTTCTTCGTATCTAGCCAATTTATGTTCACACCTTACAAGGTGCTCCGGTGCAGGATGATTTTCATTATATTCCTTAGTGGTAGCGTGATTAGGACATCTCTTGACGACCTCTCTCACATGCTCCGGCTTCATATAGATTGGCATGGCACGAATGACGGTATTGGGCGGAGGTGTTCTTGCCGTTTTAAATCGAATAGGACAAGTTGTCGCCATCCTCACGAACAACTTGCGTAGCATTTCCGAATACTGTTATGACGGAACACGATTTTCAATGACGAAACGTCGGAAAGTCAATTATTTGCGGTGTATAAAATTAATTACATAACGGCGTAAGGAGATCGATGTGACCCAGATTTTTTTTTTAGAATTATTTTTTTTTCATTTTTTTTTTTGTTGGCGACGCTCTGCCTTGGCATATCTCAAATAGCGATTAGCGCGTAGGCAAATATGCTGAGACGAGCGCATTTTGAAAAAATATTTTATAGGCCTAATCCCAAAAAAAATCTCAAATACATTAACTTACCGTCCAAGTGGTGGATTTAGTTTCTTTTGATTGTTGCTGAAAGCTTATCTCAAATCCATAATCCCCAGAATAGGAGGCGCTGTAGAAATGAGATAATCCCCATTATTATTACAATAATTAGTATAGCTATAAGCCTACGGTGTTAAAATACAAGTATGCTATATACTTAATATTTTTAGATGAATATGTCATAAAATTCTTGTTCAAAATGTGAATGAATTATTTATCTTTATGAGTTATAAAATTTAATATTAAATGGTAAAAAAAAAAATATCTACATGAATAAATCTCGACAGTTTTTTTTTATCTCAAAAACAATCTGGCGTGCGTACTTTTAATACTTTTTAAACACTTGAACGTCGGTACACATCTCTTTATTTATTTCTATATAATGTTGGCCTGGACGTTAAACTAGCTTATCTTTTACCGACACGCATTATAAACTCATCATCATTCGACACTTACCTGGACGGTACAGTTGGCGAACTATGCATTTGAGACGATATCGGAACATTTGGTGACATTGTCTGCGGGAATAAATAAAAAAAAAGAAATAAAAGACGCTCGCCTTTAATAAAATATGCAAGAAGCGAGTAATTTTCCCATTAATTGTATATTAAAAAAAAAAAAAGTTGAAGGGTAAAATGGGCAATACCGGAATAAATAAGTAGAGCTAAATGCATTTTGCTTTTCTAAAAGAACGACTATCGAGGGAGGGAAAGATGGAGAAAAGAATAGAAAGGTGTCAACGTACACGAGTCGCGAGGCTATTGATACAAGGGAACGCGTGCGAAAAAAAAGAAGTGTGCATACAGAAGGCATTTAACAATGTGTGTTCTTCTGCATTGACTGTATACACACATACAAGCGGCAGAATAGAAATCGTTATATCGACGCGGTCTTTGCCGACATAAAACGGACAATGGACGACGCCTCGCTCTCAGTTCCACTGCTATCCGCCCACTAGAAATGGAAAAAATGCGCATGCGCAAGCCTTCTTTCTAGTTGCATTTTGAAGAAGTCATTGACAGTTTGGAATATAGAAAGAACGGGAAATGAGGGTTACGGCACAATTTGTTCATTTCCCATTGTTACAAAGCAACGCAGCGCTTCCGGCGAATGTACTTCAAGAAGATTAGTAGGTAGGGAAAATTATATACCTGGCTGTGGTATGGCGAGGGAGTGGTACTGGATATGTCCGTAGTTTGAGAATGTGAATCCGGGCTCATGACGTGATTTTGTCCCGTCGCCGGAATTATAGGATTGAGCTGAAATTAAAAAAAAAAACATGCAAATAAAAAGAGATAGAGATAATAAATAAATAATGAACAGATAGCCATAAAATAGGATTGATAGTTAGATAAATGGATAAGGATAAGTAAGAGGCATAAAAGTATATATAATATCTGAAAAGTAGTGGGGGGGTGGATGACTGGGGTGTAACTAAAATAGATAGGAATAAAAACTATTGTGTATAAGAATTTATATACGCTTTACCGCCTCATTTCAACTAATTATTTACGCATGTATGCAGTAGAGCGATTGTTAATTAAGTGAAGAATGAGGGCAGTATATATATATATATATGTATATATATGTGGTATATATGCATATGAAGGTTAAAAAAGACATAAAAAATTACATAGATATGCAGTATATACTGTAAATTTTACATATATATATATATATACGCAAACGTACACAAACACATACACACACACACCCACATGTACACTCATACACCTACACGCGTGTATACAAATTTACAGAGATAGAAAGAAAGAGAGAGAAAGAGGAAGCGTGTATGGGGACGGGGGAGGGGATTAAATAATATAAAAAAATGAAGGCAAACTCTATACGGTATACGATCTAGCTTTATCGCGCTTTTTTTCCACAAACAATTTAAAGAGTAACACAAATAAAAGAGTAATTGTCAAGTCGTATTTCGTCACTCCGACCACAAAACATATGCGTAACAAATTACAGCGGGAGTCGAATTGCTATATAGTTTCAAAAAGAGGAGCGACGCCTATTGAATCCGAGTTTAAGAAAGGTACGGAGGGGGGTAATAGTGGCGGCGGCGGCGGCGGTGGCAGCGGGGGCAAGGGCAATTAGCGAAATTGGAGACGATAAGTAGGATGTCGGCGACTAAGCGGCGTCTCTTTTTCTACAAATCGGCAAATTCTTAAATCGCTCTATATAACCGGTTTAGATGTTTATCGTGATCCCTTTTAAAAGTACGAGCTAATTAATAGCAATTTAAATTAGCTAACGAAAGAGTTTAGCGGAGAGAAATCCGTTAGAGTAGAAGGAAAAAAAAAGTTTTTTTTTTATTTTAATCCTTATAATCGCTTACTTTACGATTGGTGAATATAAAAGTCCTTGGGCCAGATGACGATGAGAGACGCGACTGGGAAGAATCGTGTTGCCAGGAAATATGCGACTCTTCTTGGTTATAGTAATCAAACCCGTCCATGTCTAATAGCTATAAGACAATGCTGCGCAACTATGGAGCTGCGACAACAACAGGTCCTAACAGGTAGCTTTGATCAGTCATTGATTATGCTAATCTATACTGAAATGGCGCATGCGTACAGTACTATTTTTCCAAATTCAATTCAGCCTTTCTACCTTTTTGTTTTTATAAGAAATAGTAAAGGAAAAGAAGAATAGTTGAGTAGTGAAAAGAGAGGGCCCGGACAACGAGAGTGCAGGTGCTATTATTTACAAAACGGTTACGTCTAACCGCTATTCAGTAAATGCCTACAGATAGCATATTTTTCTTCCTATATAAATGTCGCCTCTGTTTTCTTTTTTTTTTTACTATCATTCAATTCTTATTTTTCTTTACTTAATAATTAAATAACAATAATAAATATGCATAGGACGCCGATGCGTGTACGCATATTTTTTTTTCATAAAGACACTCTAAGCTGCCAACCTCCCCTTAGGGTGGTGATTTCTATTAAATGTCCATTACTAGTACGCGTTCCGCTCCTAAATCGAATATTGCACATATTTTCGGTGAAAAGATCAATCGAAACGCCGTACAATGAATAACGGGCATAACACAAACACTCGAAAATCCCAAACTTAAACACGCCACACGTTTTCTCGCTCGCACTACGCGAAAAGTTTAAGGTTAGGCAAACATTATATACGCCTTTTCCACACTACTTACGAATTCCGCCATACTATCTTGACTATTTATTTGGAAGCGCTCCATGTCGTTTGTCCCCGTTGCAGCCGATTCGGTCTCATTAACATATAATTCGCTGTCAATATTGTCTCGCTGGGGAAGTAGACCTCTGTAAAAGGAAAAGAAGAGAATTCATACAATTTTGATGTCTATCTTTTTTTTGTAGTTAAGCCCCCTTGTTAAAAAATCTATGCTATTACTTTTTTTCTTTTTTTAATGACCTATTTTTATAAATTCGACTTTAATGGATGTAGATTTGGGGTGTGGAAAAAAAAAGAAGAATAAATGATTAAGTAAATAAAGGAATGCCAAGCCATAAATTTTCCACCTAATGCTAGTTTAACAACATCTACCGAATGTATGTGATTAGCATTCGAATATCCTTCACTGATTCTTGAAGCGCGTCGATGCGCGAGTAATTTTAGACGCGCTCGAATGATAAAACTTACGTAATATTATGTAACCTCTTTATACAGGAATGCCTTGTGCCAACATTAAACGAAATTATGCGGCCATTCGATCCGACTATTTATAGGTTGACCGTAATCGCATACATGCCATTCGCTAATGATCACTGGCCACCGTATATTGTAACCTAAAAATTTGCATTTACAGTATGTATAGGTTTCCATTTTCCTGCCCTCTCACTAAACCTTAACTAAATCCGTAAGTTAGAAGAGGAAACCCGAGTTGAACAGGTAATAAAGCCAGACAGGAAGTTTCGATAAAATTCTACACAAAACGGATGAAAAGAGTGCGGATATCGGAAAAGCGTTCTTAGTGGAATATCTATATATTGTTAGATGTGTAGATATAATATATACATACATGGTATATAATAGGAATAAATCGATCGCTCTTTCCTTTTGATTACTGACCTCGGCTTTATTACAACGTTGTCGTTAATTGTTCGTACGGAATGGCACGTTTATACATTATGTAGAGAAACGTTCGGCGATAAACAATGTACTCACCCGTTGCTTTGTCCCGCTATTTCGCGCATGTTCTTCCATAAATACTCAAAAGTTGCTGTCTCATTCGAACCCATCTTTATAGCTAAGTCTTGTCCAGTCGCCGAAGAGCTTGGTATGTATTCTCCCTTAAACTGTTCGATTACAGACCCGTTAAAATAGGCTGAAGATTCTCCATCCAATATAATCTAAACATGAGGAAAAAAGGGAAGAAGGAGGGGAGTTAAAAAAGGAAATTGGGAATAGAGAGAAATTGTATCTTATTAAGGTTATATGAAGTAATCAATCAGGATGATCAATAAATTATATAGCGTCGTATCTTTTTTGGACAAGACTATATTAAAAAAAAAACCAAATTGTCCTAAAAAAAGTGCTAAAAGATTTAATACATCACATTATTAGATTATAGCTTTTCATATCAAAGGAGAAGTAATTTATATATTACATACAGTATATAAAATTAAACTTTTACCTACAGTATTGCTCTTCTATGTATTTGTAATCAAGCATATATAACTATCTATATACGTTTATTGAGATATGTATTATAATACATTCATGTGTGCATATACTATATATGCACTTAATATTTTCCATTCTTCATCTTTCTATCTTCTTATAAATATAAATATATATATATATATATATATATATAATTTATATATTATTATATAGATCTTTTTCCATATATAAATATATATATATATATATACTGTATATATAAATGGCGCAGCGAAATAGAAAGAAGACAAAAAAAAACGAAAAACATCTATTAGCTAAAATACTAAGAAATACTCATCGCAATACCTGAGCAGGCATAGCGGCGCGTGCAGGCATCGAGACGAAAATGATGCTGTGTAACAACAGCCACGCTATGCAAATTACCTAGCCATTTGAAAAAAAGCGATTTTTACGCAGCGCCACCTCTCTTCTCTTATCGTGTGACTGCTATACTGACGCCGAGGACGAGCGTCTCCTGCGGCGTTGCGCGTAAAAACGTACGACTTTATTGTCTATATCGATTAATTTTTTTTAACATACAAAGGCCTATATCCTATCAAATAGATTATCGATTACCTGTTCCGGATCGAAAAGTATACTAGTCATTGGCAGTCAACTGAATTGAATGGTTTTATGAACACCAACTTGGCACATGTGCGAATCACGTTCGACTAAAGTATGGCTTATAAGTAAGCAATATTAAGTCAACATAGGCCTAACTTCGGCGCCGTATCAAATCCACTCATTCAACGCCACTTGATCTATTCAGCCGGGATTTAATCATGCATTCCAAAAGAGTAGTATGGTAACTACAAGCAACGAAAGGAGAAGAACGCGGGAAAGCCTATAAATACGTTTCAACTTGTTGGAGGGTTTGGGGAAAAAAAGAAATAAATATCTATAGAAATATATATCTTTCGACTTGAAAATTTTTAAAATATCATACAACTGATAAGCCTACATGTTGTATAAAAGCTAAAAACGTGAACGTTCACAATTACAAGTGTATTTTTACTTCTTTTTTTTATTTTGAAGCGATAATTTAAAAGAGATAAGGTGAATGAGGAATCATAATTTTTCATGCAAATCATTGCTTTTAAAAATTAAATGTCAACACGGCGCTTTTACTACTGATAGGAGCTGCTACTATCTATTCGATTATCACTTTTTCATTGATTATATCACACAAAAGCGAAGCGAATAAGTATTGATTAAAAAGTTTAAATACACCGTTGAAGGAATGACGTCACAAATGCTACGTGATTTTGTTACATTGCATTCTTCCTCAACACTAGTCACCTATTAAGCTCAAATGCGTACAGCCAACATTCTCTATATATAGTCGAATTTTCACACTTATTTGACGACTTAGCTAAAGTTAAGCATGAACGCTTTAAAAGATTCTGGAACGAAAGCGCCATCTATCTCTCAAACTGTCAGATTCCACACCGGTATATTATTATATTATCTTCAGTATATATACAGAAAGTCAGGTAGAAAAACACCATTTAGTAACAATTTCCACAATAATTTTTTAAATGCAATACCTTTATTTATTCATTTAAAATATCCCATTGAAATTGATTTGATTTAAAACTGTCTACAAACCCTATATACTATAGTATACATTAATTAATTGACAAACATTTGTGAAAGGTAACGTTTGCTTAAATAATTTCCTGAATATTTTCATCGAATATTAATGTACTAGTTAGAAAAGAGGGAACTTAAATTAAGGATAGTACTAATTATAAAAGTAAAATACATTTATTTCTAGGAGAAAATAAAAATATATCTACCTTCACCATCAAAGATGCTTTCCTTTACCGGTCAATGAACACCTGCAAACCGGTAAGCAACCGATCAATAATAAGACGCGCGTCACTTCGATTCACAGCAAATTTATTGTATATGAATAATAACAGTTGTAAAACTTTCTAAGAATTTAATAGAATAAAAAAAATACTTGATAACTATAAAGAGTTTTAATAGAAACTATCAAAAACAGTTTCCGAAAATTTTACGTACTATACAAAAGTTTTATAGAATGAAACACTATTTTAGCATGCAGTCAAATCTATACTTAATAGATTGCTTTCAGTTTATTACTTTTTCGTTTATATACCCCTGATTAGCCCCCAACCAATAACTGGTGCTATCAATTGTACTCGTTCAGCTTGAGCAAAATTATTGAAAACTCCCATCTAAAAGAAAACCGGAAGTACATGGGAAACGATGTATTTTTTCTCTCAACTTTCCAAATAGTGTAAACGACAATGAACAATCATTTATTCAATTATCTAAAAATAATAAATATAACGCACTCCTTTGTTCAATATAAAATGCTGTATATGCATAAATCCTCTGTCTTAGCAAGATAAAGTCAACTATCATTATTATCATTTTTTATTATTTATTAAAAACTTGTTAAAAATATTCAGGTTACGCTAAACTTAATAAAGTTGTGTGGAGAGAAAAGAAAATAGTAATAAAAAAAAAACAACAATAACGGTTCTATTCAAATTTTAAATCTTAATATAATTATATCAGTTGATAAAGAAATCACTGTTATCTAGTTTTAATCAAATTCTTAAGACTATTTTGAAAGTTAAGTGGATGCACTGAAAAATAATAAAAGACAACTTTATAGAATCTCCAATGTTACTCTTGCTAAAATATGGGTTATGCAATTGATTAGAATGTGATTATAGCATTTTAGAAACTATATGAATATAATTGTTGTTTTTCCAGAGATGTTTGAGAATATGTTCAAAAAAAATTTCGGTGCTAAATGGACAAAGTTTGGGGGAGGAATCTTAGATTATTTATCATTTTACAGTTATTTAAGGGTAAATATTTCTTAATCTAATAGACTAACTATAGAATTCAAAGTGCAACCTAATATTTGAATATTTGCTAGAATTGCTAAGGAAACTTTATTTTATTTTGTATATCTAAAGAAGGCGAGTACTTCACTAGTATTATATTAAATTATTTTAAGACGTATTATATGTATCTTATGCAAACTTCGTAACGTAAAACTCGCGTATGAAATGCTTTCTTGCATTATTCAAATTCCATTCCTTCTTCAGTGTTGACACTCATATTTAGACAGCCCTTCTCAAAATCTGGTTCTTCTACGTGGCTGTCTATTCCGGTGTTATTCTTCGTTAGTTTCATTTGAATCATTAAAATGATTTTTTATGAATATGTATATTAATAATTAAGAGTTTTGCGCTTATTGTTTTGAAGTATCAAAACTTAACTTGTAATATAATTGCAGATAGGACAAGAATAACATTCCTAAATTTCGTGCGAACCTTCTGTTCGCGGAATGCCGTCAGCTTTACCTTTAGAGCAATTATACACATTAGAAAAAAATTACGGTGTACATAAGTCCGAAAACTGCTTGCAACAGTTTCAGGCAAAATTTCGCAATAAGTCAAAACGAAAAATTACCTTGTGTTGGATCAACTACAAGGGAGACTATCAAGTCTATGGAGAAGTTCCATCGAATAAAATTTGTACTATAACAACATACTGCACGCATCCTTGGTTTGCAGTAGATAGTTTTCACAAGATATTTGTATTATTAAATAACAAAAAAATATTTCTAATCAATTCGCTTAATCAAGACAAACCATCAGCCTCCTTAGTTAACATCGATATCCATTTACCAGGTTAATGCCACATCTAACATCAACGTTTTTTTTATATTAGCAAAGACACTGTACACTTTTTTGTTTTTTTTTTACTTTACAGTGTTCCCTCTCTTTGGATTGTGCGTTCAGGCAATATTTTTAACTTTGTGTATTGGAAGGATTAATATTTGCGTCGAACATTTGAAGCACATCGTAGATCAGTTAGAGATTCCATCAACCCTGAAAGTTATTTTGAAAAATTATATACAAGCAGCTGGTGACAAATTGAGATAAATACTATAAGTTAAAGATATAATATCAATATGAAACCAAAGATAAAAAAAAGACCGCCTATGAACCAAGACCTTGAATGCTCAGATATGTTAGGAAGAATTAAATGTAATATATTACTAACATAATAATTATATTTATACATCTAAAATATATAATATAATTGAAATGAGTTTACTTAATATTTTAGATCGCTTATGGTACTTTATCAAGTATAAATTGGGCAAATATTGTTCCACCAAGAAAATAGGATCACTTGTTATCATTTTTATTATTTGGTACTTTTTCTTCAAGAATTCAACGGGCTCAAACTCTGAAGTCAAAGTTAAAGGAAAGGTGGCTATATTTCTTTCATAAAATGATTAATTGGTTTATATGGGTTGGTAAATAGTACTATTTTCTTGCTCAATGATGAAAGATTCGTAGGGAACAATGCATTAAATAGTCAATGAGTTCGTCCCATAAACAAGAGCGCAATCAATAAGTACGATAGAAATTCGTCTTATACCTACCTACCTCCTAGATTGAAGGCACGTATAATTCCGTACAATTACCACTAATTGCATTTATCATTACGTTAATTACTAAATCGATAGTGTTGTGGTGACGTTGAACTGTGATAAGTAGACAACTAAATATAGAAATTAAAGATCATGTGGAAATTGCATCTGTAATGGCAACAATTTGTTTTGTACTGCATAATTCCCTACTAAATATAAAAAGATTCTTACTCATCGGTCACAGTTAGAGCCTTATGTATTCACATCCACTCTCTCATTGAATTACTACTAGCCTAACAGTTTGTCAACACTATTCTACGCAGACAGAGAAACAAGATAAAAAACATAGTACTTTTTACATTATTTTACGAGGTGTATCTCGAATAGAACGTCTCGGAATCACGGCCATACGGATTATCTCGATAATTTTTTGTCATTCTTCCTGTACCACCTACGTTATTGACGTAATTGAATCCATATTGTTTCCATATGGCAATTGTTTTTGATTGTAGAAATCATAATTAACGGAGTCACGTGTAGAACTATTGTTTTAATTGGCAACTAACCAATCAGAATTTCTTTAATTTTACCTTTTAACAAGAAAAAATTGCTCACATTGCGCGCCCACTAGGCTGCACTCTGCTGGATTGTGACGTCACGTAAAAACTTCGAATTCTCTCAGTGTTACGATGACTAGAGGTTTACTCAGTAGCGCTCTTGTGTTTCTGGTTTGTTTTCATAATGTGGTTGGTAATCTCGATCTGCTTGAATATATATCTAGAGTTTTACAGGTAATTTTCCTCACCTTTAATGATTTCGTATTATATTCCTTAGCGGAAGTATTATGATTAACCTTTCTTAATCTAAACATAAATTTTTAAATTAATTAACACCAGAAACAAAAAAGAGAAAATTAAATAATTATTATTTGAAAATTGAATATAGAAAGCGCTTTATTTATGCAATCTATATCACTTTGAAACGTTATACTTTCTCGTTTGAAAGAAGAAGACATAGACAGAGAGAGAGAGAGACTGGAGAGTCTTGTTGAGCTAAGAGAAAGGAAGGATAGTTTTATTTTAATTGTTATTTGATTTTTTTGTGTTTTTGCCTTTTTAAGTCCGTGCTTGTTAAGAAATTTGATAATACTTTCGTGCTAAAATTCTCCCTTTAGCGCTTACTTTAAAAGAAGCATCTGAAAAATGATATTAAAAACTCTTAAGATGCTCGCATCAAGTGTCCGTAGTATAAAACGTTAATTTATTTTTTCCTGTTTTTCCATATTGAAGTTCTTTTTCACTGAGGTTTTAAGGGAAAATTGGGGCGGGGAATACCTAACAAAGAACTTGGTTTATCCTTTTCTTTGTTTCTTTTCGTATTGGTCGATAAAAATCATTTTTTAATTGTTACAAATATAGCCTTACTCATTTTTTCTTATTCATTGTTTATGGTTTATTTCACTTGGCAAATGTTTTTTTCACTTATTTTAGTTGTTTATCGATTAGTTGGAACAAGAGAGAAAAAGAAAAAAAAGGGGGAGGGAGGGAGGTGGCTTGAGGCTAACTTTGTCAAGCATTATTAATTTGTTTTCGATTTAAAGTATTGACGTTACTATTAATACGAGTAGATCGTATTTTAATCAAGAAAATTTTTCTTTCTCTCTTTTCTTTGTTGCCATCTGCTAAAGATTTTCTAATAATAACAAACGTTAAGAAAATTTTCTTTTCTTTTTTCGTCCTACGACCGTTGATTTTAAAGCAGGTTGCGAATGTTTCTTTCATCTACATCTTCGGCTTTTATTACTTATTAAATAAGATATGAAATAATGCTATCGTGTTATATGTGGTGACAAAATATTTGCAAATACTAATAGGAGTCGCTATGATAGGGAAATGACGTATTGTATGTTAAATCAGCGTGTCGGCTCCTTTTTTATAGAGAATATTAAGGTCACACACATTGTTTTACATCTTTAGTCATTTGGTTAAGTTAAAAATAAAATTATTTTTTTTCAGGAAAACAGAACTTTTAAACCACTTAAAAGTAGGCAGTTAAGATATGTGGCTGAAGAGCTTTCGGATGAGGCTGAATTTTTTCGATTGTTACAGCCGATCTTAAGAGAACGTGTAGCTGGAAGTGATGGTAACAAAGCCGTAAGAAGGCATATTTACGATCATATGAAATCTTTGGGATGGAACATTGAATTGGATACATTTGTTGACAAGACTCCTTTTGGGAATAGGGAATTCGAGAATATAATAGCGACCTACCCGGCCGAGAACACCGAAACGCTCACGATGGCTTGTCACCACGACTCAAAATATTTTGATGAGTTTCGATTTATAGGAGCAACAGATTCGGCAGTACCTTGCGCTATGCTCTTACATCTCGCTTCGCGGCTCAATAAACTACTGCAAAGTTCTAATTTGACGGAACGTGGCGTCACGTTACAATTCATTTTCTTCGACGGTGAGGAGGCGTTTGTTAAATGGACCGAGAAGGATTCGATATATGGCTCACGACATCTTGCTGAAAAATTCGCCAAAGAAGTTGTAATGGTGGGGAATAAAAAAAAAAGAAGGATCGATACAATCGTAAGTTTTATCTTCTTTCTTACAAAGCATCTTAAAGGTCTCTTGTTTTGAGACTGCCTGTTGAGTAAAGTAGGCTCAGTCAATGCTAAGTAAGGTGAATCTAGAACTCCTTGGAGAGTAGACCAATATAATTTTACAATCCCTTCAAGCCGCTGGTTACTAAACTTTTCGTGGAAAATCAATATAAAGAAGGGAGTAGGCGTTAACGGTATTTTCAACGTCATATCCTGAAATTTGCCATCAATTCATAGCTGTCGGTCTATTTGATGTAGGAGTTTTGCAATTTTATAGCTTCATATGACAGGGAATCAATTTTCTTTGTATATTTACAGAAAGCTTTGATTCTGCTCGACCTAATAGGAGAGAAGAATCCTCAATTCTCAAACTTCTTTCCTGACAAAACTTCTAAACACTACAAGGCTCTTCAAGAAATTAACGATCAACTAGCATCTTCTCGTTTACTTACTCCAGCTCCAAACTACTTTAGCAGACGCGATGCCCCTTACTTCGGAAAAGTTGAGGATGATCATGTACCCTGGTATCAACGAGGTGTATCTGTACTTCACTTAATAGCTGTACCCTTCCCAAAGTCATGGCACACAGCCGACGATGATCAGACTGCGTTACACTACCCAACGATCGAGAACTTAAATCGTATTTTTAGAGTGTTTGTCATTGAGTATTTGCATTTAAGAGTAAAAGTCTAAAGTATTGCAATCAATATTTCAATATAAGTCGCTCATGAGAAGGGAAAGACTGGAAAGCTTTTTGACTGCAAAATAAAATTATGGCAAAATTTGCTTAACAAAATATATATAATTTTAGCATATACAAAAACCATATACTTGTTGAAATATATATATATATATATATTAATATATACACATGTATAAATATATATAAATATATATATATATATATATAATCATGTATATATGTACATCAAATATACTTAAAATCAGTTATTGCCTGCCATTTCTCAAGTGCAAGGGGTTAAAAAGTAAGGTCGTCTCTAGACTATCTTCCTACGGCCTAGCTCGCGATAAAATTAAACAATAAAACAGACTTCCGTACTATAAATATACGTTGATATTTTTGAAATTTTTAACTTATACCAAACAAACGTTCCTTTGTAAAGTTTTTAAAACGATTTCTTCACGGGCCCCACGGAGTTCCATTATTCCAAGGCCGTCCCCCACCTCCTGTTGACCATCCGTCTTGAGCATAGTGCCTCGCGTCTTCATTTAGGAGCTGAGCGACATGTCCAAACATCCCGTTTATTTGATAAATAAATCTTTCAGCATCATCCATTGACGGGAAAGTAGCAACATAGCTGCCGTTTGACTCCAACGAAACACGCATGGGTGCAGCTATATTGTAATGCGCGGCAAAAGATTTCAAGCTGGCAGGTTCCTGTAAACCTGGCGGTAAATTCTTGATTGCTACGTTGGTGCGATTGTGTGCTTCCCATGAAGACCGATCTGCTCCCGTCCCTGCCCACGATTGTGATCTGTTGAATGTTGCCGAAGCAGCTGATCCTCGAGAAATGATTCCACCACCACCAGGTTGAGGGAAACGCATACCTATTTTGTAGAAATTGATAAACATATATTGATGATCCTATTTTAGTCTTACCTGTATTTCGGTGAGATCCGGCACCTGATTGAAGCGTCGATTCGATGTATTCATTCTTTACATGGCTAACAGAGAGCGGATGTAACATAGAGGCGGGTGTTGCATAGTCGTCCTCCTCAGGGTTTCGAAAGCCTGTCCATGGCTTACCTGGTACAAATTCATGAATGACTGTATTTCCAGAGCTACCAGAAGCTGATCCTTTATCGTCCTTATCGCCCTGCTCGGAATTCGGCCACGAGGGCGTCATTGTGTTCGGCAAACATGTCGACCAAGTACTTTCGGTTATGGATATGCCGCCAGGCGGAGCCATTACCGATTGACTAGAGGCTTTTGAATCTTTCCACATGGACAGCTTCGATTGGCTAGTGGGGAATGGTGGCTGGGCAGTATACGGCTGTGCTTGAGAAATCTTTATTTGAGAAAAATCGTTGGAGAGATCAGACGACGACGGGTTATTGTCGGTGTTCGATAAGAGTAAGCCTACTTTTGGAGCGGAAGCTGACGACTGGATAGTCTTGGTATTAATGATACTGTTTATGGATCTTGTAACTTCGGAAATTTTCTTGTTGAGGTCCTGTATATTTTGTTCTATATGGTGGATATTAATTTGCGCCTGAGGCGAGATGGCGTTGGTTGATTGATACGCTTTCTTTTGACTTTGCAATTTTTGCAGTATTTGGTGCAGTTGAAGTAGAGTCTGGATCTGTTTGAGCATAGTTTCATCGGTAGGAAACTGCAGTACACTATTCGGTAAGATTCGATTGTTGACTAGTCGCTGCAAGTCTGTCTGCAGCATATTTTGCGGCATACCGATCGATGACGCCTTAGGTTTATTTGCTAAATCACTTAAGGCGGCACTCATTTCCAAATTATTCGATATAAGAGCATTTTGAGCTGCTTCCTTTGAATATCCCTGTTCAACCAACTTTTGAATTGTACCTCCTCGACTTGGCATTCCCATTTTTTCTTCATTGGTCTGCTGCGCTGGAGTTGTCCAATCCTTTTCACCCCAACCACCTCCACCTCCACTTCCACCTCCACTATTGCCTCCTCCACTTCCACCTCCAGTGTTTCCTCCTGTAGGCTTCGAATTCGTCGATTGCTGATGCCATAAAGCCGTCCCATTGTCGATTTCAGAGCGCCTACTTGAGTCTGGGCCTTGCCAGTCTTCACCCCATTGATTCTCATCCCAGTTACCTGTTTCAACTTTGGATCCACTACTTTCCCAAACGCTCGGTGGCTTAGAAACATTACGCTGTACGTTTGGTGATCCCCATCCGCTGCCCGTTCCATTACCCCTATTTGGCGTTGATGAAGGATTTGATTGCGCTGGTGCATTTCCACCCCAAGACGAATTTGGTGCACTTTTCCATTGAGGTCTCCGGGACCATTGATTATTATCGTCATTGCCAGTATTACCACCACTACTGCTATTATTAGCACTTCCACTTGGAGGATCTCTATTATTTCCTCCCCTGTTTTCCCCTTCATGTCCACCTCCCCTGCCTCCCCACATACTTAAGTCGCTGTCTGACCGACCAGAATTCCACTGGTGTTGGGATTGCTGAGTATGCTGTTGCGGTCCCCAACTATTCGATCTTTGCGCTGGGTGAGGAGGATGAGAAGAAGCACCATTCCAAGTTTGAGCACTATCACTTTCGGTACTAGATGCACCGACGGTTTCAGCTTTGCAAGTCTCCCAAATAGCAGTACCGTTATTATTTTGCCACTGATTTGAGGATTCAGGTGGAAGAGCGCTGTCTGCACGAGCTTTAACATCAACCTCCCACTTGACATCTTGTCGCACGGGCAATTTACCCCAACCGTCGGGGTTACTGACGATATCTTCTGACGGCTTCTCACAAGATGGCGAAGCCGGTTTTGGCTTTGGCCAACTGCTGTCGCCTCCCGTCCAAGACGACTGGCTACTGTTAGAACTACTGCAACTATTGCCATTTGAAGCAGGCCACGAGGAGCTTGGAACGCCCTTGTCGTCCCAGTGCGATTCGACGCCGCTGTTACTTCCCCAACTGCCAGTTCCTTTGTCACCCCAATTGGAGTTTGTGTTACCGCCGTTACCTTGATTCCAAGTAGATTGTCTTCCGCTGTTTGAGTGGCCATTACCATGAGATCCCCACGAACTTCTTTCGCCGGACGGCTGACCCCAAGCTTTTTCCCCACCCCAATCAGCTTTATCCGGTCTCGGACTGGGACCAGGAGATCCCCATGAGCCTGATTCAGCCTTGGAAACGGAATCTGCAGGTTTGTCCCACTGGCTGCTGGACGGTTGTGCCCATGTAGAACTCGTGCAAGGCCAAGAAGACTTGGAGGGCGATTGGACAACAGATGAGGACGGATTACTCCATGCGTTTTCACGCTCAGTATGCATTTGATGCGCGTTAGACATTGATTCCTGTGGTTAAATGATAATAAATACAGTCAAATATGGCTGCCGCTTAATAGATGTATAACGGGGCTACTTACTTCGGAATTGAATCGTCTACTGTTCACAGCAGGCCACGCATTTTCGTCTTTTCGATCGACTATAATCGCGTTTTTCTTTTCTAGCGACGAACTATTATCACAGTGAAAAGTCGCCGATTCCGATGCGCCTTTATTCGCAACAGAATTAGTATAATTCGAGTCGCTCAACGATATGCCCGTTTGCGACATGCTTAAAACTCTTCATAGATGAAGTTCGAGTAAAACCATTAAAAGTCAGGCACTTACAATACTCAATGGTGCCGATTCTTAGCAAAATCGACTACTGTAGATTGTTTCATTTTGTCTTGATAGCCATTTTGGTTATTGTCTGCCTGCTAGGTACCCGGATTGTTACCGAATTCTTTCTCGAAAAGCGGTCACAGAATGCGTATCCCACCTGACGTCATTTCCGTTTCCACGAACATTTATAGGGAGTATCAAGCCTAATTTGATCGAGTATTAAGAACCCCCGCCCTTACTACCAAGGATCAGCAAATTTCAATATTTATTACAAGGTCAACCATACTTGAAATTAATGTTTAATCCCATTGAAGAAAATATACTTGATTGATTATGACTTATTTTATTAACATTTTTAAATATTATACTACTCAAGTTTAAAAGTTATGTTACTTTTGTTTGAATTAAAACGAACAAAGTTAAGAAAGAAGTTCTCACTCGTATCTTATCATAAAAGTTATATCAAAATAATTCTTCTTAAATTTAATGAAAAGAATTTAAAGCAAATTAATAAAATTTACACTTAATTTTACTATTCGATCATTAAATTTCCTTTTTACTAGTTAAAAAGCACGTTAGTCAAATTGTGCGATAATCGGGCTACGAATGTTATAATTAAACTTTTAACACTATCAAGACATCAAATTTACTTTTAAAAAGGTAATTGTGACAATGAAGTATTAAACTTCTCTAAAAGTTCTTAATAAACTAATTTGAGTGCGCGAAAAGAGTTTGTAAAAACAAATAGTTCCTCTTTCAATATGTTCTCAATTTTCGTTGCTTTGGACTCGAGCCAAACTTAATTATATATAAAACAGCTAGTAGCACACTTCGAGATACTGTTTATTTTTCATAAAAAATACCATATAAGCTAATGCTAAAAATTACATGTATTACTAAAATCATGATTATGAATGCAAAATTTAGTCAGAGGTTATATGACAATCAAGAGCTAAAGATAACTTTTCTTATTCTAAGCAAACCAATTTAGACCAACTTAAACGATTTGCATAAAATTATCTTTCAATAGGCTTTACTTACTACCCATATTATTTACAGAAAAAAGCCTTAAAATAGATTAGCGTCCGAACGTTGAGAAAATGGAAGATCAGTACTCTATATCCAAGGTAACTTACTATAAAGTATTTACAGATATGGACGAGTCTAATCAGTAATAAGCTCAATTATACTACATTATAATAGACTATATGATTTATAAACTAATTTATGTGGAATAGAATTTTGTGAATATTTAAGTCATTTACAGGGTATATTCGCTTTTCAAGGCACACGAAAAACTATAACACATGGTATGAATTACATAGCTTACTATCAAACCGATTTGTATACTTAAAATTTTTTAGATTAACTGGCTAAAAATAGATACCAAAACTAATGCTTTGCTTTAAAAATCATAAATATTTGATACTATAGAATTGATAGACTATTAGTCTGATTATCACAGATTAAGTTGTACTCTTTCACTCTAGGATCATATTTATCTTTTATTAAAAAAAGATTAACTTTTCCAAATTTGTTACAATACAGAATTTTCCAGTCCAAACAACAAAAACAGGATTGAATATGGAGAAATTTTATGTAATGAAATGGAAAATAAGATTGCTGTAAGAAGAAATTATATAAAATATATTTGACTAAATATCACTTATACAATAAAAAAACTGACTTTTTCTTTAGACTATACAAAAGGAGTTATTATCTAACGTTTACCGTGACATATTGGATTTTATTGGTAAATCTGGAGCTGAAAAATTCAATGATATAGAAGTGCCAACAATAGGATTCGTTATGGGTAAGTGCAGACGCTTAGTGTTCTTTTTTTACTTATAAACCGGATATAAGAAAGTTATTATTTTGGTCTGCCGCTTTTCAGGAACTAATACAAGTGAACATGAATCGATTATACTCAACCTAAAAAAGGAGATTCTAAAGTCAAATACTACTTCATTTGTAGCAGCAATATCTAGAAACATATCAAATACGGGACAATTTTATAAGGATCTGCTGGAGTGCTTAACTGAAGAAGACGATACGATAGTTGAAAACTCAGACGATGAGAATACGGAAACTAATAAATCCTTTATGAAGTTATCTGCATCAAGAGCTACTTTTGGTAGTCTTGTGAAGTGGTATGAAGAAACTGAGGTTAATAACATCATGCTGCTATTTTAGGCTTTTTTTTTAAGGCTTCTTACAAACATCATTTACGGTATATATATATATATATATATTCTTTATTTATTTATTTATAGAGCAAATCGCCTGTTATTGTTGTTGTACCCGATATGCACAATTTTCCATCGACTATTCTAGAAGACTTTGTTACACTCAGCAGGTAAATATTAAAAAGGATTTAGGCATTATTATATAAAAATATCATCTTCTGCAGCGCATATTCTCATCAAATCCCCGTTGTTTTAATCTTGGGATTGTCAACAGCAATTACCACAATTCATAAATCCCTCTCTCAATCCGTAACTTCTTTAATGAGCATAGAAACGTATTACGCACCAACACCTTGTGATCATTTATTGGAAATTATAAAAAGAGTAATTTAATTCAATCATTAATCTTATCGTTATAGATAAGAAAAATACTGAGAATTATGTATTTAATTTAATAGGTTATACTTAATCCGGATTTCCCAATAAAGCTGCCCTATAAAACATTCCGGTTAATGATGGATGACTTCTTATCTCATAATTTCTCGGTTAAAAACTTCGAGTTGATGTTAAAGGTTCGCAAAGATATTCTATAAGAAAAGCACTTATTTAAAACAAAAATCCTCTTAAATTTAATAGTTTGTTGTACTTCAACATTATTTTTGTAATGAATTAAGTACATACTGTCAATCTTTGGATCGAGTCAAAAGTAAGATAAAAAGCGCTAAAAAATCTGATCTTCAAATTCTTATTAAAGTAAAATCATTTCAAAGGTACGTGACTTTTATCTTATTTAACTTAGAGTAAAAAAATTAATGATTGTCGAATTCCTAGTATATTACTTCTTTCCTTCAATATAGTTACTTGAACAACTTAGTAGCTGATGAGAGGGAATCAATATTGAAAGATACCATAAAACTTAAAGTAAGAGCGATAATCATAACTAATTCTATATTATTCTATAATCAATTTAATTTTGTTAGGATCTAATATCTGCACTTATGGAAGAATTTTACGTTTACCAAGTTAACTTTGAAATAGGTTTAAAGTGCCTTAATGCATTTTTTAGTAGAATACCCCAATGTTCTTTGGGAAGAAACTTGAGAGATATTTACGTTAACTGCTTAAAGACAAACATCACGCAAAAGGAGGAGTTCGAAGATAGTTTAAAAGTGATTAGGTACCAATAAATTGTGCATAATAGTGCTGCAAACAAACTAATCATTTTCTCTAAAGTTCTTTTTCAAAGGTGCAATTATCGATTATTCTCAGTGAATGCATATCAATACTTGAAGGATCAAATTTAACTGATGCTTTAGAAACACTTGACAATTTCTTATCGAAAGTGAACAATAGTGAGGGTATGTTCAATTTCAAATTCAGAGTGATATGTACATATAGCATGGATTATATACTACAAAATCTATAAAGCTTAAGCTATACTAATAGCTTTTGTCTCTCTTGTTTATTTTTAGCTTTAATTGTAAATTTCTTACTTTTTCTATAGAAACTGCAGAAGAAACAGACAAACAGGAACAAGATGAAAATGATAATGAGCTTATTCTCCCAGAAAAAACTAGCTTAAGCGCACTGAAACAGGTTAATTAGAAAATTTTCTATTTATGACCTTTGAATCATACTTTCTTACATTGTTATCCTACTATAGACTCTGAAGAAAATGAATGAGAAAAAACAGAACAAGAAAATGACTCTTTTCGAACGCCTTAAGCGTGATTGTATTAATTTCCTCAACGAGTTCTTCAGGTAATATTTTACTTTGACATTATATTATTAATGTAACAAGTGAATTTAGGTAAAAAAAAATCTGCGTATGATGTTGCTTGGAAAAGTAACTAATTTATTAATAGAAATTTAAAGCTTTTCATTTCTAATAAATGATGCAAATATATTTATACTAATATTGTTAGGGATTATAGGCGAATTTAAAATGATATTTTACTTGTTTTGGCATAGTACGACAAATAATTTTTCTCTAGTGGTTCAGCTTAATTTTTAGTTGTCTGATTTATTAGCAAATAACAAGATGAGTTTTGTTCTAATTATAGCTTAATTTACTTTGAAATCCTTAATATATATTCATAAAAAAACTTGATACAGCTCTCTCGGATATCAGATAATTATTATTTAGTAAACAGACTTGTAGTTTGTATTAGGATACAACCATATTTATAATTAAATATATATTTAGTTGTTACTAAAATAGAGATTTAGGTTATTACTTTAGTTCAAAATGTAGGACAGGTGAAGATTAATCGTCTAAATATCTATCTTAATTAGGTTAATTAGTTTTTCTCGAGTACTTTATTAAGTAGGAAACTCAGGAAGTATAATGAAAAATATAAAATAAGGTGGACATTTTTTAAACCTTTGGACAACATTAAAGCGTCATTTTATCCTCTTACTCATGAATTTGATGTCACGTAACTCTAAAAAAATTGGAATGCAGATACTTGGCCTTAGTATCTCAAATATTTTGCAATTGCTGTAGTTTCATCGATTCCTTCTTTTTGCCCTAATTAAAGTTTATTTGATAAAAATTGCACTAATTCTTATTTTGATTGACATCCTATCTCTATTTTATTAATTTACTTTTGTTTTTAAATAGTGAAACTCTTAAACCACCAAGGAAAATTGTTTTCTTTGAAGTATTTTACCCAAGTAACACTATTGAAGGAAGATTTTATGAAAATGTTACAAGAGACCCATTCTCAACACCGAAAAAGCATTGATTATTTTTTATTCTTGATGAAAGTTGTGTTCATTTTATACATGTTTTTTTTAATATTTTAACTTTTTTTTCATTTATTTCTCTCTAATTGGGGGAATTTCTATCAGGTGCATTTTAAGTGTTCTGTTTAACAAAACTTATTAATATATTTCTTAGTGTAATTATATATATTTTATAGAAAGTGAAATACAAGTTTATCGACTTTTATCTCAAGCTATCTTCTTCTCGTTACTAAAAGTTCATAGCCTATATATTAATATGTTCTTGTTTGTTTTCTATTCGCTCTCAATACGAATAAGTACAATAATTAAATAAGACAAGTTAAATCGGTATACATAATCTATACTTATAGACAAAGTCGACCAAATAAGCAAATAAAGTATCGATTTAGCAATACAATCATGCCCAAATACCCTATTTATAAAAAGAAACAATATCTTTCTGTTGATTGTTGAATTGTCAGAGAGAATATAGCAAATTGCAGTTGATGTGATCCTGTAATTGTAACTTTCCGTTCTTGTAATACAGTTCTATTCAATATAATCTTTTATTTTAAGTAAATAATTGTTTTTACAAATTTATAGCCAGAATTCGAGTTGAACTATAAAAATCATTTTAACGGTGACACGTTTATGAGGGGAAAATCGTAAAATAATAAAAAACAAAGGTTATTTTAAAAAAAACAAAGTCTTTTCTAAAATATAATAGAAAACAGTAAAATACAATTTTAATAGAATAAATAAGATTTATAGAAACTAGACTAATATTTTGTATAAAAAATAAAATGATATTTATAACTATATACAATATTTACAGTAGTTGTTAATTAGTCTGAACTAATTTTATCTTTTAAACTATTTATTCTTTCATCAATTTCTTTTAATAATTCTTGTTTATCCAAAAAGTTTTTTTTTCGATTATTTAAACATGTACTACATTCTTCTTTTAATAGAACTCTATATTCTGGATTTGTCTCTTCTAGTTTAACAATTCTGCTTTCTAAATCTTGAATTCTTTCGTAAATATGGCACGATCTCCTCTTATCGTTGAATAATAATAATTGATTCTCCATATTTTCAATTCTTTCTAATAGTGTATTCTTTTCCGATTCCTGATTATACATTTCTTTCTCGCGGTCAGAGTGAATATTTTGAGGACCAATTTCATTGTAAACGCGTTCAACTGATGAAAGAATTATCAACAAACAATATAAAGAGAAGAATTAATTACCTTTTATATGACTTTTATTATTTTCTAGTTTTTTTACTATAGAACATGTCCTTGCACATCCATCTGAATTAACAATATATTTTTATTAAATCGAATAAAGTGACAATATTGTTAATTTCTTAACAAAAATCACTGAAATTTACCTTGATTCTCTTCACTTTCGGTGTCACAAAATTCTTTACGATTTAATAAATTCACTTTTCGACGTTTACTTTTAATGAATTCATCAATTTTCTGTTTCATCTGAAAAAGCAAATTATAGAATAGATATCCATTAAAATTTAATAAAACGGCTCCTCTTACTTCCATGTATGAATTATTCAAGTGAACTGCTGCAGAAGAGTTTGTTTCGAGGTCTCTTACAATAGACTAAGGAAGATTAACGAGTCATTAATAGTATACGTATGTTATTAAAATATTAATGAATACCAACGCTTAAGGATTGCACCAAATGCTTCAAACGTAATAATAATAAAGATGCACTCGATGAATCATTACATGTCACTTTGTGAAGATACTCAATATCTTCTGGTTTGTAGAGCTGAGACTGAACATGAGCGATAATGGAACAAATTATGAAATTATTGAAATTTTTGAAACAAATAGACCATAGAAAGAAATGAAATATGTGATTTCATTTTTAAATAAAGAATTCTATGCATAGCAGAATAAACTAACTTGCTCGATAAAGTTAACAAGAGTTGTAGAGATAAGTTCTTCCCAATTGATGTTTTGAGACATTACCAGTTTTGTAGAAAGACCAATGATATTGTGTAAATTTTGCACAACTTCACGCACGTGAGAAGTTCATAAACGTAAGTTTTAGTAGTAATTGTTAATTTTTGCTATTAAATTCGGCTCAATTTAACAACTTTCACCTCAAAGTTAATATTTCTCTTAATTTTAATGTACTTGTTTGACAAAATTATAAGATTTTAACTCATATTTTCATTACCTACTTTATCGGTCAGATGGTTCGCAAAAAATTAGACAACCGCATTCGAGTTCTTATTGAAAATGGAGTTAGAACGGGACATCGGTCTATGTTCGTTATTGTTGGTGATAAAGCGAAGGATCAAGTTGTTATTTTGCATCATATGTTATCGAAATCGGTCATAAAAGCTCGCCCATCAGTTCTATGGTGCTACAAGAAAGATTTAGGATTCAGTAGTCATCGTAAAAAGCGAATGAAGCAAATTCAGAAAAAGATAAGAAGTGGAAAATTGGATGTTAAAGAGGATGATCCTTTTGAATTGTTTGTTGCGGCTACAAATATCCGCTATTGTTATTACAATGAAACGCATAAAGTCCTAGGTAACACTTATGGTATGTGTATTCTACAAGATTTTGAAGCAATAAGTCCAAATTTAATGGCTAGAACAATTGAAACGGTAGAAGGAGGAGGTTTAATAGTTTTCCTCATGAAAAGTGTTAAGTCTCTAAAGCAATTATACTCAATGACAATGGATGTTCACGCAAGGTTTAGAACCGATGCTCATCAAGATGTTGTTGGTCGATTTAATGAGCGCTTTATACTTTCCTTAGGTTCATGCCAAAATTGCATGGTTGTTGATGATGATTTAAATATTCTACCTATCTCATTGCACACTCTTAACATAGAAGCAATTCCTCCCCAACCAATAGCAGAAAATGAGGAACTTAAAGAATTAAAAAGTTCTATGTCTGACACACCTCATGTTTCCGCTATTGTAAATTGCTGTAAGACACTGGATCAAGCAAAATCTGTCTTAAAATTCATCGATGCAATCTGTGAGAAAACTCTAAAAAATACTGTAACAATGACCGCAGCAAGAGGTCGAGGAAAGTCAGCAGCTTTAGGATTATCTCTCGCCACAGCTGTTGCGTACGGCTACTCTAATATTTTCGTAACTGCTCCTTCCCCCGAGAATCTAAAAACTTTGTTTCAGTTCGTCTTGAAAGGTTTTGATGCTCTAAAATATGAAGAACACACCGACTATGAATTAATCGAATCGACAAACCCAGATTTAAACAAAGCAATAGTACGAATTAATGTAACTCGAGAACATCGTCAAACAATTCAGTATATTCACCCAACGGATGCTCATAAACTCAGTCAGGCTGAATTGGTGGCTATTGATGAGGCAGCCGCCATCCCTCTTCCATTGGTAAAGGATATGTTGGGTCCTTATTTAGTTTTACTCTCATCAACAATAAACGGTTATGAGGGTACTGGTCGTTCACTTTCCTTAAAATTAATTAATCAGTTGAGAACTGGGAATACTGAAGAAGTAGGTGCAAGGAAGCTGACAGAAATCGAATTAAATGAGAGTATTCGTTATGCAAATGCTGACCCTATTGAAGGATGGTTGAATAATTTACTTTGCTTGGATGCATCAAATGTAGCACCTATCCTTTCCGGATGTCCTCTACCAGAAGCTTGTAATCTATATTATGTCAACCGCGATACTTTATTCAGTTATCATAAGGCTTCTGAAGCGTTTCTTCATCGATTGATGGCTTTATATGTGTCAAGCCACTACAAAAATTCTCCTAATGATTTGCAATTACTCTCAGATGCCCCAGCTCATCATATCTTTGTTCTTTTACCACCAACAAAGAATAAAGGGGCTATTCCAGAAATTTTATGCGTTTTGCAAGTATGCTTAGAAGGAGATATTTCGAAAAAGGTTGCCTTGAATACTTTGAGGAGAGGCGATCGGCCTTCTGGTGATTTAATTCCCTGGACCATATCTCAACAATTTACAGACGAAAATTTCCCATTACTATCTGGAGCACGAGTTGTAAGAATAGCTACCCACCCGAGTTACCAAAAGATGGGATACGGTACAAGAGCTTTACAACTCTTAGAGTTATATTACAAAGGGTCCTTTACATCTCTTGACGATCCATGTGAAGACAGCGATAAGAATGAAGATGTGGAAGGTTCAGATAATGATATGGATGACAGTGCTGACATAATTTTACAGGAAGAAACTTTAGCTCCTAAGAAAAAGCTGAAGCCTCTATTAGCCGAATTAAGTGAAAGAAAAGCGGAAAAGTTGGATTACTTAGGGGTGTCTTTTGGAATCACATCCGAATTGTATAGATTTTGGAAGAAGAGTGGATTTGCTCCAGTTTACATAAGACAAACTTCTGTAAGTATGAGTAAAAAACCGTACCAAGAGTTTCTGTATTTCATTCATAATTATATTTAGAATGAACTAACTGGTGAACATTCCTGTATAATGTTGAAAGTATTGGAACTTGCTGAAGAGAAGTCCTCGATATGGTTAGACCAATATTTCTTAGGTAAGCCAATTCATTTTCTGTACAAGATTTTGTCTTTACTTTTCATTTAACTATTTTAGATTTCCAAAAACGTTTCATTTGTTTACTTGGATATGATTTTAGAAAATTTACATGTTCTATGGCTTTGAATATCCTTCAAAGGAAAACTAAAATAGAACAGAAAAAATTGCCAAAAAATGAATTGGAATATTATGTAACTTCTCATGATCTTGGTCGATTAGAAACCTATTCAAGAAATTTGGCTGATTACCACCTTATAACAGATTTATTACCAGCTCTATCAAGATTACACATTCAGAATAAGCTTGTTATATCTGGATTAAATAGTTTACAATCAGCTATTCTCGTTGGCATGGGTTTACAATACAAGAAAGTTGATGATTTAGAAAAGGAATTAAAAATACCCGGTTCTCAAGTCCTAGGTCTGTTTGCTCGTGTTGTAAAGAAGATCGTTAAAAGTTTACACGAAACCTTGGAAAAAGAATATAAAATAGAAGATGAAACTATAGAAGATAAAAAGGTAACTGAAGAAGATAAAGAACTATTACAAAGCGACTTGAAAGAATTTCATATTGCTACAAAAGAGGACGAATGGATGAATGACGCAATGGAAAAAGCCGCCAAATCTGGTGGTATCTTATCCGTTAAGGGGTCAGTAGTATACAATGCATAAAAATTTAGAAAGTAATATGGTTTGATCTATTTTGTAGGAAATTTGAAAAGAGTAAGAGAAAAGTTGAAGAAAACTCTGATAAGAAGCATAAAAAGAAATTCAAGAAATCTAAAACAAAGCACTAACTTCTTTTTCGTGTACAGTTTCTTGAGTTTACGTTCTTGTTTATTATTGAAATTGATTGTGAAATATAAAAATTATGTCAATTAACAGGTATAATCAATTTTTTTGAATTTATTATAGATAATTCAATATTCAATTAGAATCAATTTATCTTGAACAAGCAAGTGGGAAAAATATCTCACTTTCTTTTTAAGAATTTAGCAATACCATCTTGCGCTGCATTATACTCAAGGTTCGTTAACATAACACAAGAAGACTTTGACAAGGCCTCGTCCTCTGGAAGATTAATTTGCTCGTAGAAAGCCTTTTTGCCTAACGATATAACACTTCGGTCAACACCACAAACGTCAGATACGATTTCATTAATGCAATCATCCAATGCCTCTTTGCGGACAACTCTAGATACTAAACCCGACCTAAGAGCTTCTTCAGCCGTAATGGGCTGACCGGTGAATAACATATCTGCGGCAACTTTCCTGGGAACGCTTCTTGCTAATGGAACACCAGGTGTGGAGCAAAATAATCCAACTTTAACTCCCGGTGTTGCAAACTTTGAATTCCTTGTTGCCACAGCAAGATCGCAGGTAGCAACTATTTGACACCCAGCAGCCGTAGCTAAACCGTCAATAGCGGCTAAAACGGGTACCGGTGCCAATCTAATTGCTTTCATAAGAGCTTCACATTTTTCAAATACAGCTGCTTTACCTTGGATATCTGAGTCAACCAATTCCTTGAGGTCATGACCGGCAGAAAAGACGCTGCCTGATGATCGTATAACAACAATTCTATTTTCTTCACTGGTGCTCTTTACATGGTTCAAAAGTTCGTCAAGCATTTGGGAAGAGAGTGCATTTCGTTTCTTTGTATTGCTCAGAACAATCGTTCTTGTTTTACCTTGATTAGATTCTACACAAGAGGTTAAGGAGGAGCATCGCCTTAATTGAATTAGGGAGATATTTTTCAAAATATTCCGATAGATAGGCAACATATTCATTTGTCTTATGTCAAGGACTTTTACATACATCTAACGCCATCTGTTATTTTCAAAAATACTTCTTTACTTTTTATAGTTATTTATTACATGACTTTGAGATATTTACAAGGACGTTATCATTAATATACATTCAAAATAGCCTAAATATTTAAAAACAATTCATATGCTTATTAACTTTTTTCTAATTCAGGTTTAACTTTTGCAATTTCTTGAAAAATACGTTCTTTTGCTCGTACGACTTTTGATTGAAGGTATAGAGAACCACCTCTTGTTTTGGAATTTATATCGAATAAGTGTTTATAGTTTTTGTTTATTCCTTCTACATCTTTAATATCCTTTACGTTTAGCACTTGTAGAGCTTCTTGGATAGTTATTCCTGTTACTGTGTCACCAGATTCTTTACTAATTGGGGAAGTTTTAGCTCGAGCTTTGGCAGCTCTTTGAGAAGCCTCTATCTCCTGTCTAATTGACCGTAGAAAGGCTCGACCAACAACTTGAGTACCATTGAAGACAATTTGAGCCAAATATTTAGTGGCCTGTTATAAAATTTAGTTTTAATGGAAAGAATTAACATCTAAAAATCTAATGTAAACCACATAGAGAAATTACGAAATAGTTACGTGAGAACATGGAAATGAACGATATTGGGGAATATCATTTATTTACTGATTATTAAATAAATCTTTCAATTAAAAACAAAAGTAAACTAACTTAAATATTATTTTTTACTATTTATACAAGAATGAAAGTGTTTTAATTTGTAATAATAAAGAAAACAGAAGTAACCTACCATTGGAAGCAAGGACTTTGCGGTCAATCCGAACGAAATATACTTGTCAGTGGGATACGTAATCCGTTCCTAGAATTTTTAAAGTATGGTTTTTTAATCATAGATTTAATTATTTTAATCGATTTATAAAGCAATAAAATTTGTTTAGGAATATTATAAAACTTAAAGTTAAAGATTGGAAAGCATCAAAAAATATGTATACTTTTGACATATTTAAAGATTCTTATTGTTATCTCTACATTCAAATAAAAATCTAAAACTCTGAAAAAAGTGACTTTTTTCTGTGCTATGACCAAATTTTAATGTTTTAAAGCTCGATTAGAGCAAGTTAATGACGTGGCATTCTGTGCTAAATTCGCAATTGGATACATAGTATTACCTTGAGCAAACTTTCAATAAGAAAATCTAAGTATATGGTAAATATTAACTTTGTCATCTCTCGTTCTCTTTATTAAACTTCAAATATAGGCGTGGAGAACGGGGTAAAGTAGTATATATATATATTTATAGAAACACAAATCTAGGACGAAATGAGTGAACCCGAGAAAGTTTCTCATCTATTGTTAACAGTGTATAATGCAAAATATAAATAAGCTATTTTTTTTCATAGCTTTAAAACTTTATTGATAGTTAACAGTGTCAATTTCAACCTATATAAACGTTTTTATTATTTTTCTTTGAACAATTATAGTGTAGAAAGCACTATTTTGAGTTAGGCCTTGTTATTGATTCTGAACATCTGCTCGTTCTCTGAAAGTTGACTTCATAACGAATTTGAATATCCGTAAGCTATGAGCTCCCACTGGACACCTATTGAAGCCGATTTGGCTGATAAACTAAGAGATTTTAAACTATCTCAAATTGGAGAAAATACTAAAGCTATTTGTACTAAACCTAAGCTTAAGAGTGTTGTAAAACCTGTTGTTCCAGCAATATGCCACTCATCTACCTTTGAAATAGAATCTGTTGAAGATTATTTGAAAATTCTGAAGGAAGATGGCTATATTTATTCAAGACTTGGAAATCCTACTTGTCAAGCTGTTGAAGCAACAGTTTCTGCTTTGGAGGAAGCTTATGGGTCCCTTACCTTCAATACTGGTATGGCAGCTATATCGTCTATATTGATCTCCATCTTGAAGTCTGGTGACCATGTAATCTGTCAAAATCCTGTATATAGCGGGACGTATAAATTTCTTTCTACATACTTATCTAGACTAAACGTTACTACAACATATATTCCGGCTGGCTCACCAATTGAGGTATGGGCTGCCGAAATAAAGCCAGAAACAAAAGTACTATACGGTGAGACACCGTGCAATCCAGACATGGCCGTTCTTGACTTAAAACGCTTTGGCGAACTTGGTAAGAAGCACCAAATAATCACAATTATTGATTCAACTTTTGCATCTCCGACCATAACTAAACCGCTTAATTACGGTATTGATATTGTCGTACATAGTGCCACGAAATACATGGGGGGCCATTCTGATCTAATGGGTGGTGTAGCTGCTACAAACAGTCAAGCGCTGTGGTCAGAGTTACAAATTACTAGATCTGAACTTGGATCAAATTTATCTCCCCATGAAGCTGCCCTACTACTGAGAGGTTTGAAAACTCTTCCAATACGTATGAAGCGACATTCGGACAACGCTTTGAGTATTGCTAGATATCTTGAAAGTAGAAAAGATAAAATATCTAGAGTTTTTTATCCTGGATTGCAATCTCATCCAGGCCATGAAATTGCAAAACAACAAATGAAAGACGGTTATGGCGGAATGGTTTCGTTTGAAATGAAAAATGGCTTGGAAGGAGCCAGAGCGATGGTCGAATCACTAAAAGTGATCAACTTGGGTGTATCTCTTGGAGGTGTTGATAGCCTAATTTCCCATCCAGCTTCGATGACCCATGGCCCAATGATTATGGATGATGAGGAGAGAAAGAAGGCTCGAATAACGTCTGGATTAATCAGATTAAGGTAAGATAGGGAGTGAGTTTAAAAAAAAAACTGTAAAAACTAAAATATTTCCCCTTTCAGTGTTGGATTAGAAGATGAAGAAGATTTGCTTGAAGATCTTCGTATGGCTTTGGAAAAAGTTTAACAGCCAATAGTCTGCAAGATAATTATAAAAGCAAAGTTTTATATTACACTGTTTGTTATTATCTTTCACTAATACTAGATAACCGGCTTGTAATGTAATGAAGCTAAGCAAGATAATAAATAAAAGAAAGATAACTTGAAAAGTTTATTGCGAAATTATAATTGATCTAGGTATATCCATTTCAACACTTTTCCAGAATGCAATCTTTAATACGATTCTCCATCTTGTGCCAAATCTAAATAGGTATCTTCGGTTATGTTTATAAATTCTCCTTTTTGTCTGCTAAACATAAGGACATCTCCAGTGAAAGTATTGAACCACAGTGCGTGAATCTTAATATGACCTTCCTCTAAGCTTTTCTTGATTATTGGAAAAGCTGATATATGACTTATTTGTTGTAAAGTATTCACCATTGATAAACGATCGACAGTCGAAAATGATGTATCTATTTTAGCGGTGAATGGCTTTAATTCTTCTGAGAATGATATTGGTCCACGACCATCGGATTTCTCTAGTTCGCCAAATTTCTTAAGAGTAGGCTTCCCACACTTTTGTATCCAAGAGGTTAAAGGAGATTCCTTCTTTGGTTCATTGATTATATCCCTCATTCCATATAGCGCGTGCATTGCCTGGTGTGAACCGTAATACGAAATTTAAAGATACTAGAAAAAGTTGATAAATTTCACTTATCACACCTTACAATCTGAATGACCACAGACTATAACATGACGAATTTTGTTTATAACGCACCCCAACTCCAGCGCTCCACCTTCAGTGGACGACTCAGCTCCTTCTCCTTTTGGTATAAAGTTTCCGGCGTTTCGGATAATGAACATATCGCCAGGTTCGGTTTGCATAATATCGGACGTCAGGACGCGACTATCCATACATGAGAACATAACAGCTTTCGTCTGAAAGGTTGATCTAAGATGGTCAAAAAGTAAGAATAATTTAACCTTCAAAGATTATACCTGTGGTTGTTTCTGAAGTTCTGCAAGACGTTTCACTAACGATGGCTGAACATTTTTTGAGAATTTTAAAACTCCTTTCAGCAGATTTCCTAGAACTGACATGGTCAGAATTCGTTGAAAGCCTGCTTTTCGGTTTGGACAAGGCAAGAAACCTTAGGCAAGGTCAAGGCTAACAAAAACTTTCTAATTATCGTTCAATGGATTTTAAGCAATAACTTGGCTCTTTCACATTAACTTAAATATATTATTAAATTAAATAAATAACAATAGATATTCTGAAAAATATATTTTTTTACGAAATCTTTACTTAGTACCACGTGATCATAATAAACTAGAATGGCAGAGAAAATTAGAACAAAGAAAAGCCAAATTCAAAATGTATGTAAACAACCCAGCGAAATAACTCAAGTCGAAGTTATAATATAGATAATTAAATAATTGTTATATAGTCTCTATTTTTATGTACATAAATCATTCGATGTAACTAAAATTTACTTGTGAAATCTATGTCGCAATTGCGAAACTATGTTTATCAGCTGACGCTCACTCAGTAAAATGCCTGTATCTTTAACTTAATAGTTAAAATTAATTGTTGGTCATAATGTCTTCTATATTATAAAAACTTTTCAGATTGGCGAACCCCCACCCTCCGTAACGTTAGAGGACTTCCATGGATTAGAAAAACAAAATAGTCAATCAGGCGAACCCGATAACATCTCAGTTGGTGTTGAGTCACTCGTCGTTGGCGTCCCTACTGACGAGAAAAAGACTTATCCTTCAATATCTGAACAAGATGATATCGATGGAGAGGACTTAAAGTTAGAGAACTCCGCTGAAATGGGATCTGAAGCAATTACAACCACTCACGATAATATGGAAATTGCAAAAGAGCGGATGAAAGTTATTAAACCAGCTTCAGCACCTTTTGATTCGATGCCGTTTGACGTTATGAAAATCACCTCATTAACAGCGGCAGCTCAGTCTCTATATCCTAAACCTTCGCATGATCTCATTACAACAATGAGTCATAATAATTCAAAATACATTTCTGAAAGATGGCAAGAGGATATAGCTCTTAAGTGGTTAGAATACGATCCCGTTTCAGATGGTGACGGTCATTTACGCCAATTAATTGAGACTTATGCTGCAGAAACAAAAAAGGCAATAGTTTCTCAACAAGAAGTCGAAGATAAATTGAAACTATCTAAAAAGGAACAAGAGTTAGTCTGGAAAACTGTTACAAGAGTGACAGAAAAATATGGTAAATGCGCTGACGGAAATAATGTTAAAGTAACGCACACTTTTGAGATAAAAGAATTCGATAAGATTGCTTTTGAAAAGTTACAATCCTCCTTAACTGATTTACGTAATTCAGCCGTTACAAATGTTCATATTCACTCAGCTCGAATCGCTCGTTTAGAGCTAGATTCTCATGTTTACGGTTTATGTGTAAATCCTCATGCAGTATATATTAAGAATGCAATAAAACAATTTTGGGGATATACACGTTTTGGTGAAAGTGATGTTGTACATGTAAGTAGACATCTTTATCTTGGTATACTCTAAAGCCAAATAACATAATTATTTATTTCTTCAAAACAGAAAGACGTTCGACGTTGGATCAGTCTTCTTATAACAGCCTGGCACAATACCATTCAAGACCCGTATGAAGTGTTAGAGATAGTTGAATTGGCTGTAAGATCTCAAGCTTCATGGACAGCCAATTTCATTCAAGTTAACCCATCGTATATTGATTTAGTAATGAAATCATTACATATCATAACAAAAAGGCCTGAAAACATGGAAAAGAGAGACGCTAGTTTAGATGAGGAATGGCTTATTATAGATAATCTCGGAGAGATTGAATCAAGGACTGAAAAAGTCCTCTTAGCATTTCTCGATCAAGTTCCTGTGAGGCAATCAATATATCAAAAATTAGATAGTGGTTCTTATGATTGTGAGGTTATGATGGCTTGCGTAGAACATGTTTGTCAAATATTAGAAAATGTTACCAAGGAATACGAATCGTGCGGTACAGCACAGGAAAGGATTGCAGTGTTGTTATTGTAAGTCAATACTTATTAGTGTTGTTGAATACTTTATTTTTATGCTTCTTAAACGAATACCATTGATGTTTTTGTATTTTTCTTATCCAAATAGGCAACTTTCAAAAGTAATCGGAAGTGACTGTCGTATAAAGCAAAGTTCCAACTTCTCGAACACTTATGACGCTATCATTTTGCATTGCACCGAGGTGTTAATGTCAACAAGAAGGTAAAACATTAAAAAATAACATACATTATCATATAATAGAAATTTTTTTTTATCTCTATAGATTATGCAGATTTTCGTCATCTTTGCCATTTAATAACATTTCACCCACTGCAGCGGCTAACTGCGCCTTCATTATCCGTAAAGATGATGTTACTCAGCAGATTGAACGTCTAGAGGGACCCCATTATTTCTTAACTGCCTTGGTAAATTTGTGTAAACAGCACCCAGTTCAAATGGCTGCTGCCGCCTGTCTGGATGTTGTTGAACTATTTGTATTAAGGGAAGAAGAAACAAAACTAGCTATTACCCTTCTATCTGAACTCATATCAACAAGTCCTGACATTGTTTTGAATACATTGCTTCGCTTATCTTTAAAATTCCCAACAAAGATGGCTAAAATCTGGCACTATATCCCAGTGGAACCCTGGAGAAATCTGGAAACAAAGCTATTAGAGGAATTATTAGCTATAGATAAGACAGTTGGACAGATGATATTATCAAAAATTCCCTGGAGATTCTTAAGTTCGGAATTGCATTATTGGGTCTATAAGATTCTACTTAAAGAGCTATTTCCTCAAAGTTGGGTATGGAAGGTTGCTGTTCAGCTTCATTTTGTTCAAGTTCTTAGCTTGGAGAAAATTGAAAAAACACTTCATCTAGATAAAATGTTTCATTTTATAACTAAAATTAAGGAAGGAGCAATAACAGAATCTGTTTTAGTAGATTTAATGGAAATAATGAAGTATCTATTGCAAGATGGGCATATAATTGCAGTTTTAAAATGTCTAGACAGTTTAGACACCCATAAACCAGATTTTCCTAAGAAATTCTCTTTGGAAATCATTAAAACACTATTAATAGAACCCGAAGCTTCAAAATTGATCAAATCAATTATTGTTTCTCATATTATACGCGATCCAACAACTGCTGATTGGTGGGTTAAAATTATAACAAATATTGCGGATTGGTACGTCATACCAGAGGTTATGGATGCCTTAGAGCTACTATGCTCTGCCATTTATAGATATTCACCAACAAAAGTATCTTTTTTCGACGATCATGTGAACAATACTATCCTCGAACAGCCCAAAGGCTTAATAGGATCACTAGCTTCATGGTTTTCATCTAAAACATCAGTATTTGACAAAAGATTCTTTTTTGCATATTTCTGGTTGGGTGCTAAAAGTAAATTAGAAGAAGAAAAATGGAAACATTTGAATCATAGCGAAAGTCCGAAGAAAATACTTACGAAATCTGGTTTAGAACGTTCAGTAATATTCGAATTGGCAGAGATAATAATTATTTGTAAAGATCATTCCCTGACACCAATTTTTTGGAGTGAACTAACAAAATATGGAACCACTGGAGCACTCATACTCAAAACAAATACTAAACTATATAAGAGGCTGAAGGACCGTTTAAGCACTTCAGGAAATTCTGCTATTGACATGTTTAAATGGATAGATAATCCAAAGTTAAACAGGTATACCGTTTATAATATGTTTTGTATGTTCAATTATTTATCAACTATTTTACATGACTGTTTTCATCGTGTATAGAGTACCTGAAATTCATCAAAACTTTTCATTCGCTGATTTGGATAAATTATTAGATCAAACTAGTAAACCTTGGAGGAATATTGTTCAACCGATGTACGATCTCCCACCAACTGATAAACCAGACAGAACAACTCCTCTTAGTCGTTTTAAGCTTCATGTGGACACTGAAAAAAATACGATTATAGCTTCGTACTCATTTGATTGGAGTCAGCCTCCAATTGAGCCTATTCCTTTTAATATTTTAACCAATAAAGATGCGTTGTTAGCAAGCTGCAGATCGGAAATAGGAATTTTAACAGATGCTGCTAGTAGGGCCAGTGGTAGGGCTGCAAAACTTGTTGTCGTGGATATGGAACTACTCGAGGAACTTCTACCAAATCTGTTTTACTATATAAGCGAGAAAATAACTGTTGCAAAGGAATGTTCAAGTATTTTGCCATATCGATCATGCTCAGGTTTGTTATTCTTCATTAAATGTGTGATGATTTATACTTTAAAAAAAATTTTAGGTGCCGCGGGCATAAGCTTTCAAACTGAAATAACTCATGTAAGGGATTACACTCAAAAAAGAGTGTCTGATAATCGTTCAGATCATTCACATTTGATAATGGAAACTGTTGAAAAATCATCTAAGGTTGTTTGTTTAAGTGTTACCAAATTAAACGCTGTAACGGCCAATCTAGTACATTTAATCAAAACGACTGTGTCGGCCACCGAAAGAGAAGTTGCAGGTAGTGCTGCTATGGAACTTTTGCAGCTTATTTCATTATCTATGTCAGACGAAACTGAAATATGGCCACCAACTAATAATCTTTTTGCAAGCATTGTTGGTAAATTGGGCGAATCTGCAATGTTGGCAGTTCCAAATGGTCTTCATCACATAATCAAGTGTATACTTTGTAGGCCTAAAACTCTTTCCCCATTACTTTGTTCGGCATTTAATGTCAACAATGTCCCAGAGGAATTTTCTAACTTTTACGATGAAGTCGGCGAAATTGGGAAAGCTTATTCTCCCGAAAGTGCTCGACCTCTACTCAATCGTTTTGACTTTGACATTTGGCTTACGACCACACCAGATATAAAGCAGATTAATCGTATTGTAAAAACAATTGTCAGCGGTATTATCCACAATCCCGAACTTTCTGGAATTTATTGCATGCACGCAGCCAAATTAACGTCTTTTGGTTATTCCCAAGCTATTGATTCTTTCATTCAGGCCTGTTCCAGAGGCGAACTTAAAGATGAAGTTTGGCTACATATTGACATTTCGATCGGGTACAGATTGAATTGCTCAAATGTCTTAAGATCATTGGAGTCGACATGGCTTAGGCAGAGATCAAGTGGCTCTAATCTCTATGACATTTGGAGAAACTATATGAAGCATATGGCGAAACTTATTATGACGCTTCTAAGAAATGTTGCTGATAAGGACCAATTATTCGGCCTAATAAACGGAGTTTTGTCACCTTGGTTAATTGCCGATAAATCGAAATCTGTTCCCCAACAACCATACGAAAGCGATGTTCACGTTCGTTACGCTCAGCTAATGGCCAAAACATACGCAGAGGCTATTACTGAATTCGATTTATTGCGGTGCGGTTGGATGACGATATTTGAATTGACTTCCGGTTGGACTGGAAACGTTCGTTCCGATCTTCTACCAGTCTTTGAAAATTTGACTTGGGAAAACTTTGACTTTGAAGACCAGGAAATGTTGCATACATTAGTCGAAATGCCAAGATACTTTTTATTGAAAGTTATCAATCGCTTGCCTCTGACGAAATTGGCTACAAATCCTTCTTTATTGGGAGTAATATTACTTCTGTTTAATAGTATCTGTGCCGAGAATACTCAGAATCGTGATGATTTATTTAATTTACTAGTAATTGCTCGTACGTGGGATTGGTCCAAGGTGGCGAATGAAGATCTAATCAATTGTCTAAAAGAATTTAAACGAGTATATTCAGCTGACTGTCTTTTATCGGATAGAACAAGTTTGCATTATGGTCTTTTGGAATTAATTTGGTCCGTTTGTCGCGTACAAGATTCTTGTAATTTTGCGAGAGAATATATGACAATATTAGCTGAATTTGTTGGTGAAATTTCGAAGGAAGCTGATAAGACGAGTATTATTTACGCAAACCTTTTACAAAAAGCAGAAAATAGACCAGAATGCATACCGAATTGTTTATCTGCTCTTAACATATGTAATCCCACCTCTGAAAAACAACTACTAAATGTCGCAATCGACTGGGCACGAGGTGGAACAAATATTACAACAGAAATTGTTGACTCAGCTTGCAAGGGTTTAGCGTCTTTGGAAAGTACATGTAGAATTGTTGAAGCCAGCGCCGAATGTGCCTTTGAAAAAAATGGACATACTTCATTGGATAGTCTTGCATCATTTTTCAGAACTCCTTCACTTGGTGAATTTTCTGACGTTTGCATAAAGAATCAGGTAAAAGACAGGTGTAACATGATATTAATGAGAACGTCTTTTAATAAGCCTTCTTTTTTTTAAAGTGTATTCTAGTTCTATGTCTTATGGCTAAACGCGAAGAACCAGGTAGATTTATGGAATCAGTTACTTCATACACTAGAAAACTCAGGGATTTAAAACCGGAAAATGAACCTAAAGTCATTCAACTATGGCGTTTGGCATTGTTGAAAAATTCGATGGAGTTCGCTCCCATATTAGAAGAAATAGCTAATGCATCTACTCCGAATTCTATTCTTGTAACGTTACGTTTGAAGAATGCAGCCCCCTTGTCTCAGAAGCTTAGATTGTTTGCCTGCATCTTAGCATCAAGTTTGGGCAAGTGCGAACTATCAGATGTCTCCTTTGCTTCAAATTTAAAGAACTATGTTGATTTTGGGAAAAGGCTCTTATCCGAAAATAATAAGGGCTGTATCGAATGTTTACAAGAATTACTCCCAGTTTTCTATCCAGACTCACTTTACGCATAATAAAGTAGAGATTACAGGACTATACTAAAGCGCCCTCTACTACAGTTAAACCTTCCAAAAATTGACAGACTGACTTGTATCGTCTTAATGGAAAATTAATGCTCGCAGATTTCTAAGCTTCAAAAAGATTTCTATTTCATAACCTCTGGTGTCTTCTTAAGTTTTCTCACTTTCTTTCTCTTCCACATTTTGAGCTCTCTACATGAATTATTTATAAGCCAATAGCGGTTATACATATATATAGAAGTTGTCGTTGTTAATAAATGTATGTTCATTGATATGATAGCCAAACACAAAAACTGATGTTTGACACGAAATAAAAACTTTCATTTTTTTTTAGATTAAATAGTGAATGTAAAAAAAAAACAATAAATGAAAATATGATCAATTTGAATATCGAATTATATAACAAGTTTAAGTTATAAATGGAATATATCATCCATCATTCGTCTTTTCTATCGATTTATTATAAAAGTATTAAATTTTGGACTCTTTTTCGGTAATTCACCAAAAAAACAATAAATAGTAAAAACACTTTCTACAATCCGAGAAGATAAAAGGCGGGGGGAAAATTGAAGAAAACGTAGTTAATTATTCTTTGTTGATGGAGAAAAGAAATTTAGAATAGACTTTGAAGCAGTACTTGATTTCTGCTAAAGAAGAAAAACATTGTTTATTTTATATTTAAATAGTTAAGCATTATTTACTGAGCGTCTTTACCTTAGTGCTACTCTTTCTCAAACTTCGAACTTTTACGCTGTTTGACCTTTCAACCGCTGTCTTAACTTGTAACCTAGTTTTTGGTGTTGTATCATCAAATACCATGGGACTTACACAGGGCGTCGATCGTCTATTCAGAGGAAAATAATTGTGTGTTTAATAAGTCAGTTGCATAACAATGATCAAAGCATTAAATTACCTATGCCTATTACGACTCACGGGAGTTTTCGGTAAAGAGGAGGGTGTTCTATGCAGAGGTGATTTTACAAAATCAGGTAAATCTTTTGTGGGGCTACGCAATAAACCGAGAACGTCCGGTGAAACAGCAGAGGGAATCTTCATAGCTGCTATTCGGGCACTGAGCATTTCCGGCGTTCTTGGAGATTCAGTATTCTTTGGCCTAAGAGGAGATTTCAATTTATTCGGCGTAGCAGAACCGGAATCTATTCGCTGTCTCTTCGGTGTAGGGGCTTGATTAGAAGTCGACGGCCGCTTTTTACTTGGTGACGCACAATCGATGAGTTGTTCGAAAGGTTGTCTAAACAAAGCTCTAGATGCTGTCGGCTTCGCTTCATTCTTTATCGGTGACTTAATTAGGTTAATAATGTTGGGCTTCTTGGGTGATTTGAAAGGCATTGACTCTTCTGCAAGTAGTTAATTTGATTTGAATTTTAAGCGTGAAAGATACCTTTACGCAACTTACCTCTTCTCTTTAGCCATTTTGTAATATCTGAAAATTTAGATGGAGCCGAGGACGGAAGGTTTGTTAAGGCTTCCCTAATTCTTCTAGAGTTTGACGGAGTGAATGAAACACCAGATTGACCTCTTTTTACGGGCGAGAAGAGCCCCTTGGTAACTTTACTATTACAAGCTAAATCTGTAATCATTTGACCGTGTAGTTTAATATTTCAAATAAAATAAACCTTAAATAACTGACCAACTGGTTTATTACATATTTCGACGTGCCCTGTTACATTATTAGAATCCTTATTACTAGACAATTTCCAAAATCGAATTGTATCATCATCGCTGCAGGTAACAATCTAAATAATAAATAGACATTCGTTTAAATAAATGTTTATTAGTATTAATTTATTAAACTTTAAATAAAAAACTACCGTTCGAAAATCTTCACACCATTGAACACAAGTAACCTCTTCTTCATGACCTTTTAGAACATAGGGAGCCTTGTTCGGTTTATCAACCTTTTCAAGAGGGATAATTGCAAAGTAAATATTTGTTTAAATTATACCAATAACAAAAACTGACCTCCCAGATGAAAGCTTCTTTGGACGAGGATCCGCTTATTAAAAAAAGATCTTCAGGACTTAGGGCTATTTTAATATAATGGGTGTTTGTTTCGTGACCAGCGTATGCAGCAACTATTTCGAAATTAATTTATAAATATATCGCAAATAAAATTTTTACAATAAAATAAAATAAAAATTACTTGGTTTTGTTTTTAAATTTGAGCATGAAAAACAATAAATAACCCCATCCATACAGCATGCAAATAATCTCGAATGAGAAGAATCGAGCACCATAGTAGAATATCCCCTTTTTCGCCTTCCTTTCAAGGCCGGATATGGAAAGACATGCACCGGTTTAGCCATAATGTCCTTATTATCCTTACAAAAAGATTTACGCATATCCCATAAACGTACTTCTCTGTATTAAAAAAAAATAGAATTGTTATTTATTACTATACATTCGTAAATAGAAGAATAAATGGGCCAAGAGAGAAGTAAATTATAGCAATTAAACTTAATTTTTAAATAAACAATTGGGTAATTCTTTCATTGTTAGAAAAACGGTAACCCATTTTTTTTACTATTGTTACGTTGTTGTTGTTGTTTATACAATGAAAATACGCTTCCCAATTTCCCAGATGGCAGAGCTAATCTTAAATACTTGGAATTGTATACACTATACAGTTGATTACATAATATCAATGTAAATGCAGAATAGATAAAGTTTAATAGAAGAATAGCGTGTATGTGTCCTATAAAGTATAACAAGTCAATGAAATATATATTTACCCATCACTTGAACCTGAAGATAAAATTTGATTTTCGTTTAAAAACAATACTGAAGTTATAGCCTGAAACGAATTAATCGTTAGAATATACAGCTCTATAAAAGGGTCTTTTGCTTGTAGATGCTACTAACCACTGAGGATGAACTAAAGCGTTTACTTCTTCGTTTATTAGTATCGACGATACTCGTATGAGCATTTCGAATGAATCGGACGCCTAAGGAATCATATCCTCCTTTTGCATTAATACTATCATTTATATTATTGTTGTTTGCAACTCTATCATCCCATAGAATAATATGCCCATCTCTGCTTCCACTTGCATATAGGGCTAATTTAAGTAGATTGATTAGAATCTTTGTGGTAAAACTTTCAATAACTTAAAAGTTATTTTATTATATACTTACAATCTGAAAAAGGATTAGTCGTAACAGTTTTTACGGACGACTGATGCCCTTTAAAGGTGCGCAACTTGGCTTCGTTAAGAACGTCCCACAGAGCTACAGTTCTATCACCAGCAGCCGTTAATAATTTATTACTGCCTTTGACCCAGCAAACGTCGAAAGCTGCGTTTTCGTGGGCCAGCCACTCTGTTTAATTAGTAATTTAGTAAATGCCACCCTTGATTGGATTTATCCTTTCTTCACCAAAATATGAGAATCATTTGTCTTATAATATTATTAAATATTTACCTTGAACAACAGAATTTGCAGCGGGTTTATGAGCATCAATAATCATTAATCCTCCTTGTTCATCAACAGCCGATAAAATATTCGTATGATCTATCGTAAAATTTTATTTAAAATGATATTATAATACAATATTTAAAGTTAAAGATAAATTATAAACATCTCTTACCGGGTGAGAATTTTGCAGACATAATAGGAATGGTTTCCTAAAAAAAAAGAACATTTTTTAAATATTCGAAAATTTGCCACAACGTGATCCAACTCACTCCGATTTCTCTTCCTTCTATTACAAGTTCTGTTTCACGGAAACTCTTGTAATGTTCAATAAAAGTGCTTGTATATATTTGATCTGTATAGAAAAAAAGAATTAGGTGGATATTTGACCTATCCATAGGGTGATAGATAAGAAGACATTAGAAGGCGGGTAGCCGTAAAGTATTGCAAGAGATCTCTTGCACTTAATACTCGATAAAACTGAAAAAAATATACATACATTTTTGATTTCCTCTAAGTCCATATTGCCTTTGTTGCAATAAATGGAACATGATATTTAAATAAAAAGAATTTAATAATATATTTTTCTGTAAAACAACAACTTTCCCTCGCAAACGTGACCTTGAACTTAGTTATTTTCGTAAACGCGATAATTTTAAAATGATAAAATTTTCCACTTTTTTCAAGTTATAAATCTAATTTAATATAAAATTATAGCTTATAATTTATATAAAAAATTACCTACTAATTAAACTTTAAAAAGAAAATCCACCAGGTGGGAGACTTGATTGCAGATTCAAAGTCTTTCATCAGGAAATAATCGAATTAGTTATTTGCTTACAAAGTATATAAAAACGTGTACTAGTGCTTCCCTTTCGCGTAATAAGAAATTAGTTGTCTTTTATCTTAGAAACTTCGTATAGTGGAAAGGTAAGTCGATCAAGGTATTCATTCGCAAGGCGGATCGAGTAAAAACTAATCCGATTCCCATGGCTATCATAACACCCCTATCTTGGTTATGAATGAAACATTATACTAAAGAGGGCGTCAAGAGTTAATGAAATTGAATAGATTTTTAAGGAGATTAAAATCTTCTTAATATTCTACAAAGACCAAAGTATACATAGAGAATATGCAAATTTTCTTAACTTAAGATGCTAAAGATTCCATTTTAATGGAATAGGGAGAAGATGATATGATCTCTATAGAACAGAGAGAAATAGAGAAATAGGAGTTACATTTCTTTTACTTAAACCGGACATGCAATTGTTGATAAATGTATTGGAGAAGAAATCAATTGGGTAAATCAAAATGAAGAAACTTTATCAATATCACTCAAGTGATGTTCAGGGTTGCTAGGAAATTGTAGGCTGATGTACAAACAATTTCTACACAGCTTCCGATTGCTTGGAAAACATGGAGCAGATATGTTTCAGATTTAATCCATTATACAGACAATCTGACTAATATCTGGTAGGGATATATTAACATAAGACATCGATTAGCAGAAAATTCTCACTGATAAGTGATTACACGCCACAAAATCAAAATAAATAAGATAAGACTTTTCCATACAATAAAATGTCATAGTCAATTTTCAATAAATAACAAAAAATGACAAAAAAGAACTTAATAACAAAGAATTTGCTTATGGGCATTAGTAATAAAAAAATCGTAATCTCACACATCAATTTTCTATCTTTTTCCCATGAATAAACGTGAATAATTATATTTCCTGAATGAGATATGGCTTAGCACTAAAATATTACATAAATTATATCTCATCTTTTATTCTTAAACGAAAGTTGTCCTTTATTATTAAATTAAACATCAATAGAAACATTATAATCTATTCATATCATACTTTTTCTTTACTTTCTCCCCCTACCCTTCTCTCTCTCTCTCTTGTCTAATTAATTAATGTATATTTTTCGGTTTTAAAAATTCTAAGCCTATTTCAGTTTATGTATAGTTAAACAAAAAAAAAGAGGGGCGGAAGGGGAAGGAGAAGAAGGAAGAGTGATAAAGAAGAGAGAAAGAAAGAAAAGAAGGAGATGATATGATGGGGAGAAGAGTATAGAGAAGAATTGACATGAAAAATTGATGAGTAAAGCTGTTTAATATAATCTGCTTAAAAATATAAATATCACCAAACTAAGCTTTCCCTTTTTTTCTTGATGATTCTCATGTAATAATTATTTATATACAGAATTGTATACTTGTATATACTGTAGGTTGATGATTTTTTAAAGGCTTCTTTTTAGACATATATGTTAATTTTCCTACAAATAATTGCTATATTTTCTTAATTATTTATTTCTTTTGATAAATTTTAGTTGATTTCCTTTATATCCATTAGTTGTTTTTTTTATATATATACACTATACTGTATATGCTAGGCTAGTAGTAAATGTTGATATACAAGCTATTGTAGGGGGCGACACTAATGGCTGGAACAATACTCACGAGCGATATTGGGGCAATTCGTTAAACGTTCGTTACGGTTTTTTGTAAAATAGGAGATACTTATTAATTTTCAAAATGTCTTATATGCTCCAACATTTACGTAATGGATGGCAAGTGGATCAGGCTATATTGTCAGAAGAAGATCGCGTAGTAATTATAAGATTTGGCCATGATTGGGATCCACAATGTATGGTTATGGATGAAACTCTCTACAAGGTAAAAGTTCACATAAATTATTCACAATTAAGACTCTAATGCATTTTATATTTGTCATTTAGGTTGCTGAGAAGATAAAAAATTTTGCAGTTGTCTATCTAGTAGATAGTACGGAGGTACCAGATTTTAATAAAATGTACGAACTTTACGATCCATGTACAGTCATGTTCTTCTATCGAAATAAACATATAATGATCGATTTGGGCACGGGTAATAATAATAAAATCAATTGGGCTATGTCGGATGAACAAGAATTTATTGATATTGTTGAGACGGTATTTAGAGGAGCTAGGAAAGGAAGAGGTTTGGTCGTATCACCCAAGGACTACTCGACTAAATATAGATACTGAAGTGTTTGTAATTCTGAAAATAAATTAGTAGTGTTTTTTTCTGTATTGTTCTTAATTAGTGGCTTATTGATCAAATTTCTTCGATAAGTAATGCTCTTCGGGAAGAGACGATAGTCGTCTAGCAGCTTCTTCGGCAGTTATATCTCGTTGAGCGTTTGCTAACATTTCGTAGCCAACCATGAACTTTTTAACGTTGGAAGACCGAAGTAATGGAGGAAAATATAATGCGTGTAATTGCCAATGCTCTTCCGAATTTCCTTCTAGACGACTTCCTGTTGGCGCTTGATGCCAACCCATAGAATAGGGAAACGATGTCTCAAATAAATTGTCGTATTTGACCAATAGTAGTTTCATTGCTAGAGCTAAATCTTTTCTTTGGTCTATATTTAAATCTTGTAGTCTTAAAACGTGTTGTTTCGGTATTAACATACTCTCAAAAGGCCATACAGCCCAGAACGGAACCAATGCTACCCAATGGTTCGTTTCTACTATTATGCGCTCTTTCTTTTCTAATTCTTTAGACAGATAATCGCAGAGCAGCGGCTTGCGATGCTTTTCAAAGTATTCTCTTTGCTTTTTGTCTTTGACACGTATTTCCTGTGGTAAAAAAGAGGAAGACCATACTTGACAGTGGGGGTGAGGGTTAGAGCAGCCCATAACGGCGCCTTTATTCTCAAATATTTGTACCCATAAATAATCGGGTGACAGCTGCCTCATGAGATCAATCCAACTGTCGATAACCGACCCAATTTGTCCTGGGTCCATAGTTGCTAAACTTAGATTGGAAAATGGATGGAAACACATAACTTTACACGAGCCACGGGCGGCTTCCACTTTAAACAAGTCATCTTCATTCTCCTCAGGTGCCGGCCCTTCAAAGAGAAGAGCCGGGAAGTCATTGTCAAATATATAGGTCGATGTATAGTTTGGATTTTTCGAGCCATTTGATCGGACAGCTCCTGGGGACAAAGGGTTATTTGGATCGTGTCTCGGAACTAGAGAACTCTGTGTGGGCTTTTCAACTTGCCCAGTCCAAGGTCTACTCATTCTATGTGGGCTGACGAGTATCCATTCATCCTTGAGCGGATTATACCTTCTATGAGGGTGTTTAGACAATTCAAATTGCATATTTTTTAATAACTCTGATAATATTAACGCCTTCCGATACTAGCGACACCTATATATCTTCCTGCAATAATTTCGACATTATCGCTCTTACTGGAGCGGCATAATCTAATAAAAATCTAATAATAGAAAGTACACATAATATATCAATATCATTTGTATTGTCTCATATATACAATTTTCTTTATCTAATAAACAAACTGAACACATTAATACCTTTCCGTCAATACGTCAGTCATTTGGTTTAACTCTTTATATAAGAAGTAAAGGAACCGGAACATTTTCTTTTTAATATAAAATTTGAGCATTTCCTTCCTCACTTATAAAATTAGAAACATATTAAGCGTATACAAATGAATAAACAAACACCCACATGAGATCGAAATCAATTGTTACACACTTCGTTTTATGTTTGAACTTTTAAAACCTTTAAAGCGTCACCCGAAAAAAACAATAAAAATAAGTAGACGCTCATTAGCGTGATGTGACAGTATTATGGCTTAAACTGTAAAAAAGAGTAAAATCTTTTCTTTTTTTTCATTATCACAAGTAGACTTGTTTCACTGAATTCGTATCCTTAGGTGGCCTGTGTATCATGTAATTCGTCGGATTAACTGCAGGAGGAGAGGTACCACGAAACGGCAGAGTAGGCCTACTAAGCGTTCCGCTAGGCGTCGTTAAATTGCTATTATTAGCATTATGCTTTGCCAAGTTACTCTTATCACCGTTCGAGAGGGTCGTACTTTGCGTGCGTGGAATGTCTTCATATTGATTAACGATAACCTCCTTCTCGGACGGGGAGTTTCGAAGAGTCGACTTGGTCCTATGCTTCAGTCGACAGTTTGCAATTATATAACCAGCTATGCATGATACGATAGATGATAAGATAATCGATAGAACGATAGCAATGGCCATTTCGTTGCCACTATATTCACTTTCAATTCGTGTGCTCGTTTCTCTAAATTTCAATTCTTTTTCGTTCCCGTTCGTTGAATCTATTAAGAAGAGAATAAAAATTGACAGACAGTTCGTAAAAGAGTATTGTAGGAATGCAACAAAAGTAATTAAAATAAATTATAGCAGTTAGAATTCGCAGGAAGTCAAATAAGCAAAATAGTATGCAATTAAATCATGCAAGAAATCAAGTTAATGTTATCAAAGAGTAATTAAAATACGGAATGTTCGTTAGAAGACGGCAGTTAGCGTGTATATAATATTAGTACGATAAAAAGCTGCATCAATATAAGAGGCTTCCTTTTTTTTTCACTTTCTTACCAGTATTTAGATTAGTTTCATTGGTATTCGTAATATTCTTTACAGAGGATGCTATTTCATAATGGCAAAAACAGACTTAAAATTAAGAAAATAATAATAAAAAACAGAGAAAGAAAGAAGAATATGAACTAGACAAGATTCTTAAAAGTAATTAATTGCTAAAGCTTACCAGTCTTAATCGAATCATCGTTACAATCTTCTACTTTTCCTAATCGCAAGTTTTGTTTACCAGTCATCGAGTTTGCACATTCGTCTCCGGTCCATGAGCAATACGGATCTCTAGCCTTTACACACCGACCGCACGATAAATATTGGGAACATCTGGAGAAGGAAATTTTTTTCACAACACTCTTCCCAAGGACCAATATGACCTTTTCGTTTTTAAGAACTTTTACACTGATGATTCGCTCATTAAGCACTGCTATACGTTCGACGATAATCGGGCGTATATCTGTCGAATGACTGTTGATCGCCTTTACCAGAAAGCCATCAGCTGTGCCAAGATAAAGTACGTCAACTTGTCCCTCCCAAACACTTTTTGCTCCCCAATCAACATCTATGGCAGTGAAACGTGACCCATCCCGTTGAAGAAGCAAAGGAACGCTCTGTGTTAAGTGATCAACTTTTTTCTTAATTTTTTCTCGATAATTAACCCGCTTTGTCAGTTCTCTATCTGTCAACTCTTGAGAATTATTTGGACACATGACTTTGGGAGCGTCAACCGTGTCATATCCTTTGTCAATGCTTAATTTGTCAAAAACGCATACGGCAGTTCCGCCATATACGGATGATTCACTCTCAAATAATCCGTATAATAGTTTTTTCGAGGAATCAAGGGAAGGATGAAGCTGAATAAAATGAGTTTTAAAGTATGTCACATTAAAAAATAATAAATAAAATGTATACCCTTCCAATTTGTAATCCGCTTGCACCCAAAATCTTGTCAAAGCAAAATGTATAGGTCGCTCGTTGAATACAGCATCTAATAGGAATAGACACAAATGACGTCCAGAGCGGTAACCCACCGTCCTTGTTTTTATAGCTTCCTCTATCGTTAATGCATATTCTTGCTATTCTAGAGGTTTGAGAATTTTTGCCTTTTCTATATAAAAAATACGCATTTTCGTAGTCGATGAAAGAGTGAACTGTGGCTGCATCGGCAAATGTCGTTTCTGTGTATAAACCTTGTATCTCTTTGTCATCTGACTTGGGAACTATCGCTTTAGCGATTACCGCATTTGTCCAATCCACATAGACCATGGCAGCGGTAAAGATTTGATTTCCTGAAAAAGAGAAGGGATTTGATCAAGGCTTTGTGCGTGCTTTGAAGTTGATCAATAACGATGGGTCGGGTATCGATTAGTTTATCGTCTTTCGAAAGGTTTTCGATGCATCGATTCTAGCTGTGTCGGCAACAGGGGCTGGCATCCTTTGTTTACAACTTATACACGCTCGACGGAAAGCACGCGGTAAGACATCAATATGCCTGATAGTCTGATACGAAACAAAACGTCGCGACAACATCAATATCCAATATCCTCCGCGGACGTATTCAATTAAGAGTAAAACGTGATTACTGAATACAAACGAACCGCTGCTAGTATTATAAAGTAAATATAGAAAAAAACGGGAAGACTTTGTGAAGTAATAAGCTCGACCTTGCAAAACGAATGCAGACGCCAACTGTAAGTTCATTAGAACAACATCGCTGACGGCAACGTCGACACAGCCCTGTTTTTCAATATAATACACGCTACCAAACCGCATTGTTCGTCTGGCTCAATTTTATTTGCCAGGCGACTATCAGCTTTCGTTACCCAGTCTGCAGTAGATCCTATCTGTGTTTCCGATCGAAGAATAGAAGACTTTTTATAAATTATGCAAGCAAAAGAGCAGGCTAATTAAAAACATTGTGATTTTTTTCCACTGTAGGTTACGGGCATAAAGGGGTATGCTTGCATTGTATGGAAGAATGTATTCAGGTATAAAGAGCGTTGAAAGAGTGCACACTTTCCTCAACCGTACGCATAGTATTTTTCAAGTGCTTGCTTGGTGCGCACGTACAATAGAAGACAAACAAACTAGTCGATGGAATACGCCGAAAGTGTTTACGATGCGTTTATCCCTTAGCTTGAAAAATAGAGGCGCAGGTAGAGCAATTATGAGTTTCTTGCCGTTATTAGTTCAAAAGACGAATATAATTTTTGAGCAAGGTAGCAAGATCACGAACTATCGCAGATGTTGCACGCACCATGTCATTCATTAAGGGTTATTTAATACGTCTAAAATAGCGTTTTACAAAGTTCATGAGAAAGTCAGATGAAATGAATCAGGTATTATTACTTTCAATTGTAAACAGCCAGTCTTCCGTCTTTCGAAACACGTGCTGTTTGTCAAATCGATAAGTATCAGTCTCTATCTATTTCTATTTGTCAGCGTTTAGATCGATTTGCAACCGAAAGGTGTCGCGACCTAATACTGTGCGGTATTTTTACAAAATATGGTGAGTGCAAACTTACCGGTGTAAACATATGAAAAACTGTCATCCGGATAAAATGGAGCTACTGCATACCATTTCATTCCATTTTCTTCTCGTAATACTTTTTTACTGTTCGAGTGTCGTAATATTCTGCAGGTAGGAGATGTCAGACCAGCATTAGTGCCACAAACGAGTAACCTATCATCTGATAGTCGAACAGCAAGACTGACGTAATTCGAACAGTATTTCTGTTGGTTAAAGATAACAGCATTGATTATGCAAATCTGTATACTCTCATGAAGAGAAGGGCAAAAGAGATCAAGAGACTCAAGTCCAGTCACATACACACATACATACGCTTAACAAGACACCAACAAGAAAAATACATTATATTGCCTCAGTCGTCTTCCTTCTATCGACTGTGGGCGTCTTGGATAATCTACTTATGAGATCGACAGATATACACTAGCAATTATTCATATATATAAGATAAAACTGGTCGACGGTCCGGCGTCGATTACTGATGAAGTCTATTCAATTAGGCCGCAGGCCATTGAAATCCTGCGATTTTGATAATGAGCTATAAACCCCCCGCTCTGATTTTTGCGAACGATTAGAGAAATTTATTTCTTTATTTCTGACTGACGGGTAAGATGACGGTCGCCAGAGACTCGCCTCAGCGGAACGCCCGTAATCGCGGTTCAGTAGACGTTACAACAGGCGAGGGGTGACTGCCAATCTACTGACGCTTCGACTGTGTGGCGCGTTATTTTCATTGCTCTCAATTGTACCATAACCCGATTTGAGACGCTTACGGTTAATGCGAAACGTCATACGAATCATCATGGGAGAAGACGCCTTGCCTAAATGACGTTTATGGCGCAACGTAATTAATTATTGAGCGTCGTTTTGTACGGCAAACAATTCCAACCAATTACCTTTTTATCTAATGCGTTGCACACATTTTTATTCTCCTTTTCCTCCTGCCAGCCCTTCAGCACCTGCAAAAAAATAGAGCACGTTCATTATATCTAAATTAATCTAATAGTTACATCGGGATTTTGCAGCTGCGCACGCAGTACATATAATTAAGCCCTGTGGGCGCTGAATCGTGAAAGGTCGCAAGAAATATAGTTAACGCCCTAGCACAAACTAATTTGTATTTCGAGGGAAAACAAATGAACGAAAGAATTTCTTACATACAGGTGTAAAGTAAAATATACAAACATATATATTGTACCAATATCGGATTTGTTAATCAATGCCGGCCTATTGTATCTGTATACAGGCTCTTAAAACCTAGTGTCAATTTCTTATACATTCACGCCGTTTCTTATATACACAAACTCTGCCAGCTGACAAATTATTGTAAGCTGAATGGTAAAAAAGCGTAATACTGAAATTATACAGCAATTTATAATGTCTTTATAAAGTAAATGGTCGCATGCGGATATAAACAATTCAAAGGGCGCTATTTTACTCTTTTTTTGCCACCACTCGTCCGACTATATTCGATGATACTTTATCACAGAATGTGTCATGGTTTTTTCCATAATTCATATGTTTATTATTCTTTCGCCACGTAACCTCATACAGTCTGCTTATATAATGTAGCCATATGTACGATACACATATTATGTGTATATTTGTATAGATATGCATATATTAATAAGCGTTAATTCAAAGGTAGTTGTTTTTTAATGTGCTATTAATGTGCGATGTTATCAAACAAGCGTTAATTACATCAAGTAGATGTAACATTTTCGTGACTAGGTAAAATTATATTATGCGTATTAGTTTCTGTAAAACGGTATTATAGCGCTATTTTTGGCGTGCGCTCTCGGCTTTGTATATCGAGAGCGTGACTAAAGAATCGACAGAAACAAAAAAATGTAAATTTGCGTCGTTTTCACGGTTGGACGGCAATGCGCCTTTTAGATTATAATGTTCTTTCTCCTTTTTCATACTTTCACCTCGAAAAGACTGTAATCTAAAATTAAATCGAACATCAAAAATGATCAAAGCTCCTAGGCGTATCGAACGCACTAACAATTTCTATTCTTATTAACACGAATGCTCTATGCCATTAGAAGGCACATATTTCACTCGCTTTGTCTTGATTATACGTTTCCTCATTTTCTTGGCAAAAAGCAGTCATTCGTTTGGTTTTCATTGAAGCGTAGTTTACTAATGCCTTAGCGTCGTACAGGCACAGAATGATATCGAAAGGAGAGGAAAGAGAAAAAAAAGCGAAAGAAACGTGACCTAAGAATCCATAAGAAGAATATAAAAGTAGAAGATACGCACCTTTGTATAACTGAAATCCCGTACGCTTATGTTATATAGCGTTTCCCTGAAAAAAGACGAAAAATCATAAGTATAAAAGAGAAGATGGGAGAAAAACTCAATAAAATGAGAAAGAATGCAAATATATATAATAATATAGCAGCTAGAGCAATTTTTTACTAGCCATTTCATACTCAGTACAGAATGGCAGGAGTAAATTTAGGATATTGCTGTAGACAGGGTGCCTATACGGCCAAAGCAAACAAGACCGATAAATCTAAAAATGGAGATAGAAATCCCTCACCTTCCACCCACCAACACCCAACCCGATTCTTCATATAATATTCTTAAGTAATCCGATTTCTCTTTGCTTCTAAATGTCCACTTCTTTGAATCTGTATAAATACAAAGGCTTTATGCATATGGGAAGGTGTTGAAGCGTAGATAAAAAAAGTTGGTGGCTTTAAATAGAGAAAGGAAATACGCTGTGGTAACCCTGCTGTCTTTTTCCAAGACGCTTAATTAAGTTGCTAATTGGTATACAGCTGAAATACCGTAACCCTAAACAAGAAGTTATAACTAGCTCCTAAATGAAAAGGACACGTCAGCTCGTAGACGAAATGAAATTATCGACTGCTTCGGCACAATCTATCAACTCTATACAGCGGACTGCTTGTTTGCAGTAGCTGGCTGACCACTCGATTAATTTAAAATACGCGCCATCTGCTCGTCGTCAGTCGCTTGCAACTGCACCCCTCTCTACAACTGATCAAACGTTCAATTATACGATCGTAATACCAGCTAGTATAATGTTTCATAATAAACATTTAAGCAGCTGCATAATCTTGTAAAACATGACGAGCAAATGATGGACGTAAAGAACAAAACACAACTAGTGCTAAAAAGATCCGCTTTTAGTATGCAAAGCATGTAAAAAAAACTCCAACTTATCTATTAATAACTAAGCTTCGATAACGTGCTTAACGAGAAATGAACAACGACCGATTCTTTGCAGCTGCCTTCTAATCAACCAGTCACGCTACCTGAAACGGCCCTCATCTCATAATACTAGTAGCCTAATTGGCTGATGGACTGGACTAGGTTTTCTATTATTACAAGCCTAAATCTAAGGAAGGACGCACAGTGGGGGCGGGAAAGAATAAAGAGGGAAATAAATTGATAAGAAACAAGATAGAAGTACTATAAAGGGTGAGAGAGGAAAACTGAGTTTTGTTTGTCTCGCCCCTTTTACAAGGGGCCAATCGTAGTTTAGGCGTGCATCCTCGAGGGTTTCGTGCAGCACGCTCTCGAATGAGTAATGACGATTAACGCTTTTCGTTCGATAGACGTGCTCCGCATTTAGGACGATCGTCATTACCGCCTCAAATTCCCAAATCGGGTAAGAATAGTGTTGAGACGATGAGGAATCGCCTCCGCCCAACTTTCAGAAATAATAGAAAACCCCCCCGCCGACTACGACCCTTACCCAATCATTGAGCAGACCTACAGCATTTAGAGACTTGATTGACTGCAATCAACTATGTCGGCGTTGTGGAATGGAGTTACGTAAAGTCTGAGCTTTTCGCTTGGGTGGACAGGGCACTTGCTCACCGGCAAATCTCGTTAACGTTCCAAGAAACCGGGCACGCATAAACACAACCAGAAAACGGAAAGGCAGGTCATAGGGTCACACCGCATTGTTGCAGCTGCTTTCACTTCCGGTCACAGCTAATTGTCGTCCCGGAGCAACGATGTAACGATAAGAGGGTAGAATGAAAAGAAAAAAATTGACTGACGAAAAGAGTGAGCAGCTTCTTAATGATATAATTACAAATGAAAAGTGCATTGCTGCGGGTTTATTTATAAAAGAATATAACAGACTTAAGCGAAAATATGTTCTCTCTAACCCCGATGTGTACTGATTGAGATGCTGACAATGAGAGAGTACTCTTACCGCAAAGTTACGGGTGTGTCGTGGATTATGATACTGTAAAGAAGGATTATAGCCTTAATGAGCGCTCGCTTGAACCGATGCCTGCAGCGAGCAAGGCGTGTCCGTGGATGCCGCGGGGAATGTCCCGGTAAAGGGAATCGAGATGAGACAGAAGCAATCAGCGTAAAATTACCACAATGACATTTTCCCTCCGCCAATGACTATTTCTTTCGCATTAGGAATAAAAAAGTGGTAGATTGGGAGGTAGAGTGGGGGTGAGGAGAAAACCTTCTTAAAAGAGCAAACATTCGATCGGGAAGGAAACGTCACGCTTAGTTTATCATGATGACCTACTTTTTTCGCGTAAATTGCCTCCCTCGTAAATCAATTCCATAAAAAGCCAATAATAAGCATCTCACATACTCTACGGAATCAGTGCGTACATCACTCAAAAAACGTCGTAGACTCTATTGTAGCAGTTTTGTTCGATTCAATATCCGGTTGGGTTTATAAGCTAATAAGCAACAAGCGTCTAATTTCGACCGCACGGCGGGGTGCCGGTCAATTCATCGCGATTTTTTTCCTCCTCTCATATTTTTCCCTCATTGCCCAAAGCTTTTCCCGAGAGGAAAACTTTATAAAGTTTGGTAGACGTTAATAAACGTTATCTAATATAGACTCTTGTATAAATAAACTTTGCGCAGCGCCCTTCCTTTCTACGCTCTCTCCACCCTTCCTTCCTGTCTCTATCTCTCATTATAACTTCCTTTCTTTTCGCGCCAAGACAAAATTTACTTACTGCCTATTAGATTGTGTTCGTATAATGGCTGTAAATCCATCCTTTTCCTAATATCCTCGTCATATTGTGCATCAGTTTTAAGGGAAGCAACGATGGAATAAAACAAAAGAAGCAGTAAGAAAGTCGGAAACAATTCCATTTTGCTTTCTCCCCTTCAAGAGAACTTTACAGATGAATATTGTTTTTTTTTTGTTCTGGTTTCCGTCGCTCTCCTGAAAAGTAAAAGAGAGTTAGAGCAATTAGAGATAACGGGTAAATGGATGGGCCACTTAAAAGGTTGGTGAGAATCGATGGAAAGCGACCGATAAGTAGACTTTGAGCAATTACGCTAAATTACGGGAGTAGCTTATCGCTTTTTGAGAAAGGCTGTTAAACAAAACCGATAAGGCGACAGTTTCCTTCTCGACCTGGTATTATAGCCCTGTTACGTAAACCTGACTGTCACCTTCAGGGCAAGTTGTTGCTTTTCTTTTTTTTTTTTTTTTGAATAATAGAATACTAAGCTTCCTCTTCTCCCTAACGCAACGAAACAGCACGTTGTCAAACCGACGAGGGTTTGACGGGCAGGTATCGAACTGTTCTATTCTGCCGCAAAGAATAGCAGCTTTTCATCTTTACAGTAACCCCCCGGCCTCCCCTTCGAATGTCAAAGGCCGTGGTAAAGGCGTTCGTAGACTGAGCAAAGTTGCTGATTGGTTTGTAGCCTAATCACGTGATAAAGTCAAAAGGTGAGCGTTGAAATCTCTTGAAAGATGAAAAACGCTTAAGAATAAACGAAAAGCAGCTGGTACAGACGTAGTCAGAGGAGCATAACGGGCAACGCATCAATTTGACGATTACGTCATGAAATGTGCGTGAGGAGTGCAAATGACGTCTTCCTTTCTAGCCGAAAGCGCCGTTTCGTCAGTGACTTTTTCTTTCTATTCTTTTTCCCCGCCCCTACATAACCCTCGTCTTAAAAGCTTCTGTAAAGAAAATGTTCCCTTTTTACGTAACCCCTATAAAAACTTTTAGCGACTAGTCCATACGGTCTCTCTCTCTATACCATCAAAGCCCAGGAAGGTCGTATGCTCTTTGAATAGAAATGCGACGGTTACGAATCGTAAATATCTTTTGATAACAGTAGTCGCTGCTCGGCTATATTATTCATATAAGCAATACGCCTGTAAATCATTGAGCCACAAAATTTTCTATTATTCATACGATACATACGCGTATTTGGTAAACTGTCCTGTTCTTTATATTTTTACACGTGTTCAACACTTTTGAACAATACATACAACTATTGTGTCCAGGTGTTACAATCGACTCGATATATAGATATTGTAATTATTCCAGTATAAAAACAAGGCATGTTTGAATAACGCTTCGAACAGGTCCGCGAGTCGTAACTTGTACAAGAAGAATGTGGAAAAATAGTTATATTTGTTTACAATAATCGTCTAGCTGGAGAACCTCATACCTAATAGGATAAACCTAATCTGGTGATTTATGCAAAATGCAGATAACAACTGAGATAAGCATTTAAAAAAAGAAAGCGTCAATAAAAAAAGTAGGAGATGCAAGAAAATCCCTCTAAAACTTATTTTTCCGTGAAAATCTATGCATCGCAAGCGAAGAAATAACCTCGAAAATAAAATAAGACCGATGAGAAAAAAACATTCTCACCTGGTCGAACTCTTATGTATATATATATATATATATATCTACTGTTTTACAATGAACAGCCAAATACTACGGTTCGGGGGGCGATAATAAGGAAAATCGTAATTATAAATAAATATTAAAGATAAAGAACTTACAATCTTGATTTTTAAAATAAATTTACTTCTTCAAAAAATTTGTTGATAAAAATCAATTATATTTCTATCAGAGCGATTCGTAGTAAACTTTTATCCAAACTCGTCAGCGTTGGAACGCGATCTAGAATCAAGGTGGCGTTCGCAGCGACCTCTAACGGTCGATTACGCATTAGTAAAATAAGCCGAGTGGTCGCCACTGTTGCCACTTAACTGCTGCGCAAAAGTAGTAAAATTAACGAGTAAATAATAATTTCTTAAATAGGCTTGACTTTTTTCCTTCAATTCTTCCTGTATAAATCTTCTTATCCTTTCATAAACACTCTTTGACGATCTTTCATCAAGAATATTCTGTTTTGTTGACGGCATAAGGGGAGAGGAGCGGATGAGGGGAGGAGGGGGGGGGGGTATTACGAGAGGTGGGAAAAAAGAGAAAAAAAACAAACGAGTCCTTTTTTTCGACGAATTAATGAAAGAAAGGGCGACTAATGAGTTGGCTGAGAAAAGACGGTAATCAACAGTTGCGAACAATAGCGGCACGTTATGCATTGATTAGCGGTTTGTTGAAGTATGGGCGTTCAATAGTTAGTCATTTGAATAAGGTGAGGGGATAGAATGTTGGGAAAAGACTGAATGTATCATTGAAAAGAAGGATGTGTGTTTACCTCTCGAGGCCTCGTTAAAAACCTTTCTGCATCAAAAATACCGCGGCTAGCAGGATAGCACCTGCCCGTTCTACGTTAATCTGCTTATAAAAATTTCCAATTAACTGCCTCTTCCTCTCTCCTTAGTTTTCATCTTCTCGCTGTCGATTCAGGGAAGACAGCTCCGGGCGTTAAGGCGTCGACGGCGTCAAACGGCGAGACGCTATCGGCGATGGGAAAGTAATAAAAGTATATAGACTGCTATATATAGTTTTTCTTTAACATGTGTGCGAGGCAGAGTAGATAATTTATATACATACATACATACATGCAGACGTCACCACGGTGACCCCGACCTCAGGCAACCCTCGACAAACACAACTTCGTTCCATAATGGGGCGTCAACGCGCACCTGGCCAATCCGTAAACACAACAATTTTCTATTTAGCATATAATAAAGAAAATAGGAAAAATACAGAATGAAGGAAGAGAAAAAGAAAGGAAAAAAGATTGGAAAGAAAGCCTTCTAATAAAAAATCCTCGGCTCTTGCGATTCAGAAGCGTCAGACCGAGTCGAGCCGGCGTCTCGGTGCATTATTGATAAGACTGTTAGAGCCGTATCGAATCGCAATACGATTTGCCGAGCTTTCTACGACAAGACGAACGACCGTCGTTTAAAATGATGCGAATGTCTCCTCCTTTTATTCCCTTACTGCCTCCCCGATAATAACTTGCGTGTTACTTGTGGCGACTATATATCGTTTATATGTGAACGCTATTGTAAAGGCGTCTAATTGGAATAATTAAAAATTTGGCAAACGGTAGTCACCTGTCACCGGATTCGGACATCTGCTCACCGAGGCGAATAAACTGTAATGAAATTTTTCTCCAAGAAAAGACAACTTAAATGTCAAGACTTTCGTTATATACAGTAGATGAGAATTTGTACAGTACGACAATGACAGTGATTAGCGCATTCCGAGTCAAAAGGTCAAGCCTGCGTGTTGGAATAGGCTCTTTTCCGTTATGCGTGTTTATACAGTTGAACGAAGAGTCGCCTTTTCTCGGCGGGGAGCTGGCATCTTTTCGTTTGAAGCTGGCGTTTATCCAATCGCAGCTGCAGAAACACGCCCATTTCATTCCGTTTATAAATTCACTCATACACGCTTATAAATGAATAAGAGGCGTCCAACGGCGTCTACAGGGGGGCAGGTGTAGAGCACGCGTATGAAAGTTTTTTTTCTCTTTCACTCTCTTTCTATACAATTTTCCAAAAAACAGGAGTCGGACAGATGCTTGACCTCGAGAGAAGCGGCTTCTCTACCTCTTTCTTTCTACTTCCATCACCCCCTAGTTCGTAATTAGACGCCGGGGACGATGTAAATCGGTATTGCCCTAGAGAAGGTATTCAATTGACTTTTATGCAGAGTGTTTGTCATCGATAGGAAAAGTATACACTCTATTAATCCCCTCCACCCTCTCATAATCGTTCGTATCTGGCTGATTACGACTATAGCCTATATCGCTTATTCGCAATGTTTAAATAGCCTTGGCTCGGTCAATATATACGTTTAGGACTTTACGTTTGATAAAAGCGATTCTAACGCTCTCCGTATCGTACGGTATTAAAAAGGGATGATGGAAATAAACTGCAACGACGCATTATAATCGGAAAGAATTCGCATGATTGCGGATAGAATGAATCGGATGAGTGATTGACAGGACGAGCTTAGAATGAGACGACTCTCTCTCTACATCAACGTCATTGGGACTCGTGTGAATTTTATTGGTTCACGACCGGATAATCAATCAAGTTTTATAGTCTTAGTTTTATTTAATAATGCGAATAGCTTAAAATTTTCTTTTATATTTGTACGTTTGATCCGAAGATCATATTCTCTTATTTCAGAGGAAGGAAACTCCATACACAAAATACTATATAGTTGACGAAGCTATTTTTTTACTATTGTAAATACAATAAGTTAGATACATATATAGGCCTGATTAATCCCCTATTCAATGCCGCGTTGAAAGTTTACACATCATAAGCCCTCCATAAACATTAGGGTAAAACGAAAGAACTTTCCGATTGTTTAAACCTTAGATGTATTATATTTATATTTCTATTTATAAAGGATATAACCAATATATATATAATATATAAAGTACTTTTTCAATGACAGAAATCAAATTACACGCTTCGAAACGATATAATTAACGGTAGAAATTAGCGCTAATTTGTCAATAATTGCGTTGAAATTTCCATCTGTCAACCGTAATTTTTGTATAAAAGTTTGAAAGAGTATGTATGAGTGTGTGTGTGTGTATTTGTCTGAAAGACAGTTTGCTTTCGCTTTTAAGCTTAATAAAAAGAAAGGAAAAAATTGTAAAAGAAACAAAATGGACAAGGTTAAAGGGCACCGTATTTGGATACTTGACTGTAAACAATTGAGGAATAAGAAACAAGAATTTTTAGGAGAACTAATTCTAAATGCAAATTTCATGCATAACAATGGCAACGAATTAATGAAGTTAACGCGTCAAAGCTTAGCGAAATTGATTGAATTACGTATTAGATTAATTACAGGCGAAAGTGTTACAAGAAACAAATGAAATATAAACATGACTTATATATATATATGATGCTATTACGAATTTATTTGTATATGATCCGATTTTTTGCGTCAAGGGTCGCATTTTTTATAGGCAAGATATAACATAAAATATTTGTTTACCTAGGCCTATATTATACCGTTCTACAACGTGGCGAATTCACTCGAAAAGATTTATTCTCGTATGCAAATAGACCCGTTCGATAGGAGTGACGGTCTTAGTGGAAGGTTTAAATAAATTTCCGGTTTATTGAGCGTCTGCGTATAGGCCTAAGAGGAAAGAGAAGGAACGGGTATAAGTGAAACCGAGATTGTATTCTAATTATAAAACTACATATTCTATATCCTCCTACAGCAACTTATCACCGAGTACATTTTCGGTGCGCATTATTGCAATTAATTTCTATTATAGGTATTAGTAGAATTTGTAATCTCGTTAATACTGAAAAGAGGGATGTTAGAGAGGGATGGAATCTTGTATTTATTGACAATTTATAAGAATAATAAGGTATTTGACAAAAAAGGAATGTCACGAGAACAGAGAAACGAAGATAAAGGGAGCTACTGATTGATCGGAAATGGACTGGACTAGCATAAAGGATAAACTAAAACGAAAGCATAAAAGGTCTATTTTTATTTTTTATTAAATTCAATAGCATCTGTATAATATCTGTCACATTTTTTTGTAAATAAACAAACACTCCTTAAAGTTCAACCGGATGAAATGCATTTAATCTACACATGAGAAAAGTGACACGCGTCTAAGGCTTTGTATAAAATGCAGAGCGAATGCAGCAGTTATAAACAAAACTTGCAGTACGCCTGTAATAAACGTAAAGCATTCTACGATTTCACGTTCTTCCGTCTACCACTGTTTACAATTTGCTGTAATATGTACTAGAAGGGAGCAGATCAGCTTTCTAGTTATTGTTGATACATTGAGGCATTAATTCAACCTGAAGATATTATTCATATCTTTTTTATCATATAGCTTTCTTCTTCTTATCTGCTTTGTTTATTTAAATCAGCATAAATTAAAAGCTCTTTCTATTTAGGTTTCTTATTTTTGAAAAAAGGCGGTAAATTTCAAATTTCACCAGTTATCCGTGGATGTAGTATGGTTCCTGATCCTATTGGGTTTTTATAGAGAATATTTAGTATGAGATAGAGGGTGACCGATATTTTCAATCGAAAATGGCGGAAAAAATAAAAATTGATTCTAAAAATGAGAAAACTGACGAAGAAACACCGTTAATGACTTCTTCGGAAGTTTTAAAGAATACTCTAAGAAGTTTGGCAGCAAAATCCGCACCCAAGTAAGGCTTTTAATAAAGGATATAAAAATAAATTATTCGAGTAACATCAATATCCAGATTTGCAATTCTCTCAAAACTCTTTCCCGGAGCTTTCAAAAAAAAATTTGACCAGCTAGAAGAAATATGGAATGATAGCACAAATGACTATAATAAGGATGTCGAGGTAGTCAACTATTCAAAAAGAATAATCAATCATAATATCAAATTATGTATTTTTTTCAGGAAACAATTCATCGTTTGTTAAATGATCCTCAGTGTTCCGACGGCAAGTCATTCTTAGATCTTGTGAATGATCGAGAAAAGCTAGTTGAAGCATGTTTACAAAAAGAAACTACTGGAGATGGGAAGTAAGATGATTCTTCATTAAATAAATAAACCTTCAAAGCATTCTATCGTTACGTTAATTTTTTGAATTAGACCACTTAACCATAGTCGGATAGATTTGAATGCTTTCGAAATTAGCGCTCTAAATGACAAGAAGAAATCATTGGAAGATGCGTTAAAACGGTAATAAATCTCATTACTTTAATAGAAATTGAGGAGCAAAATTTGTTTTTTTTTCCACAGGGAGAAAGATGAATTAGAGAGAAAGGTGAAAGAAACTGAAGATATTCATAAACAATTGGATTCAGTAAGCAGCGAACTGTTACAAAATTGCTTAGTTTAATGGAGAAGAGTGGAAAAGAAGGAGAGAGAGAGAGAGAGAGAAAGAGAAGTGGTCGAAAGAAGAGAGTACATGCAGCATATGTATATATCTATATCTATATATATATATATATTAAACCATTTTATAGTTATACAAACATAATAAAAAGATTTTGTAATAAGTTGGCCTTTCTTTCTGAATGGAACAAAGAGGAAATCGAATTGAAAAAAATACGCATTAAAAGGCAATAAAAAGTATGGATTATAAAGTAAAAGATAACTATGAGCTATTTTTATATGAATGAAGCAGAGTGATCTTCGATCGACCCTCTCGTTTTAGATATTTGAGTTGAATCCCACGTGAATTTCGTGAAAAATACCATCTGGCCTATGAAGGCGTACAGTTGTCGATGGGTCGTAAGGCTTCTAGATGGAAGAATTCCTTGTACTGCCAAATAGGCGACTTTGAAGGCAGTTGCTCTCGTCAAATACACTTGGGAGAATTAATGAACGGCGGTGGCAATTTTTCTGCGCAATAGTTCTTCTTAAACCTTTATTTGCGGTACTTAGTCGCATAACGCCCGCCGATTACGAGCTCGGTTAGTACACTTGTACATTCCACTTTCGCCAATTGTGTAGAATGTTACGTTTCGCCTGCAATAGACGCTTCAACAATGATTAGAATATTTTTAAGCATATTAAGAATAAACTCACGATGTATTTAAGAGAGCATTTGGAATAAAATGAGTTTAGGCTACTCGAACGAATTAGATAGAGAAAATTTTCATTGTGAGCACGTTTTCGGAGAGCAAGAGAGAGAAAGAGAGGGGCAACTTGAAGTCGATTTCATTCCCTCTTCTTTCGATTTATATGCACAAAGCGGAACGAGAGAGGAAAATCGGTTGTAAAAATATTCTGTATAATGATCAGACACAAAAGCGACGATGTTCAACCTCAAGAGAGAAGTCGTGGTAATCGCATTGATTGCGATGCAAAAGCTCTAAGGCTAGTTGTAGGACGCTTGATGAATGACCAAAGGAAAAAGATGATGGAAGAGACGTTTATTTATCACTTAAAGCTGTATTGGTCATTTATAAATATAAAATAGGGGATTTCTTTTTGTTTCAACTAACAATATCCTTTTCCGGAAGAGTCACTGGAAAAGATTAAGATGATTAGGGGTATTTAACCGAGAAAGAGTAAACTGTTAAATCTTTTGATCCAATACTCTTAGTCAATCAGATTCATTCATCCCACAACAATAAGTTACGCCCAGAATCTGGGATTTTTATAATCGTTGTTTTCTTTGTATTCATCATCACGTTCAAGAGAATGAACAAGCGAAAGGGGACAAGGGTAAGACGTAAAGGAGAAATAGTTCCTTAATCGATCGTTTTTCAGATCAGTCGATATTCGTTTTTTTTCTCTTTCTCTCTTCCACTTCCTTTTTCCACTTTCCATTTTTTTTCTCTTTTTCCCTCTTCTTTCTATCCACACCTTTTTTATTCATTCTCTTTCCCTTTCTATTCTCTCTCTCTCCTCCCTCTCTCCCTCACCCACTCAGTGTGTCTGCCTGTCTTTCTGTAGCTACAGCTACCCGCTTTTTCTCTAGCTTTCACGCTCTCACAGCACTAGCACCCCTTTCTTTTCTGACCGTTTTTTAATCTGAAGAAAATTCCGGCTTTTGCAATAAGGTTTCCAATAATTGCCACTTTTTATTACCAGAGAATTGATTGATGGCTATAAAGAATATAAGACATTTGCCCGTAATACGGGACGGATGATATGTCTTTGAATAATACCAATACTATATCTTATAATCTGTGTAGGCGATTGATTTCAATTAGTATTTATAAACAAGGTCAATTATATGACTTAGTTGCTGGATGTCATCTAAATTTTCTACACTTCTTATCAGAGTGTAAACAGTCCACTCCTGTCAAGTTTACTTCAAACAGAGCACGTAAATTATTGCATAATAGCAAATTTGAGTTCAAAAATATTACAAGGCTAGATTTACGGTTAATAGACGTTATATGAAGGATAATAATTTGCTTTCACACGCGCAAAGAATAAACCAGCTCCACCCAATTATGTAACGCTCGTCGTGGTAAAATTCCTATCGCAGAAGAGACGTAATTCATTACGGATGTGTACGCGGTTCCCTTACCACCCACTGTTTCTCCTACCCAACTATTTAACAAAGAGTTTTCGCCTTGTAAACAAAGAATACTAATATTTCCCATCCTCCTTTTATCACATGTCATTTTCCTATTGTGTTTACGACGGCTCCCTCCCCCTTTATCCCAATCTTCCTAGTTTTTGCTTTTTTATTAATATACTCGAAAGGGACAAAAAGAATGCATAAACGAACGTTGTTAGTGGACATAACGTTTGAAAAATACGTTAAAATTTTACTGAAGATGGCGTTACCTCTCGTCAATTTGTATCAATAATAATTAAAAGCTGGCTCATAAAAAAGCTTTATTAATTATACGTTATTAACTGTAAGTGTTGTTAAGTATCCTTTCGTCTGAAATTGGCTTTAAATGACATATTTCCTGCAATATTTTCTATCTAAATTATCCTGCTGATCATTTACTGTAGTTTTTAAAATATTCTCTAATTAATATTCTTATTAAGAAAATTGAGTTTGAGTTAATTTGGTCAAATAATATATATATATACTGTATATATACTATATATATATATATATATATGTGTATATCAATAGAATTTTACTGTAATCAATCTACACGCATAGCTAATTCAACAAAAAAAAAATAAAAAAGTGGGAAAATAAAAAGCTGAGAGAGAGAGAGAGAGAGAGAGAGATAGAGATAGAGATAGAGAGAGAGAGAGAAAGAGAAAGAAAGAGAGAAAGAGAGAAGTGGGGAAAGGGAAAGGAAAAGAAAATATAATAACTTTGCTTAAAAAAAAAATTGCAGTATTTAAGTTAATACTATTAATATACTGCAAATATACTGTTTACATAAATATATAGATATATACTGTATAAATATATATATATTGTGTATTCTTTATATATTATTATATTTCTATTTATTTATTAATAGAAAAGGTAAAATTTTTAAGTTGGGTATTGTATATTTAAAAAAAGAAAACGAAAAAACAAGTCCAATAATAGAACACGGATTTATCAATCAATTAATATATTTATACAAGTTGACGGAGTGTAATTTATGCATGTGAAATTCCGACAGGCTTTCCCACACTTTTCTTTAATGTCGTAATCTGTGCTAAAAAAAAAAAGACAAAATAGCAAATTGAGAACGTAATTGGTTTGTAGACAGAAAGAACCACACACACATACACACATGCATAAGCATACAAATACAGATTTAGACATAGACACAAAGTTACGAAAACCTCTTTCTTTTTTTTCTTTTGACAAACAATAAAAAAGATGCAAAACAAAGCAAAAACAGGAAAGAGGGAAAGTGAGCGGGGAATAAATAAACTTAAATGTAAAGCTTATATTAGTCGAAGTGAAAAGTTTTCATTTTTATTAAGAATTAAGAGAAAGCCTCGAGCTTTTCCTAAGGCCCTCTCTTTTTGGATGAAGAGAAACTCAGCCGTTTCTTCAAATACTATATATATCTATATATTCTTACACGCATATTAAAATCAACATAGCGGAAAAGAATTCTAGAGATAAAAACTATATTTTAAACAGAAAAGAAGAGAGCGAGAGTTGGAAGAGACTTTATCACATGATAATGCTTATTTTCTCAAAATGGCCTAACATAAGTTACAACTTATTCGTGGCATTTATATAGTATAATAGTTTATATTATATATTATTTATTGATAAAAAAATGGAATATATTTTCTTACCAAAATAACCAGGCAACGGCAAGGAAATTAAGAATAAATATTAATAACGAAGCAGAAACGTAAATCCTCTTTGAAATTATATGCCACCTTCCAAAGGTAATATAAGGTAGTACTATCATACCAGTTAAAATACCAGTTAGGAAGCCACCTAAAAGTCGGAAATTATTAAGGAATGGTAATGTACCTTTAAGAGAAAAGGAAATTTTTAGTACGCTTCTTTTCAAGATAAGAGTATGGGATATTAAATATTAATAATCTTACCGGATAGTAAATATAACATAAGGACTATTAATAATTTGAATAAGGAACTGTAAGCCCGTTTAACCATCTTCCAACCTTGAAAAAGTTCTACAAAAGCAACGGCCAATAGTCCAGCTGCTGCTCCATCACAACCCGCCTGTAAATGGGGCAAAGAAGACAAGAAAATTTATGTACCTTCTTTATTACATATAATTATCTTCTGGGAAGGGAAAGAGATATACTGATTACTAGACATTTATTTTATTTATCAGTTATGGGTAACTTTGCCGAAACGAGAAAATTCTCATAATGAAATTGACTACTTTCTTTACCTTCTTTCACGTCTATTATCACTGTTATTATTATTATTATTACTATTATCTACGTTTATAATTACTTGTGGCGTAAATGGATCGAAGGCGCTAGCTAACATTAATCCAACAGTACTGCTGGAAAGGAATATAATGGTTAGGCGAATGCTTCCGGCTATACTTTCAATTGTTCTTCCTATTATTGTCTAATAAATAGTCAATATAAGATCTTTAGTGTAGAGAATGGAAAAAAATTTCCAGATCAATTAGCTACCTGTACAAAAATAACCATGATTAGATGAAGTATTCCTTGATGAATGAGTGGAGCTACAAATATCCTCCACCACTGCCTATATGTAGGTTGAGAAATAAGAGGTTGGGAAGAAATCTAAACAAATGTAAATATAAAACATTTAATTACTATTTGTTATAAGAGAAAATACTATAAAACTATTTAATTAATTATACTTTATATTTTCCATAACAAGCTCTAGCAAGGCAATCAACATATCTACAATGCTCAGCGTTATTATCATCGACAAAACTACCATTTAAGTTTATGCAATGTTCCTTAGTTATCATTCGACATTCTCCTCTAAATTAATGCATTTTTTTGGTATTTTTTTGTTATGAAATATTAATATTTAGGAAACGAACAACGGTTGATTAATGATTGGATGTGAAACTTACAAGTAACCAATACAGCAGGGTTTAACATTATGCCTAATCATAGGTGTTGGTAGACGGTAACGTTTGCTTTTGAGTGAAAACAAATTTATGAATTAAATTGTATATTAAAAATCTTTTATTGATGATGGAGTGCGGAAAAGAAAGAGATAACGAGAGAGAGAGAGGAAATGGGTATGCTACAGGGGGAAAAAATGAAAATTTTAAGGAATTATTACGAGGTGGATTATCGATTGATTATCGAATTTTTATATATTAGAGAATAACGGAAATTTTTTAGAGATAATCATGTAGATAAATACGTTCAGGAATAGGCAAACCTCTAAGCAAATACAAAAATCACGAGACAAAATTGACAATTTTAATCTTACCTACAAAACAACCCATCGTGCCAGACCGATTTACTATGCCCCCTAGTGCACTCCTTCTCTGTCATTGTTCCTGCCATATCCCTAGATTCGCAGCATCCTAATTTCTCGTGCATACTATCGAAATACGTAGTTAAGTTAGCAATATTCTTTCTCAATGGTCTTAGACAAGGCGCATACACCGCTCCCCAAACTAATAAACTACTCAACGGCGGTCCTATCCAAATATTCGTGCTCCTTCTTAACTGAAACGACTCATAGCCGTTGATCGTTTTCGACAGGTGGACGCCGGCCGGAATTGGTTCCAAGCCAGTCGGTGCAAAGCCATGAAACGAAATCTGGCATATAAACAAGATAATTTGGACAATCGGTAGGATCGTTGTAACCCATGGATAATAATCTATTAATGGGCGATGGGAATAGATTTGGGGCATGATCCAGAATTACAATTCAGCCTCCCTCTATCCTCCCTTTCCTTATTAAATAGTTTTTTATATTTTATCTTTATGTATAATATTGCCATAATATATCGATTCTTTCATTTGTTTGTCGGGATGTCGAGGGGCGGGAGCGAAGGGGAAGGGGGAGAATATTTAACTGAATCACGCCCCTGGCAAGACTTTTAGTTGCCTCTCCACGTTGTGATTCTTGGGTGAAAACGGTCTTTTCTGCTTGGTTGGGCGAAAATTTCGTATATAATATAAAACAGACGTACAATTAAAAGGGTGCTTCTTGTAATAAAAAGCGTATAACTTCTCAACCGCTTCCTCCAACCTAGTTTGGACTCTTCTTGTCTCTCTTTCCCTACGGCTGCGAGTCTTTTCTAATCTATTTATTTGTAACCTACGTTCCTCGTCTATAAATCCGTCATACCAGTCTAGACCTTCCTTACCGCTCAATTCTCTTCTCTCTTCTGTTTTTTTGAAAAATTTCTCATCGAATAAATTATGTCTTTTCGTAGTTTTGTTAAAAATAAACGACTTCTGCCATTCATCATCCACTTTATCATTTAATTTAGTTAGCTTTTCGTCAGGGACGATCTGCGATCTATTCAACAGAATACTAGAGTTTCCTTTAACATTCGCTTTAGTTTTGGGTTCAGAGCTATTTTTATCTACTGTGCTAACTTTCTTGCTGTTTCCTTCAATTATTCGGGAATTATTCGTGTTATAACTAAGTGTAGTTCCGGTTTGATGCGCATAATTAAGGTTTGCCGATACTTCAGAAAGTTCATTGAATATTCTACGCTGTTGATAAGAACAATTGGCTAGACTTTCATGGCTTTTAAGGCGATTGTAGTTGTTTTGTTGTCCCTTCGAGTGCAATACAGCATTACAAATTCTATCGTTCTTTCTATCGTAGACTTCTAAACGATTAACCCGATCTTCCTCTTTCAAAGATTTTTCTTTATCCTCCAGTAAATTTAAGTCGAATGCGTTGTTCTGATTGCGATCTTCCTTATCGGTAAATGCCTTCTTAGATGATAGACCGAAGATCGATTGTTCATCGCTAATCTCCGAAATCTTTCCTTTTTCTTCTTCTTCTGCGTCATCGCCATTTAAATAACTATATACTGCAAAATAGTTTTTCTCTTGCAATAAATCGTAAGCATCGGATAAAGCCTTCTCAAAGTTTTGTATAACTAATTCCTCCCCTCCTACAGTTGACCAACCAACCAACGAACCCCCCAATGAACTGGCTAAGCGTCCTTCAGACGCCCGACCCTCTAGCTTACTCTGCCATAACGATAACTGACTATTGGCTTTGTTAATGGCAAGGAAATCGAATATTTTATCAAGTAACTTCATATTTTCTTCTAAAACCTCTCGTCACTCTTTTTCTTTTATTTTTTTGAATTCGATTTTTTTTACGTTTCGCGCAGAGAGAGAGAGGGATCTTAAAAAAATGACAGAAATCCACTTTCATCAAGAATTCCATGCATAACGTTCTTTGAATAATTTCCTACCTAAAGAAGAGAAAAGGAAAAGAAAAAAAAATGAAAATGAAAATGAATATGGTGGAATGGGACCGCTGTTGACTTCAAAGCTGAGGTTTGCAGAAGACTTCGACAGATCCGTAAATCCATATTCTAATATACAACTGTAATCATGTAAGTCGCTACAAGAGAGACTACAAACCTTATTGCTATTTACTTTCATTATTAAATTAGTAATGGAGTCTAATGTAAAGAATAAAGAACTTCTAAAAGCTCTGTATAAAGTATTTAATTTTCTGAATACGTGAAAGAAAGTTGCTTCAACTAAATAAAAAATGACGCAGTGTACGTGAGAGTGACTAATTATTAATCTTATTATTCTTACATTACTCTACTATCTGAGAGGCCCATTTTTCTTCTTTCCCTTCTTCTTTTTCTTTTGCTACATCTAAGGAAACTTTCATACATAGTCTTTATTTTCTTTATTTATTAGCTTCTATTGAGATTAGCAATAAATAAAAGAATGGCCTTTGGCTGTAATTGCCTACTTTATTACTAGAAAACGGGATTTCTACCGCTTCATTTTATAGAATGTCCAACTTGTTCATTGCTTTAATCTCAAGAGGATTATGAGATCCGTAAAAATGGAAAAAAGTATCTATAGGGGTTTACTTCTAAGAAAACGCATTATTTATGCATTTTAAGTATTATTGTTAGAATTATCTTTTATTCTTTTTGATTAGTCGATTATTGTAAGTTTAAAAAAATATATAAAAAATATATAAAAACAATTCAAAAGGTTTTAATGATTGTTTGGAACCATGTTAAAGTTGTCACGTGATAAAATTCACTTCCGTTTCCTGCCGGAAAATTAAACACAGGGCAAATTTAATTGATTTAACTAGGAAAATGACGTAAGTTACCATTCTTTTAGATGATAAAGTCTAAAATAAGTAAGCGTTATCTGAGACCCTATTAGACTTTTAGGGTGAAAGGTGGCGGAGGAAATGAAATATTACCGATTGGGGGTAAACGCTCAGGTGGAGCGATTAGGTCGTTCTAGTTGGATCGATACAAAATTGAGATAAAGTTATCTTGTTATTTTCATAAATCCAACTTAAAGTGAATATGCTTTTGACTAGTTTGACGTTGCCAAATTAGAGCGTGAAAGACAGATACGAAGTGTACAATCCCCAAAAAGAAATTAACTATTTGTTATTCCATTCAGTTCTCTATTAAATAAACCGAAGAGTGAAATGACCCAGGAGGAACTCCAGCAAAGGGAGCAAGAAGAGTTTAATACAGGCCCTCTATCAGTCCTCACTCAATCCGTCAAGAATAATACGCAAGTACTAATTAACTGCCGCAACAACAGAAAACTCTTGGGTCGTGTGAAGGCCTTCGATAGACACTGCAACATGGTATTAGAAAGCGTTAAGGAGATGTGGACGGAAACTCCGCGAACCGGTAAAGGAAAAAAGAAGGCTAAACCAGTAAACAAGGATCGATATATTTCTAAATTATTTCTTCGCGGAGATTCTGTTATACTCGTATTACGGAATCCTTTAGTACAACAAAAATGAATTAAACGACTTTAGATGTTTTTATAGTGACGCTTTTTCCACATTTATTAAAAAGTTGACGTATAAAAATTTATATTAAAGATATTATATCGTGCCTCCATTATCTATGTAACATTTACCATAATAGCAAAGGTCTGCCATCAATTCTGGCTAACGCCTCTAAACAATCAAGCAAAATCAGAACATCATTTCTTTGAGCTTTCGGCGAAATCTTGCATACTAGATGGCGTAGACAACGAGGATTGTCAAAATGACGATAAAGTTTCTCATCGGAAATACGTAAAAGGCCGAATGCGTTGATGAGATCTATACACAAATCCGAGTGTTTGTCAACGATGAAACCTAACGAACTTAGTTTGTACTTAACATTGTGCCAACGGCTCATTAGTTTTTCACGTTTAGCGTTATCAACAATACAGTCTTTTCCCTTATCATTTTGTGATTGAGTAAGGTGAAGGATTCGATCGTAAATATTGCAGACTGTGTAACCTGTTTAGGAGATTTACGGACAGTAAGTCAATTTGAGACTAATGAATATAAACAGAATTCGCTGTTATATAAATGGTGTTTTTTTTTCCGCTGCATTTAACGGAGCGTCTATAGAAAAGGGCAAAAATGGTTTTGACCGTAGAAGCGAAGCTTTTCGTTTTCTTTACATCCACCGCGCAGAACGTGATCTAGAATTCGTCTATCTAACTGAAAAGCGATTTCTCCAAGTATCCTGCAATAATTTGTCTGTTTTCTCACATGCTTCGACGACCTGTTGCATGAAGAAGAAAAAAAAATAACGAATTATTCACTTGTGGAGCGAATTTTTCAGTTTACAACTTTGGTGGTCGCCCCCGCCGTCGTTGTCGTCCTATACCAGACTTTTATTATCTTTATAAGTATTTTATAACCGTATTTTTATTAATAATTATATGTATATATATATATATATATATATTTATATTGTCTAATCGAGCGAAGGAATTCATCGACGTACGAATTTTGAATGGAAATTCTATTTAGCTGATCAAATTCGGACCGAGCTTTAACTAATCTCTCCTCAAGCTTGTTTATACGATCTCCTAACAGTTTAATGTAATTCATAAATGTAAAATGACTAATCGAAATCTTTAAGAATATTTATATAACGTTTGAATATTTTATATACGTCATTATTTGAATATAATATCAAAAGAAAACTGGGAAATCAGAATAGCGCTAGATGTGAATATTCCTATTCTTATTTTAAAACAATAATAGGTAATATACCGTAAATATAATACATTTCATATCACATTATCCTCGTGCTATGCAGATAGAAAGTTTCTCTTCTGTCTCTCTCTCTCTGTCTCTCTCTCTCTCTCTTGCCTCTCCTTTCCTCTTACTTTCACTCTCTTTCCAATGTTTATTTGTATGGGCGATAGGTATAAAAATATAGTTTTATATATTAAGGAGTATATATTACTAGACGTGTGTTTGTGTATATAGATTACAGAGCTCGCTTTCGATATTATAACTTAGGTCCTCGAGCGTTTTGTATTATGCTAAAGCAGAAAGCTCATTTTCTTTAGTAGGGGTGAGTCTCTAGCTGCTACAACAATTATTTCAAACATATATCTATAGGGCGTTTTCCTATCTTTACAAATAAGTTTTGTGGTTTGAGACCCCAAATATGATATATACGTATCTATATATTTAGCATGTATAGTTTATAGATTAATGTCCATAAAACTATTAATGGGACAAGTTACGATAAACATCACGGTAATGTGCTATTCAATAGTACATCAAGTTGTTTGAAATATAAATAAATAGGAACAATATAGCCTTTACATCTACAGTTTATTTTCCCAAAATATTCATCTGATATAACGTATACTCCGAGTTAAATATAACTATGTTCCTATATTTAAATATACTAATACATGTATATATAAATATAAATATATATATATATATATATATACTGTCTATCTATACATCATGTATATACAGCATATATAGAGCACATCTATATATATTTAAATACAAATATATATAGATATATTATATAAAATCGTGGCGTTTGCTAATCTTTCAGCATTGGCTGAAATGATTGATGTTGTGCGAATTGTGTGTGTACGTTTTGGCTTTACACGCACCGTTGAGAGAAACGTGCCATGATAATTTTCCACTAATTAAAAGCCACTTAGAAATCTATTAGGATACTAGTGGGAAGCAGATGCTGGTCTAAAAAGGAAAATAAAAAAATTTCCTACAAACTTCAACCACCTGCTTCCCCTAAATCTTTCGAACCTTAAACAAATTCACTGACGAGGGATCATCTTAACAAGAATAATATAGATTTGTAATTACAAATTGTAGAAACGTGCTTATTCCTCTCCTCTTCGGATGTCGAGCTTTGTCAATCAAATTTTTTTTCGTTCTCTTTTTTTGTTGGGATGAGAGTGAATCCGGAGAAAAGGACATTGATTTTTTTTCCCCACTCTCGCGCCGTCTGTTTCGAACAAGGCAAACTAGACGGTGGTTAAGAAGGGTTTTTCATTGAAAGCGCATTAATCACGTTTGAGACTCACCTAAGTGGCGAGTACACAGCAAATTATAGGCCCACCGTTGCGGTCTTTACAGGCCTATACAGGCGGGCGCGCGTTTATCCGTCAGACAGCAGCAATATGGTAAGGTTAACGGCGTCAGTCCGGTACGGCTACTTTTGTCTAAACAAATCCGCCTGTTTCTTTTCGAGAGAAAGGTTGATATAAAAATAAATTATCGAGTAAAAACTCGGTTGTAGACGGTTGGTGGTTGTAAACGGGAATGGGACGTAGAAAAGTGAAAAGAGTCAGTTAGAGTCGATATCACTTAAGGGTAAATGTGGTAGGCTTATCTCAAAGAAATGAATAGGATATTGAAGTTCTAAAGAGAGTGGAGAGATAGAGAGGGGTGGTGGGTGGTAGTGGGAGAGAGAGAGAGAGAGAGAGAGAGAGAGAGGAAGAGGGAGAGAAGGATTGTAACATATATATATATGCTGTATACGTATGGGAGAAGAGAAAAAGAAGGAAAAAGAAGTAGTTTATAAACACATAATAGTATAGAATGGACAATAAAAAACAACCAACAAAACTACTAAAAAGCAAAGAAACGGAGGATAATAAAAATATTTGATTGCAATTTTTCTACTAATAAGAGAATGCGTAAATTGAGGACGAAGCAACATAACGATCGAAATTAAGCTTGTCGTATATAGATTTTTAATAAGAAATATTCTACAATAAAAAAAAAAAACAACAAAATAAATCTATATCTAAATATCCTTCTCTTATTTTTTTTTTCATGTTTTTTTAAGTCAATTCTTCATTCCTTTTTTCTATCTATCTTTCTTTCTCTCTCTCTATCTCTATATCTTCTTCTTTTTTTCTTTCTTTCTTTTAACTTTGTTGCATAAGTTTGTAAAGGGAAAGAAAACAAAATTCAATTACTCTATGTATGTTTGTATGTTGTGTTTTATTTGTTTGTTTCTGAAATGTATACATATATAATGTTATTATTTTCTATAAAGTAGACAATATAGACAAAACTTTATCAATTTTATTATTTTCTTTTCGTTTTAAAACAACTTTAACACTTTCGACACGCATAAATTACGCAACTTTTCCTTTTTTTTCAGCATGTACGATCTGCTCATGAAAATTATATTAGGCAATATTAAACGTTATTTGGCATTATAAAACAATACTTTTAAGTAATAATAATAACCATAATAATAATAATAATAATAACAATAATTGTAATTCGACAATAACATACAAAGTTTTGTACATAAAATAAAATATATACTCACTGCATACGCATTGTTTTTATATTTGAAGTTATGATACTACTAGATATATATATATATCTGTAAAGAAAATCACAAATGAGTGCTTTCTTCAATTTTATCTAAGCTGATTATAACTTTCCTCCCATTTTCCGATGGACTGGGAGGACAACTGCAGGCTGCTTCCGTCATTGCAGACAATTTAACAGACAAGTGTGGATTTCCCAACTTCATATTCTTTTGCTTTAGTGTCTCTAATTGAGTGTAGAGTCTCTTGAACTCTTCTTCTATGTCTTTCGCCAACGTCCCCCCGTTTCCACCTCCGCCACTCATTGAAGTTTGTAAAACGCTCTCAGGTGACCTAGGTGTGCATTGTATATCCTCTTCCTGCATTTCCCCTTCGGCCGTTCCCGTCATATTTGACACGTTACCCGAAGTTGCAACTGACGTCATTTGAACGCTATAGTTTGATTTTGGTGCGGCGACATACTTTGATCCTCGATTAATGGTTGTAGCAGCTTGTTCTGATTTGCCTCGATATTTATAAACAAGATAAGCTTTACTTCCAAAAAGGAAACCAAGTAAGACTGTAGTTGTCAATTGCGTATGTATAAATAAGACTAAGTACAATAAGTCCGGATTAGCTATACTTTGCAGGAAGAACATGGTAATATTGAGGAAGAGAGACAGTAAGGTTTCATTATAGATCGCCCAACTGATAAAGCGACTTTCGTTAAATTCCGATGGAGCTTTCCTTACAACTATACACAATCTTATTCCCCACAACAATAAGCACAATTCGGCTACTGCCGCGCAATAATCCCAAGTATCCCAAGAGCATTGGTAAGCGTGTTTCTTACTGGAATGAGTAGCTGAAATCGAGAAGATATTACATATATTTGCAGTATAAAGTATATATAAATATATATATATATATATATATATATATTCATTCATACGCGTACATTAAGAAGCCGGCGCAAAAACTATTGGCAATAGAGAAAACTATAAATAAACGATGAGGCGAGAGGGTTTAATGCTGAGATATTTAAGAGTAATTAGATTCACAGATAATAAGGGAAGAATACAAAGCTCTTTCATTTCGTTTGTAGTTGTACCACTAACCGAAAACCATCACGTTCGATTAATCAACATGACATCACGATTGACGAACATAAAAGTATGATGGGACATACCTTTCATAACCTTGGGCCGGCCAATTACCATTCGTACGGTTAGATAAACCGAAAAGAGTAGGACTATAAATAATAGGCGTTTGATTAAATCCGTATCGCTAATCTTCACCCGTTGAGCGGAACGAACGCGAAAGACGACTGAAATCCTCCAGGTTTTTAGCAGAAGTGCTCCGTAGGATATTGAGAAACCTATTTCTCTCATCCAAACGCGCAGGCAGCAGGACACTTGGGTAGGTTCAAAGTATTGCACTATCATCTGTTGAATAACAGACCATTAGTATAATGAAAAAAAAACATTTGAGAATAAAAAAGATTGGTAAGAAAAAAAAAATAAGAGAGCGAGAGGCAGGGAGAATGAGAGAGATTGATATGGCTTGATAAAGATAGAGATAGAGGATAAATAGATTTTTTGAATGATAGCGAATTGTGCTCGAATCAATGTTTCCAATTGAAAGATAAAGACCGATTAACCGATAAACCAGAGGTTTAGGAAACCAAATGAGGTTACGGAAAGTAGAAATTGATTGAAGAAGAAACCGATTACGGTAATGATAATAAGGAACATGAAAGAGTGGTTAAGATTTTGGTTGATTTCTCAAGAGATATATACCGGGCAATATAGGAGAAAGGCACCAAGGAGAATAATTCTTAAAAGAACTGGACTGGCAGCTTTCAGCACCTGTAACGACATATGGATTATGTATTAAATAAAAGAGAGAAAAAATATATGGACGCAAACATATTGCATATAAATATGTATAAAATAAGTGATGAGAAAAAAGAGCAATATGTATCTATTTATTGAACGAAATGAATCGACTTACTTTTACGTCGCTATACTTGTATGTAAAAACGACGAGGAGTGGAATAGCTGCCATTAGGACGCAGCTGATACCAAGCAACACTGACCGATGTACCCAGTTTAACTGCAATAGGCACGGAGTTTTATCCAGACACGTTTTACAGCCTTTAGCGCATGGCAAGCAAGTAAAATTTGTTTGGTAGTCACTAGCCGATCCTCTCGTTTCTAATTCAAATGCTCTTTCGACATCAGAACCATCGTAATAGCGCTTCTCGACCGGAATGTCCGTATTAGGGAAGTAGTAACCTTCCTTGCATACGCAATGATAAGACCCTCTGGAAAAGCCAAGGCCAGGAACTGGAACACACTAAAAATGAAAAAAATATTTTTATGTTATTGATGCAGATAAAACTTGGCATAAAAAGATATATAAACGATGATTAAATCCTCTTTTGAAATCTTTCTAACAATGATATTAATCCCACTAGCTTAAACCTCCCCCCTCATTACCTTAGTTGTTTCCAGCTTGCACTTGTGTGTTCCAGCGAAATGATTATACTCCTTCCCTTCCTTTTGCGGACACTGGTCAATGTCGACTTTTTGCAGATCTATGTCGATACCGCTCGTTCCTCTAGGAAACGAAAAAAAAAGGAATATAAGAGAGCAATATATTAAAAACCTAATGGAGTGAAAGGAATAGGAAGGGAAGGGAAAGGGTCAAGGCGATAGCGGACGGAAGGGAAGCTTGACTGGTCTATGGAAAATGCTTAGGCGCTTTACACAGTCTTAAAAATGTACTTATAAACTAATCTTGAAATTGTCAAATTAAGATAATCCTATAGCGTAGCGTTCTATTATGCGTTACAAATTGACAAAACGAGTGTGTAATTCCGTACAAAACGGCCGAAAATTTCTCTTCACCACTTAGGAGCGGCGTTACGGGCTTTCGAGGGCACTTGAATGTATTCTTTCGAAAACCGGATTAGGTTACGAGTGATGTTTTTTACGTTTTCCGTTTCGTACAATTTCTACAATTTTTATACAATTTCTCATCTATGTAACGACGATATCAAGATTATCGAACAGAAAATGCAATAAAAGTGCCTTTTGTAATACTATACGCATCTCATCAAGCTTTCTTGTTCTCTTACGGTTCTGAATGGACTACAAACAAAGTATCAGCAGAGCGCAATTTGAATTACAAGCCGGAAGGCTAGAGACGTCTCCAATCAAGACTTACTTGAAATAATAGCGACGGTTTTCTTGGTCGTAACCAAAGAATGGTACAGTGTAAGTCATCATCCATATGTCACCACCTCCACAATCAAAATAAGGTAGACCCCAATGCCCATCATCATAATCGATTTGAATACTCTCTAAATCTACCGTAGGCTTATGCTCTGATTCATTATAGCGATACTGGAACAGTCCTGTTAAAAAGGAAAAAACATAAAAAATATTATGTATGAATGCCTCTCCATGTATATATGCGTGTGCCAGTGTTAATGGAAATAAAATTGTAAAATATAGGATTATTATCGGACCGCGAGGCCTGAAAACGCTCGTGATTTATTACGTCTGCTTTAAACGCTCCGATTCTCACGGTCAACTTCACAGATAGAGACGTGACGGAAAGAGAGAGCGAGAGAAAGCGGGAGAGGATGAATGAATGAGTGAGTGAGTGAGTGAATGAGTAAGTGAGATAGAGAGAGAGGGAATGTAGGAACGAAGGATACGATAGAAAAATATGCCCTGATTTATGTTCCATCTAGAATAGATAAATATACTGGCAATATAGGAATAAAAGTAGAGAGCGAGCGAGTGAGTGAGCGAGAGAGAGAGACGCTTGCAGGTAGTAGAGACATCGTCGCCGTTTGTTAGCGCAACAAATTAAGTCAACGCGATTTTCGGATAGGGCGGATATCGATCGGCGTTTAATATTTTTAGTCTGTCGTCACCGCGATATAACGTTTGTCAACATAGGAATAAACGAGGTGGCAAATTTGTTTCCGTTTCGTGACCGCGACGACTAAAAAGCGAATAGCTTTTTTTTCTCTCTCTTTTCCCCTTTTCTTCTCCGCCCCCTACCACCCCTTTTTACAATTTCCTCCTCCCCTTGGAGAGATGAAACAAAACAAATTAATGAAGATGTTTAACCTAAATTTTCATCCGCCCCTTTTGTCCCCTTTCCTTTTTTTCTCCGCTCAGCCTTTCTCCCTCTGACTCTTATTCTTAATTGAATAAGAAAGAATTTCTATCATTGCTCGTCAATTGTCGAAGCCGAAAAAAGTTTAGGGCGAAACCTTCATATACATATGCCAGTCCGTTCTATAATTACGTAGCTACTAATCAGCGATGACTTGTTTGTTTCACTCTTACTTTTTCCGCTCCGATGTCATTACGTCGCACCGAATTAAAATGGCGATACGGAACTTTATAAATAAATAAAGACCTACCGACGCTTAAGGCGTACGAACTATTCAGCTTTCTCTGGGCTTTCGTCTTAGGCTCTCTGAAAAATTCGGATCCATTATTCAAATATTTGTAAGCGACACTGAGATCCTTGACCGTTATCTCTGTTGAAGAGTTACGAAGTCTATGAGCATAGGGGCAGAATAAGGTATAGTTTTTGAATTGATCCTTATCATAACAGTTTCCGGCTGCAAAAATATCTTTGTCGCTAGCAACCATTGAATGTACTAAAGTGTACAGTAAAACTTCTGATTGGATTTCTTCCTGTTTCATAAAACGCCACAGTCTTGTTAAAAGATTAGCTCTGTGAACGGCTACTTCTGCCTGCTTGCGAAATCTTCTTCTTCCATACTGGACGACGACTCCTTTTCCAAGAATTGTTCCCACCCCGGCAGTACAATTACCCCTGTTTCTTTCGTATTGCTCGACTATGCGAAGAAACTTGTCGACCCTATCCAACAACGTGGCGTTACCTTGAGTTGGCTCATCACCAATATCTCCACTGCTGCCTGTTTCCTGATCATCAGCTGGACGGTCTTCATTAGCCTTGGCGGCAGCCAAAATCATTAATAATAAAATAAAAACAAAGAAAGTTTGATAATCGAAGACGAGGAGGGCGGACTTCATCCCGCCCAACCACCTCCGTTCATACTGCATGTTTTGCAGCTAGCGCGCTAGGTGTCGTTCCAGTCAGCACTATTCCCTCCCCCTTTACCCCCTTACGGGTCAGGTGATCTGTACGCCTAATGACAGAAACGACGTTTCGTGTCAAAGACAATATAGCGCTTGTTGAACTCCGTACGAAAAAAAATATTAGCTAATTTATTGTCGTTGGCACCAGTAATAAAGACGAGCATCGAAAGTCAACAGCAATCTATAGACAGACAGCCATTAGACAACTTCCTATGGAAATATTTTATTGTTTTGTCTTTCAACATTAGCAACAATAGGCCTTGTGCATTGTATGACTTTACTTGTTGCATTTTTTGATTGATTTCTTCTGAATACATACTTCTGTTCGATATAGGAACGCTAAAGAATTTGAAAAGATCGCGCCTCCAGAGGATCGAAAAGGTTTTAGCGAGTATTATATGTCGTTGTTTGCGACGGCTGACTTGTTCTTAATTATCTTTAGCTAATGAACACGTCCGTGAGTCGACTCACTAATCTCCATTTACTCATGTCTGCTCTTCCAGTTCCTTCCTTTGTCCTAACTCTTAAAGTTTACTTAGGCGTCAAACAACTTGAATCATCGTTTCTTTACTGATCTCACCTAATATATGTTTTATAAGAAAATCTTCCCTAGCTTAGACATATTATTGACGCTCGCGTTTTTATCGCGTTCCATTGCTCCTTCTTTTACACTTAATTTGAATTAGTAGACTGGAAGGTATGAATAAAACACTAGAATATTTCTCAATTCGAAGATTGATGAAATCTGAAAAAAAGAAGGATAGATAGATAGAGAGAGAGAGAGGGCGAAAAGGGAGAGATGAAGGGTAATAGGAAGAGGATTGGGTAGGGAGGAGGCTAAAGAAAGATGGATTATAGATGGAAAACGAAAAGTGGATAGAGAAAAGACAGAAAGAGAAAAAGAAGAAAGGTGTAGTTGAAGTAAAGAGAAAGCAAAATTATAAACTACATATCGAACATGTGATATATCATGTATGACAGGTTGAGGGAAGCGAATCTAGCGGCGTGTGAATACTTTAGCCTGCCTGTCTTTGACTATCAACGTAACTTTTTTCATACCTTTTCTCTATTTAATTTCAAAGGAAAAACAACTCATCAGTTCATCCAATCTGCAAATAGTAAAGACGGTAAATGTTGTTAATTTGAAATAAGAATAATTTATAAGAGTTGGATATTTCATAAAAAGAGATCGTTTAGCACTCCTTAATTAAAATGGGTTTTGGTGAAGGGATAGAAAACTGAGCGTAAAAAAAATAGGGGAAGTCGTTTGATCGAGGCGAAATGAAAGATAACGTCTGAAATGAAACGAGTTCGAGCGTCATCAGCCGACGTTATTTTCTGATTGACTGTTTGCTTTGGGAATCTTTTCGGTCCCCTTAGCTTTATATCTATATATCTATTTATGAGATATATATATATATTATATATACATGTATAAATATATATATAGATATTTATTTATTTATATATGTATAGCTATATAAAAATTCATTAATGTAGATTTATGCCCAGCGTATGTTGATATATATAGATTAAAATATTAGTATCCTCTAAGCTGATAAACTTTTACATGACCTATATAAGAAATCCAATATTAATTACGTCACATACGCCAAAATATCTTATTATTTGTTTTCGGTAAATAAAAAAGTGTTTATGATAGCAAAGCATAAGAAAAGAAAGTAGGATAAAGAATATAAGAAGGAAGAGGAACATATGAAGATAAAATTGCCGGGTTTTTTTTTTATTCCAGCCTCCCATCGTTAATTGCTAAGCTGTGTTACAAAGAAATTCTCCCGTTGTCTTTAGGCAAATCAATTACGAAAGTCGCTTTGAAAACAGACTATTACATAAAAGAAATTTTTTTATATATTATCAAGTATATGCGTCAAGTACTTGTGTACGAGTAGTGCACCTGACTTTCAGCGTGGCGGAAATGAAGAATGTTTTATAAGGATATGAATTTGCCACGTTTCATTATCAGGCTTACTATAACATGTCACAAAATTAAAAATGTTTTGGTCATTTTTGACAATAAATATTCATAAAAACAGTTTCTTCCTTTATCAATAGATTAGGAAATGTCTTTCTTCGGGATATATGATCTTGTCTTTCTAGTTAATATATTTGTACCACCAGGAGAATTTATGCTTCTGTTTTCCTTTCATATTTGAAATCCGTTCCTTTCGTTTCCTCTCGTATTCTAACATTGCCTGATCCCTATAACCTCCTGCCCTTACTCCAGGACAATTTGTGCCGAAGATCCAATCCCAATAGAGATAGAATGGAGCATAATTTGTCAGAGGTCTCATATGATGCATATCGTGTTTTACGGCTCCTCCCATTATCTTAAAGATGTTGCTTAGCATAAACGGAAAATCATAACCCGAATGCTCATCTATAGAGATTATTTCTGAAAACAGTAGATAAGACCATTTTGTCATAGGATGCGGATTAAAGATCATAACGGAAGAATAGGTGAAAAATCCGACGCATATCAGCTCCCAGGGGTGTAGATATTGAGTAACCCAGGAGTTGCACACGTAATATTCGTGATGAACTGCGTGGCAATGCTTGTACAGAAAGCGAACTTTGTGATGAATTGAGTGCCAAGTAAAGTAGAAGAAATCGAACATAGCCAAGGCGGCAAAATGCTGCCATATAAATTCGAATAGAGTTGGAGCAACTTTCGGCAGAACTTCGTTCGGCGTAAAAGCCCACTGAGCCATTGTAATTGGTAAGGTCCATACCATATTATTCCATAGCGTCAACAATACAGCTCTTTCAATACCTTTAGCGTTTGGAGCCCTATCCGGTTGAATTTTATAGCGTTTGATGATTTTAAAGTTTACGAAGTAGAGATCAATTATTGTATAAATGCTACAATAAATAACATAGAATAATGTGCAAAGTATCGGAGGAAATACAGGCGATGACAAGACATTCTCATAGCCAAAACGTAAGTCCCATATAGGTTGTAGAATTCTCCAATCTTTATCCGAATAGAAACTACTATTAAAGCTGTCAGTTTTCTGTTCAACAGATGACAAATAAAGGTTTCTCGTCTCGCCAGCCATAATTTAATTAATAAAATAAACTATCGTTCTCTTTAACTTTCTTCTTAAAGACTGAATATTTACACTACCTTAATTTTTCTTATATAGTTTCAGATTATTTCTGATATTTCTGAGTCGCACGTATAACGCTGATTACATCTGTTATCAAAAACGCGTTCTTTGTCATCTGATGATTCAAGTATTTTGAATAATCAGTAGGGAGGAAAGGCGCGACTCTAGTATTTTCATTTATATTAATAAATCGTTAGAAAATGGGGCAAGTATTTTTTATAGCATATCAATCCTACAACAGTTACGTTTCTTTTACCTCTTAGCGAAAACTAAACTAGTCTATTTGGTTAGTTTATAAACGTAGTAACGAAATAGCATCAAGAGAAAATATGCCTGTAGATACGCTCTTTAAAACTATATTCTTATCTCTGAAAGTGAGAACATACGAACTTTTAAATTAAGGACGCCAGTACTCTCAAACACTTCGTATGTACGAGTAATCTTTTAGTTATCGTAAGAGAATTTGAATATTATATTTTAGAAAAAAAGGCTGATATAAACTGTTACAGAAGCACTGTACAGAGTACATGTGTCAGAAATGTTATTTATCAGTTTAAAGTTTAGTTTTCTTCCTCATTTGTTATGCTTTTGCAGTGTTGTTTAATAAGTTTACATACAAAACTACCTAATTGTTCATCTTCGTGTTGCCAACTGATCATTGCTTTTTTACAACTTTCATCCTCTTGCTCTATATGAATGTCAACATCGTCGACGCTTATTGTACCGTCAGCAGAGTGGGTAACAACTACATCTTGTAGCACGTCCGTTAATAAATCAAACAGGCTTTTTGCACTTTCTTTCGCTGGGATAGGCAGGCAGGTAGAATACTGAATATGATGGAGATTTTTATTTAATACATTATTCACCGTTTCGTCAGTGTCCACAATAGTTAATTTATTATTATTCATTACGACAGCTGCATGTAATGTCCTGCATTTTTTAGGTTCAGGAATGTCATTTTTTGTATTTCCAACAGCCAATGTTCGTTTCAAAAGAGGTATAGAAATATTAGCTTCCATATTAGTCTTTGTGTCGATAATTGCCATCTCCCCATTGGCTGGCATATAACAAGACGTACCATATTCTCTTTCGATCTTGGCTTTGAGAAACTGCATTTTTCCACCCTCTCCGTGAACTAGCATAACGTTTTTTGGCTCGCACATCCCAATTAGTTGCATTATACCTTTGGCATCGGCGTGCGCACTGAAGGACATATATTGAACCGACATTTTTACTTCTAAAGGATGGCCGTCTATATCTAATTTTCTCTGACCACTCAATATTTTAAATCCAACAGTACCTTGGACACAGTATCCAGGCATAATGACCATATTCTTTTCGAAAGGGGCCCATTTTTTAAAGATTTGTAACGACAATCCACTATGTAACATACCAGGCGTAGCTAGCACCACCATAGATCCAGGATTTTCTATAAAACTTCGATCAAAAGCACGGATATGTTTGAATTCGAACATATTCCTTTCGAGAAATGTCTGCTTAATCTTTTGATTAGTCCAAGTTATAAACATTTTATAATAGTTATTGGCTTTTTCCGTGAGACCAACCGCAAAATATATAGGAACTTTTAAATTCATTCTCTCCCAATAAGTTTCAAGTAATATGCATAACTCCTGAGCTCTTCCAAGCGCAAAAACTGGAATTAGAACTTTTCCGTCTCTCTCCACGCATTCGTGGACCTTTTGGAGAAAATCCCTTTCCCTACATCGTTTAGAATCTCGAATAGTTGTAGCATAAGTCGACTCAGTAATAAGTAAATCCGGACGGCATTTATCGATACTGGCGGCTCCCAAATGTCTATCCGGCGTCATATTATAATCGCCCGTGTAGACGAGCGATTGATTTTTCACTTCAACATGGAACATTGCAGCACCCAGAACGTGACCGGCGTAATAGGGTTTTATTCTTAGTTCACTATCTACCTGAATCGTCTGATGAAGATTAACGGCGACGCATTTCGACATACACTTTTTTATCATTTCAGATGTAAAAAAGTTTTGTTCGCCCTTTTTTTCCACTGTTAGCTTTCTGTAGTCTTCAAGAAGAATAGGACAGACGGCTTTGGTTGGATGAGTCATATAAATAGGTCCGTTGTACCCGACCATTTCAGTCATGTAGGGTAAAGCACCGCAATGATCGAGGTGAAAGTGACTGATAATAACGCAATCTAAATAAGGAGTTAGATCGCCAGATTTTCGAATAAACGAAAAATCTGGAAATCGGCGATCATCGTTATAGCCCATATGCATGCCGCAATCAAGCATGATATTTTTTCCCCCAATTTCGATTAGGATGCATGATCTACCTACATCCTGCCCTGCTCCCAGTGGGATTGCTCGAATTTCAGTCATCTTCCTTTAATATAATTAAAATTTACTCGGGAATTTTATACCGCTTCAAAGCTGGCTAGATTACTGAAAATCCGATATGAAGGTTACAACACTTTACAGGGCCGGCACTGTTTTCTTACTTGAACGAATTACGAGATCCCTCCGAAACTAGAGTTCGGAAAATCGGAAGGGATAAATTTTGGCCTATTTCGTGCATCGACAGGGATGCCTTTCTTCGACTTTGTTTTGGAACCTGAATGACGTAGCTCGGATTGTCCTACTCACCGGAGGATATCCCAATGTCAAAAAGTACACGGTGAGAAACGCTGTTATGGGTCTTTTAAACGGCTGTACAAGGATTGCTCAAAAAGTGATTCGACGCCACTATAGACTTGGAAGCACCTTAAATGTTTTATTAAGGGTATATCATTTAAAATTTGTTGATAATTCGATAGAACATATTCCGCATCACGTCTTTGAAACGAAATCGTGCGTCCTGTTGTGAAAATCGGTCGTATACACATGTCGTCAAATAGTTATAATTATTCAAAGCAAATAGCATATTGCTTGAATATTTTATTAATATATTCATAAAGAAATTTATTGATCCAATTTAACGTTTCTTTATGGGAAATTTCGCGCAAGACAATTTTTATTGCAAAATAAATTTGTTGATGCTGTTGCTTTCTCCCGCTTTCTCTCCCTCTCTCCCCCTCGCCGAAAACAAGTTTTTCCTATATTAGTACAACTAAAATCTCTTTCAGAATCTCTTTTCTGATACCTCGTTACTCTTCTATATCTTATAATTTCTCAAATCCTTTTTTTTATTATCTCTTTTGATTTCTTTAAACACTATAACAGTAATTATCCAAATGCTTATATTGTCAGTTCTGATTGATAAATTACAAAGCGAAAAGTTCATTTACGTCAAAGATAACTGACTAAATATGATAGTTGTTTTTTAAATAATAATAAATATTAAAAACAAGCTTCATATCTGAAGGTTTGCTGTCTGATTTTTTATATAAACGTTTCAATCTTATTCCTTATGCGGAAAATTAACTATCGAATTTGTCAACTATCATTAATTAACTTTATTTCTTTTAATATTGCGTATATGAATTATTATAGCCATTTGATATAAATAGTTGTATAAATTTACTATTACTATATATAAATACGTATCGAAATAAATAATGCAAAAACAACAAACGTTACAGGAAGGTGATAAACTACCCAATTTAGAAGTGTCTGAAGGCGAACCGGGCTCGAAATTTTATATTGGTGAGGTATTTGCAAAAGGAAAGGGCGTCCTATTTGCCGTCCCAGGTGCCTTTACGCCTGGATGCGATAAGGTGAGTACTCAACTATATTTATAAATACAGCCTATTTAATAGACTACTGTAATACAGTAAATATTTAATATATATAGAGATTTTTAAAAAAAAAAAAAATATTACTTTTTAATCTTTATAAAGAAATATTAGTATGAAAACAATAAATAATTTTTATATAGTAAAAATTTCATTATCATTTTTATTTGATTAGACAAAAGTTATTTAACCTGATTTATTAATAATATAATAAAAATAGAAAAAAAAATATGAATTATAGAATTTCCTTTTAGTTCGTTTTATTATAGCACAAAGTACTTACTAATTTCAGAGACGTAAATTCTTATCTCATTCCATCTCACCGGAGGTAAACAATAAAATCGATAGTTAAGAATTATTATTAAAAAAATAATAATAGCTTTTATTTAAAGTAAAGAAAAAAAATAACATACAATTCTTATTGATATATATATATTTATTTATAATATTCATATTATTCAATGTGATAATAATATATACTTCTAATCTCGCCTATTCGATCGCTTGTATTTTCCAATGCTTTTTTTTTGGGCAGCTCAGATTTCTTTTTAAAAAAAACAACAATCAAAAAGAGATATGAAGCATTTTCTCCCTTTGTTTTTTTTTTTTTTATTCACCGGGTTAAATGTTAATTTTGTAGCTTCCGATTCCTTAATCTATAAAAGATTTCTTATTATTATTAGCGCTAGTATTTCAAAATAAGATATTAATTCTAAATACTAACTTCCCATCAACCTTTGCAGAAACACTTACCCGGTTATGTCGAAAATTACTCTAAATTTATAGAGAAAGGAATCACGACTATCGCCTGCTTATCCGTAAACGATGCTTTTGTCATGGATGCTTGGGGTAAACACCAAGGAGCCGATGGTAAGGTAAGTTTGTGAGTGAGACAAACATCTTTTATAGAAAAAAAAAAATTATTGTTCTGCATTTAATTTTAACGTAAAAACGGTTTATATAAATCTTATTCTTTACCCGTCGTTAGATAAGGATGTTCGCCGATGCGGATGGAGAGTTTACGAAGGCGATTGATATGCAATTGGATCTGACGAACGTGCTTGGAAACGTTCGATCTAAGCGCTACGCAATGTATATCCAAGATGGTGTTGTAAAAAAGCTGCTAGTTGAATCGGATGGAACAGGCTTAAGTTGCAGTCTTGCAGTCGAACTACTCAAGCACATTTGAAGAAAAACTATTTTTAATTATGATTTTCTTTTTAAAGATAAAAAACAAAAAAAAGAAAAAATCGAACATTTAACAACGAACGATTCTATTGTTTACTATTGAAAACAAACAAACAAAGGTTTGCTGTGAAGATGAAAACTATTCTTTTTTTTTATTATAAAGTATGT